AGCAATTGTCCTTCTTCGCAGCCTCAGACGCGCGGGGCGGCACCAGTGACCGACAGCTTGGCAAAGAGCTTGAGCAGCGCCTTGTTGGCGCGCGGATACTCGCCGTTGACGAGTCTGCCCACCGTGTGCTCAAAGTCCGGCCGGCGCTTGACGCGGTCCCAGTGGTCCGAGACGTACTCGAGGTGCGCGCGCTGCACCTCGTCGAAGCGGTCCACGAACGGACTCAGCAGATCCGACAGCACACTCTGCGGCGACAGCTCCAGGCAGATGTGGTCGAACGCCTTGGTGGCCAGATCGCGCAGCCCGAGCTGTCGGCCTACGCAGTACGCTGCCGTCGCCGAGAAGACGGGTGGGAAGCTCGACGTCTTGCCCATGCGTGCGACAGGCGGCTCGGCCACCTCGTCGTCGCTGTACTCGCCATCCGAGCCACTGGCAGAGTCGGCGTAGCGCCGAGAGGGCGGCAGACGCGAGGCGAACGTGGCATGGCCCGTGTACAGGTAGAACACGAGCGCCTGGAGCGTGGCGGCCGAACAGCCTGTCACTTGGACACGAGAGGCGGTGGAAGTGCGTGGCGCCGCGTTGGTGAGCTCGTTGGCGGCACTGTAGCGTCGAACGCGTCCGCGACCGACCGTGTCATTGCCGTAATCCGTCACCGGCGCAGTGTTGTACGCAAGCACGGGAGGCTCCAGCTCGGCGCTCGGAGACATCTTGTCCTTGTTCATGAACTTGATCAGCTTCGAGAAGCGCGACGACGAGCGCGAAAACGTAGGCGGCACGACCACCTCGATTGGCGCGCCCACGTTCGTAGCCCCTGCGACCTTGACCGACTCGACGGGCGAGTGGTCCTCATGGTCGTACTCGTCGTGCTCGTCATGTTCGTCGTGCTGCGGCTGCTCCACCGAGTCCGCATATTCGTCCATCTCCTCCTCCTCTCGGTCGTGCTGGTCATCGAGCTCACCGAGCCTGGAGCTGCGACCTCCAAAGTCGACGAGGCCGAGACTGTTGGTGGATCGTCGGCTGCTCTGTGGCCTCGCCCCACGCGGAGTAGCCTTGGCCACACCCGACGCGAGCAGCTCGCCCTCCATGGTGTCGAGCTCCGCGCGGCCCGTGACGCGGATCTGGCGCATGAGCGCAGGGCACGCCTTGCGGAGGATCTTGGAGTTGGCATAGATCACCTCGTCCTTGGTGCCGCCGCTGACCACCAGCTCGAGGTCCGCCCACGGCTGCCCAAAGATGGCGCTGTGCACGGCGTGGAGTGTCTGCTCGGCGACGTGCGGCACGAGCGAGAACGGCTCCACCGGCTCGGCTTCGTCGATCTCGGCCGCCTCGGGCTCGTCAGCATCATCGACGACGGGCGCACGCGAGCGCAGCGGTGCGCTACGACGGGTAGAACCGAACTGCGGAGAAGGAAGGGGCTTGTTGCTCCGCAGAGCCATATCGACAGCGGCTGTAGCCATGTTTCCAGTGCAGAGATCGCAGGTGGTAGAGCGAAGGACGGAAAGGGGTACGGATGGGGGTTGGCAGGGGATGCTTCCTGGTCCATATATACAGCCCCAGCAAGCGAGGGAAAGGCAGCTTTGTGCGCGCAAGACCGACGCGGGGCGGAGGCTTGCACTACTCTACGCGCGCGCTCGAGCTCGCAAGGAGACTTGTCTGGAAGCTGTGTGAAACCTGTTTGTGGTGGGGACGATCGGACGTTACATCCCAGCCCACGGGGGGCGGAGCGCTACGGCCAAGTTTGACAGGCCGCCCACCGTCAGGCAGGCGGCCAAGCGCGCGCGCGGGATCGATATCCGTGGGTGATGGACCCTGCATGCCCGTCGTAAGCGCAGGCGAGCTCGATAGACGGGATCGGAAGTCCGTCTCATGGGAACATTTTGCTCGCCCTACGCCGTAGCACCAGCGTTGAGCGAGCGCCAAGGCCGAGAACTGCGCTTGCCGCTCGTGCCGAATTTCGCCGTGGCCGCTGCACGTTGCCATCGCCAGTGCCTTTTTCCACCTCCTGCGCGCTCGCGATCGTAATCAAATCTTCCACACTCCCGCAACGATTTCATGCACCTCATTCGCCGCTTGACGCACTGGCCAGCGAGTCAGGGTCGCAGCCATGGCACACCAGCGCGTAATACGAGCGATGGCGCACCTCAATCCCCATATCGACGTGGAGCTCCGACAACCGCGCACTGTCCACAGCCCGGTGTCCGAAACCGCCGCGCCAAAAAAGTTGCTCGTTGGCCCTGATCCACGGATCGCTCCAAACGCTGCGCAGAGAAAGACGCTCGGAGCGACGAGCTCAATCCTTAGTCGTACTGCAGTCGGACCATCGCGCTTAATTCCATGTTGCTAAGTTATTTGTAGTGGAAAGCCTAGGTGTGCAGATCGAGAATCGCCTCTTCGTACGCAGCTGGAAAGTGGGCCGCAAACATATCGCCTCTCAGCTCCGGCAGGCTGAAGAACGCCAGCGGGCTCTGAACCGCATACAGCTGGCCTCCCTCGATCCATATACAACGCCCTGGTGGTACCAATGGCCCTCCCTGAGCAGCCTCGGACCTCAAAGTCGCAGAGTCGAGCTCCTGCCTCCTTGTCGCCAATGCATGCAATGGCGCCTGCTCTCTCTGCTGCGGTCCGACCCAGGGCGACGGCGGGATCCTCGCACCGCCACTGCTGCCGCCGTCGAGCCGCGCCTTGATCGCTGCGTACAGGTCGCTCTCCACCTCCCTGCGCAGCGACCATAGCTGCTCCTCGATCCGCTCCTTGCGGTGCAGCATCACGTCGTCCGGATCTTCTGCCTGCGAAATGGAACGCCAGTCCCAGTAGCTGCGCAAGATGTGTACCCGGGCATCCTCCTGTCCCTCGGACGATGCCATGGCGTGTCGCCGTCGCACGCGCGCCAGCGCTCCTAGAACGCGACGCAGCTCTCGGACCTGACCGTGCCCCACGCGTGGAATTACGTCGCTGCCCAGAACCACCGTCGTCACCAACGGCACCGAGCCCAGCGCCGCCCTCGATGCCAGGTCGGCCGTCATAGTGACGGGGCTCGCAAAGCTCACCGCTCGGATCGGCCTCCTCGCCGGCAGTCCCGACGACATGTTGGTCACCCACGTGCCCTGGTCGGGCTCGGCGCCGTCCGGGATAAAGTACTCGGCGAGCAACAGCGCAGCCGCACTCGCAATCGCACCGCCCAGCGAGTGTCCGCAGAACATGACGCCGAATCCGTCGTTCTCCGCCAGCGCCTGTCGAAGCGTGGCGAACAGCTTGCTTTGCGGCGAGACGAGCGCCTTGGCGGCACGCCAGATGCCCGCATGGCAGCGGAACTCCTCGCCCGGCGTGGGCTGCACCTGTGGCAGCTCGATCTCCTCGGTCTGCAGCTCCAGGTCGACAATGATGTCCGAGAACGACTGCGTGCCCCGCACTGCCACGCAGACCACCTTTCGCACGTAGTCGCGCACCACGTAGAACGTCGGGCTGTAGTCGGCGTCCGCGTCCAGCGTCTGAATGTCGGCGTGCAGCACATCATCGGCATTGAGCCGAGATAGATACGCAAACGTCTGGCGCGAAAAGCGCTCGCCAGAGGGTGTGAAGGTGGGCGGCAGATCCACAATATGCACGTGCAATCCGTACGCGGAGATCGCCAGCCGGCCACACCACTTGATCGTCCGCACCAGGTCGCGATTGGTCTCCTTGAACGGTCGCAAATCGCGCTGCACCGCGCCAGGGTGCGAAGCTCCAACCTGCGGCGACGTCATGAAGTCGTACGCACGGCCAAAGTAGCCGCTGCTTGCGTGATCCGGTCGTGCCGGATCCAGTCTGGGCGTCTTGGCGAACTCGAGGATGTCGTCTCCGCGATTCGTGACGATCATCTCTTCGTCGTCGTCGTCGCTGCTGTCGTCGGCTTCTCCGTCATCGTTCCGTATTTCTTCGTTCGTCTCGTCTGCGGTGTAGCTGTTGCGCTTCTCGGGCTGAGCCAGGGAGGAGAATTCCTTGAACGTTCCGTCAAGCTGACCCATGGTATCGACATCGTGCTGCGCCCATTCGTTACGCTTTCCGCCCAGCGCAGCCCTCGATGCTGCGCGGTGTGCGCCGATATCGAGCCGCTCAGAACCACGTGGCAGGTTGCTCCTCTTCTTGCCGTCGGTGCCGTCCTGACGGTCGCGGTTCACCGGCCTAGCCCATCCCTCTAGCTTTTGCAGACCGGCGCCCTCGGCAAGGTAGCGTTCGCGCGTCACGCTGTGCAAGCAGTACAGCTCGAGCAGACCGCGCAGCACCTGCCAGCGAGACAGACCCTTGGGCTTGCGATGCCCCTCTGCGTCTGTGGCCTTCTTGGAACCTTTCTCCTCGTGGTCCTCCATTGCGACTGTGGCCCACTCTACCTGGATAAAGCCGTACGCCTCGACGACGCACTGCGCCAGCACCGTGCGTCCCGCGAGGTTGTAGACCATCCAGCGCAGGAACCACAGAGTGAGCGAGACGCGTTCGTACGTCGAGTATGCCAGATCCACCAAATGCGCTGTCACGAACACGACCAATCCCACCGTATGCACCAGAACCGCAACCATGCCTCCATAGTCTGCTTCGACGTCGGCATCGCTGACCTTGTCCGCCGATGGTCGATTGCGCAGCCCGAGATCTCCGATCAGGAACCACAGCACAAAGGAGCGTTGGCGGCCGGCAGAGTCGACGTGGACAGTGTTCCGTCGCGACGGAGTCGGTCGCTGCGAGGGAGACTCCGTTTCGCATTCTTGCACGTTCTGCTCTTCGTTGTTGGTGCCATATGCTTGCTGCGTACCTGGTGTTTCGGCGAGGGCGTTGGCGGCATTGACCTGCGCGTTCAGTGAGTTGAAGGATTGAGCTTCGATGAGCATCGAAGACGGTGTCAGCCGGAGCGTGTCTACGCCATTGGCAACCTGGCTTGACTTTTTGGCTGCGGTTTCTTCCGTCAGAACGACCATCTTCTGCGTGCCATTCGCATCCGAGCTCGCTGGGTCGGCGATAGCTTGAGCCAGCGGCGATTTGGCGAGCCCGATTGCACGCAGACTGTGCGGGCTATCGTAGGTGAGCGAGCCCCGTCGCGATGCCGCCGAAGTCGGGAACGGAGACGGGATGATCTCGAGATGCGTAGGCACAAGTCTGGGCGTGCCTGGCGCAGTGCGCAGCGATGTGGTGCTCGTGTTGAGGCGAAGATGGATCATGGGTGAGGCAGTGCCGGCTGCTGCATCCTGGTACGGGGTCCATGGCGACGGCGGCAGACTGAGCATGGTCGGTCCGAGCTGCGGCGTGCGGGGCGCCGAGTGCAGACTGCGTGCCGAAAGGTAGTCGCCGCGCGGGTCGATGGCCAATGGCGTGAACGGCGACGGAGGCATGGAGAGCTGGACTGGCAACAGCCTCGGAGCGACCGGAAAGTCGCGGGCACTCGCTTTGCTGGATCCAGCGGAAGAAGGACGCAGAAGCGGTGACGAGATGGGCGGGAGGTCGGGCGACGCCAGCTCATCGTCTGGGATCTGAGCCGGGTCGAGGGGCTCGAACTCGAAGACCGTGTTGAGTTGACGGCCTGCTGCATCCACCGAATTGGTCCGCGATCCGCGCCGTGACAGCACGGCTCTACGTGCTGCTGGAGAAAGGAAAGGGCTTGCTGCTGCCACAGCCGGACTCTTGCGGAGGTCCCCGTCTGCTATTGTCGGAGTTGCGGCCAGAGACTCGGCTGTGTTGCCGTTCAGTGTGATGTCTGGTTCCGTGTCTCGAGCGTCTTTCGCTTGCGCATCACTTGTGGTGACTGAAGCTCTGACAAGAGGCGACTTGGCAGTTGTGTCGCCCGTCGTGCTCGCGATGGAGGCTGAACGCTGTGGGCGCAGCTGCGGCTCTGTGAAGCTGCGGAAAAACGTGGGCGGCTGCTGACGCGCGGTACCTCTCGAGCGCTTTGCTGAGGTATCGGCGGCGTGTGCTGCTTTGACGAAGTTGGCGAGCGCGGTCAGCGGGCCAACTTTGTGGGCAGGACGGTTGCGTGCCGCCAACCTTTCTGCCTGTTTGCGGGCCTTTTCCCTTTCCCGCATGCGCTTCACACCGAGCAGGCCTTCGAAGCTCGTAGCGTCGCTGCCGTGGTCGTCGAGCAAGGGAGGCGGTAGCAGCAATGCGCCCTCTTCGTAGCCATCACCCGGCTTGGAACGCCACGATGAGCCACCTTGCCACGCTCCCGGCATGGCGACGGGGCTGGGAGGTGCTTCGGGCAAGTCGGCGTCGTGATAGGCTGAGCCGATGCCAAACTCGGACTTGGAAGTTTGGTTGAGACGGGGTCTACGACCCGCCTTGAGCATGATGGTGCCTGGCAATCTGCCAAAGTCATTGCGTGAGAAGGGATCCGAGCTGGCCGGACCATCATTTGCGGTCCGCGGCTCGTGATCTTCATCCGCAGCTGGGCCCTGGGCAGCGGGTCGGCTGGGTCGGTAGGTCTCAGCATCGAGGAGCGTAGCGGAAGTCTCCTTACGGCGGACGTTGCCGACTTCAAAGGTGAGGCCGCCGCGTCGGCTGCGCACTTTGGAGAAGCCGCCGTGGCCGTGTTCGACGACGGCGCCTTGACGGGTGAGGACCTGATGCCACATGTGGGCTCTGCGCTCGGCGATTGTCGAGCCTTGCTTTGACGGCTGGGTCTTGGTCGCCGGGTCTTGGGGTAGCTGAAGGTGCAGGCCTGTCTTGCCCAACGAGCCTAGCGCATTGGCCCAGGACTGGATGCTGTGCTTTGAGGTAGGTGCGCGCGGGTCGTTGCCGGGCGTTGTAGCGCCGTGCTTCTGGTGGACACCTTCCTTGTCCTTGCGGGCAAAGGAGAGGGTGGCGACGCGACCGGAGCTGTCCTTGCGCAGCAAGAGAGCGCCGAGAGCCTCGATGGCACTTCCGTTGCTGGGACGCTTGCGTTGACTCTGGCGACGGTGCGGGCCATTGTGCTGATGTCCGAGAGCTGTCGGCCACGAGGACTGCGATGTGGACCGGATGGCATCGGCAGGCATGCCTTCCGGCGACCGAAGGATGTTCCAGTGTTCGGAAGCCTCGGGAGGATAGTACATCTCGGATCGGGAAAGAATGGCGGAGACGGTAACGTAGCGAGCAGGCGGGGCCTCTGCCGCCTCGAAGGATGTTTTACGGGCATTGTACTGGTGTGATTGGTGTTGATGCTTTGTCGCGTCGGATCGAGGCTTCGCGAAGGGACTTTGCGAGGCATTCTGGGCGTGAGAAGGTGGGGTTTTGGTTGCTGCGACTGGGGAGCCCTCCAAGCGGAACGATGATGAGACAGCGCTGAGGGCGGGCGACGGAGCTGCCGCGTTGAGACGCCGGGATTGCGAGTTGTCATCCTGCTGAAGGCTGGCAAGCCGGTCGGTTGAAGCTGATCTGCTGTTGGCAAAGCCCTCTGCGGGCGGAAGTGGCGACAGCTCGTCGAGGTCGAGATCGAGGAGGCCAGCAGGCGGAGACGATGCGCCTCGATTCGGCTCGTCCGAACCTTTGGCTGGATGGCCACCTACCGACGGCGACATTGTGTGCTAGCGGTAGTGAACGTGAAGAGGTGAAAGACCAAGGTCAGAGCGACACAGACGCAACATTGTCGCCTGGACAGGTGCGTGCGTGTCAAATGCACCGATGTGCTTGAAAGCGAGAGGCTATAAGTTGGCGTGGCTTGCCATGCTGATTGTGGCTGCGAGTGAAGGCAAGTGTGATGGAGAGCAAGATGAAGAGAAAGAGGTAGAGGCAATCAATGCCGAGCTCGAGCTTGAGCTTGCGTTTGGTGCACATGTACCGAACCCAAAAGCCAGGGTTCAAAGCGGTGCCGATCGAGGTCAGCTCCGCAGCCAGCAGCCAGCAGCGCCACGTTTGGAGTTTTCGCCTGCGGAATGCCAGCCTGACTGAGCGTAAAACCGGTTTTTGCCTCCACTTTTTTTTTGGCCAGCTTTTGCTGCCGAGCCCCGCCCGTCAGGCGCTCCATCCTCCTTTCTGGACCCCGGCGACCCTGATTCCACACTCATGCTTGCTTCTATCAAGTCCTGCGATGATGGTATGATGTTCTCCCGCATCTCGACCAAGTCAGAAGCCCGACTTCGCTGCGCGGACGGAAGAATCATGCAGCACAGCATGCACGGTGCCGCAAGGCTGCGTAATTCCACACCCAACGCGCCGCTTGGAGGCGGCAGGGAAATGAAGGAAAGTTGGATCTCGGGTTGCCCGACGCAGCGTGACTCTCGGCCACTTCGGTCAAGCCGATGCGCGCTCCCACAAACGCTCGCGATCGGACCCGGTTCCGGATCCCATCGGTTCACCGATCCACGTCAGAGCCCTTGACAGGCCGAAACGGTCTTGTGACTCTGCGACAACGGCCGGGTCGGATCGCTTCCGTAGCTGCGCTTTACTCATATTCGACGATCTGTGCCCACACCGGCTCACACTTCGGGCGCTTCGTGCGCAGTAAGACTATACGAATCCGATCCTATATTCCATGAAAGCGTCTCCTTCCTAAGTCACCAAGCCATCTGGATCTGCCGAGAGCGGGCTCAGTGGCCAGAGGGAGGTGCGGTGCGCGCCTCTCCCGTCTTCCAGTACGAGCCGTTGGGGAACGAGTAGTCCTCGATGGAGGTCTTGAGCATCTCGATGCTGTAGCCGCCCTGCGGGTCCATGGGCGTGTTGTAGCAGCCGGCGCCGTTGATGCTGACGGGGTAGATAAAGTGCTCGTGCAGGTGGTCCACCCACTCGAGCACGTTGCGCTCGTTGGTGGCGCTGATGCAGATGTAATCGATGAGGCTCAGGTGCACCACGTACTCGCACAGCCCCACTCCGCCGGCGTGCGGGCAGACGATCTTGCCAAACTTCTTGGCCATGAGCATGACGGCCAGAATCTCGTTGACGCCCGCCAGTCGGCACGAGTCGATCTGCACCACGTCGATGGCGTCCGCCTGCAGCAGCTGCTTGAAGGTCATGCGGTTGTGCGCGTGCTCGCCCGTGGCGACGCCGATGCCGAGATGCTTGATGCCGCGTCGGATGGCGGCGTGGCCGAGCACATCGTCCGGCGCTGTGGGCTCTTCGATGAACCACGGTCGCAGGTGCGCCAGCTTCTCCATGTAGTCGATCGCCTCTTGCACGTCCCACACCTGGTTGGCGTCGACCATGACGACGCAGCCCGTCGGGCCGGCATTCTTGCCCTCCAGGCTCGCTGCCGACGGTTCCGCACGGCCAGCAGGCATCTCCTTGGGATCGTCCACGATGGAACGCATGAGCGACAGGCGACGGATGTCATCCTCCACATCCGCACCGACCTTGAGCTTGAAGTGGTTGAAGCCCTGTTCGAGTGCCGACCTGGTGAGGCGGGCGACCTTGGCGTCGTCGTAGCCCGACCAGCCGGCCGAGGTGGTGTAGGCCTTGTAGCCATTGGCCACCATCTCGGCCTCGCGCGCCGCCTTGCCCTTGCTTGCGTCCTGGAGGATCTGGAGCGCCTCGGCAGGCGTGATGGCGTCGGTGATGTAGCGGAAGGGAATGCAACGCACGAGCTCTTCGGGCGACATGTCGACGATGAGCTTCCACAGCGGCTTGCTGCGCGAGCGAGCGTAGAGGTCCCAGATGGCGTTGATCACCGCCGCTGTGGCGAGGTGGATGACGCCCTTCTCGGGGCCGATCCAGCGCAGCTGCGGGTCCGACACCATCAGCTGCCACGTCTCGCCCATGTTGGCAAAGAGCGGCTCGATCTCGCGTCCGAGCAGCAGCTCCTCCACCACCGAGGCGATGGCCTGGCAGCAGATCTCGTTGCCCTTGCCGATGGTGAACGTCATGCCGAATCCACGCAGCGACGAGTCCTCCTTGACCGGCGCATTGATCGCCTCGCTCTCGCGGCCGCGGTACGACACGATCTCTGCAGAGTCCTTGGGGCTTGTGTACAGGATCAGGTATGCGGCCGAGTAGTCGCAGGCTAGCCAACGAAGTCACGAGCAAGGCACAAGCTCGTCAGCATTCAGATCGGCGTGCAAGGGTGGTACGGGGCAGGGAAAAGATGCACTTACTCTTGTTCATGGCGTCGGTGCCATCGCCCGTGAGCGAGGTGGGGAAGCGCACATCGTGGATCGAGTAGGACGAGACGATGAGCGGCGACGACTGCGTCATGTTGGGCTATTTGGCTTCCGAGGGAGGGAGGGGAGACAGCACAACTAGCAAGTTACTGGGAGAGGGACGAGCGTGCGCGAGGCGACGATTGCCGACTATATATCGCAGGCCGTCAGGGATGGGGAGAGGCTGGTGTGGGGGAGGAAATGCCGGTGATGCTCGGGCTGGACAGGTCTGGCCAACATTCCCGAACGCTTCCAGGAGACGGGGGGAAAGGGCGCTGCGGGTGGACCACGACCGCGTGCGGGGGCGCCAGGCACGGTCGAGAAGACCGGCATCTTTGCGAGGCCAAGCAGCCAACGGCCAAACTGCTGCTAGCATGGCCCGCTGTCTCGGAGCGCCAACCTGTCGGCGCCGAACCAACACCGTGCCGCGCCAGATGAATTTTCGCGGCGCTGCGGGGGACACTGGATGTGGAGAAAGCGCGGGGAATCGGAGTGGGGGACAGCAACGCCTCGTTCGAACCAGGATAGTTACGAGTGGGGGCCAAAGCCTATCCGACAGCGCAGCTCGGTCTTGCATCGCTTCCTCTTGGCTCACATTCGGTTGCAGACATGGAGAGCAACAGTGAGCTAACGATGCTCTGATGGTTAGCTTCTCTGAAGTGCTGGCAGCCGGGAACAACAAGTCAGGCGTGAGGGACGGGGGAAAAGCGTACGATTCGGCTTGCATCGGCGCAAGGCTGGTGACGGCGTAGAGAGAAATTGGCCGTGCTAGTTGCCATCACTCTTAAGAGGCTGGAACGTCGGAAGAGATGCGAGTGACATCAGGCGCGGTCCAGTCAAAGTCGGTCAAAGTTGGCGGTTGCGCAAGCTTCCATGCGAGCCAAACGTTGCGGCGAGTGTCCGCAAGGCTGGCTCCGGCGGTCGCGCCCGAATTTCGCCTCGCCGGCGCCAAAAAAACGGAGCTTGCACATCGCGCTCTTCGCCGAGGAATTTTCGGTGCTGCCAGGCTCGAAGCTTTGTGGACGTGGGGGGGTTCCAACGGTGCGGGCGCGGGGCAAGCAGACGACGCCGTTCAGATCTCCGCTCTCCGCACCGTTGCAACTCGCTCAACGTGGGGCCACGCCATCGGGCACACTTCACAGCCCTTGCCTGCCCGATGGCCTCGCATGCTCCGCTCACTCATGATGCAGTCGATTTGGATGCTATTGCGGCAGCGAGTTACAAGAACTGCGAGAGCCACTCCCACATATCGTCCACTTCAACGTGCGGCTCCATGTCGAACAAGTGGTCCGCGCCCTCGACGGCAATCACACGGAGCGAGCCTGGCTGCGTGTAGCCAGCACGCTCGAGTGCCTGGACAACATGCAGCGACTGCGAATGCGGTACCTTGGGATCCGAGTCTCCGTACGCGATGAGCACGGGCGGGCCTGGTGTCTTGACCTTCTTCTCGATCAAGCTCGGCGTGCATACCTCGCTGGCTTCCTCGGGGCTCTGCAGGATGAGGCTGGCGTACGAGCCCTCCTGGCGCGCAAAGTTGTACAGCGCCGCGCGCACCGGGTTGGCCGCAGGCGGAGCGTCCGTCCTCACCTTCACCCCGCTCGCGTCCACCACACCGTGACTCGCATCGAGACACTTTGTGAGATGGCCCTCGGCCTTGAGAGGGGATTCTTCGATGAGCTTGCCGTCGGCTGCCCAGGGCAGCGGGCGCAGAGGCTCGTAGAAGAACGGCGCCAGCTCGGGCGTCACGGTGGTGATGGCATAGATGGCGAAGACTGCCGCAGGTGGGCGCGGGATGCGGGTGGCATGTTGGTGCAGCGAGAGGCCGAGGAGGAGAGCAGGCCAGCCACCGGCACTGCTGCCGCCAAGAATGTAGCGCTCGCTCGAGATGCGCGCCGAGTCGCAGCCCGACGCGGCGCGCGAGGCCGGGTCGAGCGTCCAGACGATGCAGTCGGAGACATCCTCGAGCACCTCGCGAATCGACACCTGCGGACACAGACGAAAGTCGGGCGCGATCAGCGCAAGCCCGTGGCGCGAGAGCGCACGCAGCAGGTGCGGCGGAACGAACTTGCGCGTGCCCTGCAGAAAGCCGCCGGTGTGCACCCAGATGAGCGGCGTGAGCGGTGCGCTCGACGTGGATTCGGGGAGGTAGACGTCGACTGGGATGGGGGTCGTGGAGCCGTCCGTGTTGACGAACGTCTTGTACGTGTACGTCTGAGGTGTTGGTTGCGACATGGTGCTCGGTCGAAGATGGCTGATGCTAAACGCACAGAGAAGCGCGGTGTTGGAAGTGGTCTTCATATAGGGCTCGGCCCGTGCTCCACCTTGGGTGCTTGTGCCGAAGCATCCACGGAATAGCCGGGCGGTCTCCGCGGCTTGCTCTCCGAGCGGTCATCAGAAATTACGGTCTAACATTTGCCCGATTTGAAAATGGCCGATCGACAGGTGCGGCTCGAGCATGCGTGTGTGCTCGGCGAAACATCACGCACGCATCACAGGGTTTGTCAACACCTTTCGGTCGTGCCGAAACAGAACAACGAACAGCAAAGCAGGCAACCCTCCGCACTAGTCGAGCCGTTGAAATCAAAGCTGAGAGGTTCCTCCTAGGCTGGTATCAAAGTGCCAAGCCCAGTGAGAACCCACGGTGAATCGTGGCGTGGTCCAGAGGCGTGGGTGGGAATTCTGTTCGGATGCCGAGGAGGCAGGAGAGCGCGACCTGCAGCCACGGAGCGCCCCTTTTCGTGTTTTTCTTTTCGGACGAGCCGCTGCTTCGGATGCGAGGCCGTTGCAGCACCCTCGCAGCTCGCAAGAGCCCCCCTGCTGCGCCGCGCCCACACAAGCACCGTCAGCGCATGATTTCCACGCCGCCCCGACGCTACCACTTTCCACTTCATTTCCTCCATCTACCACCTCAAGCCCCAGCACTTCAGCTTTCTCCCTCCCCCCCCTTTTCCCCCTTCCCCCTTTCCTACGATCCATATCTGCCTGTCCGATAACGAACGCCTCGAAACACTGCTCTTCAGCATCCCACACTCCTTTTTCGATCCCATCCTCTGCCTCGACAATCTGCTTCGTCTCACCCTCGACCTGCCTTGAGCATCCAGCACGCCTTCAACCGCACCTGTCCGCCCGCTGCTTTCGTCAATCGACAGCAAGCCTAGTCATAATCACTAGCATCGTCACGTCGCCTCTCCTTGCGAAACTTCTACGCGACCGACCAGAACCATTTCGCCAACATAGTCATGCGTGTCTCGACTGCGCTCCTATCGTTAGCGGCGCTACCGGGGCTGGCACGCGCTGCCTTCCACTCCAACGACACCGCCTGCACACGCCACTACACTGTCGAGGCTGGCGACACATGCGACAGGATCGGTCAAAAGACGCTCACATCCACCTACCAGATCCTTGCGTTCAACCTGCTCAACGCCGGCGCTGACTGCTACACGCTCGAGATCGGCTCCCAACTCTGCCTCGGCCGCTACGGAAACGACTGCCAGTTCGTTCACAGATGCTCCAACTCCGACACGTGCGAGAGCATCGCGAACGACTACGGCATCTCGACGCACCGTCTGCAGGACAACAACCCCAGCCTCGACTGCAACATTGTCTACGAGGGCCTCATGCTCTGCGTCAGTGCCGGAAGCATCCGCCCGCCCGCCGACCACAGCATCAACTCGACCGATGTCAAGGTCGCGCGCGAAGTGGCGAGACAAGCCTGGATCGTCCAAGAGCAGCAGAAGCACAATGCAAAACAGGCCGAGCACAAGTCCGCATCCGCCCATTCGGCATCCAAGAAGAGCCCTTCGCAGTCCAAGCAGCGTGGCAAGCAGCATCACAAGCAGGCCGATGCCAAGCAGCATGGCAAGCAGCATCACGAACAAGTCGATGCCAAGCACCGCCACCATCAGCATCACAAGGGCGACAAGCCAAAACAAGCGCCGGACGCGCGTCAGCACGCCGCCAAGCCAGCGCCCCACGATTCCAAGCGCGGAGACCAGGCGCACGCTTCCGCGGCGCAAGATGACGAACATCACGGCACGCACGATGGCAAGTCAACACCACGGGCCGCCTCGATGGACGCGCTCGAAGAGATCGCCGAAGACTTCACGGCAGCCGCTCTGGCCGGCTCGAATCATACCCCGCACAGCACCGAGCACCACACTCTGCCGCCACTGGATGGCGCCACCCACTCGGCGCACAAACGCCATCGCTCGCTCTCTTCCCGCTCTCACCACCAGAGCACACATACCCACTGACGTAGCTGCTCCGTTGCTTCTGTTTTCGAATCGTCATTCCTCGTGCGCGTTGTGCAAGGCGCGGTGTGTAGCAATCTAAGTCTTGCCCGGGATGGCAAGTTGTTCGTTGCACGGTCGAGTGTGTGCAGTTGAGGGTTAGAGCTGAGTGGATGTGGGTTGGCAGTGGACGAGGTTGAGGATGCGTGTGCTGGCGGATTGGAATTCGGCGAGAGGTTGGGAAGCAGGTGGTGGGTTGGGGAGATGGACTGGTGCTGAGGCGGGGGTGGTTGGGATGGAGGCGTTGGAGTTGGTGACGAGGTGGTCTGCGTCGTCGAGGATGTTGCGGACCTGGGTGGGGAGCCAGATGCGTCGTTGTTTGGCCATGTTGGGATCTGCAGGTGCCACAATGTCGATTTCCAGCAGTTCTTCACGGCTGCTTGCGGGTACGACAGCATTGGAGGTTGGCTGCAGGAAGATTTGGGACACGCTTCGTTGGGTTGAATCCTTGTCGGTGCACAAGTCGAACATGCAGTCGGGTTTGCGCACTGCTCCTTGTGGCGAATCCTGGCTGGCTCCACAACGCGACGAGATGGCGACGATACGAAGTTCCTCGACGTGCGACCGAAGACGTTCCCACGAAGTCCGATCGAGTCCACGCACGGTGGAGCTCGTACCGTCCACGAGGAAGTTGGGCTCGAACAGCGCATACACCAACTCGGCACTCGTAGCCCCATCCGCCTCGCTGGATGAGGTGCAGACGTGCACAAGCACACACGTCTCGAATGACGGAACCAATTGCGCTAGTGTATGCATCGAAGGCCGTGATAGAAGCGCCGCTGATGCCGCAGAGCGTCTTCGCCGTAACGTGCGCTCACCTCCACCATCCCCACTCGTCACGGCGCTAGGTTGCTCCGACGCTGCTGACATGACTTGGGTCCGATCACTTGTGCCTGTACTGTGCGGAGCGGTGAAGATGTTGATGCTTGCGATGGTGGTGGTAGTACAGAGTGCGGAATCGGATGCGCGTGGCATGTGCGCACACACTCGGTGGGGACAAAGGGAAGTGGGGGTGTGCAACCCTTGCGCCACTGTTGCGACCTCCACGGCTCGACCATGCGATAATGTAGCGCTGCGTTTGACGACAATGCACGGATGGGCAACAAAGTCAAGTGCAGGCAGCAAGGGCCCTTCGGCACCAGCTGAGCTCCATCATGGCGCTGTTGCGTCGCATTCACGCTGGATGGCACCGCAATGGCCGCGACCATGCATGCTTGCAGTGGCTTGAAATTCGGGTGGGCTTTGTATGCAGCTGCCTGCGTTGTCCGCCGCACGTACTTCTTCAAGCCGCGAGAGGTCCATGCGCGCTTCTTGCCATGCCGCGACAGCATTGCGCAGCCGAAGATTCAGAGCATGTACCGACGTCTTATCCAGCTTCACGGATCGCTAGTGCCCTCGGAAGAGGATTGCCGAAGAGGAACGAGCGCTCGCAAGCGTGATTCGGGCACCGAAGTGCATATGCGAGCTCCTCCCACGCATCCAGACGAGGCAGCACACCGAGTCGCCATGAGCAACTCTCAAGCGGGCGCGACGAGGCTTTGCAATCACTTCTTGCCTGCCGACGCTTGAGCAGCTTCGGCCTCTTCGCTCTCGAGCAGAGCCTTGATCTTTCGCGTATCGCTTTCGATATGCAGGCTTTCCATGATGTAGTCGAGCCCAGTGCCCGGCTCGTGCTCGCCCTCCATGATGGAGTCGATGCCGTTCAGACTGAGGTTGACGCGGTGGTCGGTAACGCGGTCCTGCGGGAAGTTGTAGGTGCGGACGCGATCGCTTCGGTCCATGCTGGCCACCTGAGCGAGTCGACGCTCGCGGTTCCCCTCGACCTCCTGCTTGAGTCTGCGGTCGAGAAGCCTTGCTCTCAGGACCGCCCATGCCTTGGTGCGATTCTGATGCTGCGAGCGGCTATCCTGCATGGAGACGGTGATGCCGGTGGGCTCGTGTGTGAGTCGGATGGCCGACTCGGTCTTGTTGACGTGCTGACCACCTGCGCCGCGCGATCGCATCACCTCGACCTTGACATCTTTGGGATCGACCAAGTCGTCCGCCTTGTTCTCGGAGCCCTCCGAGATGGGCAGTACCATCACAGCGATCGTCGACGTCTGCAGCTTCCCCAAGCTCTGTGTGGCCGGAATGCGCTGCACTCGATGCACGCCTGCTTCGAACTTGAGCTTCTGGAACGCCCCCCTGCCCTTGACTTCGATGATGGCCTCCTTGAGCCCGGCACCCGAGCCTGAAGAGGAGGTGGATACGTCGACGCTCGTGCTCGATAGCATCTCCACCTGCCACTCGCCTGATCCGTCCTCGTCGGCGGGCTTTTGCTCGCAGAATCTCTCGTACATGCGCGCCACCTCGGCGGTGAAGAGAGTCGACTCCTGGCCACCCACGCCAGGCCTGACTTCAAGCACGGCGCCCACAGCTTGAGCTTCTATCGCGTCGGTAATGGACGAGAGTACGAGCTCTTCCATCTGTGTTCGAGCTTCGGCGAGCTCCTCTTCGATCAGGGGAAGCTCTTCCGTGGCAAGGGCGCGCATGTCCTCGTCCGGGTCGCTCTGGCTCATGGCCAAGGTGCTGAGCAGCTGCTTTCGCTTGGTCGAAAAGGCCTCCCACACCTGACGAAGGCCGTCGAGTTCCTTAAGCTGCTTTCCTACGTCGGCGCTGTCGAGTTCCTCGGAGGACTTGAGAAGCCGCTCGCGCTTCTCCATCCTGAGCCTCGCCAACCGCACGACTGGATCCTTGTCGATCTCCAGGGAGGGTTCTTGCGGGGTCGACGAGCCGCTTGTCTTCGTCGCATATGAGCATGTTGTACCAAGAAGCTTCAGCGCTCCTGTTGTCCGTGATCTGACTGCGCCACTCAAATTCGATATCGAGGAGGATGGTGCGTGCAAGGTTGTGGTCGAGTATGGAGAGCAGCTGAGAGGGGCCCAACGCAGGCTTTGGCGAGAAGGCCGCGATTTTCGGGCCAAGGGCCGCGCTATTGAGCTGCAGGCATGGCTCGTGATTCGAAGCACCATGATGTTGGAGTGATCACCGTGGCGCTGGCTGATGAAGTCGAGAGTTGCCGGGACGGGAAGTCAGGAAAGGTGTCCCGGAAGCTTTTGAGAAGAAAGCTTTCGGATCGGAAGTCGGGACCCTTATGCGAAGCGGCTGGGGTGGAAAAAAAAGGAAAGCGCAGGGCATTTGTAGCTCTAACATGAGCGAATTTCGCGCAGATGGTGCCATGACTGCGAAGGTACTCGCCATCTCAGATAACGCCGACTGTGACAAAAAGCGACCACCATGGTTATGCGTCGATAGCGTGCTCCGCTCCGTCTCGAGAGGCATGTCTGCCGTTGTCCAGTGCACGCTGCGTTGTCGCCCACGGTGCTCGGTGTGGAGTACCGCCGATGTCGTGTGTTGGCTACCTCAGACTTGGTGTGACCGGCACGGTGCCCGTCCTCCCCCTCTAAGACTCTGGACAGCGCCATCAGGCCCGCTCGCGTCCCCTGTTGCTTCGACGCTACTGCAGCGCCGCCGGATCGATGTGTCGCTCGACTGAGATGATTCGGTTGCGACTTTGGCCTCTTTTATAAGTCGTCCTTGCTCCTTCTTGTCTACCAGCATGTCCCTACTCTCATAACAATCTTTCCTTCATCGAGTACCACGCCCCGCTACTATCTATACAATGACTCCCAAGCGACAGTCAAGTAAGGCATCATCCTCGGAACCGATGGCTCAGATGTCAGCTGGTCCGGCCGAGGAGCAGCCTGCACTGAACAAAGATGGCAGCCGACGCAAATCGCGGGTGCTGCGACGCAAGACCGACCATTCGGTGATTGAGAGGCGCAGGAGAGAAAAGATCAACGAGAAGCTAGTGGCTCTGCAGAATCTTGTGCCTGCGTGTCGCAAAGAGTGCAGGGATCTGATCGAGCGCAAGTTTGCCGAAGCAGCCACCTCCGCTCCATCGGCGAAGCGCAAGCGAGAGGAAGAGAAGCTGGCAAAGGCGCAGATCGAGATGCAGGAGAAGATCAAGACAAGCATGGTTCTCGAGAAGCTCTGCATCATCAGCCACACGCTTGACTTTGTCAACCAGCTCCAAGAAGAGAACGAGGCGCTGAGGGCTCTGTGCGAATGCCAAGCCCAGACCAAGAGACGCTTCTCCATGACCAGCGACGTCGAGATGGACGAGCACTATCGCGATGCCCACAACCTCGAGGCTCCCACCGCTACCATCTCGAACGGGAAGTATCAGGATGGCAGAGCTGCGGATGATCAGAAACGGGAGTGTCTCTCGTCCCCGGAGCCGGATCTGTTGCCAGAGACAGCAAGCCGAAACGTCCGACGACGACTGCATTGGGGCAGCGATCGTGTTCGTGAGAGCTGCAGCCTCACCGAAGGTGTCTGCCGCCACCACGTGGATCAGGACGTCAGCCACGCCGACGACGTCTCGAGCCAACGATGTGCGTCAACCTCGTCGCAGTGTGGCTCTACCTCTCCGCCCGCAGCAAGCTGCAAGGCCTTGACACTTTCGCCGCCTGGGAGGGAAGGAAGGTGCGGCAGTGTTTCTGGGTGTCGTCCATCTGTATGTGGCGATTCTAGCTGCCGGTCATCCCTCTGGACCAAAGACTCGTGTTGCCGAGAAGAAGAGGCGCTATCCTCGTCTGCTTCCGACGAGCCTGCGTCGCCGCCACCCGCTGTGGCCAGCTGGCGTGAGCCTGGCTCGACATACCGTCAGGCACTTCCGAACAGACACCTTCTCCCTTCCATACTGCATCTGGGTCTACCCAATTGCGATCCCTACCATCCGGTAGTAGGGAACAAGCATGCCTACTCGATGCATAGCAAGTATCCGAGTCATCAGCGAGACCTCGCCTCTTCTCGCGCCTTTCGCCCACTCTCGCTGTATACATCTCAGCCCAGCCGTCCTCTCAGCTCTAGTATAAAGCCTCAGTAGTCTAACAATCTCAGCTTTCGTTACGTTGTAGACCGTGCTTGCACATGCAAAGGCCCGAACGTCGAGCATGCGGAAAGTTAGTGTGGGGTAAAATTAGGCTACAAACTATGTATGTGCATGCGGGTGTCGAGCAGACATACAAGAGCAGCTTTCGTATAGTGGTTATTACGGCTCGTTGTGGCTTTTCGAAAGAAACTTCACTTGAGTTGTCTGGCTTAGCGCCGAGCAAACGGATGTTCGATTCCTCCAGGTTGCATTTCTTTTTGACTTTTTTGGTCTATCGCTGCTCCGTGAGGTGAGCGGGAGGCCTTGCTTTTTTTAAGGCCCACTCTTCATGTCTTTTTCGGGAGGCTCTGTGGGGAGACACGGGTAAGGATGTACTTAGTACTCGAGTCGACCCGGCTGCTATCGACCCGGCTGCTAGGGCGGCTGAGCCTGAATGGCTTGGGCCTTCGGGATGTTGTGCGGACAACCAGGGCAAGGACCAAACTCCACGCGCGGATGATGTGCGGCCTAACACGATGAAAAGAAATTCGACCCTGTTGGCGCTCTTCCGAGGCCCGGCTGACGGATTAGGAGCGTGGCGGGGAGGCGGGCTGGGGCTGTTGCTGCGCTGAGGCTGCTGATGCAGGGCCGAGGTGGGATGGGTCGCCCCTCGCGCTCGAGTGTGGGCGAGTGAGTGAGTGAGTGAGTGTCAGTGCGTGGCCTCCGCTCCGCATCGCCAATCCACAGGCAACCCCAAGCTTGATGGAGCTGCCATCGAAGCGCACATCTACCTTCCCACCGCAACCGGCTTTCCTTTGAGCCGCAGGTCCTGCATCCATCCCGTTGCCCCCTCTTCCGCTTCGATTTCCCTGCTGCTCTTGCGCCCTCGTTCGGCTTGGCTCGTCACACCGTCACAGCGCACGTCGTCACATCGTTGTCTCGCGAATCACGATCAAGCTCGGCAACATCCGCCTACTTTCTTGACAAGGATCGTCCCCGCTCGAGGTCCGCCAAATCAAAAGCATTGCCATCATCCGGCCATTCGTGCGCATCGATAGCATTCTCGACCTCGTCCAGCCTCCGTCATTCGCACTCGTCCACCATTGCAGTCGTTCGCATCTCCACAGCTTTCTGCGCCGCAGCCATTGCATCCAGCCGGCACAGGCAATCGTCATCGCCATCCGCAACCACGCTCCGATCACACCTTGCTATGCATCTCTCACACTCGTAGTCAGCCGTCGCACCTCGCGTCACACCATCTGCGACCATCTGCCGTCTAGGGCTGTCTCCTTCTTGCGACATCCAGCCCTTCTCGTTCCCTATCACCATCTTGGTCCGAGCTTCATGACACGCGCCGACATGCCATCCGCACGGCCCTCTCCGCCCCTCCGGCATCGACCGTCGAGGCGACGTGGCGCGATCTCGACTCTGTGCACCCTTGCGACGTGCGCATCCGTCGTACTAGCCAGCTCTCTAATCACCCCCTCGCTTGCAGCCTCCGACGCCCTTGCAGCACAGTCGATAGCGCCAAGAGATGCCCTGGATTCAAGTCGCAGCGACGGCGCCTCGGTCCGCGTGCGCGCAAGCGGATCATTAGACGACAAGTCCGGTGCACGATCCTCCGCCGCCACATCGGATCCACTCAACCGTCGCGAGCACATCACCTTCCAGTATTCCGACCAGCCAAATCGACTGCACAACGACCATACGCGCCTCGACACCGACCCGCAAGTGTTGCCAGATGGACCGTACCACGCAGCCTCATCGTCGGACGAAGACACTTCGTCGCCGCCGTATCCGGATCCTCACTCATTCCGCCTCTCCGCGAAAGGATCTGCGTACGAAGCGCGACCATCTTCGCCACGCTCCAACCTCTACAATGGCGACCTCGTCGGCAAGCAGACCGGCAGCGGCTACGTCTTTGTCCGTCGCACCGATCCGGGCACCGCCCTCGCCACGCTCTTCTCTCGCCGCGACGCCCCCGTCAGCCGCCCGCCGCTCGTGCCCAACTCCAATTCGAGGCTGCTCATCGGTCTCGTCATTGTCTGCATTCTCGCCGTCGGCGTCCTCACCCTCGCAGCGCAGGAGATGTACCGAAGGCTGCAGACCATCGGTCAGCCACGCTCGCCCCTGCGCAGAAGGTCGGGCGAAGGCAGGCCCGCACGCACTCTCTACCGCAGCGACTCGAGCTACACGTCCATCCCCACCCATCTCGCCGCGCCGTCACTCGAAGAAGAGGAGGAGCGCATCGTCACCCCGCCCGCCCTCTCGCGTCGCAGCAGTGCCGCAGCCTCGTCACTCGCCTCCTCGCCTCACAACGAGCTCAACGATGACTCGGACGAAGATGACCTGGAGCGCAAAGCTCCTCCGGACCTGCATTACCTTCAGCTGCCGTTTGGCATTGGTATTGGGTACAGCTACGCCAGCATCGCCGATGGCGGCGACGCCAGGACACGGCTCTCGACACTAGCAGCCAAACGCGCGCGGCGGCAGGAGCATGCACGCTCTGGCTCGGCACTGGCGCTGTCTACAGGTGCCTTGCCCGTGCCTGGAACCGGCCTGAGATCTCGTACGCGCTCGTTCAAGGACTTGTGTCGCGATGCGCTCAGCGGCGCCACGACGCGCGGCATCAGCGTCATCTCGGAGGAAGTCGCAGACAGCGACATGTCGTCCGTCTCGACGCCCCGGTGGGGGTCCGGTCCCGTCTCGCTCGATCTCTCTTCGTCAGAGAGTCGCAGTGGCACCGTGACGCCTACAGGTCCCAACGGCACAAGCAGCGGCGTCGGAGCAGCCGTGTCCGGCATCGCGCTCGAGGACTTTGCGCCGCACAAGACGGCTCCCGCGGCCAAAGGACGCTACTTCGGAACCGACGCCTCCTCCTCCACCTCCTCTTCCTTGGGCCACACTCTGATCGACCTCGGCACCGGTCCGCCCGAGCTGGCGATATCGGATCCCGAGGGGATCACGCGGCCAGCATCCACGCCCGGCGTCATGCCGTCGCAGGTGGCACGCCATCCGCAGGTGGAGCAGCTGCGTCGCGAGGGCCGCGCCGAGACGGGCAAGCGCGTCGGCAAGGGCACACCCACCAACGCCAAGCTGTTATAGAGCGGCGGCTCACGTTTGCAATGCCAATTCATCACGACAAGGATTGCAACGTCTTTTGGTTTCATTGGATTGTACATGCTTTGGCATCCGACTCTTCGCCGTATTCTTTGACGGTGATGGTGCCGTTGTGGCTGGTGAGGGTGCACGAGTCCGCGCGGTTGCCCGAGGCCGTGCTGGGTGCGATCTTGGCTGTACCGATGTGCTTGTGCCGAGGACCCTCGAGTCGGAAACGTTGCTGGACGGCATGTGACAGTTTGAGCGAGCCTCGTTCGGACGACCACGTGAGGTTGCCGGAGAAGGAGGTTGGGAGGAGGATGGTGATGTTGCCACTGCTGGTTTTGGCGACGATGTGCAACGGTCGCGAGCCCGAGTACTCGGGTATACCCAGCGATATCAAACCCACACCTCCGGTCTTGGCGCTCACCAGCACCGGCTGACCAGCCGAGGGTGAAGATGGCGAGTGCGATTCGTGCGCAATGTGCACAGTGGCATTGATGGGACTTGCCTTGGTCTTGAGCACACACGACGCCGCAGTGGCCGCTTCGTCTTGTGCTTCCGGTCGATCGTAGATCGGTGGCAATGCTTCAGGTGCCGATGGTCCAATGGCAACTGTCTTCTTGATCGACGCATTCCAGTCGATACGAATGTGTCGATGAGCCTTGATCGTTCCGCCATCGGTTGGCTTCCACAGATCCTCCCGCGGCTCCCCGAATGCATCTTCTCCGCTCATATTGCCGTTCTGTATGTGTCCTCCTGTCTAGAACACCCAGTTCTACGTCTGCGATCGTGGTCGTGGTTGATGCAGAGCCTGCGAGTAAGCCCGACTCGGCGATTACGGTTGTCAGAATCCGAGCCAAGTTTCTTCCTCCACATGACCGCCATGCCGAGACCCTCTTTTTGCCCGCCCTGAGAGCTCTAAAAATCATGACTGACCCGACGCCACGACGGAAAATTCGCTTGGTGACTAGCCCCCTTAGCGAGCCCAGGCCCGGCATGCATCTTCCGAACCCGACACACCGCCAGCTGAGTCTTGTGGTTGTCACTGAATCACACCACCAACCGAGTTCCGAACCGTTCAGACTTCGTTGGGAGACTACCGAATGAGCGCCACAAAGTGTCCTTCCCGCGCCTGCACAGGCACATCGTTGAATGCAGCAACACCGCAGGTGCACATGTGCAATTTGTGCACTGCCGTCGGCCAAGTCCGCGGGCCCGCTTCGGAGCATCCTCGTCGCGCATCACGTCCGCGCCCCACAAGCGGGTTTCTTGTCCAGACGTAACATCGTCAAGCCGGGCTTTTTCCTCGCCTTCCACCTGCAATCGCATAAGGTCGGGCGAAGCTGTGGAGCGAACACTGGCCATCCTCAGTCAAGCAGTGCACACACGATGGAGAGAGAAAAGATGATCAAGTGGGTATATTGACAAAGATCTTGTCGGTTTTGAAGGCAGAGGTAGAAATACAGAGAGACTCCATCAAGGACGGTCGGGAGCGACGAGCGACGAGCGTGACTAAAAAAAAATACAAGGGGTCCGTGACTGGAAAACGAGCGTGGTAAGGCGAATGACGCCGTGTGGGGATGTGGCTGCGGAAACGACAGTGTGGGGAAAAGAGTGGTGTGCCAAAGGCCCGATACAAAGGGCCGGCCAGCCGACTCGGAGCAGGAGAGAGTGGAGAGAAAGCAGGAAGGAAGCGATGCTACAAAAGCTGGAAAGCAGACGACGATGACTGGGAAAGATGCGTGGGAACGGCTGCGAGAGAGGAGCCAAAAAAAAAAAAAAAGGTTCTAGTGGTTAGGCGACCCATTCTGGTGCCGCGGGGTTGGTGGAGGCGCTTGCGAACATGTCCGAAGGCATGGCCGAGGTGAGCGTCAGGGAAGCCATGCTGCCCATCTCGGCGGCGCCGGCGCTGGCGAGCAGCGAGGCGTCGGGCATCTCGAGACCAGCCATGTTGCCAAAAGGATCCTGGAGCTTGCCATCCATCGAGGGTCCGTTGATCAGGCCCAGGTCGTTGCCAGCCATGATCTCGAGCGAGTTGGAAGCCATCATGGGCGTCGAGACGACGCTGAGGCCATCCGCACCCATGACACCGGGAGCGGAGAAGTCGATCAGGTTGTACGGCATGGGCTCGAGCGACTGCAGGAAGTTGGCGCACTTCATCTGCTGCTCGTGCGGCGAGAGCGAGGTGCGAGGAACCATGGGAGGGCCGAGGCAGTTGACGTCGAATGTGTCCGAGATGGGCGTGGTGGGAGGCATGCTCATCGGTGTGCCGAGGTCCTGGCTCATGGGGAACGGCGAGCGGATGGAGCGCGTCGAGGTGAGCAACGGCGTCGAGGCCGCCGACGAGATACCCGAAGCCGAGACGGGAAGGCCTTCGGACAACGACGAGACCATGGGGCTGTAGTAGACCGACTCGGTGCTCATCGCCGAAGATGGCGTCCACTGCTCGTGCGATGGTGGCGAGTAGAAGACATCGTGCTCCTGCACCGGCGTCGAGTTGATGGCCAGGCTGGGGCTGATGACCCTGCGCATCGGTGTGGAGGTGAGCAGCATAGGGCGAGTGGGCGTGGTGACCATGGGGGTGGTGTGACACGAGGTCGAGTTGCAGCCGGGGCCCGAGACACGCGAGGGGGTCATGGGGAAGTCGCCCCAAGCCCACACGCCGTGTGGGCTGGTGGGTGGCAGGTAGTTGAGGCTGTCCATCATGGGAGCACCGGTGATGGCATCGTAGGCGGCGGGAACACCAAAGCCGGGCGTCAAGGGCATGCGAGGGTGGCTGTGGAAGGTGAGCGAGTGGAACGAGCCGTTGGCGAAGAAGCGGTTGGGCACCGGCTCATCGTTCTGGTCGCAGTCGTAGACGCAAGGACCACAAGGCACGGCCGAAGGGTGACCAGCAGCCTCGGCCGACGCCTGCGATCGTGCGCACGTCGAGCAGCGAGGTCGGGCAGCGTCGCAACGAAGCTGGCGACGGATAACGACGCGTCAACAAAAAAAAAATTGAACAAGCAGGGCAAGTCAGACACCTGGGCCGAGAGCAACATCGAAAGAATCTACCGAGCCGGCAACTTACCTTGCGACGACGGCAGGTGGCGCAAGCCATCTTTCGCTTCAGGATGGGACCCTTGGACTCCTTCCTTGCCTTGGCGCCATCCTTCAAGGACTTGGCCTTGGCGGCGAGCTCAACGTCCAGCTTCTTGCTCTCTGCAGAGCGGCAAAGCTTGTGCGTGGGGCTCTCGAGGCTAGGTCGGACGGGCGACGAGGTGTTGGTGCTGATGGGGGTCAACATGATGTCGAGATGGGTGATTGGATGGGCGTTTGCAAGCGTGCAAGACGATAGATTGTGGAGCTGGCAGGAGGGGGCAGCTGGATGCGAGATACAGACGCAGAGGACGATGTTGCACTAGACAGACTGGGCGGCGGCAAACGACGAGGGAGACAGACAATGATCGAGGAGGGCGAAAGCAGATACAAGCAGGGCGACGATGGCGAACGGTGCGTCCAAAGAGATATGATGGGAGTAAAGGCTTGCAAGCTAGCGGGGGGGGGAAGAGGGGTAAGGAAGGTAGAGGCAGAGTGGAAATGTTAACGATGGGAATGATGGGGGATGCAGACCATCACCGAGCGATCCGAGGGGGGAGCTTTTAAGTAAAACGCGCGGACTGGGAGATGGGAGGAGGAGGTATGGCGGAGACAGGTCCGAGGTGCTTGAAGCGGACTGAGAAACTGAGTCAGTGTCGGCTAGTGACGGTGGTAGGCGCACGACGAGAGTGTGAGCATGAGGCTCGATAGCCGGCCGCTCGGTGAAGGAGCATAGGCAGGCCTGGCAGCGGCGGATTGGAGGCAGAGATGGGCAAGCGTGCTGGGGCATGAAGGGGCAGACCAGCTCGGATCGAGTTTGACAGCAGCCACAAAGACGCAGAGCGCAGAAGCGAGCACAGTCTGACAGGGCAGACAATTCATTGGTGCGGACATTGCGAGGTTGCAGCGAGCCCAAGTGTGCCACAGGGGCGAGCTGCTGAGGGAGGATGCAAGTCGAGCTCGAGGGCAGGAGAAAGGCACAAGGCAGCCGTCGGAGCTGAAGTTAGGCACCAGGGCAAGCGAGGCAGCTCGGCATGATGGACGCGATAGCAAGGGTAGAGGCGGGGAAGAGAGACGCCGGACACGAACCAGAGGGAGACCGGAAGATGTGGGTGTGCTTCATCGATGGGAGCTCTCGCTGCAGTGGCAAAGGCTGGGTGGATGGTTGGATGAGGCGGATCCAGATGCACCACCGGACGGATGGTTTGAATCGAAAACTGCAGGCCATCACACGCACCAAATTACTGCAGCTCGACCGAGGCAGGTGCTAGTTTAGGCAGCTTGCTGCACGCTAGCTGAGCTGGAGGCGGAGGAGGGCGGAGGCGAGCAGATCGCCATGGCGGAGCGCCACCGTCGGCGACAGCACAAGGTTCAAAGGTTCGAAATTTCTCGACGCCGCTGGCGGACTGCACTGCACTGCACAAGCGAATCGTTGCAGCAAAGCCACGAGGACACAAGCACCGCTAGCTCCGGGGCCAAATTGTGGTAGCCTAGCGGGAAAAAAACCGAAAAGAAAAAATATAAGAAAAACAGAAAAAGAGCGAAGCGGATCAGACCAGGCATTGCAGCGGCCAAACTGCAGCGAGCGCCAAAAATTCCCAGGCCGGCTGGACGCGTGCAGAGACAGTTGCGCGGAAGGCCGAGCCGCTTGCAACTCCGCTGCAAGCAGCGTGGGCAGACTGCACTGCAGCAGCGCAGTGCTTTTTTTGGTGCATCAAACCTGGCAGCGCTTGCATGAAGCGCAAGGCGGATCCAAAATCCTGCATATCGGCCTCGCGTCTTCCGCAAGACCCACACTCACTACCCAGGATCGATGGATGGGGGTGGGCAGGATCACGTTGGCCCTGGGACGAACTCGCCTCCAGCGCCGGTGCCGACGTCGGATTGTCCGCTCGGCCGTGGGCTTCCCTCGCTTACACTCGAGGTGCAGCGTGCCTGGGCGGGGGATATACAATAGGGTCAATTCGCCTGCCGTGGCTTTATTGAATCCAGGCCTGAGTAAAAGGCCTATTCATGGCGTTGAACAATGCGCGAGGACAATGGGCGACTGTCGCCGATAGAATCAATGAAAGCGAGGTGACCTCAGCGAGGCTATCTCATGCCATAGATGGGGAGCTGCGACTTTTGACATTGCTCTGTGCCATTCGAGCGAAAATCAGAGGGGGCCAGCATCTCGATAGCAGATCGTGCCCAGACAGGTGACAGCGAAGGCTGTCAGAAGTGCCAAAAAAAAAAGAGCTAGCAATTTAGAGCCGTATCAGAGACGGCCAACAGCTGCGAGGCATCGACGATGAAACTGGCCGTGCGCTTATGAAACCGCTGCGCGGCGTCTGGGATTCGAGCTGCGCGCTCTGTCTCTTGCAAGGTCCGCTTGCATTGCCCGCACCCACTGTCGCTCTGCCCATCCGAGTACGGTATGTCGGACCTGATCTCCGACGAGACACGTCCGTGCACTCGTGCGTCAAGCACGGTCCTCAGCTGCCGAAGACTGGCCAGTCGTGTCTCAGGAAGAATCACGACAGCTGTCCGAGTCTATTGTATCTCTGATTTTGAGCTCTGGGCTGACTGTGCGGAAGGGTCTCGTCCCTGTCTTGCCTCACAGCGAAACGTGCAATCTAGCATGCCATGCCCGTGCGCAATCACGACCAGGCCCTCGAAAAGACCTTTGAATCGTATCGGCTCTAGGCCATCGTAAGCTCACCCTCGGGTCAGCCGACAGAATCCTGCTGCGTCGGAGAGCCTAGAAAAGGCATGCAGAGGAGCTTTTTCGCCCGACCGGAGAGCGCGCAATGAAAATCCCAAGCCACTGCGATTGCGCCACCTTTTTTTTTCAGCTGAATTTAAATAGAGTGGGGGTGGCTGGCAGGAAAAGAAAGAGAAAGACAAAAGTCTGATGTCCGAAATCGCTCCGGCTGGGCAGGTCGCAAAAGCGCGACGATTCCGACAGCGACGCTACGCTACGGCGCCATCGCGCTTTCGACAAGGCCCGGGTGTGCAATCGGTGTGCGATGCAGCGGCTCGTTTGGCTTTGCATGCAGAGTTCGGCACGATTCGGAGTCGAGAAGGTGGCAGCCCTGCTCGCTCTCACCCGAGAGCCTCTGTTCAGCGCCACCTTGGCTAAGGACGGAGAAGCAGCAAGCGATGCAGCCGAGCCGTACTTCGACAGCACGCTCGAATCGCCCAGCATCGCTTGCAACGCCCTGTCGCTTGACGGAATGCCTGATCAGTCATGTCGGTCGCCCAAGTGCCTCTCACTTCATCCAGACGGACGAGCGACAATGGCGGCAGACGTTGTGGCATGAGCAAGCCATGGTTCTGGACATCGAGACGGCCGAAGCACCGATTTAATACCGCTCCGGAGACGTCGATCACAATGAGTGCGGAGAATCGGGGAGGACGGTGGTGGGAGAACGGCGTTCCCAGCACTGGCATCGCGATGAGATCATCTGCCTCCCTTCGATCTGTGGAGAGGTCCCGCGGCGGCCTTTAACAATTGATTTCCCGACCGGCGAGCGACTCGGGCCCAGCGACGAGGCTCTAACATGCGCCAAAGGAGGGGCACAGCAAGAACCATGTCACTCAATTCTGCATGTATCGTGTGGCTTGTCCGAAGAGAGGATGGCGGTTGAGGTCTAGCTCTCGGACGCCACCGTTTGCGGTCCACTCCGCTGCGCACAAGGTTCAATCAGCCAGGCTAGGCGAGACCAACACGAAAACGTCAAGTGGCGATGGCATCTCGCGAGAGAGCGGGCAAAGGAAAATCTCCAACTGGCAAGGTCGCCGGCGCAAACGTCCCGGCCGTTCACATGGCTGAAACGCTGGCACGCGCTGTCCCTCTGATTGTCAGAACGAACTCAGACCAACTCAGACCATCACGACAGCCACCCGGTGCTGGTTATCTGACCCAGCCCGCCAGGTCTTCCGTTGGCATTATCAGGATAGCAGGATCGAAAGAGGATCGGTGCGATTGAGTGGACCAGCCTGTCAAAAGTGCCTGTCGAGCCTCGTCATTACCATCAATATCATAGAACTGTATCGGGCGTGTCATTGTTGTCTTGCGATCGGAATCCAAGCCCAAGCCGATGAGCGATGCTCATGTGCTCGCGCGCAGCCGCCAAGCGGTCTGTTGCAAGCTTCCGATCCAGTATGTCGATGAGAACGCTCCGTGAGAGACTGCGGGGGTGTGCGAAGCGGGAGGGCAATCGGCAATCAAACGCATGCTCACAGAGATCTCGATGAGAGGCAAAAGCTCGGCTCCGTGTCTGCTTGCGGGCGCTGCCGAGGATGGGTATAGGGTGCTCACGACGTGTGTCATCGTGAGGACCGTTTGGCAGTCACGAACGGAGATTCGACAGATACTGTAACCGGGCTTTTCTGCGGGCCACACAAGGCGAGCATCGCTCTTCGGCATTCGAAAGAGCCGCCAGCGAGACGCCCATCTTTGGCACCGCCATCGGAAAAGCGGGCGAGCGGCCCAGCAGAGTTTGACCTGGACCGCTTACGCCACTCCATCAAAAGCCGCGTCCCGTGTGCTTCAGATCGACGTCAGGCTCTTGTCCAACCTCACGGTGTCCTCTCAGCAGATGTCGCCATCTTGTTGCAGCCTCGCAGGCACCCTCGGCCAGCCTCAGGAACGACAGCTGCAGTTCTGCAGCTCAACAAAAGTGTAGCAAGCGGTGAAAGAGTGCGGTAAAGCAGCCCTCTCCCGACCATTGCACGAGATCTGCAACCACGATCAACGAGCTAAAGATTTGATTTGAGCATGCGATAAGGCGAAGCCGACTCGAGCGAGGGCGAGGCCCAAGCATGGCAAGTGGGAGGAGCGTCAGGAGAGAGCATCCGGCTACCGGCATCCAAACTGTTGCCGGAGACAGGAAGAGGGCTGGGGTTGCGGAGCAATCAGCGATGGAGAACTGCAGGCCTTTTGCCTTGCCGTTCAGGCCGCAGTAGCTGGCCTGGGGGATTGCGAGGATCGAGCTTGAACCTGTAGCTTCACCACTTGGTCGGTTCCGGACCAGCTGCCTTGGAGAGGAGCACCGAGCGGCGGTCGCTTCATGAAGCGACGCGCATCGGAAGCGCGCACTTCCGCATAAGCGAGGCAACCATCGGAGAGTGCTTTCAGCCAGCTGGCAAGTGGACGAAGAGAGCTGTACAGTAACCTAAACTCACAGACTGCAACTGTGGGTCGGAGCATGAACTCGAGCATGCAGGTCCGTCTACAGCAAAGTGGGTCTTGGGTGGGAAAAGAGGGTGAAAGGGAGAGCAGGCTTACCAGCTTGCATTTTTAGAAATTTCAGGCGAGCGGCAACCACTGCAGCGGAATCTGAACTCGATTCCGACCTGGGGGAGAAGGCGTCGACGATCGATCGTGCTTGCCAGCAGAGCAAATGTGCAGTTGCAAGCTGGCTGCAAAGGCAAAAAGAGGCTCAGAGATCAGCCATGAGTTAGAAGCGGCGCGGGGTCTCGCTTCCTCAGCCGAGGCGGGCAAGCAAACAGGCATGTGTACACCAACTCAGACCAGCCGGCCTTACAGATATCCAGAGACCGCTCCCGCCGAGCGACGATGGAGGCAGTTCCAGTGCGAGGACGGGTCAGCTGTGACGCCTCCCATCGAGCAGCAGCAATCGCCTTTCGAAAGTGAGAGACCCGCCTGCAAGCGCTTTTCATTTCGAGCCTTGACTTGCAACTCCGTTCTGCGCCAGGATCGCCCTGGCCCACGGTCGATCTCTATCTTGCGGCCCAGACGTTCCATCCGGCTACACTGGCGTCCATCGCAGATGCCTGACAGAAGCCCGAGGGGACCAACTTTGTTCACAGGGCTCGTAGCGACCAGCGAGGAGCGATGCTAAGCAAGCGGTGTAGACCTGCCGGTACTACAAGCGAAAGCGAAGACTTGCAGCACGTGGTTCCGTGCCCGTAGAGCTGTTAGTTAGTTTGCGCCTTGGATGCAAACTGCAATGTACTGCACTGCAGCATGACGGCGGACAGTGTGCTGTTCGTGGTACCGTGTCAAGCCGAGCCTAGCAGTGCGTCGATGGCCTGCAGCGGGCCGACTCTTTTTCTTGCTGCACGCCATCGAACTCCTCGGGCTGCCCAGACGCGTAGGAGCGTGTCGCCCACGCGTCAGGACGGGTGTTGGTCTCAGAGCAACCGAGGCGATCGAAGAAGCGGGCAAATTGAAAAAATTAAATTAAATGAAGTCAGGAACGCGTGGGCGCACAGACAAACGAGAGAGTGGGCCTGGCTTCCTCCACCCCAAAAAAAAAAAAAAAAAGGCCCTCCGACGGAGTTGGGCGAGCCACCTGGATGCACCTGGGTGCGCCACTGGTGGCGGGAAGAACAAACCTTCGCTTGGGAAAAGGTGCATGGAAGCGCCGAGTTGGTCAGCCACACAGAGGCTGTCTAGGCCACTGGCCACAGCCGCCCGCACCTCCGGAGGCGCTGCGCCACCTTGACTTGCTGCGGTTCTGCCGGCAGCATTTCACCTGGCGACCGCCTCGCCTCTCGTGGCTCGCAGTCGGCTTTTGCTGCCCGGGCTCACTTGAACTCTTGACGTTCTTCGGGGAGGCGCTCAGCTTAAGCGCAGCAAGCGCCCGTCAGAGCCGACCCTCTGCCCTCACTGGGTTCTGTGCGACAACGTCGTGACGAGAGGTCGGCGGCTGAAGCGGCAATCTGGGCGCTTGATCTAGTGATGGTCGGTTTTACCGCTCTATCGAGCGCGTCGAGCGAGAGTACCCGCCCTCGTAACCGGTCTGACGGTGGCCTTTGGCGGTTGCCAAGTTGTCGGGGCGCGATCCAATATGAAAGTAGACTTCCGCTTCACCCATGAGGCACCAGTACGTCTTTGCTTCTGCTTAGCGTGAGAGCATTCGCGTCTCCGTCCCCGGCCTCTGCTCCGCTTCGTGGTTGGAGGCGGGCTTCGACGCTTAGCGAGTCGCGTCGTTCGACCGCTCGATCTTCATGCCGCTCGTGACACTGCTGCAATCGTCTTACTCGAGCCCTTGGATCGCCGATAGGCTGGTTGGTCCCTGCCTGCGCCTGTGTGCTACGCATCGGCAACGGCAGAATCGCCGGCGACCGTGCATCCCAGTGCACAAGTTGGCCGCTCCTCGGGTGGCTTCATGTATGCAGAGCACGCCAGGCGAGCTCTGTTGCCTCGGTCATCAAGGGACAGCCGCTGCAGGTGGCTTTGCAGGCCCAGCCCTCTGCGCGGTGCAGCTCCGCCCTAGCCGAAATCCATGCTCATGCAAAATCGTGGGAATCTGGGCGGCTATCCATGCTGGAATTGCCACCCGACGCCACCTGTCATCGGGCGATCCAATCCTGTGTCGTCCCTCTCGTGGGGTGGATCGGGCGGCCAGGGTTTCCTTCCTTCAACGAAGCGATCTCAGACAGCCTGCCAAGCTCGATCAAACCGTTCCTTTAAGCCTAAGCCGGTTGCCTGTCCGCAGCGAAGGCGGCCGCAGTCGACTGTGTCTCGTATACCCCGAACAGCAGGGTCAATGACAGCCTCACATTCTCCGGTGCATGCTTTCCCTGTCGTTGCCATCAACGGGCACACTTGCCAAAATCGGACACAAGACAAGGCCAAAGAGAAAGCGACTTTCGATTTCCTTTCAAGAAAAGGAGAGCTTGCTCGTTGAAATTCGAGCGTAAAAAAGTGGCCAAATAAACCGCCCCGCGGCTGTCAGACCAACACGCGAGCGGGAAGAACTCAGATGGATCGCGATTGAGAGCCTGTCTCGACGACCAGAAAGGCTCGACTAGCTGGTTCAAGTCGCACGACCCCGTTTCAACAGTCGAAGGCGGACGGAGTTGCCCCATGGAACCGCCACGCACACGTACGGTAGCGTCAAAGTTGACCACCGAACGCTCCGGAGACCGTGGACGGCTTCCTGACGCGAGCACGAGGGCAGGGCGGAGCGTCCGTCCCAGCTAAGGTCGCTGCTTTCATCCTGCCCACCCCATCAAGCTGTCTCATTCAGCATATCCTGTGCTCGTCCGGACTGCCCCACACCGATCATGGTCCCCGTCCCACCCACTAGATCCGGAGTCCGGCTATGCTGCGGAGCGGGTAGCCGGGTACACAATGGCATCAGTGGTTCCTGGAACCACGAGGCGGTGGGTCTGCGGCTCGCTCGCGCGGACATCCAATCCGCAGACCCGCACACAATGGCGTGCGTCTCCAAGCTGGCAAAAGTCCAAGGCTGATCCAAGCATTCAAAATTTGGAAAAGTGGGGGTCAATCCGCCCTTTCGCGTTCCCATGGGTCTGGCAAGACTGCAACGCGCAGCCGAAGATCCGCAACTCCGCTCGCGGACCACATCAATACGACTCGAGCCGTAGGGCAAGCGCTCAGATCGGGATCCTGCTCGCCAGAAGCATCAGCAGCAATGCAACACCAGCGCGTCCTTGAAATCCCGCTTTCTAACGCTGGTCCGAGCTAGCCTGGTGCTCCTGCATCAACGCGCGAGAAAGGATCCGCAACAGATCCGGCTCGCGGCACCGCAGCCGCCGCCGCGTACCAAGCGACGAATTAGAGGTGCTCCGGCCCGCTAGATGTGCGAAATAGCCGTGCGGGTGGCCTCCGACGTTCCACAGCATCGCTGGCATCCGGAGTCGCCTTATGCACCAGATCCGACGGCATGCCGGCTGATGTGTGTGCTATCTACGCACTTGGTCAATAGGCAAAGTCATCACAGTGGCAGGCACACAAATGAAAGAGAGCTCGAGAGAAGGGCAAAGGAACAAGCGCCAGGCGGATTTTTCATGTCCCAGACAATGCCAAAGGAGAATGCAAAGCACCCAGACCAGCTGACTATCGGGGGCATTGCGACCGGAATAGGTGCCCTTGGTACAGGGCGAACCGCGGAACGCGACAGCTTCATATGCACCGCAAAGCCTTTATGGACACCACAATGGGAATCGGCGATTTGCGGTGTCTAAGCTGTCGGTGACAATGGCGCGTGCTTTGAAGCTCCTCTCCCCGGCTTGCAACACTTCGTGCACGCTTGATGATCGCCCGATGCAGTTTGCAGGCGCCACCATGCTACCTGGCTCGCCAGTCTCTTTAGTTGCTCTTTCGACGGCTGGCGGGGTCGTCGCTACTCCGTTTCGCCGGCCGCAAGCCGACGTGGGTGCTGGATCGTCGCTCCGCAGCGTGCTGCCTGCATTTGTATGCCGACGCATGTGGGTGAGCGGTCAAGGCTGCACAGCGCGATTGCACACCACAGCTTGCGGACCCTCGAGAGGCACGTCGGAGAAGACGAGTGGCAGCCTGCACAAAAAGAGCAGCGGAGACTGCGAAATTCATGAGTTTCTCACGCACGTCTGCTTGCCAGTTGCGACGTTGCAATCGGCCCCTGTCTCGCTCTTCCCCGCCAGACCGAGCGTGGGATCGTCTTGCTCTCTTGCTCTTTTTCCTTTTTCATTTTCATTTTTGATTTTTTTTTTTTGCCCGGCCAATTTCGCACCGATGATACAGACCGGTCCCGAATCCCACGGTGCTTCGGAGTGGGCCGAAAGAAGCATTGTCACGGTATCGACTGGCGATCTTTTCAATGCGCCACGCTTCGGAGTCGATGTGGAGCTGTCTAGTGACAGGGGGACCCATGCCAGCAGTCTTGCACACGTCCATGCACCAATGTCATTCCTGTCGAGATTCTCCAGTCCCTGCACCATGCGCGCAAAGGAGGCAACACAACTTCTCTCAAGCTTGGCAAATCCAAAGTAACCACTGGATGGACCGATCTAGGCCGAGCATGGTCACTGGGTCGAAGCGGTCCGTCAGGATCACTGACCAGGGCCACCGCGAAGGCCGCTCCGACGAGGAGCGGTGAGCCCTGTTCTACCGCGCGAAAGCGTCGGAGACCAAACGCGACCGATCCAAGCATGCATGCGAACGCAGGTGCGCGTGGGACAGGCCGAAGGTGTGCTGGCATTCGGCTTCATGCTCGAAAGTTGGCATGTCATGGCCACTCTTTGACAGTTGGCCCGTCAGCTCCCACACGGGCGCGCTCTTATCGCGGCAATCTCATGCACGACCGTCTTGGGACGACTGAAACATGTCACGAACAACGAACCCGAGGATGCGATCGCGGAGGCGTCCATCCGTGCCTGCTGTGCATGGTCGGCGGCGCTCGGACCGCCACACCCACGTTTGCTTGCGTCCGCGTGGCATCACCCAGCGTGCAAGACAGCCTGCACAGGGCTGTACGAGCTGATCCGAGCAGAGCTCGCCGGCGCAAGACCAGGTACAAGACAGCTCGCTTGTGCAAATTCAGGGTCAGGCGCAGGCGCAGCGAACCGCCCTGTCAAAGACACTCGCGCCAAGCGATGTCGCAATGCAGCGGCCTCTTCCGTCCAATGAACTCGCTGATACCGTACCACCTGTCGGCACGCCTCATCGAAGTGTACCGTGGTGCATGAACGGTTACTCCCGGCGATCCCTTGGCTTGCCGAGACCGATGCACCTGTACCTCTTCGGTCCTGCGCCAGCCACTACGGTACCGAAGCTGTACACAAAGACGCACAGCGAGCAGTCTCGGTCTCGCTTCTGGTGCAACGTGCGTCGGTCGGTTCGCTTCCAGCCGTGATTCTGTTTTTTCCCGCCGTCTCGCTTCTGCCAAGCTGCAGTTTCAGGCACGCCCCGCTGGGAGCGGTCCTTTTTTCGACCCGCTCTCCTAGCCGATGTCGGACGTGCCTGAAGCTCGTTTCTGGCTTTGCTTGGCTGACCGACCGAAGTCATCGCCGCGATGAGTGCGACAAGCGTGAAAGATGGCGAGGTGCGGCTCCGCTTTCAATAGCGATCAGTGGGTGACAGGGCGCGGAGAAAAAAAAAATGACGAGCGCCAGTGGCAGCAGGAAATCGCGGCACGCGTTTGAACCTGCTATCGCGTTGGGGGGCATAGATCGGCCTTGTCCAATCGCCCGATGACATTGTCGTTGATCGATCCTGCGATGATGGCGTTGACAGTCGAGATCAAGACAGGACGGACGAGCTTTGTTCTTGACCCGATGCCTCCTACGCCTAGGCTCTCAGTCTGATCGCGAGGGCCCAGAAATCGAACAAGACTCTCACGAAACGACTGGGACCGTGGCCAGGATCGACTGTGAGCTGGGGAAAGCAACACAGATGCTCGTTGGTGGCTGTCGAGGCAGATCGTAACGTCGCAAGAGACGGGCAGATTGCACAATCACACGTATAAACACTCTTCGACGAAAGAGACTGCGCTTAACACTGAAACACCGAACCAGTGAGAAGGCTGAACATCACACAAGAATAAAGTCAAGATGCGAGAGCTGTGCGAAATCAAAGCTTCGACGTGGGCTGGCCGGTCGGAGCGGCAAGAGGCACGGGGTTGAACCACTTGGGGTCGCGTTTCTGCGTGTCATCGAGGTACAAGTTGAGAAAGTGAGGAGACGGATCAGCATGAGCAAACTATGGATCGGTGTAGCGGGTCGTGTGGTCTCCGACTTACCCCTTTGAACGCTTCGAGCCCTTCGTTGATGTTCTTGCCCACATACAGCAGCCTGCTGCGGTCGGAGAGCATGTTGTCGCGCGCAGAGTCGTCAATGTCGCCGCCTGCAGCGTCGCGAGCCATGACGAGAGCCGACTTGGTCACCAGCACGCTGTCTGGGCTGTTCTGCGTGAGCTGCACTGCGAGCTCGATGGCGGCCTGATCCACAGCGGCTTGGCCGAGCTCCTCCGAGGTGGACTTGGCCACGTCGACCAAGCGGTTGACCATGTTGTATCGGTCGTGCGCCTCCTTGGCGCTGATGGGCTTTCCGAGCAACAGAAGCTCCGATGCTCGTTGCTAATAGTCGCAAGCGGCGAGACAAGTCGGGAAGAAGACGTCAGCGGAAAGTGTCCTTGTATCGGGCCTGAACCGAGACAAATTGAACTTACATGTCCGCACAGCTGGGTGAGACGAGGAATGCCTCCCATGGCGGCGACGACGCCTCGGGCGACCTCGGGCAAGCCGATGACGGAGCGGGTGCTAGCGACGACCATGTCGCAGTTGAGAATGGTCTCTGTGCCGCCTCCCATGCAGATGCCGTCGACGGCTGCGATGATGGGCTTGGCGCTTCTGCGAGTGCTCATGCCTCCAAAGCCGCCGCGCTTGAGGCGCTGAAGCGACTTGTTGACCTCGGCGTCGGACTGCATGGGCTCTCCCGTCGCATGACGCACGGTGTCGGAGGTCTGGTTCTTGTTGAGCCAGTCCTTGAGGTCCTGACCGGCGCAGAAGGCTCTGCCCTTTCCAGCAAGGATGATGACCCACAGCGACGGCTCGGACTCGAACCAGTCAAAGACGCGGCAGATGTCCTCCTCCATGGCATCGGTCATGGCATTGAGCTGCTTGGGTCGGTTGAGCGTCATCTGAAGCACGTGCTTGGCAGGCGAGGTGAGGATCAGATGCGAGCCCACCTTGGGCATGGTCAGAGTCGAGCTCAACATGGCGATGCGGACGTTGCTGTGGCGTTTCAAGAGACGAGGTTGTTCGGGACGGGCCTTGGATCGAATAGTTCAAGGGGTGGATGCGCGGCGAGACAAGATGGGATGGAAAGTGATTGAGAAAGCTTCGGCAGCTCGGGTGTCTCCCTGTTGAGGTGGTGGCGAGACTATATGCTGTTCGGCGCGGAGGGTGTGGGGAAGCCAACAAGCGCCGCTTGGACCATGCGGTCAAGACCAACACTTCAAGTTGGGCCGGTCGCCGGCCTTCTTGAGCCGGCAAAAAAGTCGAAAAATGCGGGGAAGATGGCCGTTCCCGATGAGGCGTCAGGACCCACCCGATGAGACTCGGCCGATTCGATGGGTGCACCGCCTCCACATCCTCAGCTTTTGGCGAGCTGCGCAGCATGCCGAAGTGTGGCATGGCATGCCCCTCAAATTTCGTGGCGCCGCACGGACACGACGTACCTCCTCACCTGCACCATCGTGCCAAACGTCTGATCGTATCGAGTCGACACGCCCCATCACCGTCACATTCTTTCTTGCGAACGAGCCATTCTACGTGAAACGACCAACAACTCGAACCCCTACGCTCTATCGACGCTGCTCATCATGTCTAGCGGTGCGGACATCATCCTCATCCTGGGTGAGTAGAGGGACACACACACGAGGCTTGCGCGAAGCACGGCACGCCGCCTAAGGCTCAGAAACTGACGCCTGTTGATGCTGTGCATCTTCACTTGGTTCTGTTCTTGATCGCGCTCGACGACGACATCAGTGGCGCTTATCTTCCCGCCTGCCGCGGTGGCGTTCATCACAGGCGTAAGTCCGCGTGCTGATGTCTGGCACGCCTGGTGTATACAAAAACTCACCGCTTCTAATTTACCGCCGATTCCGTCGATTTCAGTGCTCCTGCGACCTGATGATCAACATCCTGCTCACTCTGCTCGGGTTAGTATCCTGACCTCTGTTGGCAGCGCCAGATCGCTCTCTCTGCTCCGCTTTGCGGATTGAGTTGTACTGACTGCGCACATGTCCACTCCATGACTTTCGATACATCACAGATACCTTCCCGGACATATTCATGCATGTGGGTCCAAAAAGCTTGCTTCCCGTGGCACGTTGGCTAGGCTGACCGGATCCCCGTCTCTTCTCTCCCTCGCTTTCTAACAGTCTGGCTCATCTACAAAAAGATGAAGGCCGAAGAGCGCTACGGCGGGCAGGTGCGCTACACGGGCAACGGCGAGTGGATTCCAAAGCAGGGCCAGCCCATCGTGTACCAGCCTCCGCCTCCGCAATACGGCGCTACTCAGTAAGGATGCCGCCCAGCTGGAATCGCGTGTGACCCGCTCTCGGCCTGCTCTGTTTCTTGCCGTATTTTACTCCAGACTGTTCGTTCGAGCTATCTCGTGTGCTGATGTCCATACCAATCTACTCATGATACCGGACCAGTCCATTGACTCGGCTGATTGTGACGAGGCGAGTGGAGAGGGAAGCTGCAAGTCCGTCATTGTGCTTAGTTTCGAGGCGTGTGATTCGGTTGCTGCGCGGTGCATGGAAGCCCGCCTGAGATCGGTTCGATATCGGGCAGCCATAGCGAGCCGAATGACGCGGGTGCAACGCAACGCTCAAAATTGCTCTGTCAAAAGTGCCTCGACTCTTGGACAATTTGAAAGCGCTTGGCTGGCGGTCGCGCCACACTCTCACCCTTCCAGCTGTTCTTCCAGCGTGCGTGCAGCTGCATCTGCCCTTCTCCCAATCCACGAGCACGCTTCATCGTCCGCATCAGCATCGTCCATTGGCAAACGACAATTGATCGCTCGCACGCGACCAAAGTCACACGCACATGCGCGCAACTCTGTTGAGGAATCGCGACCCAGCCGCCATGCTGCGCTCCCTCGCGCGGTCCGATGCTGGGCTCGCCACTTCTTCGCTTTTGACCAGGTCCGCAACCCAACACACGCTCGGTACTGTCGCGCTGGCGAGGAAGCCAGCCTTGGCGCACCAAGCACCTGCAATCCTCTCGCGACGCTTCTACAGCCGCGACCCGCTCCAGGCCGAGCACGAAGCCAACACCGTTCGCGGCCACCGCGCGGCTCGTATTAAGTCCGAGGAACAGGCCAAACAGCAACAAGGAGGAAAGCAGGGTGATAACAAAGACTCATATCAAGGTAAGTGGCCCGCAAATCTTGCCAATGTCTCTGATTCTGCAGCAGCCGTCTGACCTTGCATCGCGTGTCTTCGCGTGTCTGCCCATCTCCGGCCAACAGAAAAGCTGTCCAAGTCATGGACAGGTACACAGATCAAGTGGTACCCGATCCCCATCCTTCTCGGCGCCGTCGTTCTTGTCGGTGTACAGGCGCGCAGGAACTACGTTGCTGAGCGTGACGGCAAGGGCGTCGGAACCAAGATTGTCGACGAGAATGGCCAGGTAGTCAGAATGCAGGGGCCATGGACCGTCTACGTGATCGGCGCGCTTCCGCTCAATGCCATATCGCGCGCCTGGGGCTGGGCGAACAACCTGACGCTTCCGGTCTGGTTCCGTCCGTTCGGCTTCAAGCTCTACGCGTACATCTTTGGCTGCAACCTGGACGAGATGAAGGACCCGGACTTGACACACTACAAGAGCCTCGGCGAGTTCTTCTACCGCGAGCTCAAGGAGGGCGCGCGCAAGATCGACGACAGCATCCTCGTCTCTCCAGCCGACGGCAAGGTGCTCCACTTTGGCGAGATCGCCGGCCGACGCGTCGAGCAGGTCAAGGGCATCACCTACTCGCTCGATGCCTTGTTAGGCGTGACGAGCGCGCCCGAGGCCACAGAGAGCGTGGTTGGCAAGTCCGAGGAGGAGACGCAGCATGCGCGCATCGACGATCGCCAGTTTGCCTCGGTCAACGGCATCGACTATACGCTCGACGAGCTGCTCGGCGACGAGAAGAGCAAGTCGGCCATGCCCGACCCGGACGAGGTGAAGAAGCGCAAGTCGAAATGGACCCGATTCGTCAAGGCGTCCTACTGGAAGTCGTGGGTGAAGCGTGCGCCATCCGATCCAGCCAACGCGACCGGCGTGGCGCCTTCGACCAAGCCCACCGACTTTGACAGCGCCGCCGATGCGGACGCAGATGACGGCGAAGAGGGCAGCGCAGATGCAACGACGAAGAAACAGCCCAAGCAGATCGACGATGCCGGTATGCCGGAGCCGGACACGCCCGAGGTGCTGGGACGCTACGCCAATGTTGCATACGAGATGGGTGTGGGTGCGCTTCCGCCGCTGCTGCAGCCGCACTCGCCGGGACAGAAGGGACTCAAGGAGGGCAACAAGCTCTTCTTCTGCGTCATCTACCTCGCCCCGGGCGACTACCACCGCTTCCACAGCCCGACCAACTGGGTGGCCGAGCGCCGCCGCCACTTCCGCGGCGAGCTTTACTCGGTGTCGCCGTACATGGCCAACCGACTGTCGAACCTGTTTGTGCTCAACGAGCGCGTGGCGCTGCTGGGTCGCTGGCGCCACGGCTTCTTCGGCATGGTCCCCGTGGGCGCGACCAACGTGGGTTCGATCCGCATCAACTTTGACAAGGCGCTGCGCACCAATGTGCGCATGCAGCGCTATCTGGCGGGCACGTATTCCGAGGCGTCGTACTCGGGCGCGAGCAAGCTGCTTGGTGGCCAGCCGCTGGGCGCGGGTGATGAGATGGGTGGCTTCCTGCTCGGATCGACCATCGTGCTCGTCTTTGAGGCGCCGAGCGACTTCCGCTTTGACCTCAAGCCGGACCAGAAGATCAAGGTCGGTGAGCGCCTCGGCGATATTCGACCGCCAAGTCGCGAGGAGGAGGATGAAGACAGGAAAAACGGCAGACAGGTTTGAAGAACAAGGGGCGTCGGAAACACACTGCTATACCCTGCACGCGCGCTGTCGTTCAACACGCGCAGCGAGCGCAGCATGTAATCACCCACACCGGCTACGGCCAACGCCGTGGGATCGAGGTCAATCTGAAATCATACACTCTCTGAAACACAGCGCGCGGGTAACAATGATCGTACAGCGGCTGAAAGCCAGGCGTTCGAAGAGGTACAGATGCGGCGCAAAAGCAGCAAGGCGCGATTCAGACGCGCGCGCCAAGATCGTGTAGGAGGTCGTCCATAGTTTGGCGCAGCTGGTTCTGCATCTCTGGTGTTGCTTCCAGACCCTTGATTGCCTGTGATCCAAATGCGCAAAGCGAGTGTCAGTGCGAGTTTCGATGCTGTGTGCATGCGGGCTGCTTACCGATTCCAGAGCGTTGAGAGACTCTCTTGCATCTTGCTGGATAGCATTCGCCCTCTTCTGGGTCTGGAGCAGTGTGGCGTGAATGTCGTTGTTCTGCTTCCTGACTTGGTCGAGTTCCTGCTTGAGTTGATCGACTCTTCGTTGTTGGTCTGGGATGGCACGGGCCGAGATGGCCGTATCGAGGTCGAGTTCTTTGCGCCAAACGTCCTTGAGCTCTTCCGCTCCCTCGGCGTAGCCTGCATGGAACCTCGCGTCTGCCTCGTGCGCAAGTCGGTGTAGCGAAGCCAGCTTGGCTTCGAGCTCGTTGGACTCGATGAGTTTCTCGCTCTCGTCGATGATCGCTTCCATGAGCTGGCTGACGAACTGCATGCGTAGCGCTTCCACCGACTCGACGTCAATGTGCGGCAACGCTTTCGCAAAGCTACTAGCCGTGGCCCTGTGTTCGATCAGATCCAGGAAGCGGAAGAGTGCCTGACGTAGACGGTCCAGTCGAACGTTTTCGTCGAGGGGTGCTTCGCTACGCCGCGCCTTCTTGCGAGGCTCCACCTCAACAGCCTCGCCTGATGATCGACTCTTCCTACCACTCTTTGCTGGTTTGGTTGTGCCTCCAACTGCCTCTTCCACAGCAGCAACCTCTTCCACTACCTCTTCGTTAGCTGGCGCTGTGTCGACGGGTGCCGTGGCTGATGGTGATTCGACATCGCGGGTCTCTTTCTGAAACGCAAGCGACGTCTCGCGCTCTTCGTCCTGCTGCTCCTGCTCAATCGCCAATTGCTCGTCCGTCTTGTGCCCCTCCGACGCAAAAGGCTCTTCCGACGACATGACTCCCGCGCGCCAAGTTGTGGAAAGAAAGCTCGAGACGAAGGCGGTGGAAATGCTCGAGGTGACGCGGCGAAGGTATGGCGATCAATATGGCGTTCGGACGCTGTGATCTTTGTGGTGCTTGGGGCGGACGTGGTGGCGGCGATATCAAGACGGTGCAGTTGGCGAATGGATCCTCGAGATGGTGGAGGCAGCCAACGCTCGAAATTGCGCAACGCAACCCTTTCAAGCCCTGTATGCGATGTTGTTCTCCACCACGCGCGACGCGACCCTGTTTTTTTTTGGGCTGAGGTTTGTTAGGTCACTCATGCAACACTTCTCGATTTTTCGGCTCCATCTCTCGTTCTCTTCCTCTACACCCGGCCTTACCTGAGACACAACCTCGACGTGACTATGATGCATTGCAAACAAACGGCCTCTATAAACAAGCTGATGCGATTCTTAAAGAACTGAGAGGTAGCTACCACGACCTGGCATGCACGGGGCACTCCCTGCCGCGTTTGAACCACGAGTCGATGCAACCGCGGTGGAAGTAGCACAGACAGGGCAACCGGGCGATGGTGCTGTTGGCGACAAAGTCCTCCATGCAGATGGAGCACTCCTTGCCGACGATCGGCGAGTTTTCGGGCAGCCTGTACACCAGATATCGTCCGCCCTGCATGCTTCCGCCGCCTCCGTTTTCGAGGCAGTTGCGCACGTGCGCCTCCTGCTCTTCGCTGCCGCCGAGCTGCTGGAGCGACGTCGAGCAGACGGGGCACTCGGTGAGCTCGCTGGCGCGACTCGAGACGTCGCTAGGCGGTGCGAGCGTCGACATGAATCCGCCCTCGTCCAGCTGGGTTTCGGCGCCGCTGCGACTCGAAGGGTCGCCAGCTGCTCGCGTGCGCGATGCGGCCATGACAGCCTCTGCGCCGCGCGTGTTTTGCAGCTGCGGCGGCAGCTGGAGCTCGGCATGGCAGCTGTTGCAGATGCGCGTGGGCGCCAGCACTTCCGATGCCGCCATCCCAGGCAGGCTCGGGTCGACCACAATCTCGGCCAGCCGGAGCTGGGCGCGCTTGGACGAGCACGCGTCGCAGAAGATGCGACCGCAACGTCGGCAGTGGTGCTTGCGGAGGAAGAAGGTAAAGTGACGACCGCACCCTCTGCAGTCGCGCGCCTCTTCGTCGCGCTCCCACTGCGGCTGCAGATTCTGCTCGCGCATCGCCGGGCCTTGACGCAGCGCCACCTTGTTGGGCGCCTCGTTGGTGGGCACACGGAAGTCGCGGCTCGCGGCCAGATCGGCGCTGCGAGCGGCTGCGAGCGAAGTGCCCGCCTCGGACGGCTCGACTCTGCTGCGCATCAGCGAGGCGGCACTGCTCTGCCGCTGCGAGATCGCAGGTCGCGAGAGCGTGCCGGACGTCTCGCCGTTGACCATACGCGTAAAGACAGAAGCTCCATCGTCCTTGTACGAGTTGGGGTAGATGAACTCGTCGTCGTCGTCACCTTCGTCGTCCTCGTCATCGTCCAATCCGGCAGCCTCCCGCAGCTGGCCGAGCTGAAGTGTAAACTCCTTTCGGAGCTCCTCGGCGCGGCTCCTGCGCTCGACGTCATCGTCTTCGAACGCGGCGCGAAGCTCGGTGATAGCCATGTAGAGACGAGCAATGCGTCTGGCCAGCTCGTCGCGATCGGCACCCATGGCATCAGCTGGCGTGGCGCCGGCAGCCGCACTCGAGCCTGCCAGCGCCCTTGCCCGGCTGACGTAGTCGGCGTCGGGACCCAACTGAGAACATTCGAGCTTGGCGGCCTCCTGCGCCGCCATCATGGCAGCAGTCGACAGGCCCTGGCTGCCAGATCCGTACGCCGCGTCTTCGTCGCCGGACAGCTCATTTGCACCCGAAGCAGCGCCTTCGCACGCTTCGAGGTCGTCGCCGAATTCAATGTCGAGACGGCGTCGCATGACGCGGACCCAGCGCCTTCGTCGAACCCAGCCGCTGGCTGAAGCTTCCTGGTCGGCCTGTGCGTTGGCGAGGCCCGCACCGCCTGTCAAAGCTCGGGTGACCGAGGCGCTGAGTCCGCGGCCCTCGAGCAGGCGTTCAAGCGGCGGTGGTGGCTGAGAAGACCACTTGTCGTCTAGCGCATCAAAGGACTGGGCGTACTGCCAGCCCTGCTCAACGTCGACCAAAGGATGAGTGGTATCGAGCTGCCACTCGGAGAGCCAGAAGTGCGAGCTCTCTTGTTCGGCGCCGTCGACAGCGGTCGAGGCGGCAGCACGACCGGCACGACGAGCATGCAGGACGGACTCGGGAGTGGGCGTGCTGGCCATTTCGTCTTCTTGGGTGGATTGCGAGTTCTGGCCGCGCTGGGATGCAGCCATGGCAGCGCGACGTCGTGCGGCGGCTTGGCTGGTGCGCACGCGAAGGCGGAGCTTGTAGGGGAGCTTGCGGGATGGCAAAGCTACATCGTCCTGACGCATCGGCGAGTGTCGTGTGCGGCTGGGAGCGAGAGGGCCGGGCGGCATGGAGGTGGGCGAGCGTCGGTCGGGCTTGTGGGCGCGTGCTGCGCTGGAAGAGCTCCACCTTGGCTTTGCGCCGTTCATGGCAAGCGTCTGGAGACGCGTGTCGAGGCGCTGATTCTCGTGAAGCACGACGGGAAGGGTGGTGTGCAAGGCGAGAGGCTCGTACGGACCGCGGCCGGGAATGATCTGTCCGGGCGCGGTGGAGGCCGTGCCGGTGAATTTAGCGGCATTCCATCGTTCGGCCTCGTAGCGCTCGAGGACTTCGCAGAGGTAGATCTCAAAGGTGGCAGCGGCGACATCGAAGGCGGTCTCGCCGGCAGCGTTGCGGATGAACGGATCGGCGTGGTATTTTGCCGTGAGGTGACGGACGACAGGAAGGTGGCCCTTGGACGCAGCATTCATGAGTGGAGTCCAGGCGCCTCTGCCGCCCTGGGCGTCGACTTCGGCGTGACCGCGATCGATGAGGACGCGGACGAGGTCGAGGTAGCCACGGCTGCAGGCGTTGTGGAGGGCAGTCCAGCCGTCGGAATCCTTTGCGTTTGCATTTGCACCCTGGGTCAAGAGGAGGGATGTGGCGGAGAGCTTGCCGGCCATGGCGGCCTTGTGGAGAGGGGTCTCGCCTTCGCGGTCCTCCATCTCGACGATGGCGCCCGCCTCTGTGATGAGCCAGCGGACGATGTCGGTCTGACCTTCCCTGGAGGCAAAGTGAAGCGGCACAAGCCCGTTGCTGGGATTGGGATCGTTGGCGAGGGCGAACATCGAGGTTGCAGGGGAGCCTTGGGTTGCGGAGCAAGTGGCCTCGAAGAACGCTCGAAGATCCGAGAGGGACCCACGACTGCAGAGCTGGGCGAGCTTGTCGTAGTCGATGTCCGCTGCCCGGGTGGGTAAACGGGCTGGGTCGGCAGGTGGTTGTTGTGCGCTCGCGGTCTCGGTAGTGGCTACGGCTGGGATAGAGGAGGTGGCAGCTTCGTCGCCGATCGATGAGGTATCTGCTTGTTCGGGACCCGACAGAGAAGCAGCCGAGGGCGTTCCGTTTGTTTCTGGCAGTGTGGGCTGGTCTTTCGGATCGTCGGCATCGGTGGTGCCTGGGTATACGAAGTCTTCTTCATCGTCGTCGTCCGAAGCCTGGTCAGTGGCCGGGAGCTCGGCGGAGTCTGTCTGTGCGTTCCGGTCTTGGATGACGTCTCGCTGTTCTTCAGCGTCGATATTGCCATTTGCGCGCTCCGTTGGTGCATCGTCGTTGCGGATCGTTTCGTCGCCTTGGTGATCGTTCGGCTCAGCTGATGAGGTCGGGATGGTATGGGACTGATCAGCTGAGCTGTATGCACTCGATAGTGGGTCCTGGAAATCGTTGCCAAACGAAGAGACCTGGAGCGTCTCTTGAGCTTGTCGGGAGGGTTTGAAGACCGATGCATTGGCAGAGAGTGTGCTGGACGATGGCTTGCGCTTGGGCTGCTGAGATGATGATGCCCAGGCGAGGTCGAGATTCTCGGCCTCGTACGGAGAGAATGCTGGCCTTTGTGTGCTGGGTTTGGAGTCGAAGGAAGAGTCTTTGCGCGAGAGCCTCGTGGAGAGGCCGGCCGAGGGGAAGCCGAAGTTGTCTGCAGAGGTATGGTCTGTGTGCGCGGCCCTCAGATGGGCGGGAGCATGCATGCTGGCGCTGGCACCGCCGTTGGCGTCGTCGCGAGCGGTACGAGCGGGTGGACTAGGAGGAGTGACGACGTCTGCCCAAACGTCGTGAGACGGGGCTGTGGCGACGTCATTGTGGTTGGACGAACCCGGATCCGTATCCGCCATGCTTTGAATGTCGATGTGAATTGGAGGAAGAAAGGTTTGGTGGGTTTGACTCTCACGACATCAGCGCTTGCCGTGGGGCGCAAAAAGTGTCGCTTTGGCTGAGCTTTGCGAAAGTGTGCATGCGTGCGGGCGTGCCGGCGTGTCTCACACACCCGCACTCCCAACTCGCACGGCGCGTGCAGGTGTTGGACTCGGCCTGGGTGTGTCATGCTTACATCAGAAAAAATTAGGCAAGGCTTTTTCGAAATCGGCGTTCTGAGACCAACACGAGCTGCTGGCGAGGCGGCCCACTGGCCAGCTGGCTGCGCTGTTGGAGCGTGCGGATTTGCGGCGCATAAGCGAGGTGAAAGAAGGCCGGATTGACTTGGCGAGGCTGACAGCAGGGCAGCGCGCTAAGCAAGCGAATGCAGCTCATTGTGATTGCAGTGTGGACGCTGCTATAAAGGTGGATCTTCGGGCATGGATCGATACGACAGCGCGCGCCACACCATACCGCCGGACGCCGCGGTGGTTGAGTAGGCGGAGGCGGCGCAACGAGGCAGAAGACCAATCTTCCCACCGGTCCGAGGCGGTGGAAGCTGAGCGAGAGATCCTTCGGAATGAGAGCGTGGAGCGCCTCAGGATGATTTGAGAATGTGCGAGATTTGGCCGACTGGTGACAGACAAGGCAGATTGAGGAGTTGCTGCATGGCGCTTTGTTGCGCCGGCGTGCACTGGGCGTTGCGTCGATTGAGATGCACATGCAGGCTGCACATGCAGCTGCAGCTGCGATTCGAAGCTGGCAGCCATGCATGGCGCTGGCCTGCCTGCCTGCCTGCCTCTCGGAGCTGGCTCGACTTGGCGCTGCTCTGAGCTGTAGCTGCTAGGGTGGGCGCTTCCAGTCTAATTTGCACAATCCAATCTGCCAACCTGCAGCTCACTTGGCCATGCGCATATTTTCTTGGTCTCGGACTCTGCAGGTTCAGACACGCACCGCGCCGCTCCGGCACTGCTCCTGCACCACAGCCGTGAACGCGCAACCTCCGACCGACACGCGTGTGAGCCCGACGTGGGGCGGCCTCTCCGAGAGCGAGCGTGGGCGACCAAAGGCCAGTGTTCGAGTGTTCGAATGCTCGCGGCTGCATCTCCCACCTCGCCTCATTCCACGCTCCTGCCGCTGCCGCTGCCGCTGCCGCTGCCGCCTCGCTACCGCCTCGCTGATGCCGCCTGCTCCTGGTGCATCGCTCGGGCTGATCCTGCACATCCCCCCTTTGCAAAGAGGCCCTTCGACATCGGATGCATCCTACGCTAGACACTAGACTGCCGTGTGAATGCGATGTGATTGTGATCTTGAATGCAGATGTGTATGTGATTGCTTCGAGTGCAAGGCGGAACGAGCGTCGGAACACGAGCGAGGACCATCGAGGCTGCTTGCGACGCGATGCGAGCTGAAGCGAAGCCGCCAGTCGAGCCGATGATTGGCATCGAACACGCCAAGTTTCGACCGCACACGCTCTCGATTCCCGAGCGTCTCCTCACCCCAACTGCCCGCCGGCCGTTCTCTCCTCTCTCTTCCCCTCCCCATCCTCTGTCTTGATCACAGCCCACTTCCCTCCCGCCCTTCATATCACGCTCGTTGCACTTCTCGTTCGGAATCCATCACCCCCTGCTTTCGTCTTCTTGCCTACAGCCCTCCCATCGTGGACGCCGGTCGTTCTTCGCATCTCTACGCTCGTTTGCAAATCAGCACATCTTTTGCCTCGACACACGTTCGCTCGCCGTCACCAACTGCGACACGTTCCTAGTGCCAGTCCTGGATCGAGTTAGTCGCCGTCGTTCCCCTCGTCCTTACTCTGTGAAAGGCTTCCGCGCAGAGACACACTGCGCCGCCACTTCCGCTTCATAATGGCGCCACCTGCTTGGGCCGGCGAGTCCTCGTCCAGCATAGCCTTCTCCGCCAACCCGCGAGACTCTCGTGTCGTCAGCATCTACGACAAGTACTTGTACGATCCCAAAGACCTCGAGTCCTCCGACCCTCGCCGCCGTGAACTCGCTCGCAAGGCGAGCCAGCTCAAACTTCACGGTCGTCCCGTCAATGCTCTCGACGCAAACGGCCTCCGGTCCGTAGACAGTGCCAAATCGCGCTCCCCACAACGCAAGAGCATCGCCTTCTCCCAGAACACAAAGCTCGCAGACGGTCGCACCGCTGCTTCCGCCACCGCCCCTTCCAACGGCACCAGACAGCACCCTCAGCCATCCAACCACGCTTCCGCATCCACGGAACGTTTCGACGAAAGCCACGATCGAGACTCGGGCGCTTTTGGCCTCGGCCTCGGCATGTTGGGCGGAAGCGACTCCGAATCCGATTCTGACAGTGATGACGAGAGGCGAAAGGCGCCAAGGAACAAGGCGCTCGACCAGCTCAAACACAGCACCGAACTCACTCGCTCCGACAGCTGGACTGATCGTGCAGTAGCAGTCGGTCATCGTCCTCCCGACAACGCCTCCCAAAACCCGCCCTCGCTCAAACTCATGGCGCTCAAGTCGGCAAAGAATGGCGGCGACGCATCGCGCACCTCCCAAGATGACCGCCGCAGTAGACTCACGGCGCAGGACAACTTGGTCGATCGCACCTCTCGACACGGCAGCACCATCGGCTTCGGCGGCTCTCACATCGACGACCACCATCCAGATCCTCGAGCACAAGCCAATCAGCCGCCCTCCAAGCATCTCAGCGCCCGCGCCGCTTTGACCAAGCAGCTCGGCCTCGCGTCCCCCAACCCGGAGGCAAATGGTCACGCTCATCCCGACAGAGGGCCCTCTCCCGTCCACTCGTCCGGCCCGCACGACTATTTCGACAATCGCGCTCCCAACGCCACACAGCCTCGTCCAAATCAGCGAAGCGCCGGCCCGCCTCCCATCGACGTTGCCCGCGCTCAGAACGGCCTCGGAGGCCGTCCACAAGACGCTCGAGGCGCTCCTTCGCCCATGGGCTCACATCACGGTTCCGTCTCGACTCCCACCAGCGCAACGCCTCTTCGATCGCCAGGTTACAGCGCACACGGCATGCCGTCGCTCAACCATCCCAACGCCATGGTAGCCCCACCGCCCAACGTGCTTCAGCGAGGCCCACCTTCGCCTTACGACCAACGCGGTGGTCCTGTGGGCCCTGGCGGCCCCGGTGGCCCCGGTGGTCCCCCTCAATACGGCCCGCGCGATGGCAACCCTCGTGCGGGTCCCGGCCCCGGTCCCGGCCCCGGTCCTGGCGCACCGCCCCCTTCGTCGCTTCAGGCTGGCAACCATGCGCGACCGCCTCCGGGCCAGTATCCGCGACAGGCTGGTCCTCCAGGCCCCAATCAATCCTTCTCTGACGCACCCGGCCCGTCCAAGCGCCAGTCGCTCTTCCGCCGTTCCATGGCCATGCTTGGCGGAGGGCCCCAGGCGGGTCCTGCCGGCCATGGTCAACAACGTGGCGGACCGCCGCCGCAAAAGCGCCAGTCGCTCTTCCGACGCAGCATGGCCATGCTCACGGGCAACAATGCTGGGCCCGCGCCGCAGCAGCGTGGGCCGCAGATGCCCGTGCCCGCACCGGCGCGCGCGCCCGCCGCACCGCGCGTCCAGGGCTTGCAGAACGACTTCGAAAAGCCGGACCACCCGCGCAAGTCGCAGTTCCTCGGCGCCGGCGGCGAGGGTGCCGAGTGGGACACCAACGGCGAAGGTGCCAAGTTCTGGCGCCGCTTCTCCATGGCTCAGAAGACTGCCGGCACGCACAAGGTCGAGGACGGCAGCCGCGCCTGGATGGCATCCATGGCGAGCGGCAGGCGCAAGCTCATCGTCATGGGCTTCATTGCGCTTGTGACGCTGGTGGGCATCATCGTGGGTGTGATAGTGTGGCGCGAGATCGTGTCGCCGTCGGGATCCACGTCGGACGAGCCTACGGCGGTGTACAAGGCGAACCTTGGCGCCAAGGACAACCCGGCGGGCACCACCACCAAAGCAGCCACGTCCACCTCGCGAAACGCAAAGGCGACGGCCACGGCGAGCTCGAGCTCGAGCTACTACAACCGCGCGCTGGCCGACGGACCGAGCGACGAGGGCTCGAATCTGCATGTGCGACGTGCGCTCGGCCACGAGCTCGTCACGCCCCGACGCAGGAAACGCCACTTTGGCCAGCCGGCGCCGGTGCAGCCTGTCAACAGCCAACCCTCGCTCGCCGAGCTCGACTGAAGCTTGCCATCGCTGCTCTCTCTCTTCTCTCACTCTCTCTTTTTCCATTGCACTTGTCTCTCACGCGGTTGACACCGCAGTCGCACTCCTTGCTGTTCTTTGTGTCTCGCTGCAATCTCCACACTCGTTTTTCCTCGCACAAGCTGCTCGGCGAGTGGGCCCAGTGTGGGGAGGGAGATGGTATCGATTGTGAAGTGGTTACGCGGGAGGTCTGGGTGACAGGTTGAGCTTCTTTTCGATGAAGCTCGTGATTTCGCCGAAGCGGTAGCTGAGGATGTTGATGGGAGCCACGTCGTCTGGTCAAGAGGACATGAGGAGGGGGAGGGGATTAGGATTTTGGTCTTGCCGAGTGTGAGTTGGGGTGGGGATGACTTACCGACTGGGGTGATTTTGCCGAAACGCTTGAGGGGGACGGAATCACCGCGTTCGAGGATGTGACGATGGTCAGCGGGCGCGAGCACCTTGGACTTTGCGTAGTACCACTTTTTCTTGGCGAGTTCGGCGGTGGGGTCGATGCGGGGCATTTCATTGTAGCCGACGATGTTGACGACGGCTTTCACCTGGGTCTCGACATCGCGTGCCTGGATCAAGCTCGTAAGCACGTCGCATCCGGTTCCGAAGCCGATCATGACAATCTTGGTGGTGGTGGATGCGCGTGCCAGCGACACGATGTTATCCCAAACGAACGCCGCGGCTTCATTGGCTTCCGCGATGCGTTCGCTGTCGTCGGTGACCGCTGCGCGCGGCATGGCATCGTGTGCGTACGGTTTCACCGCGCGGAACTCGCGCATGATGTTCATGTCCACCAATCCATACGCCTTGTCGCGCACGTACGACATGACCAGACTCGATGCATCCACCAACCGCATCGCCTCGCCCTCGATCGTCGAACCCAGTCGAGGCCGTCCCGAACGCAGATTGCCCATATCGTGCACAAAGAACACCACCGTCGAGAAACGCTCCAGAATGCCCTCGGAACACAGCACCTGGCCGGAAAAGTGAATGTCCGCCTCCGGCAGAGGCACCTCGAATAGGTCAAAGCGGTCGGCAAGCACCGAGTTGCGGTACTCGCTGACCAGGTCCTCGATGCGCACCGACGGCGGCGCATCGTGCGTGTCAAAGTCGACATCGTCCGCCTCAAGGTCCGGCACTTTGAGCGACTTCCAGTAGCGTTGGTGGAAGCGACACACCTCGCGCACCGTGTTGGCCGCGATCGTACTCGCCACTGTCTCCTTGGGCTCGACCGTGCGGCGCGCGAGAATCACCTCGGTCACAGCGTGCGCACTGTCGGCCACCGCATCGGGGTTGTACCCGCCCTCGAGCACCACAGCCACCTTGCCGTCGCAGAGCGAGGTGAGTGCATGCGTCATCTGCGCGTACCCGCCGGGCGTGACGCGGCTTTCGCCAATAGGGTCGCCCTCGGCAGCATCAAAGCCCGCCGAGATGATGACAAAGTCCGGCGCGAACTCGAGCGCGATGGGCATGACCAGGTGGTGGAAGGCGTACATGTAGTCGGCGTCGCCCATGCCCTTTGTAGGCCAGGGCACGTTGACGGATTTGCCCTCTCCTGGTCCTGTACCGGCGCTGTCGTAGTTGCCGTACTTGGAGCCCGGGTAGAAAGCGCCGCCTTCGTAGCGGTGGAGCGAGACGTAGAGCACTTCTGCGTCGTTTTCGAACGCGCGCTGCGTGCCGTTGCCGTGGTGGACATCCCAGTCGAGGATGAGGATCTTGCGGATGGTCTGCGGGTACTTTTGCTGCAGGTAGCGCGTGGCGACGGCGACGTTGTTGTAGAAGCAAAAGCCCATGCTCTTGTCCGGCTCGGCATGGTGTCCCGGTGGGCGGACGATGGCGAAGCCGTTGCGGATGCGGCCGGACGCGATCGCATCGCACAGCTCGATGGCGCCGCCGCACGAAAGCCGCGCAGCGAACGCCGAATGCTCGTTGATGTACAGCGAGCTGAGGTTCTCGAGCCTCTGCACCTGCTCCTTGATGATGTCCGGATGGTAGAGTGCGGTGCGTTCGACGCCGTCCCAGATGCCCTGGTCGTGGACGAGCATCACTTCGTCCTTGGTGACCTCTCTGATCTTGATGCGCTTCATGTGCTGGAGTAGCGAGTTCTCCTGCAACTTGCGGAAGATCTTGTAGATGCGCACGGGTCGCTCCGGATGCTCCGGGTCGATGGGGTTGGAGTGTAACATCATCTCGGACGAGTAGACGTAGCCGGTGCGGAACTTGTCGAGTGCGCCGGACGCCTCTTCGCGCGCGCCAAGACCGGTGCCGTTGGACATGCCGACGAGGTCGCGATCGTCGCTGCTGTGGGACGAGGTGGTGACCGACATGGCCGGGGTGAGGTTGGTGAGCGAGCCGGCGGGCGAGTGTGCTTGGCGCCCGGCGACGTACGTGGAAGCGGACGGCATGGCTACATCGTCGTCGTCGATGACAACGATAGCCTGCTGACCGTTGGTCCACTGCGCTGAGCGCGACGACTCGGCCATGATCGCAGGTCTCGTCTGCGAGACAGGACGCACCGCGTCAGTTAGGGTTGGAAGTGCCTAGGCTGGCTTGCCGACGCGATGGCTGAGTCGATGCGCTCCTGCGACTCCGGAGGGACAGATCCAAGTCTGCCTACGGTGACGGGGGAAGGCTCGATGATGGGCGTCAGAGAAGAGGACGTGCGTGGCTTATGTGTTGTGCCGGCAAGGTGGGTGGGGGAAGAGCGGAGAGATGAGAGTGATTGGCAGATTGACACGCCGGGCGCGTTTTTTGGAAGGCTCGGATTTTGGACCCTTGGAAAGCGCGTCCGGCTGTCGTCCCCACTCACCAAGGCGACCTCACAAGCCTCAACCACGGACGGTGCACATGCGCATGTTTGAGTAAGATACTGCTTGATTTGGTGGCCACCGAGCACGCTCAGTCGAAGGGAATGCGACGCACTCCGGAGCCAAACGGCTTCTCACCCAGCATAGTGGAGCTGAAACCTTGCTGGCGCTTCTTCTTCTCCTCCTCGGCTGCTGCGAATGCGCTGGGGATGGGGATGCCGCAGCAGTCGCCCCAGCCTGCCGCCTGACCCTCGCCGGTGCCGTGTGCGTGGCCTGCCGGGTGAATGTGGCCGTGTGCATCCTCCTCGACGTCGTCCTCCTCGATCTCGCCTGGAGCCGCCTCGGGGAATCGGAGGAGGCTGCCAAAGAAGATGTGCTGTGCGATGGGCAGCTTCTTAAGCACCTCTGCGCGGTACATCTTGATCATGCCCTCGTTGACCTTGGCCCAAGATTTTGCGCCCGAGATATCGTCGAGCATGGGCGAGTGCCAGCGGAGCGAGGCGGTCTTGACCGAGTTGATAAACTGAATGCAGGCGAGGTACATGTACTTGGGAGCGAACTCGTCGACGATCTCGGCGTCGTGGATGGCCTTGGGACGCAGATGGCGGTGGTTGCTGAGCTGGCCGGCGCCCCAGAGGAAGGGAAGGAAGTGGTAGTCGTCGAGACCCCACACGCCGTGGCTACCTGCAGGCTCGAGCCAGTAGGAGGACTGGATGTCGCGCATCACCTGGATGTAGCTCCAGAATACGCGTAGCACAATCGCCGGGCCGTCTTCTGGTAAGCGTAGGATGCGCAGCTTGCACAAGCAGAGACTGAGAGATATAAGCAGAATGGTTAGCATGTCAGCAGAGTGAGCATCAAAAATAGCAGAAGAGGTTATTGCACTTACAGCCAACAAGCCATGTTGAGCTCCATGCCGCTGCCGTAGTCGATCCTCTTCTCGTTGCCCCAGCTTTCTTGGAAGTAGACGGCGAGTTCCGAGCGAGCTGCTGCTGCTGTGTCCGAGTCGCCGTCCAGATCTGGGATGGAGCGATGCAGCCTGTCGTTGGCGTCGCGAATCTTTGCGTAAAAGGTGCGGAAGGCAGGATTGCCAAATCGGGAGGAGCCGATGGAGGCGTCGGGAGGCGTGGCTTGGCGAATCGCCTTGACCTCTTCCAGCGCGTCGAGGATGGCGCGACATGCAGGCGATACCTCGATATCGTCCGTCAGCATCTTGCCAACTACGCTGGTGTTGCAAACCCGAATGAAAGCGAGGATCTCGGCAAAAGCACCAGAGCTTTCGAATCGTTGCAGTGAAGCCGGCGAGACGATGCGCTTGCGCGGCGCTTCGAAAGTGTGATCCGACATGGTTACGGTTTCGATATCGCTGGGTGATGCTTGTGATTCTGTCGAGGCTGATGCAGTAGCGGAGGAGGCGATGGTCAAGCTGCCGAGGCTCGGCACTGGAGACGAAGAGGAGCTGGGCGCCGAGGGCTCGCGGAGCTTGGACACAAGCACCTCCTTGGCGGCATCTTGGACGGGCGCCTGGAACGCTGTTGGTGCCATGGTGCTTGCTGTGAGTCCCTTTCCACCGATGGTTGAATCGAGGTGATTGAGAAGGTGGTGGTGGGCCGTGGATGCTCAGCAGCTCTGCGAGGGAGAGACTTCGCAGCTCCACACCCACGGGCCAGGGCTGAGGCTCTTCTCGCCACGCCCAGGGTCCTCACTCTTTCCTCCGCGCGGATTTCGGAGATTGGCAAAAAAAGTTGAATATGTTCGACTGCTTTAGCTAACATTGCTGAAGTTTGATTTTCTCGCCAGGGTCCATCCGAATGTCTCCGCTGAGCTCAGCGATCTTCTGGCGGCCGCTCCACTTTTATTCGCCGCTAAGGTGCAAATATAGCACAGAAGGAGATGCTGCCAGATGCAGCGTTAGCTGATGCTCAACGTCAAGACTGACTGCCCTGGCGTGTACCGTTTACAGGTGCACTGGCTGCAAGCAAGTCGCTCTTCTCCTTCCACCACCACTACCTAGACTGGAGGCCACAACCACGATGATCACCTCGGCCGCTCGCACCACCATGCTCTCCAGGGCGACCTTGTCAACATCACGTACCACTGGGTGCACGGCTCTTCAACGTCGATGCTACGCCAAGGCAGCCGATGCGGTGCCGGGTCTTGGCTCGAAACCGACTGCGGACAAGGCAAGCTCATCGCAAGGCGGACAGCAGCAGTGGCAGCGCAAGCAGCCATTGGCAACCGCACAGACGCTCACGCTCTTCTCCGAAACACCGCAGGGACTGCTCATCGCGTTGCGGTCCACGCTACAGAGCATGACGTCGCTCGCGGCTAGGCTTGGGCCAGCACCCAACGCCAATGCGAGTCCAAAGCCCGGTCACCACGACCACGTCCTGCTGTATGCGCTCAGCAAGGATCTTCCGTCCCAGTACCTCAGCGAAGCCGTCTCGATCCTGCGCGGTCCCGATCCGGCTCCGGATGCATCGGCCTCAACCTCGCGCAAGCACGACAGCGGTCTCACAGCTGCACAGATCGCCGCCAAGGAGGCCGAGGCAGCACAGACGCGCGCAGCGGGCGCAGATGCCGACGCAGCAGCGGGCGCACGCATCGCTCGCGTCGGCATCCTCTCGTCGCCGCTTCCCTCGTCGCTCATCCCAGCAAACGCCATCGAGCCCGGTTCGACTCCCATCGCCTCTCCGACGCTCTACTCTGCCGCACTCTCGCTGCTTCCCGGCGTCAACGCGATTCCGTTCCGCTCGACCATCCCTGGTCGTGCCGAAGTTGCCGTGGGCCGATGGATGGACCGCAAGCCGTCGTGGCAGCAGGGTGCCGAGCGTCGAGCCGACCTGCTCGACGACGGCAACGGTGCGCTCCCCGGCGGCAGCCGCGACTGGCGCGACATCTGGGGCCGCGAGAATCTCGAGGGCAAGGTCCCCGCAGGGTTGGAAACGCTCGATCCGAACTCGGCGGCGTCGTTCATCTTCTTCTCCGACACCTCGCCGCACGGCCTCATGGAGGGGCTTGCGACGCAGTTCCCCGCGAGCTCCGTGCTCGGTCTCTCGGCGCCACCTACGCCGTTCGAGACGGGTCGCGATCAGACGCTGCTCATCTCGCTGCCTCAGGGCGGTGCAGGCGTGCAGCCGCACAGCAGCATCCACGCGGACGGCGCCGTGGGCGTGGCGCTCGTGGCGAGCAGCGATGCACGCGATGCAGACCATCTACCCATCCCCAGCGTCACGACCAACTTTGAGGGGCTCAAGCCCTTCGGTCCGCGCAGGGAGATCACGGCGGCGCAAGGCAATATCATCTCGAACCTCGACGGTGCCAATGCCGCACAGCAGTTCCTGCGGGATATTCAGACAAGATCACATCCTCTTGATACCGAGTCGGGTGGTGCGAAGGGAGAGGGAGTCGACGAGCAGGCACAGAGCATGTCGGAGCAACAGGCTCGTCAGATTGCGGCGCGCGTCAAGAAGGAGGAAGACTTCTTCATCGCCGTCTATGCGGACAAGACGGGCACCGACCAGCCGCTACTGCTGGCACAGATCCTGTCCGGCCATCCATCGCGCGGCACACTGTCCGTCGATACGCAGGTCGAGCTCGGCCCCGGTCCCGGTCAGCCGCAGGGGACGATGAAGACGTACGCGCAGTTCTACCAGATCGACCCAGCGTTGGTGTCCACCTCGGCACCAACGGGCGATGAGGTGAGTGCGCAAGTCAAGCTGCTCAGTCCCAGTGCGATCGAGATCCCCGGTCCGGATCCGAGCGTGTGGGTCACTCCCAGATTCCTCTTCCTCTCGCTGCCCGTGTCCAACGAGCAGCGTCCCAAGCCAGACCAGCCCAAGCCAGCACAGGGAAAGGTCAAGCACCAGGTCATGGCACTGCCCAATCTCTTTGTCGCTGCCTCCGAGCGCGGTTGGATCGCAGGCAAGGGCCAAACCGCCACAGACTCCAGACAAACTCCCCTGCTCGGCCTCAACAGAGACGCATCCTCCATCGTCACTTGCACCGTCCCACTCGCCAAAGCAACCCTCTCCCTGCGCGCCTCCAACAACTAGACTGCCAATCCAACCTTGCGCTAATCACATCCGCGTGCGAGGACTGTCGAATGAGTGGGATTGCGTACCAAATGACGTCTAGCGGAACATTCGGAGATACGCGAGCAGCAGTGCACCTGCACCCGTAGCCACACCGACCAGATACTACGCAGTCCAAGAGAAAGCATGTCAGTCACTTTGACCTCATCATCTGAGCACCGGATAATTTGGTATCGACTTACCTGGAGTACGTTGAACTTGGCGCTCTGGATGCTTGTCCTCAGACCGGCGATTTCGGACTCGATGCGCGTATCGACCTCCTTGATCTTGAGCGCATGCACGGCCGACTCGTCGCGAATGCGGCCCTTTTCGAGGTTGAGATCGAGTCTCACACCCGCCGTGGTGCGCGTGATCTCCTCCCTGAGCCTTTGCTTGAGCTTCTCGACGTCGGCCATGAGGCGTTCGTTTTCGCTCTTCATGAGCGCAAAGTCGTTGCGTTCCAGCAGCTGCAGCTCGGACTTGAGGCGCGTAAAGTCGACCTTTTGCGTGTAGTTGTTCTGGTCGCCTTCCTCGCGCGTCACGAGGCCCTTGGCGAGGTTGGTGATGCTCTCGTCGATCACGTCGCGCAGCGCCTCCGTCAGCACGTCCGCCTGCTCGCGCGACACGCCCGACGCCTCGAGCCGCTGCGCAAACGCCTGCGTGTCAAAGTGGTGCGACGTGTACAGCGACGAGGTTGTCGAAAAGCTCTTCGAATACGAAGGGTGCGTCGACGACGACGAGGAAGACGACGGCGATGAGAAGACGCGCGCTGGCAGAGGATGCGGCGAAGGAGGCGGCGGCGCCTGCGAATTGACGTACGACGCAGCAGAGAAAGAAGGTGGCGACGATGTCCAAGACGACGACGAGGTGGACCACGCTGAGGTGCTGTCGCGAATGAACGTGCGCAGCGGCAGGGCGGACGACAGAGCGGGTGGTGGCACGCGCGCGCGAATCCTTGTGCTGCTGGTTGCTGACGATGCCAAGCTTCGCGTGCCAGTGTGCACGAAACCAAGCACACTCCTTGACGTCGATGCGACGTTCATCTTGGGTCCAGTGTGGGTGAGAGAGGCGAGATGGTGAACGAGAAGGAGCAAGGCGGTGGTGACACATTCTCGAGATGGCGTGGGTCGGGTGGGGCGCAGTCGGACCTCGGCTGACCCGAGGTGCGTGCCGCATCCTCCTGATCGGGAGCCGATGCTCTTCCCGATCGAAGACAGGATCGGAAGTTGCTCGCCGATTCGCGCCTGTCGAGGTGGAGAAGGGTCAGGGTCCAACCGCCAACCGCTACTACCTTTGGCTCCGTCCCAATCGGCACTCATCCAGCTCGCAGCGCAGGCTAGCATCCAGCACACATGCCTCGTGCGCCGTCGCACGCTCATCGCCTCAGCTGAACACTGCGCATCGCGAGATCGCTCCCGTGATCGCTCCGCAGGGCGCCAGCGGCAGCACAGCAGCAGCATGTACCACCTCATCACCGGGCTGTACGCCGAGTGGACCAAGAAGCCGCGCTACAATGCGCTCATGGTGGGCGCTGCGGGCGTCGGCAAGTCGTGTCTGCTCGAAAAGGTGAGTACTGTCGCCACGCTCCGGTTCCAGCTCCTCCCGCTGAACATCCGTCCCTCCGCTGCTAGATCAAGAGCGTCTATCTCAAGAGACCGGCACTGCCGCCGAATCGAGTCGCTCCAACCGTCGGACAGAATGGTAAGCTCGACGCTTCCCCGCATTCAGATCGCACACAGCTGCTGACCTCACTCACTTGTGCGCGCTGCAGTGCTCGAGCTGAGTCTGCCTCGTATTCATCTGCACTTCTGGGACTTGGGAGGCTCGCCCTCGGTGCGCACGCTGTGGAGCAAGTACTACGACGAGTCGGATGCCGTCGTTTGGGTCGTCGACGCACGCCACTTTCTGCCGCTCCATCAACACGCAGACAAGAGCCCCACCTCGCAGGCCCCCGATGCGGGCACAGACACATTCGCCGCGCGCGAAGCATCCTGGAAGCTCCTGTGTAAGCAAACACCCTCGCGATCTTTGCACGATCTGTTTGCACTGCACTGACACCCATATACTTCTGGTCGGCGTGGGATCTAGCCGAGCTGCTCATGCATCCGAGTCTCGAAGCGTGTCCGGTGCTTATTGTCGCCAACTGCATCGACGAGTGCGAGTCGTCCGAGGGCCTCGAAGGCACAATCAAGCAGTGGTTCAGCGATAAGCTCGCGTCGGACGACACGGACGTGGCTGCTGCTGCGGGGGATAACGTTTTTGCGGACGACGAGGCGTACAGAGCGCCCTCAACATCGATGCTCAGCGAGAGAGAGTACGAGTGGGACGTGGTGCTGGCCAGCGCCTTTGACGGGTAAGCCGCCCTCACCTCCTTGCGCGTAGCGCTCGCAGCGTAACACTGACTGTCGTTCCTTTCAATGTAGCACGGGTGTGCACGATGTGGTAGATTGGCTTGCGGGCCGTGTTCAGCGCTCCTCGCCTCGCTCACAATAGCACCAGCCCATCCTGCCGTCATGCTGTTGGTGGCCGTAGCATGATCGGATGGTGATTGGCTGCACGCAGTCACGTGGGCGATTTTTTGGGGGGCTAATTTTTCCCGCCTTGCAGAGCGTGGAACCAAAATCCAGAGCCACCAACACTCTGCTTGCCTTCCTCACCACCACCACTTCGGAAAGGTAAGTTCGTACCACAAAGTTGATGCGGGCGGGAAGGGGCATCGACATGATGCATCTCCTTTTCACACGGGTAGGCCGGGCATCCTGCAAGATGCCCGGACTCGATGAACTCGTCAACAACAAACAACTTTAATATACTCTGATCCCCGTCCTCGCTTCGCCCGCCCGCTAGCCCAGTACCAAGACAAGGCCAGACAAAACTGACACCCCTCCTTGGCCTGATTTTGTAGTATCACAGCAGCACGGCACACAGGTGCAAGAACATTTTGGCAATTCGCACGTTTGATGGACAAAAGGTTTTGCGTACACCAGTGTGTGTTTACTTGGCAGGATAGTCGTAGAAGCCCTGGAATAAAGAAGGATGGATCAGCGATGTGTTTTCGATTCGCAGTGGCAGGAGTGAGTTGACGTACCTTTCCGGACTTCTTGCCGAACCATCCAGCGTCGACCATGCGGCCGAGCAGCACGGCGGGTCTGTACTTGCTGTCGGCCGTTTCGCGGTAGAGCGTCTCCATGATGCTGAGGCACGTGTCGAGGCCGATAAAGTCGGCGAGCGTCAGGGGGCCCATGGGGTGGTTCATGCCCAGCCGCAGCGTCTTGTCGATATCGTCCCTCGAGGCAATGCCCTTTTCGAGCGCCATGACAGCCTCGTTGATGAACGGCATGAGCAGTCGGTTGCTTACAAAGCCGGGCACGTCTTTGCTGGTGGTGACCTCTTTGCCGCATGCCTGCGCGAAGGCGCGCGAGCGATCCACCACCTCTGGCGCCGTCTGAATCGCAGGAATCAGCTCCACCAAAGGCATCACGGGCACAGGGTTGAAAAAGTGGATGCCCAATGCCTATTCCCGAAAAGCATCAGCATCTCTTCTTGGGTATCGCAAGCGGTGGGAGGGAGGCAAACTTACTCGGGCTGGACTCTTCCATGCTTCTTCCGATCCGGGCTTCACACCGGCCCCAACCGCGCTGGCAGCGATCTTACTGACACTGATACTGCTCGTATTCGTCGCCAGAATCGTCTCGAGAGGCAGCGTGCTGGCGAGCGTACCAAAGATCTTTTGCTTGACAGCGAGGTTCTCCGTCGCCGCCTCGATCACCATATCCGCGACCCCCTTGCTACCTGCAAAGTCCTCCAGCTTCTCTACAGTCACCAGCCTAGCCCTGGCTGCATCTGCATCCGACTGGCTAACCTTGCCTTTGGCAACGTCCTTCTTGAGCAGCGTCTCGAAAAACGCCACGCCCTTGGAAAGCTGCCCTGCCGAAGCATCGCAGAGCATCACCGAGGGAATCTGCGCCTTGAGTGCCGCGACATACGCAATACCAAGCCCCATCTGCCCAGCTCCCACCACGCCTAGCGTCTTGACTCCGTGTGCAACCGACATCTCTGCGAATGTAGTTGTCTGTAAGTGTGTGTGGTGGTGTGGGGAAGTGTGGAGAGAGTGGAGAGAGTGGAGAAAAAGCTGTCTGCTGACCGGCAAAGCGTGTTGTCTCCTTCCCACCCGGCGCGCCCGGACCGTCCTTTTGGCAGCGCCCAAAATTCCGAGTTTCCCCCCCGCCTTCCCTCCCGGTCAACCCGGTCAACCCGCTTTCACGTCGCCGCTAATCCCGACGCGCCGTCATTGCCACCAGGCCGCTCAGAGAGCAAACTGCAGATTGTGATTGTGATTAGAGCGACAAAATGTGATAGCGATGGATACAACCGCCGATGCACTCCGCCACTGCTTCAAGCGCAGCAGCAGACGAGACGGCGATACAGATATTAGCAAGGAATAGTCGGGAAGACGTCGTCATGAAAACAAGCGTTGGCACCACCTCCCGGAGGCACGCCGGGACGCCGGATTCGTAGATAGATTCGTAAAAGGCAGTCAAGCTGCCGCAGACATGACCGCTCAAGATGCATCCGATTATGCGTTGTTGGTCGAGGGTGCCACCGCAGCATCGCCAGTGGCATGCGCCGGGATGGGCGGCACGGCAGGTACCGTCTTGGCGAGGCGGAGCGGGCTCGACCCCGCACGATGCGAGCCCGAGTCGACCGACTTGCGGCCGTCGCTGCTGTTCTGCGCAAGCATGTCGGCCGACTTGAGCTGCATCGCCTCGAACACGGCGCGACCCACCGCAGGCCCGGCGTTCTGCTCCGGATCGATGCGGCCCGCCTCGAGCGCCTCGGTGTACTCTTCCACCGACCGGACGAGCTGGATGAAGCGGGCGTCCTTGATGAACCTCGGCACCGAGTCTGTAGCCATGAGCCGGAAGATGTAGTCCTGTATGCGCTCGTACAGCCTCACCATGACCTGCAGCTGGCTGGCGTGCAGCGGGATGCGGATGCGCTTGGCCATGACGGCCGCCTTTCTCTCCTCGATCGACGCCGCGGCGGTGGTCGGCGCTCCACTGCTGTGGGTCGCCTCGCTGCCGGCGCCCGTACCGCCGAGCTGCGTGGTCGAGTTGGACGGCGACACGGTCTGCGCCGAGAGCGACGACACCTTGGCGTCGGCGAGGATCTTGTTCATGTACAGGATGAGCTCGGTGCGCAGGTTATGGTCGATGTTGAGCTCGCACGGCGACGAGGGCGCTAGGTACGTGTCGTAGATGACAAACGCCATGCTCACCAGATCCTGCTGGTGCTTCTCCATGGCGCTGAGGCCCTGTGTGTCGTCATCGCTCTTGTCTTTGTTGTTGGCAAGCGCACCGGTGACGCTTCGGCCAAGCCGACGGCCCATGCCGCCCTTGGAGTCCTTGGCGGGCGTCTGCACCGCGACGGCGCTCGAGGTGGTGTGGAAGCGGCGCTTAAAGTCCTGCACGTCTAACCAGAAGCTCAGATTCTCTTCGCAAAAGTTCTGTCGCAAAAATTCGCGGAAGAGCGAACGCAGAGCGGGCTCCTCGAGGATGTTTTTGAGCCGGTTGGTGTTGCTGTCGCGGGTGCTGAAGGAGGAGTGGTCGTGGAGACCCTGGCCGATGCCGGCAGCGCCTCCCGCCTGCGCGGGCGCAAATTCGGCGCGCATCTTGGTGCTGGTGGACGACTTGCGCGCGAGGCGCGAGTCCTGCGATCCGGGACTGCCCGTGTCGTGGCCGAGCTGGGCGATCTGAGGCGAAGGGGCCACGGTGGAGAGCGACTCGTCGGCCATGCGCAGTGCGTCTTCCCTGCCGGGAGTGGCGACGCCGGAGGAAGGCGTGTCGGAGCCGTCCCAGCGCGCGACCTGACGACCCTTTTCGGTGACGCCGTACTGGGTCTTGTGGTGGCAGCGAAAATGGCCGTCGCTGACGCCGCCGCGACCGTCTTCGACACGGATGATGACGTCGCGGTCGTCGTAGGGCTCGACCTCGCGCCTGGACTTGTCAATGACGACGCGGATGAGGTCGAGGCGCTGGAAGTGCGCCATGATCTCGGCGGCCTCGTCCTTTCCGCAGACGGTGGTAAAGTCGCAGAGCCAGTCGAGCGCGCCCATCGAGTTGAAGGTGTGCTTTACGGTGCGGTAGCCGCGACCCTTGACCTTCTCCTGTGCGTCGGACATTTCGATGCCCAAAGTGCGGTCGACGGCTGGGTCGGCGTGGTCGTGCGACTTGTGCGCCGAGGCGGATGTGACGGCGTCGTAGTTGGGCGCACGACCGACAAAGCGGCGGAAGATGACCTCGAGGACGGGCGTGTTGATGAGGAGCTCGTCGTCGACGGAGCGCCTCTCGAGATGCAAGAGCTTCATGCAGATGGGCTGGGAGGAAAAGACGCGGAGGAGGTGGTCGCCGTTGATGCCGTTTTTGGTGATGAAGCGCTCGAGGATGTGGAGGCCCTTTGGGGTGAGCATGTAGACGCCCTTGTCCTTGAAGATGGGGTTGGATGCGTCGCCGGCGTTTTCGATGAGACGCGCGTCCATAAAGTGCTGGCAGATGCCCTTTGCCATGTCTCGGTTCATGCTAAAGGTGGTGGTGGTGGTGGTGGTGACGACGCGGCTGGGCTCATTGGGGTCGGGGACGCGGTTGGACTGGGAGAACTTGAGATGGGAGAGGTTCTCTGCGGCCTCGTCGGTGGTGAAGGAATTGTGGTAGGTCTTGAAGTACTGGCGATGTGTGCCGAGTTCGAGCGATACGATGAGGGTGGCAAAGAGGTCGTGCGTGTCCTTTGCGAACGGTCTGCCTCTTCTTGTGGTCTTCATCATGCGGCTGGTGGTCTGCTGCTTTGTTCGAGTGGCCAAGTCGCCAGGCAAGCTTCCGGAACTGTCGGTGGGAGCCATGTTGGCGAGCGTTGGGTGACGCGGGAGTTATAAGAGCCGCGACGCCAAGAGGATCCGAGGGGAAGCCGGGTGGACGGGCCAAGAGCGCAGTGTGGTAGCCGGGGTAACTTGGAGGCGTATGCACTGGCGAGGTATTGTTGATGGGGGCGAGGACGGAAGCCAAGAAGCGAGACGGGCTCGGGTGCAGCTGGCGACCTGTGTCGAAGGGGGGCCCGAGCAGAAGAAGCAGCGGAGCAGAGAGGCGTGCCGATAAGATGGAAGGGTGAATACGCGAGGAGGTCCGAGCGGATGCACGCGCTGGGGTGCGAGCAGATCTACACCAGAGACGAGGGGGTCGGAGCGATATGAAAGTGCGTCAAGGGCGTGAGGAGATGGCGGGAGATGTGCAGCCAGGATGCAGGAGAAGGAGGAGGGATCTGAATGGATGCAACGAGAAGAAGGCGGTGCGTTGGCAGCAGTACGCAACGTCGGACGGTCGGATTGATGCGAGAAGTGTGGTGTGGTGGCGCTGATCGAGCGACGTAAGAAGGAGGCGTGCCAAAAGAAAGCGAAGACGGACGGAACAATGCGCCCGCTGTCGGCTTCGAGAGAAGACAAGGTGAAGAGGAAGAAAGGGGTGGCCGACAAGCGGCGGCGGCGTTGGATGACGAGGGTGATGGCACAACGACAAGGGACGAGCGGTGGCAGCGTCGGCAGACAAAGGGGACGGTGCACTGCACACGAGGCCATGGCGCGCGCGCATTGGATTGGGATGAGGTGCGGCTGCTGGCCACTCTCCGACTCTTGACGAAAGAGGCACGAGGCAGCAGAGAAGGCCCGCTCCAACCGCCCCTCCGACGGGTGGAGTCGAGCCAAATTATTGATGAATTCCGCGAAATATCTCGAGCAGCCAGCCAGCCTGCCAGCGCCTTGGAAAAAGTGGGAAATGCAGGCTGCGCGTTTCCACCCGCTTAGTGCGGTTGAGCGTGGCTCGGCAGTGTGTCCAAAAAAAAAAAAAAGAAAAAGAAAAAAGGAAACAGCTGGTTCACGCGGATGGCCCGACGAGATCCCCTGGAGACGGGCCAGCCCCGCCAGCCTCTGCATGATTGGATTGGATTTGCAGCAGGGACGGGAGTGACCCTGAACTCAAACATCCGCTGCTGCTGGTGGTGCCGCGTGCATTTCACTTGGCTTTGCTCGGTCAACCAGCGGTGGTCTGCATTGCATCTCGATTGAGCCGACGCGCTGCACTCGCGACCGAAATTAAGTTCACACTCTAGACCGCACCAGCATCACCTCGTTTTGGAGCCAGGCGGCGTCTTTGGATTTTCCGGGCCGAAGCTGCTCTCGGTCTGGGTCCACCCCGAGGCAGCGATACGGCATGGTGTGAGCTGTCGATCCCTCTAGCTCCACGGACACGCCAAAAAGGGCCCGCAATTCGACCGCAGTCTTTCCAGATTGGATGCTGGATAGAGGGAGTTGCTCAAAGTGGTGGCGCCGCCGCCGAGCTGCATCACGTCCCCACGCCGCCAACCTGGCGTTGTCAGGCAGACAAAGGGTGGTCACCTGCCACTGCTCATGACCTTCATCGCACAGTTCCGCGGTACCGCCAAAGCGAACAGCGGCTTGCTGGACCGCGTCGCTGTTGATGTGAAAGTGATGACATGAGAAGAAGAGGAGCATGAATTTCACCCTCGACAGCTGGCGGTGGCATGAAATTGCCAGTGCAGCCCGCAGCAGCCCGCAGGAGCCCGCAGCCGCCGCCCCACCGCCGCACCCGGCCACGTCGAAACTCTGAAACTTTCAAACAATTCCAAAATTTCCCGACCGACACCGCTCCCCCGCTCCCCCACGCTACCGAAAGAAGCTGCATATACTGTAGACACCGAATCACGACCCGCGCTGAACCCCTCTGAGTAGAAGGTCGGGTTCGACGGTGCTGCGAACACAGCTTTTGTCTTGTAGCGGATCGCTGCGTCTCGCTTGCTTGCACGCACGGCCGTCCCTGCCATGTGAGCAAGCCATGTGAACACACCTCACGTGGAGCCATCAAGCTCCACGAAGAAGCATCATAAAAAGTGTGGCGCGCGTCCAAACGCTGCAACGGGAGGCATTCTAGACTGGTTGCGTCGACGCCAGCTGATCCTCGAGCCGCGCCATGTGCCTGCATCGTTCTCGGTGGCGGTCCCAACACGGCACACAGCATGCACAGCATGTGCAACAGCCACCTACGACCACCGCCCTCAGCCAGTGCGCCTCCAAGCCCCCCTCTTGGCAAGCCCTCCCGGCCAGGAGTATCGACTTTGCCCTGCAGCCCGAGACGGAAGCGGCGCTTGCCTTTGACCCGAAAATTTCGCTAGCAACAAGGCTTGGAAGCATGTCGACCTTGATCGTCCGGCACACTTTACCGGAACGGTTCCGTTTTGCCTGTTTCGACAACAAACGTGTGAGAGAGGGGTCCAAAAAGTGGCGATCTGTTAGACCTCAGCATCTGCTTTTTCTGTGAGCGCGCTTTTTCAGAAAGTGACACAAAGCACCGTTGGTCGAAGAGCCTGAGCTGCCGAAGCGCACCGCACGGCACACCACACGCGCCACGCACACGGAGTGTTCCGAGACCCGGACGCTTAGCCTTCTCATCCGAGCGCTCGCCTCCTGGTCAACGCAACCACAAGCCCTCTTCAACCCACCAACCTCATCTGGCTCGCTCAGCACGCTGGTCCGTGCAATAGGCTGCTCTGACCCTCATCACGCTTCTCGCACTTTGGGCCGAGACCAACGACGCACGCCGGCCTCGCCTTGCGCCGCTATTCATACATCGAAGCGTGTCTCGACATAGCTCTTGCGGTCCCGATTCCGCGCAAGCCGACACACGCACCATCGCCCGCACTTTGACTTGTCGACGATCGTACATCCTTCACCGAGGCAGAAGCTGTCGCGCCGAAGAGCATGTCACCGCACCGAGCTCGTCGAATCCAGCCATAGTCCGTCGGATCCGTAGGGCGAAGCGCTCGGCGGCGACGCAGCTGCCAGCATGGCCATCACGCTGCAGACGGTGCTTCCGAGCAAAGTGCTGCCGCGCGCGCCCAGTCCGAACGCGGCGTCGCCCAACCCGGGCGTGCGCTCGTCCATCACACAGTTCATCCCAGCCTCGCCCGACGCCTCTCTCGACCAGGATGCGTTTGCCACCTCGAGCGCCGGTCCAAATGCACTCGACGCTCCATCGACCCCCGGGGGCAGTCAGTATGCTCATACACGCAGCCGTGGTCTCAGCACGAGCTCGAATGCTCAAAGCGTATACAGCGCCGATGGTGGCACAGCTGGGCTGAAGAGTCCCATGTCACCGATCGCGCTCGGGCGCAAGTCGATGTCCGCCGGCGCGGGGTCACGCAGGGGCATTGCGCACAGCATCCGCGTGCTCGGCGTGGATCGCGATCCGGACTTATTCGACATGGCACCGCTCAGCAGTGGTCAGGTCGATGTCTCTTTCGAAGCGACGCTGCGAGCACAACCACCAAGCAGCAAGGGAAAGAACCGCGCTCGGGATCCTCTCGACGACACCGAAGCACACGCGCTGTTCGATGTCGACCTCGAGTCGGGTCAGCCTGCGTCGAGTCAGTCGCGAGCGACTAGATTGTTGCAGCTCGGAGTGCAGTCGATGCCATGGAGCAAGTCGCGAGCACGGACGTCGACCGACGCAACCCCACCCGCTGTGCCGTCGTCTCTACCCCAGTCGCTCGACATTCCGCGCGCACACGCTAGCCTATCGGACGATGGAGACAAGCAAGGAGGCGGGATCGAGGACGAGGATGGTGGGGACGATGATCGGCAGCATCTGCTGTACAGCGGAGGCGAGGCAGACCGGCCGGGCTTCTTTGCACCGGGAGACCGAAGTTTCGGGTACCACACGCTTGGTGGTGCACACGGCGTTTACGGTGGCAGGGTGGGATTCGAGCCGCTGTTGTGGAGGGAGCGCATCTGGATGATGACCGGTGCGTGCCTTGTTGCGGTGGTCGTGGTCGTGGCCATCTTGATCAGCATTGATGTAATTGATTGGCCAGGCGACGGGATCGGAAACAACTAAAGAAGCCGCCTAAGGCACTCGAAAACTGCCCCCATTGTATTTGTATCTCGAGCATTATGCATTTCAGCCCGATCCGACCGCACAGCGAGGCGACTTGTGGCAGCAGTGTGGGATGGTGAGCCGGGTGGTGTCGAGATGTTCGGAATTCGGAGAAGGAGATGGTGACACGACGGTGATGGTCACCTCGGCAATCTTTGTCCCACATGGAACGATTGCCCCGTCGCGTGGTCCTAGCTTGGGCCAGGCTTCTTGTGTTGGACGTCGGGGTGCTTGTTGTCGGCGGAACAGGGTCGGAGTTCGGCCGCGCTGAGAAGGAAGGCCGCAATGCAGAGGCCGATTTGACTGTCATCTCGCATGGCACAAGGCGAACACGGACACACCTCTTCCGCTGTACCACACTCACGCTTCGAAGTACGAAGCGTTCGGGACGACGCTGATGCACTGACCGATGGAGCGTCGTGGGGAAAGCGACAAATAAGCTCCAACTAACTCAGTTCCGCACGCCGGATCATCTTGCTCCGTGCCCACCCTATGCCGTCTCCTGACAGCTTGCCGATCGACAAATCGTCTCGTCTCCTCAAGGCAGCAACCATCACCACTTTCTCTTTACGGGCTTGTCGCTGAATACCGCCAAGCAGTGTGATGTGTTCAGGCAAGAGGATGGATGGCGGGTGGCAAAGAGGGCGGAGTTGTACCACCAAAGGGATCGGCGGCGTGCGGCGGGAGAGTCACAAAGTGAGACCGGCATCGGCTGCATCTCTCCTTGGACCCTGTCGAATGCCTGGGCGACTCGACGCTGCAGTGCGCGTGACACGTTGAGCGTCCGTATGCTCGGCTAGCGTTCTTTTTAGCGCCAAGGCACGTCCTCTCATTCCGCCCGACGAAATCGACGCACGTTGCCCGCGCCGCCTCGTCCATTAGCGCCCAACCGCGCGCGCCGGCGTCGATTCGGATTCCAGATGGCCGCTCCGCGAAAGCGTCGTGCGCTCGGAATGTCGGCCCCAAGCTTGGCACTCGTCCACAACCCTCTCTTCTCGGCTGCCCGGTCCTTCGTTTCGGCTGCACGGCGCCCGAGTTGTAGAGATCGTTGCGCTCGTGCGCCGGCCGATTAGCGGCAGCTCGTACATCGAACCTAATGTAGCGCTTCGTGCGAATGCGTGGCGAGGACGAGCACCGCGCCACACGCTCACTCGGCGCCTCCGACGGCAACGCAGCACCGGCTATTGCGACAGAGACTCATACCTGCGAGTGACAATATTAGCCGGCTGTCAGATATCCATATAAGACCAGATGAATGAGGCGGTCATCAGGCGTTGGTTGCTCCTCATACTCCCCTCTCCGCCCAGGCCTCTCTATACCCCCCTGTCCCTCAGTTACCCTATCCAGCGGTTGCTGTTCTAGACGTAGATCGCCATGAAGCTGCTTCAGATTGCTTCTGCTGTTGCGGTTGCTGCGCTGTCGGCAACGAGCGTGTCGGCATCGCCGCTCGACTCGGACGTGCTCGCCTATCCTGCTGGCGTCCAGCGCTCGGTCGAGGCGCGAGAGGTGGAGCGTCTCGTGGCGCGCGACAACACCGCACCCACCTCGCCGTTGACCAACTACCAGCAGTACCAGTTCCCCGCCCAGCTCTCGCAGGCCGCCTACTGTGGCCAGCCCGTCGGCGCCAAGGTGGGCGACGCGCAACTGCTCTGGACCGCCGGTGACGGTCGATCGACCCCGATGACGTTTGTTGCCTACTCGCCCAGCAGGGGCGTCATCGTGTCGCACCAGGGCACCAACACCTCGAGTTTCTCTTCGATCCTCAACGATGCCGACTTTGCGCTCGACCCGGTCAACTCGCGTCTGTCGTACCTCGGCAGCGTCAAGGTGCACGGCGGCTTCCAGGACACCTGGCTGCGCACCGCCGACTCGGTGCTCGCCCAGGTCAAGTCGGCGCTCGCCGCCCACCCGGGCGCTGCCGTGCTCACCGTCGGCCACTCGCTCGGCGCCGCCATCTCGCTGCTCGACGCGCTCTACCTCAAGAAGCAGCTGCCCTCGTCTTCGGTCAAGTCGGTCGTCTTTGGCCAGCCCAGGACGGGCGACAAGGCCTTCGCCAACGCCGTCGACGCCAACCTGCCCGGCTTCGTGCACATCAACAACGGCCGCGACCCCGTCCCACGCCTGCCGCCCGCGATCGACTACCAGCATGCGTCGGGCGAGATCTGGATCAACCCCGCCAACTCGCTCTCCGCCGTCACCTGCCCCGGCCAGGAGAACAAGAACTGCATCCTCTCGGTCAACCCCTTCACCTACGATGTCTCCGACCACACCGGCACCTACTTTAACGTCCACATTGCCGGTCGTGGCGAGAACTGCCCCGCCGTCATCGGATGATCCCTGAAGCAACGAGCAGAGTCTGCGTTTCTGATGGATCCAGGTGCTCCTCGTTGGTTTTGCGCCTGCTCTTCCTCCTCTGCCGGTTGAACCCCACATTCCTTTCCCTTTCAAGTTACAAAAGCAGCCTGGTTGCTGCGCCCTGCCCCGTCGTTACCAATCCGTCTTGTCATGGGCGATGCAACGGAATAGATCCTGTTCTCCTATTCTCGGAAGTGTGTGGTTGCGTAGGGCAAAGATGAGCGGCCCGATGAAAAGCCTACATCGCGATCTCACACGTCGATGCGGCGCGGATGATTTCACGGAAGCATGCGCGGGGTGTGACTTTAGAAAAAACACGTGTGACGTCGAGGGGAGCGCGGTAAACACGGCCGGGAGCCCCGAATTTGGGCTATTTCTGGCCGTAGCGGTGTGATGAGCAGAAAGGTGTGTGGAGAGTCGGAAGCTTCCCTGCTCGACCCGATTGGACCGACCGACCAAACAAAGGCCATCGCCTCCACCCCTTCACCCTCTCACGACCACACCACCGCTACCCCACATCCCCACATCTCCTCCATCATGCTGCGACGCATCGCCAGCCGCACGCTCCGCGAGCCCGTCGCTCGCCCGTCGTCGCCTGGACCCCAGCCTGTCGCCGCCACCTCGGCTGCCGTGCTGTCGTACCAGTATCAGCTGCTGCAGCAGTCGCGCGGCCTCGTCTCGTCCGTGCTTCTCAGCAGCACCCGCGACGCTTACGAGACCAAGAAGATCGCCGAACTCAAGGCAGACCTCAAGTCGCGCGGCCTCGCTTCCACTGGCCGCAAGGACGACCTCATCAAGCGCCTCGTCGACCACGACTCGTTCGTCAATGGTAGCACCGCCAACATCTCCTCCATTCCCAGCTTGCGCAAGAAGTCCACCCTTGCCTCGCTCCGCGACGGCGCCAGCAAAGACGCCAACAAGGACGCCAAGAAGGCCGACGCGCCCGCTCCCCCCGCGCCCACCTCCCAGTCCGGCCATGCGGTCGTGAAGGGTACGCCTCCCTCCAAGGACGGCGGCGAGCCCAAGGGCCCCATCGTCGATGCCGACACCGCCAAGGCCGTCGCAAAAGCCTCCAAGCCGCTCGGCAGCATGAAGGAGTCCGAGACGCCCGCCAACCTCGAGCCTGGCACGGTGCACAACGCTGCTGCCGACGGTCTCGCCGGCGATGCCACCGCCAAGGCGTCGCCCTCGCAGCCCGACGAGGGTCCGGCCAAGAAGACCACGCCGCCCGGTCTGCCGCCCCACAAGGCGCCCCAGCCCAAGGAGACTTTCAACGTGCAGATCCCCTACTACCCGGACGCGCCCGTGCCAGGACCCGAGATCCCCGTGGTGACATCGTACACCTCGCCGCACCTGCGCCAGCCCGCCAGCTCGACGGACAACTCGCCGTTCATGCCCAAGGCCATCAGCGTGTCGGCGAGCTCGGCCATCTCGCACGCGTCCGACATGAGCGAGCACTCGAATTCGAACTCGGACGACTCGTCGCGCCAGAAGGGCATTCTTGCCGAGATCCTCGCCGACATCCAGGCCAGCACGGGCAGCGACGGTGACAAGCAGTCGGCACTCAAGGGCATCAACAAGAGTGTCGATGCGGCCAAGGATGCGTGGTCCAGCGTCGCCGAGCAGGCCAAGGGTGCGTTTGCCTCCGCGGCAGGTGGCGAGTCGTCGTCCTCGTCGGGATCGCCCGGATCGTCGGGCTCGGGCTCGTCGTCGCGCAGGACCAACCGTCCGCTGAATGAGCAGGAGCGCTCGGGCGCATTTGTGCTCGCCGGCATCGTGGTGGGCGGCTTCGTGCTTGGTGGCCTCGGCAAGCCGAGCAAGGCCAAGGACGCCAAGGATGCACACCACGACTCGAACAGCACGCAGCCCGACAGCACCACCGAGGCCAAGAGCGTCAAGGTGGTGGTTCCTGTCGCGGCGATTCCAAAGGGCGACCGTGCGCGTGCCGAGGAGGACGCCAAGCCGACGGGCAGCGCCGTGCCCGTGCCTGCGGGCAGCAAAGTGCTGGCGCCCGTCATGTGTGTTCCCAAAGGAACTCAGCTTTCTGCCGGCGTGGATGCGAGTGCTGCGCTCGCACGCCTCGCACAGCTGTCCACTTGCGAGGTGAGCATCACCCGTTCCTAAGCCCCTCCCCCACTAGGCCAACTATGTAGATATGCACTGGCTATCGATTATGCATCCGCAGTGTGCTGACTCCATGTCTGTTCTGCGCTTTTTGGGAAGGTTTCGGATGCGATGCTCAAGCTCAACCTGAGCGGTGGAGGGTATTTGCCTGGCATCGAGATGTACTCTCCCAACGGCGCGGAGAATGTACGCGTATGTGGACCGGCTTGTACGGTTCGAATGGTTTCTCAGCAGGACACTTCGGCGCCCAAACCTGCGCGTCACTTTGTTGATTCTGCCGAGGGTCACGAGGGCAGCGTTATGGTGATCGCTGCGCCTTCGCTCGCTAGGTCTGCAGTATGGGGTGGACTTATGACTGCCCGTGCGCAGTACCTTGGTCTGCAGGGGGTAGTGGTCGACGGTCGATGCCGCGATCTAGCCGAGCACCGTGATGCCGGGTTTGCAGTATTCGCAAGAGGCCATTCGATCCAAGGCCAAAGCCCATTCACCCGACCAGCCCAACTTCAAGTCCCCATCACCATCTCCGATCCAACCATCACCAGCGAGGGAGACAAGCTCAACCCTGCTCCTAAAGAGGTCACGGTGAGACCGGGAGACTTGGTGCTTGCTGATCAAGATGGAGTCGTGATCGTTCCACCCGAGAACGTCGAGGAGGTGGTTAGGCTGGCGGAAAAGGGTAGGGCGGAAGACGAGTTGTGCATGCGAGATATTCGTGCCGGTATGCCCGTCCAACAAGCCTTCGCCAAGAACCGCACCAAGTAGACCACACCTCCTTCCACTGTCAACAGCAGCTATCCCATCCACACCACAAAACACGCGATTGCAAGATTGAACGTCGTGATGAATTATGCCGAGATGGCTGGGTTTTGCAGCCAGTCGAGTGCCGGGTTCTCCAGATGATCTGTGCCGCATCGACAAGCCTCAATGTCAGCATTCCTGTCTTGGATCGACGCTGGTGGCGGAGACTTACCGTCGAAGTCAACGAGCTGTTCCCAGTCGCCGCTGGTGTTCATGGCATCGTACAGCTTCTGGACCTGGTCTGGCTGCTGCAGTGTCAGCGCCTCCTGCTTGAGTGGCTTTGGCTTTTGCTCCGTCTTTCCCTGGGCCGCTGCGACGGGGTATGCAGTCATGGCGTGCGTGTTCGGGTTCAAGATGGTCGCATTGTTGACGTGCACCAGCACCGCCTCCCTCCGCGCGAGGCCGGCGATCTTTTCCGCGAGTCGCAGCGCGTGCGTTGACGGCGCGACCGTAGCCACGAGTTCGGGCGCCTCGTACACGCCCACCACCACGAGCTTGCGCGTAGCAGCGTACGATGTCGCGAGCGAGAGCGCCGCTTCGGCAGCGGGCGCGAGCGACGTCCAGTGGTGCGAAAGCGGAATGCTGTCCGTGATGAGCAGTTCCGACGAAGAAGAGGCGTCCGCGAGCAGGAGGCCCAGCACGCGAGAGGTCGGGTACTTGGCTGCGTGCAGCACGAGCTTCTTGTACGCCAGTGGCGACACGCGCACCGAAGACACCGTCGACATGGTCACGATCCGTACAGAGGTGGGTGCAGAGCGTAGAGCAGTTGTGGGAAGATTGAACGGGATGGCGTGTGCACCTGTGTTGTCGATCCCCGATCTGCCATTACGGCGTGTGGGGTTTGTGCGTGTGCGTGTGTTTCGGATCGAGCCCACTGTGAGCGCGACACAGGTCGTGGAAAGGGAGATGGAACTCACTCCGGGAGGGCATAGTTCTCGGCCGACAGTTTTCGGCTGACACAGCGAACGGGGCCTCATCTGAATCCCCGATGCTCATCGACCCATTTGTTCAAATCCAGTGCGAGCGAGGCGAGGGGCTGTAGTCGCGAACGCGCGGAGTCCTTTTGATGTTTTTGGCGTGTCAGCGTGCTGCTGTTGTGCACGCAAACACACACTCGTGCTGTTCACCAATGCACCCTGGCGTGTCCATCTCCACTCGTGCCCATCGTCGACCTAGCCATCCGCCCTCATCCTCGACTCCGCCTGCTTCGTTACTCTACGCATAGAACCTCGCCTGGAGTGCTTTTCGACCTTCCCACGTCCATCTTTTGGATCCAGCTCTTCCCACCGGAACCGCCGACGGCGTGCATAGATACGCGGATCAACCGACCAGATTGCACGCATCACCCTGCGTCACTCGTGACCCGGCCCACTCACGACCTTGGCAAGCATGTGCTGAGTCTTGCTACCTTTTACACTCACAAGAGCGCGTCATGCCGCTCGCCTCGACCAACGCAAAGGCGCGTCTGGCGGCTACCAAGACGCGCCAGCCCATCGCCTCGACCTCCGCCTCGACATCTGCGTCTGCTTCGGCTCATCCGACTGCCGCGTCCATTCGCAGTAGAGTGCCTCCCTCAGGTCATGCCTCCCTACACGATTCTGCGCTCTCGCAACCCCAACCGTCGCGGCCGTTGCAACTCCAGCTGCCGCCTCCCCTCCCAACACTTGTCGATCTGCAGACTGCAAACAAGATCGCGCCCTCATCACAGGTCATTAGCGCACGCTTGCTATCACTCGCACGCTCCTTTCTCGCCATTCAACCGGACACCGCCTCGCCCGACCCCCTAGACTGGGAACTCGATCTATGCACAGCCACCTTCTCCGCCGTCTATGCAGTCTGCCTCGATCCTGCCTCCACCCTCGCTCGCAGGACGCTCGCCCGATGCGCTCGTCTAGGCGGCTTCAACATCGTCCTGCCCTTCGCGCCGGCTGGCAGCGCCGCCTCTTCCACCGTCTCTCCCTCAACGCTAAGCTCGCATGACCCGCACGACGTTCCGGGCGCTCACGCCTGCATCCACATCCTCCAGCAAGGCTCAGCTGCTACCTTCCAGGATTCCGACAGCGCCAGAGAGTATCGAGACGCCAACCGCGTCCTTGGACGTGCCTCGGATGCTGCAGATGTTCTCAGCATACTCAACGACAAGGTGCTTGGAAAACGAAAGGCCTCGGACACCAAAGGTGACCTCACCTCCACCGCCCAGCCCGTGCCGGCACACGCTCGCTTCGCGTCACAGCTCCAGACAGACGTTGCTCACGCCTCTTATTCACGCAACCGTGTCGAGGAGGCGCGAGCCACTTTCGTCCATGCCTTGGAGCAAGACCCCTTCAATTGGCGCGCATGGGCAGGGCTTTGCGACACTGGCTACGGCTCGGGTTCTGCGAGTCGGCATCTCGGTCTGTCCGCTCTGGATCGCCTCTACTCCAAGATCGTGGTCGACGTGCAGGCGCCATACGTATCCATGGAGGCAGCACTCAAGTCTGCACCCGCCTTCTCGGCTGGCGGCCACGCATCCTCCTTGGCCATGGTTCGCAAGGTGTCCGAAGACGGATCGAACAAAAAGTTCAAAGTCTCCTCGGAAGCTCCCCCCGTGCCTCCCCTGCCGACCAGCGACAACCGTACAGCACCCTCTTCTGCCAAACCGACGGGCAACCTCACGCCTCCGCTCCCCACCACTTCGGCGAGCAGCGTTACGGCAACTCGGCTCCATCCACCCTCGCGCGCCCTCTCCGCTGCACAGACCAACACCCACCATCTCGACCCCTTGCCTTCGGAGCAGGACGACGTCAAGGCCTCCAAGGTCAATACTGTCATTTCGCGGCCAACTCGCAACGGCGCTGTTCGCACCGCCACCATCACCGATGGCACCACGACGCAGAACGGCCGACAGCTACGCTCGACAGCTCAGAGAACGGGGCCGGCAGCCGCGCCGACCAACGTGGCCGCTCGCGCCCGTCCCGTCTCGGCCGTGCAAGGCAGGGCCGGCGCAATCAGCCAAGCCGGCAGCGTCTCGTCGACCTCATCGGCGTCGTCTGCATCCTCAATGACTTCGCGCGCCACTGCCTCGACCGCTCGCACCGCCGTGTCCACGCGTAGGGCGGCGACAGCCACGACCAGCCAGCCCACAGCGCGCGTCGGTACCGTCAAGTCCACTGCGCCAGCTTCTGCGCGGAGCGACACGGCCGTGAACGGAACCGCCGCTGCAACGAGGAGGGTGCCGACAGCAAGCGCTGCTCGCTCCGCGACGGCTAGTTTGAGCCGGCCGGGCAGCGCCATGTCCAAGGCCAGCTCGACCTCGATCAGTGGGCAGAGCACCACCGCTCGTGCCAATGGATCGCTCGCATCCGCCCGCACCGCCGCCGACGCCATGCGCCAGAAGGAAGAGGAGACGGCGAGGGCTAAGCTCGATGAGCTTGTCGCGCTGCGCGAGTCGTGCATGCAGCGTCTGACCGCGCTCGCTCACCAGCATGCCGCAGACCGGTACATCCTGGCCCTGCTCGCCCACGTCGGAGAGGCGTATCGACTGCTACGTCTGTGCGAAGGGGACAAGGCCGCGGCCGCGCTCATGCAGAACGTGCTGCCGTCGATCGGCGCTGCTGGCCAAAACGAGAACCCAGTTGTGGAGCCGCGAGCGCCAACGGATGGGCAGCAAGACGATGCGGACGAGCTTTCGTCGATAACGGCGACACCCGAAGCGACGCGCCTGCTCGATCTGCAAGTCAAGGACAGCCTCATCCACCACTTGCTGCTCGGCCGAAGCTACGCCGAAAGTGCGCAGTATGCATCTGCCGAGACGCACTTTGCTGCGGCGCGCAAGCTGAATCCGTTCGTGGCGAGTCACACGGACATCTACTCGCTCGTGCTTTTCCACCTCTCGCGCGAGGTCCAGCTGTCGGCTCTGGCGCAGCACCTGGCCATGGTCGCTCCGGGCACCGCCGCCACCCACGTTGTGGTGGGCAATGCCTTTTCGCTGCAGAAGGAGCACCAGACGGCGCTCGTGTGTTTCCAGCGCGCGGCGGCGGCGGCGCCCGACTACGCTTATGCCTACACGCTCGCGGGCCACGAGGCGCACGACCTCGGGCTTCACGACGAGGCCATCGCGTACTTTCGCAGCGCCATCCGCTGCGACCGCCGGCACTGGAACGCCTGGGCCGGTCTAGGGCGTGTGTACCTCGGCATTGGAGAGCACGAGCATGCGGCGTGCAAGAGTCTGCAGCAGGCGATCAGTATCAACCCCACCAACCACCTGCTGTGGGACTTGGTCGGCTGGACTTTTGCGCTCGTCAGCGCGCCCGCCAAGGCACTCGAGTGCTACCACCGTGCAATTGAGCTCGCGCCGGCCGCGTCGGTGCTCACGTACTTGCGCCGGGCAGAGCTGCTGCTGCAGCAGGGCGATGTTGAGGCGAGCCACCGCGATCTTGCATGCGCGCACGACCTCGCGCCGGAAGAGGCGAGCATCCACATCCTGCTGGCCCAGTCGTACATGCGCCTAGGCGGCGGCGCCTTCTGCCACCTCGAGACGTCGGGTGGTGCGGGCCAAGGTGGAGTCAAGGCCGGATCGGCGCTGCGGGCATCGGGCGTGATGGTGTTGCCCAAGGCATACCATGCCGAGATCTCGCACCATCTCAGCGTCGCCGTCGACCTGGATCCGTCGCTGCTCCGCGTCGTCAAGAGCATCTGCGAGGGCTACAAGAATCTGCCGGGCAGCAAGCTCAGTGTGCACGCGCACGACCTCACCGCCGCGTCGTTTACGCAGTCGCATCTATCGGCGGACTCGGCGGGGCTCTCGCACTACGATGCGTCCAGGGCCGAGTCGGACGCCCGACACGCAGACTCGAACGCGCAACACAGCGCATACGGCTCGTACCGACAGCACAATTCGCTGCTGGCCAACTCGACGCCGCAGCATCCCCAGCTGCTGGTGCCTGCCGACTTTGCATCCACGCATCCCGCCGCCTACCCCGACTCGAGCAGCTTCCTCAGCTTGCAAACGCCCGGTAGCACGTCGGACATTGTCCTGGAAGACGCAGACACGTAGAGCCGTCCGCGTCGCAATCCATCCGTCGCAATCGTAACCTCACTTGCAGACATCATCATGCTTCTGTCGTGTTGTTCTGCGTCAGTCACAGCATTGTTGGCATGTTGCGTATTTTTGAATTCATGTGGGGGCTTTAAGGTTGCATGGGCTCCAAGTCTCGCTGGGCCTAGATGGGCGAGTGCGAGTGAGTGAGGCCGTCTACTTGGAGGGTTGCTGCTTCTTGGCCTCGAAGATGGCGCTGATGGATTGCCAGACGACCTTGGGGCTCTGGCTGGCGTCGACGGGGGCCCAGATGCCCTGTTTCCTGTAGTAGTCGGTGACGGCGGCGGTCTGGGCATGGTAGGTTGCGAGACGCTTCTTGAGGGTCTCTGCGTTGTCGTCGGAGCGCTGGATGAGGGGCTCGCCGGTGACGTCGTCGGTCATGGGCTTCTTGGGAGGGCTAAACTCCTTGTGGTAGCTCCTGCCGGATGCGGGGTGGACGAGACGGCCGGTGATGCGCGAGATGAGCAGGTTGTCGTTGATCTTGAGCTCGACGGCGTGGTCGAGCTTCTGGTTCTTTTCGCGCAGCATGCCGTCGAGCTTCTCGGCCTGGGGCGTGGTGCGCGGGAATCCGTCGAGGATGAAGCCACCCTTGCACGAAGGGTTGGTCTCGAGCTGGTCCTTGATCATGCTCACCATGATCTCGTCCGAAACAAGGCCGCCCTGGTCCATGATCTTCTTGGCCATCTTGCCGAGCTCGGTCTGCTTGGACACCTGCTCGCGAAGCATGTCGCCGGTAGCGAGGTGGCAGACGCAGTTGTTGAACTTCTCGAGGATCTTGGGTGCCTGAGTACCCTTGCCTGCACCGGGGGGACCGATGAGGATCATGCGAACACCTTCCGGCTTGCCGCCCGTCACGGACGAAAGCGCCGACGAGGCCTTGTTCTCGAGCTGGGCGATCTTGTCGTTGAGCTGCGAAACAAGGCTCTTGAGATACGACAGCTCAGTCGAACCTGCCGAGATGGTGTCGCCCTTCATGCCAAGCTCCTTCTTGACCTCGGCCTCCGAGGCTACTCCATCGCAAAGCAACAGCACATGCGGTCAGCGGCAAGTTCTACCCATCCGAGGCGAGAGGCGAAGAGTACGTACGAGGGGGGAAGGGGCTGTCCCTAGATCCGCGAGTGGTGGTGGTAGCCATATTTGCACGAAAGGAAGGCTGAGGACAGGAATGAGGTGAAAGGATGTGGATGGAAGAAAGAGATCAACAGGATCGGCCGTGTGGAGAAGTCCGTCTGGCCGAAGCGTCGCTCGCGTCCCAATCGTCATCGAGGTCCGGCTGGATTCAATTTCGACCTTGGCAGCTGCCCTCAATCCGCACTCATTTTCTCAGCCTCATCTTTCCTCCGTTGCCAGTCGGCCACTTTGCAACCATTCTCGCACACTTCACCGCTGCAGCCTCTTTGTATGGGTGTGGCGAGAGATGAGGGTCATTGCCCATTCTCGCCCTTCCATTCAGGATGTCGCTTCGAGAGGCACGCGCGATCAGGAAGAAAGCAAAGGGTGTCGGAGAGTCCGGGCGTAAAGCCGGCCGGGACTGCCCACGGTCGGTTACATCTTCCGATCCATCCCATTCCAACCGCCTGCTGCCAAGTCGCGCCTGCTTTACAGCCGCGATCGAAGCCTGCTTCCGCATTGCTGCCGCATTTTCTGCCAGCCAATTTTGTAGCCTCGATTTTTCAATTTCCGCATTTTTGCGCCGTTTCTCTGCCAGGCCGTGCTGTGAAAGCACGCGGTCAAAATCCCCCCACCATATCTTCATATCGCACGAGAGACCTGATCCCGCGCTGATCGCGGCAGTGAGCGGTCAGACAAACCGACTCACTCAGCTGTGAGTGAGGCAAACTTTGGCAATTACAAGCCTTCCGTGACATCTAGATACGAGAGCAAGACCATGACTAGGGGAGCGAGAGTAGACAGAACCAAACGATCTAGAGAGAGTGTGAGAGTAGGACAGGGAGAGGGACAGGGAGAGGGAAAGAGAGAGAGGGGGGGGGGGGGGGGAGAAAGACGACGAAAGCCCAAAACACTGACAAAGTCTTGGGCGTCTAAACAGGGCTTCAAGCGTGGTTTCCGCCGTGCTGCTGGCCCGACTGCATCTGAGCTGCCTGCTCATTCTGCAGTCCAAGCTGCATGCCAGCCTCGCCGAGAGCGTCGAAACCCACGTTGAGGGCGGGAGAGAGGGTCGCTTCACCGTTGGTCGCGTTCGGCGCCAGTCCGCTCGACATCGACTCGTTCGCAGGCATCGAGCTCAGCGCTGGCAGCTGCGCTACCATGTCCGAAGGCATCGAAGACATGGGCGTTGTCTGCCCCGACGTTGGCCGCGCCGCATCGGCGGCGATGGCCGCTTTGCGCGACGGGATCGACAGCATAAAGTTGGCCGCCTGCGCCTGCTGCTTGCGTTCAATCAGACTGCGCACCTGGTGCACCTGGATCTCCTCGCTCGACGCCTTGCCGTTGGGCGGCTGCGATTCGAGATGCGACGCAGCCAAGGGTGCGGACTGCGGCGGCATCGACAAGCCCGACTGCAGCTGCTGCTGGAGTGCCTGCGACGAGGCTGGAGCCTGCAGCGCCGGCGCACCGAGCAGCTGCTCACCCGCACCAGCCGGGAATGGGCTGTGGTTCAGTTGCGGCGGCATCGGCGACGCCAAGGCAGAGGACAACTGAGAGTTCGATCGACCGGCCTCAGCGTTGGCGCCGGGTACGTCCGAAAGCTGCGGCGTGAGCATCGCAGCCTCGTTGACAAGCGACTGGAAGTACTGCGGACGCGTATCGGCGTGCACGGGAGGCGTGAAGGGGAACGCGATCGCGTTCAACACGGCAGGCACCTTCGAAGGCTCCACGATCTGGTGGTTGATCGATTCGCTTGGAAAGTTGGCCGGCGGCTGCCCGTTGATGAACGCGTGGCCGGGCGGGGGCAAGCCAGGATGTATCGGTTGCGGAAGCATCGGTGCAACGCCATGGGCCGGAGGCATACTGCCCGTCATGACGTCCATGCTCGGTTCGGAAGGAGCCGAGTTGATGCCGGATGCATGCTCGGCCGCGAGGGCACCGGTGCTGGCGGCTGGGCCTCCATCATTGGCCTGCAGCTCGTCGGCGGCGATCGAGGCAACTTGCAGGTAGAACGAATGCTGGAGCTGGTGAAGCTGGCCTCCATTGACATAGTGAGCGGTGACGCTCACCTCGCCGCTTTCGCTGCCCGCCGTCGGTGTTCCGGAGAGGACTCTGTTGTTCTCCTCCCATTGGATCCAAGAAGGTACCTGGTTGCACGAGAAGACCGCCTTGATGCTCGTCGACGATGCTTGAGGATCCCACACCTTGAGAGGCCAGGTCCACTTGAGGCCCACGTATGCGATCTTTTCGGGGGCGCCAGCGATCTTGCGGGTGAACTCGCGGAATTCCCATCCACCCTCGGGGATCTTCTTGGCCTCGACGATCCAGATGTGGTTGCCCTTGGACTTGGCCTTCTTGCCGTCCTCGTTGAAGCGCGAGATATAGGGCTGCGTCCAGAGGAACTGCTTGATCTTCTTGATCGAGCAATCGGACTCGCTGATGCCATTGCGGTACACCTCTGCCTGGAAGGCATTGGTGAAGGCCTGGATACGGAACTTGAACGGACGAAAGTCGGGCGACTCATCCAGCCTGGCCATCTTCTTCGGCATCAGCGTCTGGTGCAGAAGCTCGCCCCTGTCGTCGGTGATCTCCAGGTCCGAGCATACGGCCGTGAGGAACTTGTGGAAGATCGACTCCAGCTTGCTGCGCAGCTCGGGAGAGAGGGCCGTGGTTGGCGCATTCTTGTCCCCGTTGGCTGCAGAGGAGTCTCCGCCTCCGTTCTCTTCGGGCGCCCCGAAATCGAATGACGCGCCGCTCGAAAAGAAGCCACTGCTGCGGTGACGACGGTGCTTGGTTAGGCGGCGCTGTTGCCCGGTCTCGTCGGCCGGGTTGCCTTCGTCACCACTCTCCTCGCCATTGCTGAACGAGTCGTCGGGCGACGAAGGCCCCGAGTCGACGGCCGACTGGTTATAAGAGGTGTTGGAGCTGGAAATGGCCGACATCTGCAGTGCGCTGCGTGAGATTTTGGACTGCGAGCGTTCTCCGAAATGTTGGACCTCAGAGTTGCCCAGGCTCTGCGCGATGGGAGCGGACATCGTCATGGCGTCCTGCAGCGAGCCTCCGCGCGCATGTCGGTGCTGGTGCAAAGACGGGCTGGAGGGCATGGACTGTGCAACTGCATTGCCTGGCAGTGCCTGTGCCTGAGAGAACTCGAAGCCGTTTTGCGGCGTTGTGGGCGATGCGTTGAGCGACTGCGTTCCGTTGGGCAGAGACGTCACATTGGCGAGCAAGGCATGCGATACGCCGCCGGGCATGCCGTTTGCCATCTGGGCCGGCGGAGCACTCTGGGCAGGCATGGGGACTTGGGCCTGCGACAGAGTCATAGACGCGCCGGAAACTGTCGGAGGTGCCGAGGGTGGGGCTGCAGGTGGCTGCACTGGCGTAGCATTTTCCGAGCGATGCGACTTTGATGGCTGTTCGGCCAAGTCGCTGTCGGACTGAACCGGTCTCTTGCGAACCACAGGACTGACCTGTCCACTTTGACTGTAGTCGCTCATGTCCACCGTTTGCTGCTGGTGCTGCTGCTGTTGCTGCTGCTGCGTCGAGCCAAGATCCTGCATTTGGCTGAGGGTCAAGTTGTTAGGCACGGACGCGTCATGCTGCTGCTGACTGTGCGATCGGTGCCTCTGCTGCTGCTGTTGCTGCTGCTGCGTGGGCTGTTGTTGCTGCTGCTGTGATTGTGCAAGTCCCTGCTCCAGCGACAAGAGGGGCATAGGACCTGGCTGAGTGGGTTGAGGCGGGTGAGAGGCTTGCATGGGTTGCGCAGGGAAGCCGCCTTGCGTCGAGCCTTCCGAGGACTGCGGAACTGCCGAGACGGGCACCGCAGCGGTGTTGGGCAGCTTTTGGTGCGAGAGGTGGTGAATATGCTGCAGGTCCTTTTGAAGGTCTCCGAGGCAGCGATTGCTCAGCATGCCATCTCCGTTGTGGAACGATTCACGAGCCGCGTTTGCTTGAAGAACGACATCATCGAGCAGCTTCGCAATCTGGTCGATGTAGTCGACGTGTTCCTGCGTCATCTGGCTCGCGGGCCCTGATGCTGCACGAGCAGCTGCAGCCTGCGCTTCAGCCTGTGCCTGCTGGCTCTGTGCTTGGAGATGCGCTTGCATCTGCGCCTGGGCTTGGGCTTGGGCTTGGGCTTGGGCTTGCGCCTGTGCTTGGGCTTGCGCCTGTGCTTGGGCTTGGGCCTGAGCCTGAGCCTGCGCCTGTGCATGGGCTTGCATCTGAGCATGCGCGTGAGCCTGAGCCTGCGCCTGTGCTTGTGCTTGTGCCTGTGCTTGTGCCTGTGCTTGTGCCTGTGCTTGAGCCTGTGCGTGTGCTTGCAGCTGCGCGTGTGCTTGCATTTGGGCTTGCGCATGAGCCTGAGCCTGCGCCTGGGCTTGCGAGCTGGCCGGTGTCTGCGCCTGAGAGGCCATCGGTGCGACCGACATGGGACTCATGTTCATGGCGAGCGTCTGCATGGTGATGGCGGAATTTGGACCCATGCTGTGCGATGCGGCTCGCTGATGACCCGGATTGAAGCGTTCCGCAGGCTGCATCGGTGCGCTGGACATGAGCATCTCGTTCTGCGGGGGAGCAGCGGGCCATCCGAGTGATTGCAAAGACTCGGCCGAGGCCGGCATGGACTGCTGAGGCATTGGCTGAGATCCGAGTTGATGCAGATGCAAGCCCAGCGACAGGGAGCGTTGATGAGAGGACATCGAGGGTCTTTGAATCGCACCGCCAAAGCCTGCAGCACTCGAGACAGGTGTGCCCTGCGGCATCGCTTGCGCGGGCTGCGCTGCATGTCCTGGTTGAGCCAAGTGCATCGGCATCGCGGCATCCGGGGTGGCCTGCTGAGCGTTGGACAATTGAGACTGCTGCAGCTGCGCGGATTGTGGGGTGTGGTGAGAACTCAGATGCATGGGCTGCAAGAGCTGTTCCGGCATTTGCATGTGTTGCGCCTCTACTTGCTGCTGCATTGGGGAAGGCATGGTCGAGTACGACTGTTGAGCTTGGGGTGGTTGCGCCTGCTGCGGTGTGGAGGGCGTCTGCGGCTGCTGTTGCTGCTGACCCGAGACCGCACTTTCCGCCGTGGATGCAGAGTGCTGCTGCTCCTGTCCGACATGGTTCAGCTGCATCGCTTCGTTCTGAGACGCCTGCTGGGCCATTGCGCCGGGATTCTGGGACTGGGCGTAGAGCAAGGGCAGCTTTGAGTCCGTCGGATGCGCTGAAACTGGCGAAGGGAGCGTAGACTGGGCGCTTTGCTGCTGCTGCTGCTGCTGCTGTTGTTGTTGCTGCTGCTGGTGAAGCAATTCTTGTTGCTGTTGCTGCTGCTGATGCTGTTGCTGCTGCTGCTCTTGCTGCTGCTGTCCCTGGGTCGGGTACTGGAAAGGCTGCATACCTGCAGACACGTTCAAGGGCATGTCGAAGCGTGGCTGCTGGGAGACGTGTTGCCCTTGGGCTTGGGCAGCGTTCATGATGCGAAGGGCGTCCAGGACTACGGGGGAACGGGGCCGCCGAAGTGCGTCTCCGCGATCAGGAACGGCGAGCCCAGCGGTGGAGAAGTGGTGGAAGTTGTCCGGTGCCAGGTGAGGAGATGGCAACGCACCAAAGCTGAGACGCTGGGTGGGACGGTTGATGTGGCCGGCGTCTGGATTTGGGTTGGTGAAGCGTCGGCGAGACTGCGAGAGCAAGAAGCCGTCGTTGAGAAGCAGGGGTGACGCGGTGCTGGATTCGGTACCCTGGCGTGACCCGGTGGCGGAGGAGGACGCCGACTCGACCAGATCGGTCTCCTCAAAGACGGAGGGAAGTTGACCAGTGTTCCAGGCGATGGGAGCTGGCTGAGGATGGGAGATGGGCTGCTGCGCGAGTGAACTCGACGACTCGGGTTGTGAAGGGGGCCACTGAGGCTGATGAGACGCTTGAGCTTGCGAGGAGATCGTGCTGGGCAGCGGTGGCGGCGTAGGAACCTTGCAAGGATCCTACGCTTCGAGAGATGAGATGTACTGGGCTTCGCAAGGTGGACGTCAAGGTCGAGCTTGAGGAGCGAGAAGGATCGAAGCAAATGTAGGGATGGGAATGTGTCGCGGAACAGCGAGAGCGGCTTCCGTACACTACGTGGTACTGGTTGATGATAGTGGCGGGTGTGGATGCGATAAGTTACGTCGAAAGTGTAGGACGCAACGGAGCTTCTCGTCGAATACCGGCTTCGACGAATGAGGTACGAATCAGATGTCCAAATGTCGCAGATGCAATGTCGTTGCCGATGTACGCAGCTGTCGGTTGAAGGCGTCCTTGGCGAAGATGCCAGACTGGGGGATCGCTGGCAGATGCAAGGTGTAGGATGCGGGTAAGGATTAGAATGACGGCAGGCTGGATAATGTGCCCGGCGACTATAATATCGGCGATTCCGAGACTAGAAGGTGAAGAGACAGACAAAGGGAAAGCTGAGCAGGAGCGGCCGAGCGCTGCAAGGTCGAGTAGGTGCCGGATGTGCCGATGAAGAGCGGTGGAGCTTGTTGGTCTGCTGACGGTTGGAGAGGGTTGAAGGTTCAAAGCTGAGCAGAAGGGTGAGTGGTCGGCACGAGTCAGACAAGCGGAATAGGGAGGTGGCGTAGTAGAGATGAAAAGCGGGAGTCAGGGTGTGTGGGGGAAGGTGGGGGGAAAGCGGGAAGCGTGTATAGGTGATGATGGTTGGAAAGATGCGAGCCAGAGTGACGGTGCCGAAAGCTGGCTCACGATGAAGAAAGGTGCGGCGGCACCTTTCGCACTGCCTGCGAAGCCGTTAATCTGATGGGGCTGTCTGTGGGCGGCGGCCTGCGGCTTCTTGGCCGCATGGCGACCCACTCTGGCGTGCAGCAGCCTGGCTCGCGGCGGCTTTCTTCTCAGAAATTGCCTGGACTCTGAAAAAAAAAAGAGTGTGCTGTAGGCGGCCACTGCAGAAGTGCGGCGCAAACAAGCTCGCCTGCATCCATCCATCCGCTCACTTGGCTGCAACGACCACTTTCAGCCAGCCGCCTGCCGCCTGCCGCCTGCTGCCGGCCGCCTTTCACCTCGAACCGCCGACTCCAACCCTTTTCTGCACCGCTTCGTTGCAGCGTCGCCCTCTCTCGCTTTGATGGACCGTCGAGGCATCTCAGCTTCCGCAGTGACCCTCGCCTGAGCGTCCAGCGTGTCGACTGACACAAAGCACTGTGAGTATGGCGCATGAACGCACACGGCACTGGACGGACGGCCATGCCATGCAAGTCGACAAAAGTCCATCGCTTGCTTCGACTTGCATGCGCACCGGAATGCCCTCTCTCGCTTGGTCTTTCTGCGAGGCGACAGTAAAAATAGGGCTGGAATTCGCAGCCCAAGGCCTCTCTCGTCGGCCCAGTGAAGCTCGACCTTCCTGAAATAGCGAAAGGGCCTGCATCGATGCAGCCAGTCTGCATACGATTCAGCGCATCGTCCGACCCGAGCCAGGCCCCCCACATTGGCGGCAATCAATGCCTTCGGGGGTCAGGAGGCCAGGAGGCTGTGGTCCCCTATCCCCGCCTACAGAACTTGGCCGGTTGCTACGGATGAGCCGCAAATGAGCTTCTGAGCCCTGGGACTGGCTGAGGCGCTGAAGAGCCTGGAAGAGCAGCATTCGACTGCGGTATCTGCATGACTTTTGAAATCACAAGGGGGTCAGCACTACAAAGTGTGCCGTTATGCTGCTCGGATTTGTAGTCGAAATTCGAATTCAGGTACATTTTCGCTGCGGACAATGGCTGTCCTGCACCCATCGAGGCAGAAGCCTACGGCTCAGGAGCCAGGAGCGAATGCACGATTGGCGGGCTTAAGGCGGGCGTAGCAAGCTGTGTGCAGAGCAAGCGGACGGTCGACCTCCGGCTCGCTCCTGTCTCGAAGCGAGCTCGCTCGACACAAAAGGGCCCCCGATTCCTACCAACAAGTCGCATAGGAAGCGAGAGGAATGCGTCCGGGCGCTCACAACACGATGAGATCCGGACGGCCGCGCGAGTTCATACGTGCCGTCAAGCCACTGTGATTGTGATTGCTGCTGCTATGCAACGCATTGGCCGGGGCTCAGGAGTCGGTCACAGGGGCAAGGGCAGTGCTGCCCTGGACGGCGCCGCACGGACGGCCTCATTTTGCCTCGTTTTGCCTTTTTTTCCCACGTTACAGTGGGAACCATTGTCGCTGAGCGGAGCTTCCGCCTGCTCTGAAAGGCTGGGACGAGGCGTCGTGGGTTGGCTGCTTCGCAACGGCTCCGAGCCTTCATCATCCTCGTCACACACGCGGTCGGGGCTCGGTCTGCGGCTCAGCCACGCACTTCGAGTCTTGTTTGGATGACCGTCGAGAAGACGCCCGGCGAGCTTCCGTCGGTTGGTAGTGGCATTCGATCTCTGTTGATTCCATCGCACTTCAGCCTGGAACCTTGCGAGGGGCGGTGAACAACGAGGCGGTGAAGCGCTCGAGTCCATGTCGCGGTTGACCGGCGGGGGCAGTGCGGATTGGACGCTTGAGCGGCTCATCCCCACCTGACCGTTTCTGGAGGACCATCTCATCCAAGCCCCGACGGCGCGGCGAGGCGCTGCCTCGAAGCTTTGCCTTTGCTCCATTGTCCCTCTTGGCAAAGAGTTCCCATCTGGCCGGCTCCTGTAATGGCCTGTGCCAACGAGGCCGAAGTCAACTACTACCGAGGCCCCAATCACATCGCTCAGAGATTCAGCCGGGTTTCAGCATTCGCGTCGCCAAAAGGAACGAATCCACTAATGACGCAAGCGTACTCGAAGATCAGGCGGGACGTAGATGTCGAGAGCAGGACGGCTTCGATCGGTCGAGATGCTCGATTCGCAACGAGCGCGGGCACCTATTGTCTGTCACACAACGATGTTTTGATACGCCCGGTGCATTGAGAATGCTCTCCATTCGCCGAGGGAAGCGAGCACCGATCCTCAACGATTCGCTCGCGGCTTGGTCGAGCCGAGATCTTGGACGAATCAGGGCCAGTGCACTTTGAGCTAGCCTCGGGCTTAGGCGTATGGCGGCAATTCGTGCGCCTCGATTGCGGCTGCTTTCTCCTCCCACATCGTTGGCTGCGTGCGTGCTTCTGCCGGCGTTCAAGCACCCCGCCTTTTTTCTGCTTCGATCGCCGACAGCGGCCGTGAGCGCATTGCATTTTCCGTTGGCTCTTCACCACTTTCTTTCCTGTGAGTGGGCCGTCGTCTGAAGCGCTTCGTGAGGTGCTGGTCACTGACTTCGCGAGCCCCACCAGCGCAGCTCTCTAAGTGCAAGGGGGTAGAGCACGACTGAACAACGGGGGAAAGCGTCGAGCGGTCAGTTGTGAGACACAAGAGCACATGGCGAAGACCCCAGCCAGGCACGCCTGCCCGCCAAATCGACGCTTGGCGGCCCAGAGCGGCGGCCCCCGCTGGCTCGACGCGGACCAGCGCTTTCGGAGTGCCAAATCCACGTTTTCAACTGTTTGGCGACCGCCGCTCGGCTCACCACGCCGAGTTTTAATTCGCCGTGAATCGTCCTCGCACCGGCTCCATCAGCGATCGCAGTCGATGAAGCTACGCCGTATCGAGCAAGAAAGGCTAAGGACAAGGGCGGTTGACGTGGCTATACTATTCGGAAATCTTCTCGAAACAGCCGTTCGAGAACACGGCGGTCGAAAGCAGCTCGACTGGTCGGTCATCCATTTCGCCGAAGCACAGCTTACACCCCTAGTTTTTTTTTTTTTTTTTTTTTTTTTTCCCTCCTCCGTTTGGCGCGCAACTGCCACGCGGCGCCGGCCATGCAGGGCAAAAAAGCTTTCTTTTCTCCTGCTGCCTCTAAGACGCCGGGATGCCCTCTCCTGGACGTCTTGGCCGACACACTTCGGTCCATCCCTCTGGTCTCGGGGTTGCTGCCAAGCGTTTTCGGTTGAGCCTGCGCTCGTGTAGACGCTTCCTATTGGGTTTTGTGACAACGCGCAAGAAGTTTCGACGCTCGCTCGCCGACCAGCACCAACGGGTCGCGGCACGCAGTCTAGGCTTCCACCGGCTTACGCCTGCATCGCACAGCCACGAACCAGTTCGCCGGGTGCCTGGAAAAACATGTTCTGCCCAAGCCAAAGGATTTCTTGGCTGCGAGTCTGGTCGAAAGAAGTTTGGACGAGCGCAGATGAGTGAGTCAAAAGGACGAGAGAGAGATGCAGGCTTGGGCTGTGGACAGGCTCGCTTGGACGTTGCCGCAGCCGCCGCGATGCAATCTTGCTGCTCGCTCATGCGCTAGTGGCGCTGCACAACACACGCTCGATGGCGGTTCCTACATCGGCCAGTGCGTCTGGCTGCAGCCACTCGTGCCTGTGTCTTGGCTGGCTTCTAGAATGCACTGCATCCCTTCAGCTTGACAGACATCCATGGCAGTCCGCTTCTTCTCTCTCGTGCGACTCTGATCCTGTCGCGCATTCAACACCATTTCCTGTCTTCTCACATGCTTGCCGCCTCTCACACAAGAGACACACGCACAAAGATGCCAAGAAGAAACAATGGAATGCGTCGTGAAAAAAGGGTACATGAACATGAACTCTGTGAGTATGGAAGGCGAAAGATTGAGACCGGAATAGCGGGAAGCGGGGGCCAAAGTGGAATATCCAAGACGCCGCGGAATGGCTAGATCATCGTGTATAGATCACGCCCCGCGAGCGTGAGATCTGGCGGACAAATGGATGCAAAAGTGTTCGAGTCTAAAGTAGTGGCCTTGTCTTGTACGAGATCCAACTCCTCCGTGCGGTGCAAGCCTAGCGAAGGTTGCGCAGGACAGGAGCGTTGAAGCTTGGCACTGAGCTGGCGGCTGTCTTCATGTACTCTGGCACGGGCGCTACCGACGAGACCATGGAGCCCGCGCCGTCCTCCGAATCAGCGACCGAGACGAAGCTGCCCTTTCTTCCGAGCCTGAATGGCGATGAAGCGGAAGGCGTAAGGCTACCGGCCCTCTCGGCGGACGCAGCCAGCTGTGCCACGCGACCCGTCGACGTCGAGCTGCTCAGACCAAAATTGGATGTCGACGTCGACTTTTTCAGCGGCGAACTGGCGGGCGACGCTTCGGCGGCAGCACCTGTGAATTCGCGCAGCGCCGCGCTCCGGCTCTCGAGCATGGCGATCTTGTTGCGCACCGAGGGCACAAGCACCGCTGCTCCGCGCAGGTTGTGCGTCGAGTGCGAGCGAGACAGCGCTCGATCAGTGCCGGCATCGTCAACGACCGACGACATGCTGTCCGATCGCTGCACCGACATCCTACCTTCCGTCTGCACGGGCATCGACTGAAGCGTCGATGAACGCGGCAAGCCGCCCGAGTGCGCAGCGGGATCCGACGTCGAGGCGATGGATGCATCCGAGGCCTTGTGCGCCAGGGACGGCTTGGTTTCAACCACCTTTGCAGCCGTTGCTGGAGCCGGAGCGATCTGAGAAACCTCGCTCGAGAGACTGTCTGGCGTGCGCACATTCTCGGCGACACCCGTGTCGGATACGAATGCACCTTCCCTCGGCGAGGCAACATCGGGCGTTCGAGAACCCGCCGAGGAAGTGCGATCCCTGCGGCCGTCACTGGTGGCCTTGGGCTTGAGAATGAGCGGCTTGAGGCCCGTGACGGAGTGCGTGGCCCGGTGCCGGGTCGGCTGCTGTTGCTGCTGTCGATACGACAGATTGTCCGAGTGCCGCTTGAGGTTGGCAGCGCTCAACGTCTGCGAGTCGCGAGACGACACAGCAACTTCACCGGCCAACCTCTCGGCCAGCTGCTCCGACGATGCCTTGGCATGGATCGTCTGCTGAGGCAGGAGCGAGCTGGTCGCGCTGCTCTCCTTGCTGATCTTGAGCGGCCGGGTCACATTCGACACTGCATACGCATTGGTGCGCGGGGAGATCGTCATTGATGCGCGCGACTGTCCTCGTACTGGGACAGGCGGGCTTGCCACAGCCCTCCTCGCCGCAGCTTGCGACGCATTGTACACCGAGGTCGTCACCGCAGCGGCCTCAGGAGGGGCCATGCTTCCGGGCACGGAAACCTCGGAGCTCGGAGGAGCCGCAGGCTCCAGACTGACGGCTTGCATGATCGAGGAGACCTCGGCGACGTCGTCCGCCTCATCCGCATCGTGCGTCTCGGGCTCGTCACCGGCCGAATCGCGACGGCGCAGCGACCAGCCCTCGTTGCCGCCGGCGTCTGCGGCGCGCGACACCCGCTCAAAGAGCATGTCTTGCCTCTCGTCGTGCTCCGCCTCGGCGACGTGCATGCTGTCGTCAAACTGCGCATAGTCTTCGTCGTCCAGCCGGGCCGAGCCAATGACCATGTTCATTTCGGCCATCGACTCATCGTTGAGCCCCAGGGTCTGGTCCGGGTCCGCACGTGCGTCGTGGTCGTCGTCATCGTAGTCGTCGCCAATCTCGTCGAGCGAGACGGCATTGGCGTTGTTGATGCGCAGCACGGGCAGCATGCCACCGGCGTGCGGAGGTGGCGCCATCTGGTACATCTGCATCTGCATCTGCTGCATGTGATGCATGCCGCCAGGAAGATGCAGCGTGACAGGAAGCTGCGAATAGGCCGCCCCGTACTGCGCCTGGTGAGCACGATGGTGGTGCGGCTCGTACGGCTCGCAGCCCGGCGGATAGATGGGCTGGGTGGATCCGGATCGGTTGACAGAGGCCATCGGCGTCTTGGTATTGTCTTCGTCGTAGTCCTCGTCGGCACCAGAGACGCCGTCGGTGCTGCTGTTTCCACAGGGACTGTCGCCGCTACGCGCGCTCGAGGCGGAACTGCTGTCGAGCACACCGATGCCCAGTCCCGCAGGGCTGGGAGTACGGGTAGACGAGCTCGTGGTCGGCGTGACATCGACTCCACGTCGTGCAGCCGCGCTGCGGATGGCGTGGTTGATAAAGTCGAGCGACTTCTGATGCTGCAGAAGCTTCTTCTGCTCGGCTGCCACTTCGCCCGGAGAGAGCATGCGCGCCACCTGCAGGTGCTGGTCGTAGTTCGCCAGCGAGATCTCGGTCTTGCCTGGCGACCTCATCGCGTCGACCGACTTGAGTCTGGCGACCATATCCTCGGCACCATCGCGAGTGCTCCGTCCGCTCGAGCTTCCGGGAGACCTCGCATCGCCCGCACTGCTACCCGGCGAGACCCAGCTTCGCGCCGAATCGACGCTGAACTTGGCAGCCCCTGCCTTCTTGATCGGCGGCGGGTCGAGCGAGACAAAGTTGATCACGCGCAGGGGCAGCTCGACGGAGACGTCGGCCGAGAGCGAGCTTCCAATCGAGACCTTGATGCTGTAGACGACCTCGACATGGCGGCCGCGCGAGATGGACAGTGCATCGGCAGGAATGTGCATGTAGTGCGACGACTCGACGCGCTGACCCGGCTCTACTCCCGTCCACCACCCGCGCGCAGTGACGACCCCTCTGCTGCCCTTTTGGCCCATCTCGAGCTCTTCCTCGGCGATCTTCTTGCGCGTGGTCGACGTCTGACACGCATCGGGATCCAGATCGCGCCGGGCGGCCTGTCCGTCCAGATCGAGCTCGGGACGCGGCTTGTACAGCGTGACGGTGCGGATGAGCGCGAGCGTCATACCGTTGATCTTCTTGGACGTGTCGTTCTGGATGCCAATGTGGATGTACACGCGCTGACCTGCAACCCACGTATTGCGATGCAAGCTCGCCATAAGGTGCACCTTGCCCGACCCGCCGAGGAAGAGACCCTTGGAGCTGCTCGCCTGGATCGGCTTGTTTGCGCTCGACAGCACCACGGCAGGGTTGAGGTAGGGGAAAAGGTCGACGTGTCGGTAGAAGTGAGCGATCGAGCGGTTGGCACCCGAAGCCGACTTGAGTTTGACGGAGCCGATCACGATGTATCGCACAACGGCGTTCTTGCCCCTGTAGCTTCCCTTGGCGCCCTTGGACACAGGCAGCTCGAGCGAGAACGGGATCGAGTGCGAGCCGACCTTTCCCTCGGCGTAGCCCTCTGCGTCTGGAGATCCCGAGAAGCACGAGAGCGCCGAGAAGGGTGCGGTCTCGGGCGACGAGAGCGTAGGCGAGCCGTCCAGGTAGTACGGCTCGCTCGGGCCGTGATTGGAGCGATCACCATCGATGACGGAGGCATGGTGGTAGAAGATGTAGCGGGTGTCGTCGCTGAGCAGCTCCTCGAAACCGACGACGCGGATCTTGGGCTGGGCGAGCAAGACACCGCCTTCTTTGTCGGAACCCTTGCGCACGCGGATCTGCATGCGACCCTGCAGCGTACCGCCCTCGACGACGAGGTCCGACTCGAGGACAAGGTCGACCTCGACGCGCGCCTTGTTCGCTTTGCCCTGCTCGAGCGCCGCCGGCGGCGGGACGACAGTGGCGGGCACGGCATTGCTGCGCTTGAGGCCGCTCTTGGTGGGAGACTCGAGGTGCATGGGTCGAGCCGCCGACGACGGCAGTTTGCGATCCGAGTTTCCCAGCAGCCGGTTGAGCTCTTTGCTCCGGCGCATGGGGTTGGCCGTGTTGCTGAGCAGTGTTCCGTGTCTTTCGAGCAGCGCTGCGTTGACGTTGGTCTCGGACAGGCTCCTACGAGGTCGATTGCGAGGCTTGCTCGATGCGCTAGAAGCTACATGGCCGGACTCGCTCGTGTTACTTGCGGCAGAAGGAGTGGCTGTGAGCGGGGCACCGCTGTGGCTGAGAGACGTCTTCATGGGCGGAGCCTGGCCGAGACGGACGGAGCCCATGATGCTGTCCTGGTCCAGAGCGCGGATCTCGTGGGGCAGGATGGGGAGCCCAGTGTCGTAGGTCATGCGATAGTTGTCGAGGCTCACCAGAGCACCACCTCGCTCAGCCTCCTCGAGCCCCTGAAGGCCTCGCTTGCTCCTCATGGCGACGCTGGCGAGAGAGGTCCTCGACTGCTTATTCTGCAGCATGGCAGCTGCCTTGGTGGAGCCCTCGACGGGGCCATCATCTGTGCTGGGCTCGGTCGCGTCGGCCTGGCTTCGAGCTGCATTCTGGGCGCTGGGACTTTGCATGAGCGATGCCTTGGGCCCGAAACTGGAGGTGTGCGAGCGTGTAAGGGAGGTGGCGGAAGATTCGGAACCACCGCGCGACTGTGCCCGAGAGAGAGCCACCTCGGAGGGCTCGAGGTGCGTTCCCCTCTCGCTAATGGTCCCAGTTTCGTGATCGATGCGTGCTGTCTCGGAGCCGTCTGGGGCGTAGAAGCTGCCCACCTTCCACCTTCTGGACGACTCGGCCTCGTGCTGCTCTGCGAGACTCTGGTCGGACTGCGAGGGAGCATGGTCCGAGGACATATCGATTCTTTGCAGGAGGGAGGGCACGGCGGCATTTGCAGTTTGAGGGCGTGGGTTCCTGGGCTGCTTGGTGCGTGTGTGGCCACCAAAGCCATCGGGCACCATGACTTCGGTCTCGTCGTCCGAGGGTACATCTGCGCGGATGGTCTCATCGGCATCTTCGTTGGCGGTGTTGGTGCCGACTTTGGGGCCAAGGCGGTTCTGAAGAGTGACCTGGCGACTAGCAGCGCTCCTGATGCTGGCCCTGTGTCCACCTCTGCCACCGTTGCGGCCCACACCTCGTGGGATTTCGGCGGACCTGCCGAGGCTCGAGCCGCCATCGGAGCGGTATCCGGATGCGAGGCTGGTGTTGCTCTTGCTCTCTCGTACCGGTCGCTGCACCACCGGCATAAGCTGCTGCGGTGCTGTGCTAGCGCCTTGTGCTGCGCCCATGATCCTGATGCCGCGTTCATCGTCTTGTCTGTGGACACCCAGGGGTGGCTGGCTGTGATGCTTCTTGCGGATGTTGAGCTGGTTGGCGCTGCTTGCACCCGAGGAGGTGCTGGTGACAGAGGATTCGGTGAGGGTGGGGCTGGTGTCGCTGTCGGTCTCTGTGCTGCTGGTGGCTGTATCGGTCGTGTATCCGCCCATGGCAGCGACCGCTGCGCTGAGGCTGTGAAGGCTGTGAGGTTGCACCACGACGTCGTGGTGGGTGGGTGGCGACATGAAGTCCTCGTCGGTGTAGGCGCCGTGGCCAAGGATGTCGGGCTCGCCAGAGACGATGCGGACGCGGCGTGCATCTTCCTCTGCAGTCTTTGGCCTTGCACCCCGCATCTTGTTCATCGAGGACTTTTTAGGGATCATGTGTGCTCGTGTACGGCTGTGGAAGCCTGAAGTTGAAGTGGTTGCTGCCGAAGTACGCGAGCCGGTGTCGGTGGAGTAGGCCTCGGACTCATGGCCAAAGTCGATGCCGAGACCAGACATGGCTGCACCTCCCAGCGGCAGGCTGGCGCTAAGCTGGCGTGAAGAGCGAAGAGCGAAGGGAGATGGAGAACAAGGCGTCGAAACGCCAATGCTTGGGAGTGGTGAGGCTGATGGTTGTGTGAAGTTGAAGAGCGTCGACTGTTGAAGAGGGGAGGAGACAATGATGCTGGCTTGATGTCGAAGAGTGCCGGGGGTGTGGGGAAGGGCTCACTTTGAGGGCCTCGGCCAGTTGAGCGGAGAGCGAGATGTTCAGGATCAGCCACAGTGTGTCCAGAAGCATCTCGATCAACACCAAGACTCGCAGCACGGAATCAGGGCGTGAGGACTGGCACTGCCTAGAGGTCCCGGAACGGCCAGCGGTGAGTAGCGCACACATGGCTGGGCGTGGCGAGACCAACATCTAGGAGCATCAACACAGGCGGCAGCATGACGCGGTTAGCCTATGAAAGGACATACAAGGCGTCGAGCAGAGAGAGACAGGTACGGCAAGCGCATGTCTCAGCGGCCGAGCGCGGCGTCGATCCCATCATCGGAGCCGTAGTGGAGTCGGGGGCCTCGTCTGATTGGGCAGATGCAGTGGCGAGGCCGAGAGCTGCGTTTGTGTGTGTCTGACATGGCATCCAGACGAGCGTTGAGGCGTGAGGGTCTCTGTAGCGTTTCGAGAGGCTGTGAAGGGGAACGAACGATGAGGAGGTAAAAAGGTAGGCGGCAGAGCGCGTCATTTGAGCCATATCATTTTTGGGCCTTGGCGCCGTCGTTGCTTTTGCGCAGCCGGCAGGAGCCCGCGTGCCGACTGAATCATTGCGCAGCTCGCGCAGTGCTTCGTGCCGCCTCAATGGACTTGCTACCTATTCTGCAGCCTTTGCTGTCGAGATCTGCTCCGCGCCCGCCTTGCAGCCATCGCCGTGCGCAGTGCAGTGCGTATACAGCATGGTCGCCGCCGCCATATCTGACAGTTGGTTGCGCCGGCCGCAGCTCCAAAGTACGCATTTCACGATATTACGGTCTAACACTGGTGTCCAGAGAATCAAGATGTTAGATCTATTAGAGAATACTTGAATGTTACGCCGCGGGCTGGGATGTTCGTCTGGTTGTCAGGCACCGACGCACAGCCGCATGGAGAAGGTCTTTGTCGCCCAACGCGCCACGCAGACACACACGCCGTCATTACAGTAGTAATTAGACTGCTCTCGGGCTGTACCGCACTCCACTGCGCTCCACTGCGCTCTGCACGGACAGCGCTCGGTGGGGAGGCTTCACTTTGCGCGACGGCGCCTCGCCTTTTGCCGCTCGACTCAGGAGGAGGAGAAGTCAGCACCCCACCCACACACGCACTCATCCTCAGCATCAGCCGGTCCCCATCCACATCACCTGCTGGTCATCATCACCACCACTGCCCACGCCGCCCTCCTACGCTCTTCTACGCTTCACCTTGCGACACCCGCTGCCACCTAGCGTCAGCCTGCCCGGCTGCTGGCTCTCTCTCCTGCTCAGGTCTTCCCTACCCGCCACGATCGTCCGAGCTGGGTAGCTCCCGAACCTCCACGCCGGGCTGCTCCTGCTTCTCGACCTTCTCCCGACTCGGTCCAATGTCCCTGCTTCGCTCACTCCCTCTGATCTGATTCCATCGACACCCGACGCTCCCCGACGCCTCTGACTTGCATCAGCTCCTACTCTTCCGCAAGCCATCATGTCGATGGACCGCGGTTCGCCGCAGCGACAGGGTCAAGCATCGACATCCGCGCCCAACCGGGAGCCACGGAGCCCTGCCAGTCCGACAACCATCCAACGCCATCCATTTACTCGGACTCCATCCAACGAGCCACCACGCATCCACTTTGCACGCGAGGGCGACACCACCTCGGGGCGTCTGCATCCCAGCTCAGGCACCGATGCAACGCTCACCGTCGATCTCAGCTCGTCCAGCGAGCTCGACCGTGCCTCGCTCGATGCATCCGTCAATGGCTTGTCGTCTTCGATGGACTCATTCGGTGCGCATCCTACCGACGCTCTCGCGCAATCCTCCAACGCACACTCTTCGTCCGCATCAAAGTACTGGCCAGAGCCTTCGGGTTCGCACCTGCGTTCGGCGCCTTATGCCGTCAACGATTCGGACTCGCAGGCGAGCTATCCGCCGCACGAACGCAACGGCCCTCATGCAAGGATACCGCGCCTGCACACCAAGTCGCTCGGCTACACCTCCTCCAACGATGGCGACCTCACCCCCATCGCCTCCACATCCCGCATGGCGCCACCCCTCGTCGGCGTCAATCTCACCGATCAACAGATCGCCGACATGACCGAATCCGACGTGTCCGAGTACGACGACACGTCTAAGCTGCGGCGCAATCGACGCGGCAGCGGCGCAGACCCAGCCGCCACGTCCGTCTTCAGCTCCATCACAAAGAGCCTCCGCGGCGAGCCATTCTGGAGCCGATCCGCCTCCTCGTATACCCCCTTGACCGCCACCCGCTCCCGCAGCCTCAAAAAGTCCAAGTGGAATCGCAACTCCAAGACGGACAAGACCCTCTTCTCTTCCTCCGCACATCCCTCGTCCAAGGACCGCACCCGCCCACGCAGGACCCCGTCCATATGGACACATCCGCTCCGCATGCTACTCAGCTTCTTCTCCAAGCTCTTTCGCACCGCTTTCGGGCCCATCCATCCCGTCACCATCATCCTCGCGCTCGTACTCATCGCCAGCTTCGTCGCCTCGGTCACCAAGCTCATCATCTACATCCTCAATCCAGACAAGGAGCCCTTGCCCTGGCGCACCTACTGCCAGCAGCAGCCCTCCTTTCCGCACGCCTATGCAGACGCCCTCGCACCCGTCGACGTCTTTGTGGGCGTGTTCAGCATCGACAGCGCGTACGAGCGACGCCACCTCATCCGCAGCACCTACGCCACACACACGATGCCGCTCGATCCACACACAGGCACGCCCACTAGCAACGTACAGGTCAAGTTCATCATCGGTAAGCCGCGTCAGGCGCACGCAAGACGTGTGGCGCTCGAGATGGAGACCTTCAACGACATTGTGGTACTCGACATGGAGGAAAACATGAACCGCGGCAAGACGCACGCCTTCTTCCGATGGGCCGCCGAGAACGCCACCGTGCCCTTCCTGCGCGCTGTCGAGGATGGCCAGAATCCGGCTTCGGGCTTGGCGCAGGGCTCGGTGCTGCTGGGCGAGTTAGAGTCGCGAGGCCAGGGGCATGGACAGACGCGCGAGGTGCTCGGAGGATCTACGGAGCAGATGCATCGATACCAGGTGCTCTGGAAGAAGGCCGACTACGTCGTCAAGGCCGACGACGACGCCTTCTTGATCCTCGAGGAGCTCGAGCGCCACCTGCGAGTGGCGCCGCGCCAGATGACCTACTGGGGCTACCTCATCCGCAACTGGTTCATGGGCGGCGAGTGCTACGCGCTTTCGAACGATCTGGTGCAGTATGTGGCCAAGTCGGAAAACGTGCTGCACTACATCAAGGGAAAGGAGGACAAGAAGGTGGCGCAGTGGATCAACCTGCATCCGAATCGATCCTCGATCCACTGGGTCTCGGAACACTGCTGGATCTACGACCATCCCAAGGCGGGCACCGCCTATTCGCACGGCTTCCTGTTTCCGGACTACGTCGAGAAGATCAAGCTCGAGGGCAGACGCGGGCTCACGGATCAGGAGATTGCGCGGAGGGGAGGCGAGCATCGCGCCAAGTCGTACTCGACCGTCTCGCGCTGGCATTCGCCGTACGTCGAGCCGCGTGGCGACCTGACCATCGAGGAAGAGGTCGAGGCACTGGTGGAGGGCGGAGGACGCTGGTCGGGCTCGTGGGTTCGTGGCGAAGAGGGCAACGACACGCAGATCTGGGTGCCGTGGCAGCAGATCGTATTTGAAGCCAACGACGAGCGACTTCGGCCGCCCATCCTGGACAACTTGGGCGCACATCCAACACTGGCCGAAGAGGTCGGCATCGATCCCGCCACCGGTCTCACGGTTCGACACATCCACGCTGCCAACCGTCAGGCTTCTTCCGCGTTCGCCCAAGCCGACGACGATGCGGTGCACGCGCAACGGCGCAAGCGCGACATTCCGTTCTTGGCGCATCTGCCATCGGTGCCCGGCTTCGATTTTGGCGCAGGCGGCGTGTCTCGCAGCGCAGCGGAAGATCGCAAGCGCTCGTTTGCCAATTCGGCCTTGCAGCCACGCATGATCCCGCTGCCTACGCACAAGGACGGCAACGGCGAGGCGGAGGAGCTTCGTCGACGCCGCTACCTCGGGCGTCGGTTTGGAGGCACGGTGGTGGTGCACTACCTCAAGAAGAGCGAGTGGTTCTACGAGACGGCGCTTGCCTTTGCTGGCCGTGGCCGATTCTGGCCCGATGGCGCCGGAGGAACGGGCAGCGAATGGAGGATGTACGGCAGCCCGCTGGTGCGCCACGAGGACGGCTACATCAGCGGCGGAAGGAGCCAGCCGCGTCCGGACATGGAGCTGGCCTACCTTCAGCAGGCGCGGGTTCAGGCGCAGGCCAACGCCGCCCAGGCGCAGCAGCTTTCGGCGAGGATGGGCAGCTTCACCAAGCCCAAGCCCGCTGCTGCCGGTGGACCTCCGCCCTCCAAAGCGCCGCCCCAGGATTCACAGCCGCCGGTGCAGCCGCCACAGCACCAGCAACCACAGCACGAATGATCTTTCAATGATGAGCATCGCTATCGCAGTCGCTGCAATCTTCATCACCGGGCCAATCTTGCGATCCGCGATGTGAAGAAGCTTTCCGAAGTTTGACCGTGGAGAGCGAGCGAGCGAGCTGAGTCCAGAGAGCGCTTGGGTGGAGGGCCGGAAACGTCGCGTGACTTTACGCGACGGCGCGAAGTCCCGAAAATTGAGGCTGAGAAAAAGTGTCACTTTCCCAATCACGCTCAGCAGCAGTCACGAATTTCGGGCGGCCCCTTTTGGAGCGCGGCTGAGCTGCGTGGCGAGGCTTGACTGAAGGCGGCTGCTACGCGCGGTGGCGTGGCTTATCCGACCTTGCTGCAGCGATTCACGGCCAAGCCGAAGCGCAGCTCTCAGCTCAGCCAGCATTCCGAGGCCGACTGCTCTGGTCTTCTTCATCACTACCATCTCCATCAGCCATTCCCACTAGCCTTCACCTGCTTCATCGCGTTGCCGCTCATTCAGAACCGCCGCAGCGACGGCCACCACCAACGCAGCGCGACGCGACTGCCGGCTGCACTTGCAATCGAACGCGGACGCGTGCATACGCCTGCATACATCGCCCTTCCGAAGAGCTTTGAGGGGCGAGCGACGAGGCTGCGCACTCAGAATTGCGAGTCAGGATGCGTAGGAGCGTCATCCTCGCGGCATTGGGAGGTTCGCCCTCGCCAGCCACCGGCGAGACAGACAAGGGCGCTGGCAAGACCCCCGCCGCCAAAGGATCGCCACTCTCCCGCCAGCCGCTGGCCGACATCACCCGCAATGCCAACGCGGCTGGCTTTGGGCCTCTACTGGGACGCAAGCCGTTCAAGCCGCCCTCGTTCGCCAACCAACGCGAAAAGGACAATCCGGAAGGTGGCAGAAAGAGGAAAAAGGTCGACTACGCAGGCATGGACGCCGGCGCGACCGACGACGGCGCTGCAGCGCAAGGCTCGGACTCGGAAGACGAGGGCGCTGCCAAAGGCGCTCGAGCCGGCGCAAAGAAAAAGGGCAAGGCAGCCATGAAGACGCTCGAGGGCGTCTACAAGGGCATCGACGCCAACGGCGTGTCGCTCAACGTCGACCGTCGCAAGTGGGACGTCTTTGAGGTCAAGCCCAACGCCATCAAGAAGGGCTTCTCCGTGCCCGTCATGACCAACAAGCAGGGCCAAGTGGTCGAGACACGTCTCTCCCACGCTGCGCTCGGCACGAGAAGGCAGATCGACATTCCGCCGCGCCCCCTGCACGACCCCATGGGCGAACACGCCATCGTGCTCTTCGACCCCACCGTCGACGACCGTGAAGCTGAACGCAGGAAGGCCGAACTTCAGCAGGAGCAGGCTGCCGAAGAGGAGCGCATCGAGGCAGGTGCGCCCATCCCGACGCCTCACAAGAGCCTCGCCGACATCCTCGGCCTCAACAAGGCAAAGTCCAAAGAGGTCGAAAAGATACCGGTCGTGATCGACCCGATCCTCAGCAAGGTGCTGCGTCCGCATCAGGTCGAAGGTGTCAAGTTCCTCTACCGATGCACCACCGGCCTCGTGGTCGAGAATGCATACGGCTGCATCATGGCCGACGAGATGGGTCTGGGCAAGACGCTGCAGTGCATCGCGCTCATGTGGACCTTGCTCAAGCAATCGCCCATCTCGAAAAAGTCGACGATCGACAAGTGCATCATCGTCTGCCCTTCGTCGCTGGTGCGCAACTGGGCCAACGAGCTGACCAAGTGGCTTGGGGCAAAGGCGCCAGGCACGCTCGCGCTCGACGGCAAACTCAGCAAGGACGAGATGATCGAAGCGACGCGTCGATGGTGCAATGCCTCGGGCCGCGCCATCACGCAGCCGGTGATGATCGTCTCCTACGAGACTCTGCGCAACTTGCAGGAAGAGCTCGGCAATACCGAGGTGGGACTGCTGCTCTGCGACGAAGGCCATCGGCTCAAGAACGCCGACTCGCTCACGTTCCAGGCGCTCACGCAGATCAAGGTGCGCCGTCGCGTCATCCTGTCGGGCACGCCCATTCAGAACGACCTCTCCGAGTACTTTGCGCTGCTCAACTTTGCCAACCCGGAGCTGCTGGGCAGCCGCGTCGAGTTCCGCAAGAACTTTGAGATCGCCATTCTCAAGGGACGCGATGCCGAGGCGACGGAGAAGCAGCAGCAGGAGGCCAACGAGAAGCTGAGCCAGCTGTCGGCGCTGGTGAGCCGCTTCATCATCCGACGCACCAACGATCTGCTGTCCAAGTACCTGCCGGTCAAGTACGAGCACGTGGTGTTCTGCAAGATGGCGCCGTTCCAGCTGGATCTGTACCGCCTCTTTATCCGATCGCCCGAGATCAAGAAGCTGCTGCGCGGCACGGGCAGCCAGCCGCTCAAGGCGATCGGCATCCTGAAGAAGCTGTGCAACCATCCGGATCTGCTGGATCTGCCGAGCGACCTGGACGGGAGCGAGCAGTACTTTCCCGAGGGCTACACGCCGCGCGACCGACGCTACGTCAACCCGGAGCTGTCGGGCAAGATGATGGTGCTGCAGCGCTTCCTCGAGACGATCCGTGCGACGACGAACGACAAGATTGTGCTCATCTCCAACTATACGCAGACGCTCGACGTGTTTGAGCGCATGTGCCGCGCGAACCGGTGGGGCATGTTCCGGCTGGACGGCACCATGACGATCAACAAGCGACAGAAGCTGGTGGACCGGTTCAACGATCCGGAGGGCAAGGAGTTCATCTTTTTGCTCTCGTCCAAGGCGGGCGGATGCGGACTCAATCTGATTGGGGCGAATCGACTGGTGCTGTTTGACCCGGACTGGAATCCGGCGTCGGATCAGCAGGCGCTGGCGCGGGTGTGGCGCGACGGGCAGAAGAAGTCGTGCTTTGTGTACCGGTTCATCGCGACGGGGTCGATCGAGGAGAAGATCCTGCAGCGGCAGTCGCACAAGCAGTCGCTGTCGTCGTGCGTGGTGGACGAGGCGCAGGATGCGGCGCGGCACTTTTCGGGCGAGGATCTGCGTGCGCTGTTTGCGTTCAAGGAGGAGACGGCGTGCGACACGCACGACACGTACAAGTGCAAGCGGTGCAAGTCGGGCAAGCAGTTTGTCAAGGCGCCTGCGCTGCTGTACGGCGACACGAGCACGTGGAACCACTACGGCAAAGCGGAGATGCACCACCTGCACGACGACCTGCTGCGTGCCGAGCAGGCGTACGACGACGTGAGCTTTGTGTTTCAGTACTGCAGCCACTAGCGCGCGTGCCATTTGGCGGTGCTGCGCCCTATACCCCTGCTTTGTGCGTATCAATGTATGTGTGTTTGCAGTATTATCGAGCGAGCGCGAGCGCTTGTGGTTTGCAAAATGTTGTTTGCTGGGTGGCAAAGCTGGGCTAGTGTACAAGGGGGTTGAGGTTGGATGCAGTCGAGTCGGCGATCGGATTGGAGAAGTGGGATGACGGTTTAGTAACCGACCGGGTTTTCGCGGATGGTTTTGCGGGTCCATTTGGGAACCTTGTGTACGCTCTTTCTGAAGCCTCGGTCGTGTTTGCTGAAGGTAGTGTATTTGTCCTTTGGCAGCATCTGGGATTCGGTCGGGATTGCGAGGGCTCTGTTGAGGGAAGCGCATTGGATGTTGGACTGTTGCAGGGTTGCAATGACATCGTCGACGGCCCGCAGACGCATGCGGACGCGGTTCTTGCGCGGAGATGATAGACGCCATGGATTCTTCCACAGCAACCCGCCCAGCGAAGGCATCGAAGCTCGAAACGCTCCAAACATGTCGAATAGTATGTATGAGGTGAGGTGGTGGATGAGAAGATCCGTGTCGAGGTCCAAATTCTTTCTCAAAGCCCGGAAGCTGCCATTTTTTCAACAAAACAATGTTAGGCTGCGATAAATGAAGGATCGGGATCGGGAGGTGTCAGGCCCGTGCTGAGATGCACAGCCTCCACGTGTCGATCACGGCGAAGAAGCCGCCGATTCTGTTCACCCTGACTAAGAAACTTCTTGCTTCGCTCGTCGAACTCAGCGCGAGAGAGACTCGGAAGGAGGCCGTCTCCACTTCAAAGAGCAAAGATGCATTCGGAGCGTGTGAGCAACTTGTGACATTGCAGCGGAAGTGCGCCGAAGCACCGGAGAGTGCGAAAAAAGGAGGGGAAGGGAAAAAGTGACACGTAGCGCACCGACAAAAGAGCGAATCCCCACTCGGCAAAGCCGACGGCCACTATTGGCTCGGGCTCTCTCCCCTTCTGCCTCTCCACCTGCAGTTGAGCTCCACGTAGGCAACCGCCTAAAAGTCGGACAGCTCTTCGGCGCTGTTCTTCGTGCACCTCTTCCTCCTCACCCTCCACCCTCTTCCTCTTCTCCTCCCGCCCAACGTCGCTTGTCCCGCTCTTTCCTCCCCTAGAAAGCGCAGAAGCGAGCTGCCCACCATGGACGCCGCATGGACAAAGTCCGTCCACGAGGCGCTCACCATCCTCAGCGTCGACCCCTCCAAGGGTCTCTCGGACGATGAGGTCGAACAGCGCCGCGCAAAGTACGGCGACAACACGCTGCCCGAGCAGCCGCCCACGCCGCTCTGGGAGCTCATCCTCGAGCAGTTCAAGGACCAGCTCGTGCTCATCCTCCTCGCCTCGGCCGTCATCTCGTTCGCGCTCGCCCTGCTCGAGGAGGACACCACGCTCGGCGCCGCCCTGATCGAGCCCGGCGTCATCTTCCTCATCCTCATCGCAAACGCAACCGTAGGCGTCGTCCAGGAGCGCAACGCCGACAAGGCCATCGACGCCCTCAAGGAGTACAGCCCCGACACCGCCACCGTCATCCGCAACGCCGACACCGACAAGGTGCGCTCCGAGCTCCTCGTCCCCGGCGACATCCTCATCCTCACCGTCGGCGACAAGATCCCCGCAGACTGTCGCCTCATCGCCATCAACTCCTCCTCCTTCCGCGTAGACCAGGCCATCCTTACCGGCGAGTCCATCTCGGTCAACAAGTCGCTCGACCCCGTCCACGACCCCAACGCCGTCAAGCAGGACCAGACCAACATCCTCTTCTCCGGCACCACCGTCGCCAACGGCACCGCCCTCGCCGTCGTCGCACTCACCGGCACACGCACCGCCATCGGCGACATCCACGCCGAAATCTCCAAGGACGACGACGAAAAGACGCCGCTCAAGCAGAAGCTCGACGACTTTGGCGAACTCCTCGCCAAGGTCATCACCGTCATCTGCATCCTCGTCTGGATCGTCAACTTCCGCCACTTCAACGACCCTTCCCACCACGGCTGGGTGCGCGGCGCCATGTACTACTTCAAGATCGCCGTCGCACTCGCCGTCGCCGCCATCCCCGAGGGCCTCGCCGCCGTCATCACCGCCTGCCTCGCCCTCGGCACCAAAAAGATGGCAAAGAAGAACGCCATCGTACGCCACCTCCCCTCCGTAGAGACCCTCGGCTCCACCAACGTCATCTGCTCCGACAAGACCGGCACCCTCACCACCAACCAGATGAGCGTCACCCACTTCTCCGTCTTTAGCACCTCTGCCTCCCTCGCAGACTACTCGGTCTCTGGCAGCACCTTTGCCCCCATTGGCGACATCTCCGACGCCGACGGCAAGATCGTCACCGGCCTCAACCAACCCCGCACCGCCTTCCACGCCCTCGCCGAAGTGTCTTCCATCTGCAACGACTCCCACGTACACCTCGACGACCACGCCAACTACACCATCGTCGGCCAGCCCACCGAGGCCGCGCTCAAGGTGCTCGTCGAGAAGCTCGGCCACCACGACGCCGCCGTCAACGCCAGCGTCGCCAAGCTCGATGCGCACGCACGCGCCGGCGCCATCACCAACGAGTACGGCAAGGCGCATCCGCGTCTGCTCACCTTTGAGTTCAGCCGCGACCGCAAGAGCATGTCGACGCTCATCCAGCGCTCCTCCGCCACCGGCTGCCTGCTCGTCAAGGGCGCGCCCGAGAGCGTCGTCGAGCGCTGCGACTCGGTGCTCATCGGCAAGAAGGCCCAGTCGCTCGACGCCCGCCTCCGCTCCCAGATCGGCGACAAGGTGCTCGAGTACGGCCGCCTCGGCCTGCGCACGCTCGCCATCGCCGTCAAGGAAGACGTGCCGCTCGACGTCGAGTCGTACCGCAGCAGCAGCCCCGCCGAGTACGTGCAGTTTGAGCAAAAGATGACGCTCGTCGGCCTCGTCGGCATGCTCGACCCGCCGCGTCCCGAGGTGCGCACCGCCATCCAGCGCTGCCGCCAGGCGGGCATCCGCGTCATCGTCATCACCGGAGACAACAAGAACACCGCCGAGACCATCTGCCGCCAGATCGGCGTCTTTGACGCCACCGAGCCGCTCGACGGCAAGTCGTTCACCGGCCGCGAATTCGACGCGCTCGCCACGCGCGACGACAAGCTCGCCGCCGTGTCGCGCGCGAGCCTCTTTTCGCGCGTCGAGCCCTCGCACAAGTCGCAGCTCGTCGACCTGCTCCAGAGCCAGGGCCTCGTGGTCGCCATGACGGGTGACGGCGTCAACGACGCGCCCGCGCTCAAGAAGGCCGACATTGGTATTGCCATGGGTTCGGGAACCGACGTGGCCAAGCTCGCCGCGGACATGGTGCTGGCCGACGACAACTTTGCCACCATCGAGGCGGCCGTGCAGGAGGGCCGATCGATCTTCAACAACATGCAGAGCTTCATTCGCTATCTGATCTCGAGCAACATTGGTGAGGTGGTGTCGATCTTCCTCACGGTGGTGCTGGGACTGCCCGAGGCGCTGATCCCCGTGCAGCTGCTGTGGGTCAACCTGGTGACGGATGGACTGCCGGCGACGGCGCTGGGCTTTAACCCGCCCGCGACGAGCATCATGCGCGAGAAGCCGCGCTCGCGCAACGACCCGCTCATCTCGGGCTGGATTTTTACGCGCTACCTGCTGGTGGGTGCGTTCGTGGGGGCGGCGACGATCTTTGGATATGCGTGGTGGTTTGTGCTCTACACGGGTGGGCCGCAGATCTCGTATGCGCAGCTGTCGCATTTCCACCAGTGTGCGCTGCCCGCCGCCCAGGCCAAGGGTGGGCTGTTCGAGGGCGTCGACTGCGGTATCTTTACGGCGTATAGGCAGCCGGCGACGATTGCGCTCTCGGTGCTCGTGGTGGTCGAGATGTTCAATGCGCTCAATGCCATCAGCGAGACCGACTCGCTGCTCACCTTTGGACCCTGGAAGAACCCGTTGCTCATCGGCGCCATTGCGTTGTCGCTCGCGCTGCACTATGCGATTTGCACCGTGCCGTTCCTCCAGGACTGGTTCCAGGTAACCAGGCTCAATGTCGAAGAGGTCAAGGCGGTCGTCTGGATCTCGGCACCCGTGATTGCGATCGAAGAGGTGTGCAAGCTCATCACGCGCCACTTTTTCCTCAACCAACAAAAGCCCGCCACCAAGGACAAGCACGTGTAGACCTTGCCTCGCTCCGTTCTTGCCTCCTCTTCCTTGCAGGTTTGAGGGATAGACAAAGCTGCACTAGCACTTTTCAAAATAGACAGGAATGCGAAAGAGAAGTGCAATTGGTATGCGGATATACTTTGGGCCGATCTTTGAGCCCTGGATGAGATGGTGGGAGTTTTTTTTTAGCAACCTTGGACCTTCCAGGCGACCTGTTCTTTTGGATCTGTGAGTTTGGTTTCGAGGTCGTGGCAAGCGTTGCAGAAGAGGTGTTGTTCGCCGGAGCACTGGTGGATTTGGCGGCCCTTGACTTGGGAGATGGTGTCTGCGAAGCGACAGTGGACGCCTTCGGTGGGTGGGAAGGGTTGACGCGATAGCCAGCATGCTGCGTTCGTACCGCCCACACCGTCCTCGTGGAAGTACTGGTATGGGAGGTGCGCTATCGATGCCGGGTCGACGCCCGGGCCTGCTTGTGCCGTGGAGAGACACAGGAGCACAATGCTGGCGAGGAGGAGCACTAGCGAATTGGGGGTGGTCATGCTGGTTTCCACGGTTCCAAAAGGTGATGCGCCGGAGGTGAGGATGTGACCACGTTGTGGTGAGAGCGCGTCCGATGAGGGCTGTGGAAGAGACGAGGATGTATGCGTGCGAGCGTGAAGATGGAGACAGGTGGTGGTGGCGGTGGTGGAGATGTGGCCAGGGGGATGCCAAGGCCCCGACGGCACGCGCTTGGCCGCATCGGCCGCGCCACCCCAGATCGGCTCAAGGTCGGAAATCGGGTGATTTTATTCACGGCGGCACGGGTGAGTGAGCACAACGTCACTGGCTCACCCGCGCTCACAGCTGTCCAGTAGCGACGCTGCCCGACGATGGCCGCTCTGTGTGGCGTCTGTGAATCAGCACCCTTGACTGGCGTGGCGCCAAACTATGCTGGCGGGTCCAAGGGTCCATCACGGCCGCTCTCCAGGGCTGAGTCGCAAGTACAGCGGTTGCCGTTCGTATATAAACTCTCTCGTGATGCTACGTCGACGGGGTCTGAACCGATATCATGTTCGCCATGTCTTCAGCTTTTGTATCGATGGTTCGCGCGGCACGTATGCACACGAGTGCAGTTGTGCGGTTGCGCACATCCCAGACCGCCTATTCGGCCGTCAAGCCCGGCTCGGAAAGCGAAGCCACCACTCCAGGCTCTGCCTCTGTAAGTCAACTCCACCTCCGCTCTCGTAAAGCTGTTTATTATACTAACACTTTGGCGGCGATACAGACCGAGGAGATCGCACACAGCAGCAGCGCATACGACTCTACCACCTCGCGTCCCGATACGGCTGCCGACCAAATTCAGTCCGAAACAGGCGCCGACATGGACTCGTCCAGCGCCAAGCCCCAAGCCTCGCGTCTAGCCACCCAGAACCCCGATAGCAAGACCATCTCAAAGCGCAAGCCGCGCACTGGCAAACCCGAGAAAGAGTAGCGAACACGATGGGTTTGCAGCACAATGCGAATACATCCACTAAGAAAACAAAGAGATGCATGGCGGACTAAGGGCGCCAGCCCGACGTTGGATTTGGAACAAGAGGCTTCAAGCGGCTATGCACGTGTTTAAGAAACAGTCGAAAGAAGAAAGAACAGGTGTGTAAAGCCTTGAAGTTGTGCCCGGCTTCGCGCAACGAAAGCCTATCCAAACGTGCCCTGCCGCATCTGGAGAGGGATTGAAAAGGGTGGAGATGAAGAGTCTCCTTTTTTTGTGGGGAAGTCGCTGATCGAGTCAAGATCCTTCCTGATGACGTGGGAGACAACTTGGAAGGCTTGAGGCTAGATGGTTGGCGACGAGATTACTGGCGGGGGGCGCCACGGCCGACACCGGCGAAGCGGGGGCGGTACTCGCCCGAGGGGGCGCCGTCCTTCTTGTCGCCAGCAGCAGCGCCGTCGCGGCGGCGGTACTCGCGGTCGCCACCGTCACGGTCGCCGCGGGGGGCGCGGTAGGCACCGTCACGGCCACCGACGGGGGCACGCGCAGGGCGGGCGGGGCGCTTGTGCGTGGCGGGCACGATCTCGGCGGGGAGGTGGAGGAACTCGCGCAGGTACTCAACACCCTCGTCGGTGAGGGTGTAGAAGTACCACTGCCACGAGAACTGCGTGTGCACGTAGCCGCGCGAGGTGAGCGACTGGAGCGCCTTGACCACCTCGAGGTTGGGGATCTCGAGCTCGGGGTGCTGAACGGTGAAGTTCTTGGGGGCAACCATGACGCCCTCCTTGAAGAGAGAGGCGTAGATGGTCTTGCGGTTCTCCTTGCTGATGATCATTTTGGCAGAGTCACTGCGGGGTGGAGGAAGAGACAGTGGGAGTCGGGGTCAGCGAACGTGTTGGTGGTGGATGTGATGGTGATGTCACGACGGTAGGTTGAATAGCAGACAGTGTCGAGTTGATGTACTGGCAAAACGCGGGTCTTGGACGCTACGAAAAGGTCTACTTCTTCCAACAAACCTCCGAGCGCGGTCCAATGCATTGCAAGCCGTGCGTTCGAGACCACGTTTCCATTGCACCATAGTTCCTCCACGACTACGCTCCGATATGTGTCCAATTGCTCCTGACAGGGCTCCTTCCTCTGGTGCTGACACGTCGTAGTCTTCCAACCATGATGTCCGCTGCCGCTGCCGCGATGGAAACGCGATGTGAATTCGCTGGTGCTGTCCGAATGCGTTTCTACTACCTAGGTCGTATCTGGTTTCGATGCTGTCGACTGCTGTCTGCTGATCATGCTGTCATGCTGAAACACTTACAATCTTGATGTGGGATGAGTCCTGGTGGGAAGGAAGAGAAGCTGGCAGCGACGACCAACACCATACGCTCGTCTCGTCTCCGGACTCTGAGCGGATCTTCGTCTTGGACAACTCGCTCGCCAGCTCCACCCAAGCCGGAGCCTGACGCTCAGATCGGGCGCGCTTCCTTGGCGCAGGGCACAGCCGACGGCGGTGTGACTGCGTTGAGCTGCGACATTTTGGTCTCGATGGAGGAGAAGGTGGGTCACGTGCAAGCAGAAAATAAAAGTTCCCACGTTCGAAATTTCGACTGCTTGCCTGGAAGCAGATTCGGGCCAGAACGGACCCTGCTATGCCCCTCTGCCAAAATTGGAATTCCGGTGAATTTCAGGCTGCCTCACCACTCTCCATGCACGGTGCACAAGATCGCCGTCTGCTGCCATGCGAATTCTCGTGGCCGCTGGCTGGCAGCACCGAGCCGCGCCCAGTTACGCGCGCAGGCCGTCTGTGAGCTCAGCGGCTGGTCAGGCGGTCAGGCCGGGCCTGCTGGCCAGTCTTTGGGCCACCGGCGATGCAAGCGTGCAAAATTGACGGCAGCAGATGGCAGAGCTTGCGAATTCGACGCAGCGGAGGCTGAGTTGAGAGGCTCGACGAGTGGCGCGCGTCCCGACACTATGGGAGGCCACGCCGCCACCTCTCCTCCTTCTGCTCTCCATATCGTCAAGGTACTCATAAACGTAAGCGTCTACACCAGCCCTTGTCGCATCGAACCCGCATCGGTCTGCTCGTCACTGCTGCGCAACTCTCGCCATCTCGCCATCTCGCATTCAGGTACGCCATCGCCGCCAGCACCCATCGACTCGCACTACCTGAAAGCGGCTCAGAATCGCCACATTGCATCATTCGACACTCGCTCGCACCAAAGCATCCGGATGATTCGCCACCGCCACGCCATCGCTCGACATTCTGGACCGACCTTGCTTGCGCCCTTGGCCATCCATCATTCACAGATTCCCACTTGAAGGCCAATGTGCAAAAAGCATCGGCGTTTGGCTTCGGAGTCGGAGCTTTTCTCGTTGCTGCATCAATGGACGCGATCATAGGCGCGACCTTGACGTAGGGCCGAATTGCACACATCGCAGGCCAGGCTGGAGATTTTGGACAGACGCACAGCGAGGGCGAATCTCGAAATGCAGCAGGCTCAAACAGAAATTTCCACCCAGCCCAGTCCCGACAGACCGATGCGCGCCCATTTCGATGCGACCAGACCAGCGCGTCCCGTCTCGCTTTCCCAATCGACCACCATCTGACTCGACCGTTGTCTTTTTCACCTCGTCGACACTTGTGACACTTGCAGGCCCTCGATAACACATATTCAAGATGGGTAAGGTTCACGGATCCCTCGCGCGTGCCGGTAAGGTCAAGTCGCAGACCCCCAAGGTCGAGAAGCAAGAGAAGGCCAAGCAGCCCAAGGGCCGCGCTAAGAAGCGTCTCTTGTACACCCGACGGTAAGTTTGCCCTAAGCCAAGCATGAGATTCAAGCAGCATCGAGTCGACCACCAGCAGCGAGGCCGCGCCGACCTCGGCAACGATACATCACCACCATGACACCATGGAAGCTGCATCATCTTGGCATCAGGTCATGTCGGACGGCATGCAATGTTCTTCGCCCATCGTCGCATCACCAAGCAAGGAACGGGTCTGCGATCGCCAGCGTCAACCCGATCTGGCGCAATACAGTTGCCACTCGCATTTGTTGGGGCTCGAACCTACGCGACGAATAAGGTCTTCTCGTGATCTTGACGAATCGGCGTCCTCACCACCTGACGAGGTTGACTTCGATGTTGCTGGAAGCTCATGCTAGATTCGCTTTCAACCTGCTCCTTGGTTTCTGACACTTCTGCATCTTGATCCTTTCTAGATTCGTGAACGCCGTCACCACCCCCGGTGGCAAGCGCCGCATGAACCCCAACGGCGAGAAGTAAACTCGCCCGTTTGGACTGTTCACCCTCATCATGCACACACATACACGCTCGGTTCGGCTCAAGATTAATGCCGCTCCATTATTGCTAGGATCGTCTTGTCGAGCCAATACGAAAAAAGGGATGGCGATTGTTTCCTGACAAGGTCGGAGCGGTCGTCATTCCACGCATTTCTCCCACACATTACATTTTCATCGCACCGTTGCGGTTTCGAATTCGGTTGTGGAAACGAGGCCGACTTGTATCATCATGCAAAGAGCGCGTTGCCACGCACGTGTTTTGCGATTCATTCGCTCGAGGTGGGGATGGGGGTGGGGCGAGTAGGAAGACGCGGGATTATTGAGAGATGGCTTCTGAGCGGTCCGGTGTAGGTGTTGTTGGAGTGGATTGCGCAGGGTCGGTGGTGGGAGGGAGACGGAGCTGGTTGAAGCGCGCGATGAGGTCGTCGTCTGTTGTATCCTGCGGCTTTGCAGCGAGTTGCGGCTCTTGTGTGACTGGAGTCTTTGCATCTTCCTTTGGCGGAGCTTCGTCTTTCGATTTCGCATTCTTTTCGTCGAGCAGCTGTTGGAGCTCTTGTTGGATCTCGTCTTCATCCACGTCACTAGGCGCGGTGGTACGAATGGCATCGTCGACCTCGCGCTGGCTAGCCAACGACTGTTCGAGCGCCTCGACGGTGCGATCGACGTTGTCGATGTTGAGTTCGGGTTGGGCAAGCAGCTTGTGCATCACCTCATTGCTCGTCTGGTATGCGCGCACGATTTCGACGTCGCTCTTGGCCTGTTCGATGCCGATGAGGACGCGCGTCATGGTCTCGCGTGCACCCATGCGTTTGGTCAACACCTCCTCCAACGCCCGCCTGCTGCGCACGTACGATGCAGCCTGCGCCTTGTTCCCCTTGCGCAACGCCTCCTTGGCCTGCGCAGTACGTCGACCCATCTGCGCCTCGAGCGAGCTGATCTGCATCTCGACCTTGCGCACCGTCTCTTTCACCGCCACCACCCCGCGGTCCTCCTCGCTAATCCGCTCCGCCACCTCATCTTCACTGGCGGCGAGCTTGATTATGCCACCGCTGGTGGTGAGCACGCCGCCGCAGTCGCGAGAAAGATGCGTGAGGACCAGTTGGACATCGCGCTCGCTTGGATGGAAGCCGAACTGCGATGCACAGACGCGCGCGAGGCGCTGCCGAAACTCGGCCGTGGTCATGAGCGCCGAGATGGGGCTGAGCGTTGCATCGTGTTCGAAATGGTGCATGAGGAAAGCAGAGGCGATGCGGTGCACGAGGTCGTACACGACCCAGTCGCCCCGTTTGTCGCGAAACAGCCGCTCGTCTTCGCTGTAGTCGTCATCGGCCGCCGAGCCGGTGACCATGCCGAGCACCGACGATGCCGCCCACCGTGCCGGCGTCACCAGCAGCGCCGACGCCACGCCTCCAGGCGTCGGCAGGTAGCCCCGCAGCCCAGAGGCCTGTTTGGCGGGCCCATGCAGCGGCTTGCTGCTGTGCAGGAACTTGGATAGTGGTGTCACTGTGTTGGCGCGTTCGAGCTCGGCGAGCACGCTGCCGAGACCGAGTGGACGGCCGACGCCTTCGACCGTCCAGCGCGCCTTGGTGCTCTCGTCCAGCCGGAACACCGTGCGGTCTGGCAGCGGTGCTGAAGAAGAGGCAGAGGCGACGTCATCGTCGAGAGAGTCGAGCGAGGAGGGATCGAGCGCCGGTGGGTCGCGGTCGAGCTGCACGCCCTGCCACGTGACGTCGATCAGCGTGTCCTTCCACCACTCGATGCTGGCGCGGTAGCCGGCCGGGTTGCTCTTGCGCTGCCGTGACAGATCGGCATACAGGGCCGGTAGGGGCGAGGCATGCGACCGTGGGTCGCGGAACGATGGGTGCTTTGAGATGTACTTGGCGACACCCGCCGCTGAAGAAGAGGATGAGGACGAGGAGGCGTCCGGAGACATGCTTGCGGTGTCAGGTGTATGGCAAATCCAGCGACAGCTTGTGATGATGGAGGAGAAGGGTGGAGCGATACGGTGATGCGGGGGACGAGCTGTGTGGCGTGCGTTGTGGTGAAAGGCATTTGTGTGGAGGTGTTGGTCTGCCAAAAAAGCCCAATTTGGCACTTCTTGGGGTCGCATCATTCGGCTCAGCCTTCCTCCTCACCTTCCACCATCCGATTCTCGTTCGCAGCGATGGCGCGGCCTTACCAGCAGCACAACGGGCTCCACAGCTCTTCGCAGCCATGACGGCACCTCGCCCTTTCTGGAAGCCTGGCTCGGCGCGGCCAGGCAGCTCGCTCGACCGCGACTCGGAAGCGGAGCCATCGCTCCTCACATCTGCCGTGCCCTCCTCTTCCGCGTCTCTGCCCATCGCTGCGCAGCGAGACTCGATCCTCTATGCGCTCGAGCGCCATCAGGTGCTCATCGTCGTCGGAGAGACCGGCTCCGGCAAAACCACGCAGATCCCACGCTTTCTATATGACGCAGGCTGGACCACCGCCGCCCCGGCTTCGGCGGGCAACATGATCGCATGCACGCAGCCGCGTCGCGTCGCCGCCGTATCCATCGCCGCCACCGTCGCTGAGCAGATGGGCGTCAGGCTAGGCCACGAGGTCGGCTACACTATACGATTCGAAGACAACTCGTCAGCCGCCACGCGCATCAAATACATGACCGACGGGACGCTCTTTCGCGAATGCATCAAGGACCCGTTGCTCACCCGGTACAGCATGATCATGGTCGACGAGGCGCACGAGCGCGGCGTACACACGGACCTGCTGCTCGGTGTGCTCTCCAAAATCCTGCGCAAAAGGCCCGAGCTGCGAGTCATCGTGGCGAGTGCCACCATCGATGCGCTCACTTTTAAGGACTTTTTCGAAGACAGTCGCGTCGTCTCGCAAGGCAGTGACAAGCACCAAGAAGACCGAGCGACGGTGCTCCAGATCAAGGGGAGGTCATTTCCTGTGCACGTGGCGTACCTCGACGAGCCGTGCGAGGACTACCTGCAGAAGACCGTCGATACCATCTGGAACATCCACCTCGCTGAGCCGCGCGGCGACATCCTTGCCTTCCTCACGGGCCGCGACGAGATCGACACCGCCCTCCAAATGCTTGCGGATCGGCAGCTGGATCTGCCGGACTCGGCAGCGCGCATGCATCTGCTGCCACTGCATGCGGGGCTGTCGGCGTCGGAGCAGACGGCAGTGTTTGCTCCGCCGCCCTCGTCGGCACTGCGCAAGGTGGTGGTGGCCACCAACATCGCCGAGGCGAGCATCACGCTCGACGGCATCGTCTACGTCGTCGACTGCGGGCTCGTTAAGCTCCGCGCCACGACGGGTGCGGGGAGGGATGCGCTGGGCGTGGTGCCCATCTCTCGTGCGTCGGCGGTGCAGCGTGCGGGGCGTGCGGGGCGGACTCGGGAGGGCAAGTGCTTCCGGCTGTACACGCAGCGGTATGTGGAGCAGATGCACGCCTCGACGCCGCCCGAGCTCACGCGCGTCGATGTGGCCGCACCCGTGCTCATGCTCAAGGCGCTCGGCATCGACAACCTCGCGCGCTTCGAGTGGGTGCCGCCCGCGCCGCCGCCCGCGCTGCTGGCAGCCGGTCTGCAGAGGCTCGTGGAGCTCGGTGCGCTCGACGAGTATGCGCGGCTGACCGATCGCGGGGCAGTGATGGCCGAGCTGCCGTTGCCGCCGCATCTGGCACGGATCCTGGTCGCGTCGGCCGAGCCGGCGTTCGCATGCGCGCACGAGATGCTCGCCATCCTCGCGACCATGCAGGTGAGCACGCTCTTTGTCTCGCCACACACGCCGCAGACGCAGTTGAGCCAGCGTGCGTTTGCCGCGCAGCAAGGCGATGTGTTTACGCTGCTCAACGTCATGCTTGCGTTTAGCGACGAGCGTGTGGGACGCAAGAGTGCAAAGTGGGCGCAGCGGCACCGGCTCAACTTTGCGGCGCTCAGTCGTGCGCTGTCGATCCGGCAGCAGCTCGAGCGCTTCATGGTGCGGTTCGGGCTCGATGCAACGTGTTCGGTGCGCGGGAGAGAGGATGCCGTGGAGCGTGTGACGAGGTGCATGCTCACGGGTCTGTATGCCAACGTGGCGCGCTACGACCCGGTGGGCATGACATACACGACTACGGCGGGGCACAAGGCGTGGGCGCATCCGGACTCGGTCTTCTTCAACCGACGCCCGGAGGCGGACTGGATCGCGTATGGCGAGGCGGTCGAACAGGCCACACCGGATGGCACCAAGACGTACCTGCGCGACCTGCTTGCCCTGCCGCACCTCGAGTGGGCGACGAGCGCCGTGCCCGGCTACTACGCCGTCAGCACGCAGTGGGGCACACGATCCAAATCACCATCCTAGCAATTGATTCGAATGGGTAATGCGGCTAGAGAGGTGTGACGTCGCATCGAACGGCGGTGTACAGGTCGATGTGGAATGCAGCGTGGACGTCGGGCTTGTACGTCGAAGCGACGAGCGTGTAGGATCCTGGCTTGAGCAGTGTATCGAGCGCGGCGCCACAGGGTAGATCGGTGTATGCGCCGCTATTGGCCACCTCTTTGTCGTCGTACAGTGCTAGATTGACGTAGGGTCGTACGCTGTCTTGGGTCGGGTTGGCTTTGATCCTTGCCACCAGTGCGGTCATTCCGGGGGGAGGAACAACAAGGCGCCAACTCGGATTGTTGCCGTACCCCTCATTGCCACGCGAACCTTTTGCGTTGCTTTGCGTCCAACTTGCCGTGATGCGTCTGTGGAACATTCCTGCACCTTCTTGTGGGATCGGCTTGAGCTGGACTGGATGGGTCGATTCGATGTTCAGAGTAAAATCGGCGGTTGTGGCTGCTTCGAACGTCGATGCGATGAGGGTGTAGATCCCGGGACGCAGACCTTTTCGACCCGGATTCGAGGTGTTGCACAGTGCAAGGCCGTGATGATACATGCCGCTCGAAAGCACTACATCGCCTTGGGTGAGACTCGTCACACGACCTCCCCTCGCGGTACCTGGATACGCCAGCAGCAACTGTACGGGTACCCGTCGATCGGAACATTCGAGCGTTAGACTCAACTGCACCTCGTCCGCGCCGGGGATGGTGAGTGTGTATTGCGGATTCGACATGAACGTGGGTAGTGTCGCATTGCCGCCCGCTGTGCGACTCGTCCATGCGCCAGAGAGCGACTCGCGAAACGCCAGATGCGTCCGCACTTGCGACATCGATACGGCGTGGTGCGAGTAGATCGAAAGCGTATACCGCGTCTCCACCGCGCGCGACGTACGCCTTGACGCCACCACGGTGAAACTTCGCTCAGCCACATCCCCGTTGCGAGAAGGTGCGGGTTTGAAGCGCACCAGACAGTGCGTACCGTCCACATAGGCCCCTACTTGCCGCGCTTGCCCCAGAGGCTGCGAAGATGGCTCGCCGCGCGACGTGTCGTCTTCAAACACGTGCACTGCAATGTACTCTGCCTCGTGCGCTGGCTCGGCGTTGGGTCGATCGTGCGTGCTGGTAATGTGCCGCGTAAGCAACATCCACACCTCCTCCCCTTCACCACCAGCGTCCGGGGTTGGGGACATCACCAGCCGAAACCTCGGATCCGCCTGATCGACCTTTCCCCCACCCTGCGGCGTGGGAGCGCGCCAGCTCGAATGCACGCTGAGCGTGCTTGCAAACAAGCTCGGGTCCCAATTGAGAAAGAGCGAGTCGAAGTGCGTGCAGAGATCGTCCCAGGTGACTGTAAACGTCGCGCCATCCTCCACCTTGAGCCGCTGCATAGCCTCCACCACATCGTCCTCTGGCTTGGTATCGATCGCAATGCTGGGATGGTTGTGTGCTGCGTGTCGCCAGGGATTCATGAGTGTGACGTACCTCTGGCTTGCGCTTACTCGCACGTCCAGGATCGCATAATTATGGCTGGGCACCAGTCCACCCTGCGTCTTGCTGGGCGTGCCCACGGTGGCGAAGCACCTGCCCTGCGTCCAGGCGGCATGAAAGCGGGACCAGGACTTTTCGCGCTGAAACCCGGCGTGGCGGAGGAAGAGATGTTCGGGCACCCACGCGGTGAGCGCATGCGCATCGATGCTCGCATTGGATCCGCCGAAGTCGTACCCGCCCATGAGCGTGAGGTATGCCTTTTCGAGCAGCGCTGGCCAGACACTGTGGCCTTTGCGACACGATGCACCCATGATCCGCTCACCGCCCTCGCGCGGGTAGTACGGAAGATGGTCGTCGATCTCGATGCATCGAGCGATGCCGTTGATGTGGAGCTTCACGCGGTATCGACCCGTTGAGCTGGGTGAGGGGAGACCGAAGGCGTCTTGTGGGTGGAGAGAGGAGGTGGCGAGGGAGGTGCCGAAGAGAAAGTCGTGTTCCGCCGCCGCTTCGAGCGCAGCGACGAACGAGCAGTCGGTTACAATGTCCTGTACGATCTCGTGTCCGCGCAGCCTTCGACCCCATCCTGCATCTGCACCTGCAACCTGACCAGCACGCTTGTACTGTGCCTTCTTTCCGATCTGAACCGGCGATAACTCGGGCTGTGCCTGAACAGTCGAGCTGTGTTCGGACCATGCAGGAAAGTGTCTCGCGTTGATCTTGGACGAGGCGGCTAGGATGGATGCCTGCTGATCGGTGCTCAGCACATCGCGCTCGACGCGACGCACATTGTGGGCGCTCTTGATCTTCTCGGCGCGTGCGGTCACCTTGTTGGCCATCTGCTTGAGTCGATCGCGTGTGCCATCGTGTGCGGGGACGGGGTGGGTGGAGAGCAGGTGCAGGAAGAGCTGGCCCGAACGCACGTACAGCTCAAACGCGGACGAGTAGTCGCGTGCAAGCTCCGCCTTGGTCGCCCGCTGCGCATGCTCATACGCTGCCGACAGCGATGCATCCCAGCTCCCGCCAGGCGCACTCATAACGAAGCGCTGATGGTCGTCCACTTTCTACCTGCGCAGCTGGGCAGAGGTGGAGGTGGATCGCGGCGCGTTGCACGCCCGCTCCTAAATTTCCGCCCGCCGTTAGGTTCCGCGCATGGCCTCATTTCAGGGTCCACCTTCTCACACACTCAAACGCAACTGCATCTTGTGAACACTGTCAATTGCTCCGCCGTTCAGATGTTGGCAAAGAACGCATGGCCCAGTGCATCTTTGGCGCTGATGCGCTTGGCCGGATCGAGCTCGAGACACCTTTCGAGCAGGTCGACGAGCGCATTGGTCGCCTTGACCTCCTCGGGCTTGAGCCTCTTGGCCGCATCGGATGGCAGCAGACGCGAGCGCACATCCGCACTCGGCTTGCCGATCATCACCCTGCGCACCACCTCCTTCCCCGAACTCTTGTCCGTCTCCACACCAAGAAAGGCGTTGGTGTCGTCAAAGTGCTGTTCGCCAAACTGGCTCTTGCGCAGCTGCTTGGCCGTGAACCTGCCGCGCGCCTCCTGCATCAACAGCAGCATGTGATTGTTGGTCCGGCCCGGGAAAAGGATCTTGCCCGTGGCGAGCTCGTAGATCGTACACCCCGTCGACCACACGTCGATCGCACAGTCGTATGGCTGGCCGAGGATGATCTCGGGCGCACGGTAGAAGCGCGAGACGAGGTAGGGCGTGATCTCCATCTCGCTCACGTACGACGCCGAGCCGAGGTCGCACACCTTGAGCGTGGTCTTGGCGTCGTTGACCAGCACGTTGTCCGGCTTGATGTCCGCATGCATCACCTCGTTCTTTGCTAGATGCGACAGCGCGAGCAGCAGCTGGTGCGCATACACGCGCACCGCCTGCAGGTTGAGCCCCACATCGCGACCGTACCTGCGCACAACGTCGCGCAGGTTCATGCCGAGCGACTCGAAGACCATGCACAGATGGCCCTTGTAGTCGAAATGGCGCTCCAGCCGCACCACGTGCTTGCGGTCGTCCGGATCCGCCGCGTTGAGCTTACGCAGCATGGCGACCTCTTTGAGCCCCGCTCGATACATGCTCTCTTGGACACGCACGATCTTGATCGCGACATGGCGGCCGTCGGATCGCAGATCTCGCGCACGCACCACCGACGCGAACATGCCTTTGCCCAGCACCGCCGAGATCTGGTAGCGCTCGTCGAGCGTCTCGCCGAGGATGGTGCGCAGGTAGCCGTCGTTGTCGTCCCAGTTGCTCGACAGGTTCGCCATGCTCGCCGCAGCCGGGTCCGAGATGGGTGCTGCAGTTGCTTTGACCGCCGATGGGGCGACCGAGGCGCCGCGCAACGGGACGCGGATGATCTTGGTCTTTTTGGGCTTGGCATCCGACTTGGATGCATCGTCGTCGTCCGAGAGCGCAAACATGTCCATGTCGTCCTCGTCTTCATCGTCGGTCACTTCGATCTCCTGGAACTCCTCGTTGCTCTTTGATAGAGGTGGCTCGGCTGGGTGATTTGCGGGTGGTGGGGCGACTTGGCGTCGTTTCTCGAGGCGCTCGAGCTCTTGCGCTCGATCAGCGTCCGGATCGAATTCGGCTGCGGATGCATCCTGGGCATTCGCACTGCCATCGGGTGCGACATCGGTGGTGTAGGTGGCGGTCTTGACCAGCGAGAACGGCTGCTGAGATTGAGGCTGGGCCTCTTTCACCTCGCTCTGCGGAGTGGACACAGCAGTGCTGGGAGCAGGAGTGCCTTCCGAGGCCTGGACGCTCTGGGAGCCGCGATGCTTGTCGAGGATGGCCTGCCTGCGCTTCCGGCTCTCTTCTAGCACGCGGCGTCTTTGCTGCTCCTCATCGATGCCGGAATCGTACGCATCTAGCAGACGGTCGAGGTTGGGATCTGCGTCATTGGGCGGTGCATCCTCCCTCCTCAGCCGCTTGTTCGGTGGCTCTGTATTTGAGGACGCACGGAAAGGGCTGAGTGAGCGTCGAGTGCTCCTACTCGAAGAAGTGGCATGGCGTGATGGACCCGATGCGGCAGCCTGTCGTGGATGAGACATGGCGCAAGCCAAGATGCAAGCAAGCAGCAGGAACGAGAAGGTGAATCTAGTCAGCCATCAGATATACAGCGATGAACGCCAGTGTGCCGGGCGTGGCTGCTCGCGGCCATTCAGGCTCGAAGCGACGGGCCGACAGGAAGCTTGCCTCTGATCTTGGTCACAGCCTTGGGCGGCTGGTGGTCATCAACAAGGATTGAGAGACGTGCGGCAGCTGGGGATTAGCCAGCAAGGGTGGGATATCGATATGATGGTTGGTGTGATGATGGAAGGACTGAGCGACAAAACTCAGCTCGGAGCTCCGAGCAATTCAGGGTCTGAGCGGGCATGCAAGAAGCCGCGAATTTCTCCAATCGATGCCTCCACTTTTGCTTCACAGCGAGAGGCCCCGATCGATATTATGCACTGCGTGGCGGGCGTGGCGGACAGTTTCGGCTTCCTCTATCGGCTTGACTGAGTGGCGGGTTCGGCTCGTCACTACATCGGACAGCACAGATCGACAAGCAGCAGCGGAAGAAGAAAAACGTGGGCGGCAGGGTAGTTCTATTCGGCACTTGATGCCATCATTGCGCTGCGGTTGACACCTGACCGAGGCGCAGCCGGCCGTTCGGGAATGGGAACGGAAGGTCCAGATCAGGCTCGAGCGCAATGTGCGGAGCCCGATGCGCGATGCACGGTGCCCCTCTGGCTGGCGCACGTTCGATTGAATTCGAAACTCGGCGCTGGCTTACAACACACCAAACCGCGCCGTCACAGCCTCCGAGGCCTCTGCATTTGGAAATCGAAACTGCCGCATCGATGGGCACGCGATTTTTTGGCGATTTCCGACTTTGAATCGGCCGATTACAGACGAGCCGCGCCGCGAGCTGCTGCCGCATCTTCTGCACAGATCACGCTGCACCGCCTGCGATAACGCAACTCAGCCACGCTGCGCAGCACACACACACTGCCCTAATGCCCTCCGCCTCACCTCGCCACGCCCGGCCCTGCCCTACACCCTTACGCCCGAAGCGAGGCACTGCACCAGTGTCGGCGGTCGAGTGGCGCCTAGCTCAGCAAAGCCGCTCTCCACACGCGCGCTGTCTCCCCGTCCCTTTGAGAGAGCCGTGCGCAGCCGCCCGCACTCAGCCAGTCTCCACCGCGCAGCAACCCGCGCCGCACCGCACCCGCTGTATATAATCACTCGAGGCTCAGTCGTAACCATCAGCTCCCTTTCCACAACGCACATCACCAGATACCTGCTACTCACCTCGGTATCCTCGCATCCTTCATTCTCACCACCATCTTCGTCACCATCAACCACCCGTTTGCATCGGTAACTCGCACTGCAGATTATAGCCAGTAAGTGGAGCATTCCCATCCATCCGCCTCTGCGACGTTCATGCACGTCGCCTGCAGGGTCTGTAGGCGACGCGCACTCTCCACCAATGAACGCCTGTTTTCTCCCCTTTCTCGCCTCTCCCCCGCAGCATACTGACCTTTGTTCCTCCGCCCTTTTCCCTCTGCTCCAGGCCATGCAGATCTTTGTCAAGACTCTGACCGGCAAGACCATCACCCTCGAGGTGGAGTCGTCGGACACTATCGACAACGTCAAGGCCAAGATCCAGGATAAGGAGGGAATCCCTCCCGACCAGCAGCGTCTCATTTTCGCAGGAAAGCAGCTCGAGGATGGCCGTACCCTCTCGGACTACAACATCCAGAAGGAATCGACTCTTCACCTCGTTCTCCGCCTGCGTGGTGGTATGCAGATCTTCGTCAAGACCTTGACCGGCAAGACCATCACCCTCGAGGTCGAGTCGTCGGACACGATCGACAATGTCAAGGCCAAGATCCAGGACAAGGAAGGCATTCCTCCCGACCAGCAGCGCCTCATCTTTGCGGGAAAGCAGCTCGAAGATGGCCGCACCCTGTCTGACTACAACATTCAGAAGGAGTCCACCCTCCACCTCGTCCTGCGTCTCCGCGGTGGTATGCAGATTTTCGTCAAGACCTTGACTGGCAAGACCATCACGCTGGAAGTCGAGTCTTCCGATACCATTGACAATGTGAAGGCCAAGATCCAGGACAAGGAGGGCATCCCCCCTGACCAGCAGCGATTGATCTTCGCCGGCAAGCAACTCGAAGATGGTCGTACGCTGTCCGACTACAACATCCAGAAGGAGAGCACGCTTCATCTCGTCCTCCGACTCCGCGGTGGTATGCAGATTTTCGTCAAGACGCTCACTGGAAAGACGATCACTCTCGAGGTCGAGTCGTCGGACACGATCGACAACGTCAAGGCCAAGATTCAGGACAAGGAGGGTATCCCTCCTGACCAGCAGCGTCTCATCTTTGCCGGCAAGCAGCTCGAGGATGGCCGCACTCTTTCGGACTACAACATCCAGAAGGAGAGCACGCTGCACCTCGTGCTGCGTCTGCGTGGCGGCAACTGATCGGTCCTCGACGAATAGGCAGCTCCTCTGCAATGATACATTGATTCCCCCTCGAGCCCAAGCCGTCGCACGTGCACCGGCTTGTGGTATATCCCCTTTTCTTCTTGCGAATGCTGTGTGTGCGTGTGAGGAGAGTGTGTGGAGCTGTGCTTACGACTGTGGCTTGATGGATTGAGCTCATGACTCGGGCTTGTTGGCAGAACTGGCGAAGGTGAGCGGATGAGAAGAGGCTGCGCGCGGATGCATGGCGTGGACGCACATGGAGGTGTGCAGGCCATCACGAGGGTGGAGAAGTGAGCAAGAGGGCGCATTTGTGGCACGGTATGTGGCTCAACCTCGGCACACAGCCGCGTCGAGAGGGTGATATTGATTCACAACCTGGGACTCTGCACCATGCGGATCGGCGCGTGCACAACCAAGCTTCATCTTGCACCGCTCGCGCTCACACTGTGCACACGAAATGGAGCTCTTGAATTTGAAAGGTACTTTGTTGGCGATAGGGGGGGAGGGGGGGCTGTGATTCACCAGCAGAACAGAATGCTGGTGCGGTTGAACAGCGCCGGACTGGCGGCGGCTTTGGACCCAGTGCCGCCCTCGGGAGGGTTCATCGTCAGTGCGACATGCAGGTTGCGCGTGATCTCGCCGCGGAAGAAGGCAAACAGCTCCTCGTCCTGATCGAGCATCAGCCCGTTCCTCTGACTAGCCTCTCGCAGGGCGCTGACCAAACTCGCGTACTCGTCGCCCTCGAACAGCCCTGCCACCTCGGCATTGGCCAGAAGCGTGTTGAGCTTCTCCAGCCGCGCGGCATTGGACATCTGCGACTCGTCGATCGTCCAGCACACCTTCTCGCCCTTGCATCCGACGCGGCGCAGCAGCGCACGCAGGTCGTCGTCAAAGTGCTCCTCGGTATACCGGTTGCTCGTGCTGATGCTGAACAGCGACAAGCCGCGCATCCAGGCGCAGAACCGCGTCACCGTCGTACGTCCACTTCCCGACGCACCGATCAACAGCAAGTGCCCAGCCGGCTGCCGCAGCACGCGATCGCACGACAGCGCCAGATCCAACACGCTATCGTGCAGCACCAGACTCGCCTCGAGCTCCTCGTCCGAATACCCCTTGAGTCGCGCCTTGGCATACTCGCGCACAGCCTCGCGCCCCACGCTCTTGTACTCCTTGCTCAGCCAGTTGCTGAACAGAATCGGCCGCGCCAACGCCACGCCCGTGTCGACGCTCGGGAACCGATGCGCCGCAACAGCATCCAGCTGCTCGTCCGTCCACCGCTTCTCGTCGCGCCCAACCAGCCGGTCCTGGAACAGCCGCAACCCCTCGTGCGCCCACACGCGCACCAGCCCCTCCACCGACAACGCCTCCAGCTCGCGGATCGCCTCAAAGATGCCGCGCATCCACCGCGTCAGCTCGCGCGGCGAGTAGACATAGTGCGCCTGGATGTCGGGCGTAAACCGCCGCTGACTCGCCAGGTAGAAGTCCACCATGCCCGCCGTGAGCGCCTCGGCATACCCGCGCAGATTCGGCGTCACCTTGAGCAGCGCGCGGTTGAACGTGCCGTAGATCTGGTTGAGCGAAATCTCGCCCGGATAGTCGACCATGATCAGCGGCGCATGTCGCAGGAACCTGTGCGACAGCGCCACACGTCCCGGATCCGTAGGCGGATTGCACGCCCCGACAAACTGGATCCGCTCCAGCCGCACCCACGCCTTGTCGCTGATCCGCCAAAACCCACCGCCCTCGACGAGCTGGCGCAGGAACGAGATGACGCGCTGCGTGCCGTACTTGTCCGTGGCGGGCAGGTTGATCTCGTCGCAAAAGAGCACGAGCCAGCGTCCGATCTGCGACGGCGAGAGCACGATCCCGTTCGGCGTCTTGCGGTACTCGCAGTACTGCTCAAACGTCTTGAGGATGAGCTCGGGCGTCGTCGCCGACGAAAAGTTGAGCCCCACCACCTCCATGTCCGGCAGCTTGCGCAGCGCCGAAAACAGCGTCATGGTCTTGCCCGAGCCGGGCGGACCGCACAGCATGAGCGGCTTGTGCTCGGACAGCCACGAGTACAGCACGTCCTCGTGGCGCACCGTGTCGATGGTGGGCACCACCACGTCCGCCGCCGACACCGCCGCCGTGTCGATCTCGATCGTAGGCACCTTGCTCAGCCACGACGTCCACTCCACCGCGCCGCGCGTCAGCGTCACGTCCCAGTCGATCAGCGACGCGCCCGCGCCGAGCGGCGGCAGCTCGATGCCCGTGCGGCTGCGCAGATGCTCGCCCATCTCGGCGCGCACCTCGAGCTTCGCATCGCCCGTAAACGCCCACACGAGCGCGAGCAGCAGCCGCCGCGTCGCATACGCCTCGATCTGCTCGCCGCCCAGCGGAAAGTCCGGATGCGCTGCGTTGTAGTCGAGCACGTTGCGGATCGTCTTGTTGACGAGCGAAAAGAGCGTCGACAGCGCACGCGCCTCGGTGAAGTCCATAATGTGCGGCTTGGACCGCGCGAACTCGAGCGCGCCGTTCACCAGGCCGTCGTCGTCGAATAGCGGCGCCAGCGCGTCCGCCACCGCGCGCTGCACGAGCAAGTCGGGGCTCACCTCGCTCGTGGTGGTTGCTGCCGTCGAGGCTGCCGCCGCCGCACGCCGCGCCGCCACCGCACCCACCAGCTCGTCGTCGTCGAGCTCGATCGGCGTCGAGCGCAGACCCGTCAGGTAGCGCGAGTAGAGCATCGAGGGGCGCACAATGTCGTCGCTGAACCAGATCATGCCGCAGCGCGACACCGTCGCCAGCGTGGCGTAGCGCAGCGACTCGACCTCAAACATGATGCGCACGTTGGGCGGCAGGTTGAGCCGCTCGCCGTTGGGCAGCGTGAGCAGCTTGTTGTCGTCGAGCACCGAGTTGAGGTTCTCGACCCATTCCGGATCCACGTCGCCGTCAAACACGATCCAGTGGCGCTTGGCGCTCTCGCCCCTGACATTGTCGATGATCTTGCGCAGCACCTGCGTGAAGAGGCCGTCGTTCCACTCGCGCGTCGTCGGATCGAGCGTGCCGTACAGACTCTCCTTGGACACCGCCTTGGGGTCGATCACGTACGACACGCCCTCCTGGCCCTCGAGCCGCTCGAGCGCCGCAAGCAGCACCTGCCACGCCTGCGTCTTGCCCGTGCCCGACGGCCCGACGAGCATGAGGCCGTGCGAGATCTTCTGGATCTGGTACAGCTGCAGCACCTTGTCCGTCCAAAGCCCGCCCTCGACCAGATGGCGCTCGGCACACACCGCCTCGATGTGGCCGCGCAGCACCTCGAGGTTGACCGGCTTGTACTCGACGCCGGGGAAGACGTCGGACAGCAGGCTCTTGAGCAGCGGCACGTCCTCGGCCACCAGCTTGGGCACGATCGTCTCGGACACGCTCTGGATGAGGATCTCCTGCTCCGACACCTCGATCGCCGCGTGCGTCGCCACCTCGCCGTCGCCGCCGCCAAGCATGTGCTCGCGCTTGAGCTGGCCCGCGCTCACCAGCACCGCCTTGAGCGCACGCAGCCCAAAGTCGTAGTGCGGCTGCGGACTGAGCTGCTCGAGGCACAGGTTGAAGAACGGCACGATCTTGGAGGCGAGCGTCTCGGCGGTGCGGAAGCCCTGCGAGAAGAGCATGACCTGCGCAATCAGCTCGCGGTCCGGATGCGTCATGGCCATGTTGCGGAAGAGCTTCTTGAGGTTGTCCGGCAGATTGGATCGGCCGGCGTACGTCGGGTTGGTGGTGATAAAGATGCCGACGCGGTCGTTGAGCGGCACCTTCTTACCGAGCAGCTCGATCTCGCCTGCGCCGCTGCTGCTGCTGCCGCTGCTGCTGGCGTTGGCGCCGCTCGAGTCGGCCAGACCCTGCTGGATGCTCTGGATCTGCTGCGACACGGCCGACAGGATGCGCTCCTCGAGTCGATTGAACTCGTCGAAGCAGCCCCAGGCGCCGACGCGGCAGAGGCCCACAAAGATGCGGCCCATGGCCTGGAAGTCGAACGTCTCGTCGCAGCAGAACACAATGACAAACATGCCCAGCTGCACGCCGAGCGCCTTGACCGACTCGGTCTTGCCCGTGCCTGCCGGTCCGAACGGCGCGCCGCCGAGCTTGTAGTGGAGCGCCTGCGTGAGCGTGAGGTAGCATCGGTCGGTGAGCGGCGTCTGCACCAGCCGATCGGGCACACCCAGATACTCGTAGCCGTACGCGAAGGTGGCGTTGGCCATCTGCACCGTGAGGCGGTCCAGCGGCTTGTCCACCTGCCGGTTGAGGTAGAAGCGCATCTGCGAGAGCCAGTTGAAGTCGCGTGCGCTCTCGACCTTCTGCTGCACGAGCAGGCGGATGACGTCTCGCTGGTGCACGAGCTCGGTGATGAGGTGCTCGCACTTGCGGCGCTGCAGCGCCTCGACATCGGTCAGCACCGTGTCGGCGAGCAGGTCGAGCCCGCGCAGCACGACGTCGAGCGGATGCTGCAGCCCCGCACCGCCCTCGAACGCCGCATCCACCATCGCCGTCCAGCGCGCCTGCACCGCCAGCACGACGAGCTGCGCCGGATACTTTGCGATCCACGCCAAAAACCGGTCGAGCGTGAGCGAGTCGACGCTCGCGTAGAACGTTTCGAGCTCGGCGGCCGCCTCGGACAGGAGTTCGGCGAGCGACAGCCGCATCTCGCTCTCGACCTTGGCGAGCCAGTCGTTGATCTTGGGGTAGTCCTTGAGCAGGATGGGCGTGCGGAACGGCACCGTCTCGCCCTCGCGGCTCACCATGGCGGTGAGCGTGCCGGCGGCCTCGTCGAGCTCGACGGTGGCGATGCCGGCAAACATCTTCTTGAGGTGCTTGAGGATGCGCGCGGTGTCCTTGGAGTTGCCGATGATCTCGAGCAGGTCCTCGTCGCCGACAAAGTAGAAGCGCGGGAAGTTGGCGCGCTCGCGCTCCAGATACTCTCCGAGCGCCTTCTGGATCTTGCTCAGCAGGTCGGCCAGACGCTCGAGGCTCTTCTGGACGCCCGGGATGTTGAGCACGTCGAGCACGAAGGGCGACTTGTACACCTTGCGCATCACGGTGAGGAACTCGGTGTTGATGTTCTGGAAGCGCGAGCTCTCGACGGGCAGGATGTGGCGGATCTCGGCGCTGCCGCTAAAGATGCCCTCGAGATACACCCACTGGCGCTGGACGTCGATCCAGGTGTCAAAGAGCACCGAGATCTTGCTCAGCCGGTCCTCCCACAGCGACGCCTCCTCCTCGAACACCTTGTAGTGCGGACTCATCGACATGGCCCGCAGCGCATTCAGGTTGTCGCCCGCGAGCTGGAAGAGGTTGTCCCAGCCGCGGATGAGGCGGCACTTGTTCTGGTAGTTGACCAGATCGAGCGTGTAGTTGGTCCACGCCTCGCGCACCTGCTTGAGGTACTCCTCGAGCGCCAGCTCGCCCTGCGCCTGCGCGACGACGGCCTTGACGGCGGCGTCGTGCCTCTTGAGGTCGAGGTCCCACACGGTGCCGAGCGTCATGCTGCTGGCCGAGTAGTGGTCGTGCACCTTGAGCTGCTTGAAGAGCGAGCGCCAGTGACGCTCGCGCATCGCCTCGGACTTGAGATCCGAGATGACGGCGTTGCTCTTGAGCAGCGCGCGCAGGTGCTCCTGCACGTACTCGAACGCCGCGTACTGGCGCATGCGGCTGGGCATGTCGCGCGTCTGGGCGAGCAGCGCATCGAGCTGCTGGCGCAGCTTCCTCGGCTGCACGTTGCTCCAGTTGGTGTCGCGGATCTCGGCGAGCTGGCCCCACGTGCCCGAGAGCGCGGTCCAGACCGTCTTGAGGTCGCGCAGCTCCTCGAACACCGGCTCGAGCCTGTCGTCCTGCGTGTGCTCGAGGTCGAGCGCCTCCTTGGCGCGCACGACCAGCGCGCGGTCCTCGGCGAGCTTGGCGACGCGCGACTCGAAGACGTTGATGGTGTTCATGGCGCCGTCGGCCTTGAGCGTGCCCTGGATGGGCTTCTGCTGCTCCCACTCGCTGATGAGCGTGGCCATCTTTTCGCTCACGATCTTGTCCTCTGCGATGATCTTCATCTGGAGGCCGGCGAGCTGCTCCTGGATGCTGGCGTTCTTGCGCGTGAGGATCTCCTGGAAGGCGCTCCACTCGCCCTCGACCTGGTCGACGTAGAGCCAGTCCTGCGGGAACATGTAGCGCTGGCGCTCGAGCGTCTTCTGGCCCGTGCCAAAGATGTCGATCTGCGGCTGCCACGCCTTGGTCTTGCGCTTGAGATCCTGCACAAACGTGATGAAGGTGACCGCCTGCGCGGTGGAGCTGCCCTCGATGCTGTGCTGCTCGAGCTCGACGCGCGCCTTGGCGACGGCGGCGTGCACGTCGCGCATGGCGGCGCCGAGCTTGGTGCCGAAGCGGTTGAGGATGTCGCGCTGCCACGTGTCGTACTTTGCGTTGACCTTGCTCTGCACCTGGTCGTAGTCGATGACGCAGATGCCAAACGAGCGCTGGGTGTCCGAGTTGTCAAAGGTGGCGCGCGTGCGGCGGATCTCGGCGAGCAGCTGCTGCCAGCTGGCGAGCGAGTCGCCGAGGCGCGCAAACACATGCTCGGACTCGAGGTCCCACAGCGACTGGAACTGGAGCCACTTGGCAACGTAGCTGCCCACCTCGGCGAGCTTGGCCTCGATGAGCACGAACGGCCGCTCGAGCGAGTCGTCCTGGAAGCGCGTGAGCAGCGAGGTGTAGTCGTTCTCGGTGACGCGCTGCTTGGTGCGCATCTGCAGGCCGATCTCGTAGCGCGAGCTCTGGACGCGCGTGAGGCAGCAGACGACCGAAAGCACCTCGTGAAGCTGACGGAACCACGAAGCACGTGCGTGCTCGAGGGGTGGGTCGAGGAAGATGACCTGGTTCTGGATGCGCACCTCGTGCGTGATGGGCTCCAGCACAATATCCTCGACGGCGCCCTCGGCGTCCTGGGCAGCGCCTCCCGCCGTGCCGTTGATGACTACCTTTTTGGACCTGCGATCGCCGCGTGCGGCACCTGCGCCGCCCTGGCTCTGACCATGACCCACGAAAGCGGTGCACCAGGCGGCACTGACCGACCTGAGCCGGCGCAGCAGCACGTCCTCGATGAGGCCGTCGAGGTTGCCGACCCACTCTTCGAGGTTGGGGTAGCCCTCGAGGTTGAGCTTGTCGATGGTGTTCTGGATCTTCTGCAGACGCTCTGCAAAGGCGTCGGAGCGGTAGGCGCACTTGGCGAGCTCGTCGATGGTGGCGCGCATGTCGCGCTGGATCTCGATGAGCTCGGCGGTCTTGTCCTGGAAGAGGCTGACGGTGCTGGCGAACTGGCGGACAAAGGCGACCTGGCGATTCTCGCGGCCGGCGTCTGCGCCGGAGCCGGGCAGGTACGAGGCGGCGCGGTGGCTCTCGTAGATGTTTGCAAAGTGCTCCCAGCGGAGCGTCATGCCCTGCGAGATGAGCTGGTGGGCGTCGGCGTGAACCTGGGCGATGAGGCACGTGATTTCAGGGTTGGCACGCACGAGGCTGCAGGTCTGGTTGTACGTGCGCACTGTTTCCATGAGCGAGACGGCGTGCGGGTAGACCTTTTTGGCGTCCTTGGCGAGGTTGGTGATGGCGTGCGGGATCTGGAAGTTGAGCCAGATGAGGTTGCGCACCTCCTTGAAGAGCGAGATGGTGTGTCCGTCAAAGTTGACGCTGAGCTGGAGCGCATTGTTGGCGGCGCGGTTCTTGGTGACGTCGAAGACGCGACCGGCGATGGTCATGTCGCGGCGGTTGATGTCGTGGAGCCAGCTGTCGAAGAGCGAACGCGTGTCGAGCTTGCGCCGGAAGGTCTCGCTCTCGCTCTGCAGCTTCTGGCCCTCTGCGTAGAGCTCCCAGCCCTTGCCGAGGACGTCTTCGACGCGCTTCATGTAGATGTTGAGCTGGCGCTCGATCTGGCGTGCCCAGATGATGGCGCCTGCGATCTCGGGCACGTCGCGGAGCTGGCTCATGTGGTTTGCCTCGGAGGGACGGTACTGCGCCTTGAACTTGTCGTGGAGCGACTTGATGTCGGATTTGACGCTGTTGAGCAGCTGCTGCTGGTACTCCTGCACGGCGCCGCGCACCTTGGGCCTGACAAAGAGGCTGTTGAACTGGGAGAGGACGCGGAGCATCTCGCGGGCGGATTTGGCCTGGCCGAGGAGGTCGCGCAGACGGGCGATGAGCGTATTCTCGACGCGCGCCACACGTTCGTTGTAGGCGCCTTCGGCTGTGGTCCAGATCTCGGTGCCCTCTTGGGAGACGTCGAGGACGTCGATGACCTTGACCTGGTCGTAGGCGGCGCGGATCTCTTCGCTCATCTCGATGCCGGCGAGGTTCTGTGTGGCGACGTGGCGCTCGTTGGCGGCGCCTGCGCTTGCGACGCCGCCGGCGTTTGCGCCGGGGAGGATGAGCCCCTTGCCGGAGCTGACCATGGCGCGGAGTTGCTCGTGGGTCTTTCGGAAGGCGCCAATGTAGTTGAGGCGCTCGCGGAGCTTTGCGTGTGCCGGGTTGATCTTGATGGGGAGGAACTTTTCGGAGCGCTTGCGGGTGACTTCGCGGGCGATGTTGACAAAGTCCTTGATGAGCTCGTCCCAGACGTGGAAGACGTCTTGGGTTGCCGAGATGGTGTCGGAGAAGCGCGGGAACTCGTGCCACATGATGCGCTGGGAGGCGAGCACCTTGAGCAGGGTGTCGTTGAGGTCGCGGCTGATGGCCTCGACGAGCGGGAGGGCGCGCTTGACGGGGTAGGGGCTGATGCGGAGCTTCTTGTTGAGGTGGTTGAAGATGGCGCTGAGGGCGTCTGCGCACTTGTCGAGGTCGGTGGCGGAGAGGAGCTCGTTGATGGGGAAGTCCTTCATGAGGAGGTTGTAGTTGTGCGTCTTTTCAGCGCAGTCCTTGAGGCCGGTGTCTGCGAGGAAGGAGACGGTTGCGTGGAAGCGCTTTGCATGCTTGAGGATGTCGAGGGTGAGGACGATGGGGTCGGAGCGGAGCTGCTGCTCGATGGACTCCTGCGCCTTTTCCATGGAGAGCCAAAAGTTGATCTCTTGGGAGGCGGAACCGGAGGCGACGCTGCGGTCGAGCTTTGTGATGGTCTGTACTTCCTTGACCCAGGCGTTGACGTCGGACTGGAGCTTGTTGAGGAAGGACGAGTCCTGGAGGAGCGAGGCGGGCTCGACGGCGTCGACGCTGACGCGGACGGCGGCGGCGTGGCATCGGTCTACGGCGGCGCGTACGACGGGATGGATGGAGAGGGTGATGTCTGGGATGTCGACGTTCTGCTGGAGGTGGAAGAGGCTGAGTTCGAGTTCTGCGAACTTGCGCTTCGCCATGGGGATGCCCATCTTTGTATCGCTGTCCTTTGGCTTTGCGCCGGATGTGAGCGACTTGTCCTTGGGAGCCTTGCTGGCGACGAAAGCGTCGAACCAGGGCGACATGACGTTGTGGACCACGCTGTGAAGCGCCTCGTAGGGGCTCTCTCGGACGGTGGTTGCGGCGGTGGCTTCGTCGGCGTCGTCGTTGGCGTTCCTGGCGCCAGCAGCGTCTGATGCTGTTGTTGGAGCAGCAGCGGCATCTGTGGATGTGGACGGGGCCGCAGCGGGGCCAAAGAGCGTGAGTACGTGGAGCTGATGTGGGAGGGGCACGGCGGCGTCGAGCACGGCGACGCGCTTGATGAGGGCGATGCTCGAGACGTGGCGCGACGAGTAGGAAGCGTGTGTGGACATTTCGTAGTCGAAGAGGTGGTGTTCTGGAGCGTCTGCGGCCGAATCCTGACGGCGGATCTTGTTAATGTAGGCAGCCATGACGTTGGGGTCGCAGGCAAAGAGGTTTGCGCTGTCCTTCCACGTGGGCGTGTCGAGCAGGCGCTCCGAGATGACGGAAGCATCGGTATCGAGGAGGACGGGAAGCAGAGAGCGAAAGTAGTTCTTGAGCCTGGCCGTGTCAACGAGGCCGTTGAACCTTGCTGCCGAGGAGGAGGGCGAGAGGTCGGTGGAGGAGAGGCCGCCCTTGGAGACGAGGTCTGGCTCGGGCGGCGCATCGGGCGGCGCATCGTTGCGGCTGCTGGCGACCAGACGGCCGTTGGAGCCGCTGTATGGCTCGTCCATGTTGGCGCGTGGCGGTGCCAGACCGAGCGAAGAGTGCAGCGTAGTGATGGAAGAGGTGATGCTGGGGTGGTGGTGGCAGCAAGCTGAGCAAGCTGAGCTGGCCGACGGTGGGGATTCGTGATTCACGTGTGGCCCTCTCTCTGCTGAGCTGCTGGAGTGGGGACCGAGCGCGTGTCAAAATCGCTTCGAAAAGTGTTGGTCTGAACCGACTCGCACGCGTGATCCTCGGCGCTGGCCCAAAAGACCCTGGGCCTCGATTTTGGCCCCGTTTCACCGTGTTTTCCTGTACGTCCTAACAGTCACAGCATTTCTTTATTTCGCCCGAGAATGGGATCGGAAATGGCACCCTCTATCTGAACAAAATGGGCGTAAAAATGAAAAAGGAAATAAAAAAAGGCGCCAACAAAACATGGCAGCAAAAATGCAGCTTTCTGACAGGGCGCTGTTCAACACGGCACTCGCCTGTCCCTTGAACCACTTTACACTGCCGGTATGGACGCTGCGTTGTGTCGCACGGTTGCCCTCCTACCCCACTTCGGTTCCATGAGAACCGTGTTGGTTGCTTCATTCGAGATTTTGCTGTTGCTGGGGGGGTTGCGGGTCGGAGTTGGCGAGGGGCGGCGTTTGAATTGGTGCTGCGCGAACGCCGAGCTGCCTGTGCCGGCATTCATGCAGGCGGCCGATCCATGCATGGCTCGCTCTTCTCGGCGTTGTCGCCCAGCTTCATTGTGGCCGAGTACGGTACACCACTGTCGGGTGGGGAGGGGTCGAACGCCCAGATGAAAGAGCAGATGCCGAGGAGCAAATCGAGCAGCAAAAAGGCTCGGGCACCCCGGTCGAAAACAGCAAGGGGGCGTGCACAGATGAAGCGCTGTGGCGGTGGCGGTGCGGCGAGCCGAAGCTTCGACAGCCCAGTCTCTTGTTGCATGGCAAGGCTGTCGACGGCTGCGTGTCCAAGTAGAAGCTGGTAGCAACTGCTTTAGGTCTTTCGAGAAAGCAGCATGTGTGCGCCTCACCACCATCGCTTTACTGATCTCGCCGCGATGCTGTATGTGGTCTTGCTGCTACTGTGCGTGTCGGGGGTGGTGTGCGATGCATTCACCTCTGTGCGCGGTGTATCTGGCGACATCTCGCACCGCACTGTAGGACGTACACCCACCGGCGCCTATGCGCGCTCGCTCAACATCACCTCGACCAGCCAGGTCTTCACATGGTACTCGCAGACGCCCGCCAACGAGTCGGAAGCCGAATCGGCGTTCATCATCGTGCACGGCGTCGACCGCAATGCCAACACGTACTTTCGCGTGCTCAACAATGCCTGGTCGCACGCGCGCGACGAGGGGATCGGTTCGGCTAGCAACAACTCCATCCGTGTCGCACCGATGTTCTTCAGCACAACGCGCGATCGACGCGCATACAACACCTCGCACCTCGCATGGGCGGATTTCAACGCCTGGACTGCCGGTGAAGCCAGTACACACCCCAGGGGCAGCGGCGTTTCGTCGTTCAGCGTGCTCGATGCAATGGTGCGCCGGTTTAGCAATCGCCGGACGTATCCAAAGATGAAGTGGATCACATTTGTAGCGCACGGTGGGGGTGCACAGATGTTGCAGCGCTACGCCGTACTTGGCATGCCCAACCCTGCCCCCGCCCGACTCAGCGTGCGGTACGTGATTGGCGATCCATCTTCGCAGCTCTACTTTACGCCCGATCGACCCGTGGCCGTGGACACCACATCGTGTCCCGCCTGGAACGACTACCGATACGGCACGCGCAGGTACTCGTCCGACTACGCTGCGCTTAGCAACCGCAATGCAGCCGACCTCTTCCGCACCTATGCGGCGCGCGAGGTGCGCTACATTGTCGGGCTCAACGACACACGCACCGACGAGGGCGACCAGACCTGCATGGCCCACGCGGTCGGAGGACCCAAGAGACGCAATCGAAACCTCGCCTACTGGAAGTACATTAACCTTCTCGCCGGCACCGGTGCCGATCTGCGCAACTTGCCCGGCACATTCCCCATGCTCGAGGGCAAAGACCCGCAGCGCAATGTGCCCGCATCGACATCTGCGGGTGCAAGGAGGTTCAAGGGTGCGCAGTTGAGACATACACTGTCGGTGGTGGAGAATGCCGGACATAGCGCGACTAAGATCTACGGCTCGGTGCAGGGCAGGAATGCGCTATTTGGCGAGCAGGCCAAGTCGGGCGGTGGCGATGTGCCCGATCTGGCACAGGAGCTGGTCGGGTATACGGCGGATGCCAAAGGTGCAAGTAACGATGTGCCCGACGAAAGCGACGAGTAGTAGCCCCCCACCCCACAGATGTGTCAATGATACCAAGTCGAATGCATGTCAGTATGGAGAGGGTGGTGGTGAGCAATGAACATCGAAAGGCGTCTCCACATTGAGAAGCACTCGGAACTCGGAGCCAAAAAAAAAGGGCCGCTGGAGTGCGCGCTTTAGCTCAGCCTCACTTTACCGCTCCTCCTTCCACTGCCACGATCCGTTCACCTTTGACCCGCTCGTCGCATACCCGTGCTGGTCGTCACGATGGCGGGCCCGAATCTGGAGCTGTTCAAGTTCGGCATGTACCTCTTCTTCCCACTCGCCGTCATGGTGCACTATGGCGATCCCGAGTGGTACCACCGCAACGTGCTGCCCGTACGTATACTCAGCCCAACACACCGCATACGAAATCCCTCCGCTGACTTGTGTTCTTTGAGGGGTGGGACAGATTCGCGACCAGTTCTGGCCCAAGGAGGAATCGCTCTATCGACCGCCCCGCACGTCGGACGATGTCAGGACGGCGCTCGACGAGATGAAGCAAAAACGTCTCGCGCGTCGCGAGGAGCGTCTCAAACTCGACCAAGCCCAATCATCCCACAGAGAAGCAAGCGAACCCAAGGTGGTCAGCATGCTCAAGGATGCCGCCCAGACGAATGAGCGTCTCGTATAGCCTCACGGAATGGAAGCCTTTTGTATTTCTACTCTGCTTTAGTGAGACCGAGTTCCTGCAGGAACTTCTCGGAGTACCTTCGCACCTGCTTATACGTGGTCTCAAACCCTTGCTTGCCGCCGATGTAGTACGGATCGGCGATGGGCTTGTTATCATCCACCTCACCAAACAGTCTGATCTGCGCGGTGCATCCTCGCGGAGCCATGGTCTTGAGGTTACGCACATTGTTGGTGTCCATCCCGAAAATGTAGTGGAAGGTGGTAAAGTCGGCATCGCGCACACCGCGGGCAAAGTTCTCGGCGTCGTAGGGGATGTTTCTGCGCACAAGGAGCGCGGTTGTTCGTTCGTCGGGTTCTTCGCCCTCGTGGTAGTTGCCTGTGCCGCACGAGTCGAGCGTGCCGAATCGATCGCGCACGCCGGCTTGCACGCACGTGTCCTCGAAGACGGCCAGCGCCATGGGTGAGCGACAGATGTTGCCGAGGCAGCAGAAGAGGACGTTGATCTTGTCACGCCCGCCCGAGGCGGAAGCGCGATTTGAGGAGGAGGAGGATGACATGGCGATAGGACGGTGGACAGGTGGTTGAAGGCCGCGTGGAATCGGTGCGCTCGAAAGCCAATCTTTTCTCCACTTTTTTTCCCACCCGGCGAAAAAGAGCCGCTGCAGCCGATGCAGCCGATACTGCATCAAATGCACGCTGTTGTAATCCGTGCAACTCCACCTTGACTCCCCTCCTCCATCGAGCAACACTATCGCCATGGTGTCGTACAAGGAGCTCGCGCGCAAGAACGATTCGGTCGATGCCACGCGGCAGCGTGCACTCGTTGCCGGTGGCACGCAGGGGATCGGTGCGGGTATTGCACTGCGCTTCGCGCTCGCGGGTGCATCGGTCTGGCTCATCGGCCGCAACGAGGCGAAAGCAAGCGAGGTGCTCGAGCAGCTGCGTCTCGCCTCGGCCGAAGCAGCACGTCGTGCCAACACCACCGCCGACACCGATCACCACTTCTTCCAAGCTGACCTCTCGTCCACCGCGGGCGTCAAGAAGGTCGCCCAAGCCGTGACGGCCAAAGCGGGAAGCAGGGGGATCGACTACCTCATCGAGACCCAAGGTGGACCTCCTCACGGCGGGATCGAAACTACGGCAGAGGGTGTAGAGACCCAATTTGCCGTGCAGGTTCTCTCCCGCGTCGGACTGGCAAAGCACCTGCTCGAGGCCAACACGATCAAGCGCGGTGTGTTTATGGTTGCTGCACCTGGTCAGGGCAGCAAATCCCCCATGGACCTGGAGGATCTCGATTTTGTCAAGGCCAAAGCGGCAGGCAAGTGGTGGGGTGGACCCCTGGGCTTGCTCAAAAAGGGCACACAAGCTTCGTCGTTGCTCGACGCAGCCTGTGCGCGCATGGCTGAACAACACCCCAACCTCACCATCACGCACGCCTTCCCTGGGTTCGTAAACACCCAGGCCCTCGCCAACCAGGGCCACAACAGCTTGCTCGTCCTTGCGGCGCGTGTGTTCGGACCGCTGGTTGGTGCCAAACCTGGACCCGGGGGTTATGCAGAGTTGCCCTTTTATCTGCTAGCTAACCCGGAGGGACAGAGGTATCTGGAGACGGGCAAGCCCAACCTCGTCAACGACAGCCTCAAGAAGCTGGACATCAGCAAGAATGTGGCCGACAAACCCACGCGCGATGCGGTCTGGTCCAAACTAGCCGCCTACTTCTAGTCCACACATCTCACAATCACTACCCCGCGCAATCAAGGTCTGCCACTCTAATCCAACCCCGCACGCATCGAATGAGAGAGAGAGAGAAGGGGTAGATTACATCCGTTTTGCGATTTCGTGGGGGCTTACTTTTTATCGCCGGGCAGTTTGCCATCGAGCATGCCGAGCACCTCGATCACGACGCGGTCAAAGTCCTTCTGCGTCTTGTCGTCCTCGATCATGCTTCCGAACACGCGCAGTCCCTGCACTTTTGCCACCATCTCCTTGTTCCACGCCTGCGTATAGCTTCCCTTGGAACCGGGCTTCCTGCCCCTCGGATCCTTGGTCGGCACAGGCACCTGACCCGCCGCCTGCAGAGCCGCTTGTCTCGCCGCCGCTTCCGCTTCCGCCGCCCGCGCCGCCTGCATCTCCAGCTTGGTGCGTCGTTTGCGCTTCGCTGGCGGCGCCTCCATCGACGTATCCACCACTGCCGCTGCGGATGCAGGTGGCGCCGAGGCTGCTGCCGCCGCTTCCGCTGCCAGCTCCGCCTTGGACTTGCGCCCTCGCTTGCCCTTGGGCCGAATCCCCACAGCAGCAGCGGGTGCGGGGGGAGGTGCAGCTGCTGCTGCTGCCGCCTGGGCCGCCGCTGCCGCCGCCGCTGCTGCAGCTTGAGCCTTTTTGCCTTTGGCCGTGCCGTTAGCGGCCGTCTTGATCATCATGGCAGAGGGGTCGACAAAGCCCGCCTGTTGGGTATATCCCTGCGGCTTGGTGGGCGCGGGTGCCGCCACGGGCTGCGTCTGGTTCTTAGGTTTGCGCCCGCGTTTCTTTGGCACTGCCGCCTCGGCAGCCGCTGGCTGTGACGCCGCCGCCGCTACCGAGGGCGACGCGGAGGGCGGTGCGTTCTGCGCCGTGGGCGCTGCAGCCGACTGCGAACGCGACGCCTGCGACGGCTGCACGCCCTCGCGCTGCTGCATCGCCACATTCGACGACGCCGAGTAGTTGCTCCAGTCCTGCTGCGCGTTGGCGGACGAGTAGGCGCCATCGAAGCGCGACTCCCTTGCGCTGCCATTGCTCGGCTGGCCAAACCCATCGCCCGGCTGCTGCGCATACATGGGCTGTGCGGCGCGATCGCGCGCTGCGCCGTACTCGGAGGGCGCGTAGTAGTGCTCGCTACGGTACGACGCGTTGGACGGCTGACCCGGCTGCTGCTGTCCCTGCTGTTGCTGTCCCTGCTGCTGCTGCTGTTGCTGCTGCTGCGGCATGAGCGAGTTGCCGTTATACCCACCGGTGAACGCCTCCGAGAAGCTGGCAAAGGTGTTGGGACGCGAGTTGGCAGACGACGACGAAGCCGCATTGCCCGGCTGCTGTCCCGGATAGCCCGAGGGAAAGTGCGAGCTCGAGCCGCCCGATGCATAGCCGCCGTAGCCGCCTACATCGTCTCTCGAGCCGGACGAGATCATGCTGCTGCCAAAGTAGCCCGGCTGCTGCTGTTGCGGCTGCTGCTGTTGCTGTTGCGGAGGCTGCGGCGGCTGGGACGGCGAAGAGGTGTAGCCCGACTGCGGCTGCATCGTGTCCCACGACGACAGACCGCCGCGGTACTGCTGCTGACCGCTTCGGCCGTACATGCTGGGCTGGCTGCGAATGCGATCGAGACGCGCGCGAGAAAGGATTTGACTGGAACGCGTCCGTGCGACGGGCGTGCGTGGGCGGCGTGGGTGCGAGGTGGGATCGGGTGGGGCTCGACGCGACGGGAGCGAAAGAGCGAAAGAGTGGCCTGGAGCGAGGTCACGGGGTATCTGCGAGTGAGCGAGCGGGAAAGCGATCGAACCTGCCACGAAGAGTTAGTGGAGAAGCCAGCACGGATGCACGGATGGAGGTGGACAAGAGATAGGGATCAAGGTAGGGTCTTTGAGAGCAGTAGCGATTGAGCGATGGCGGATGGGGGGCCAAGCGAGTGCGATCGCGTCTCGACAGCTCCGCTCCCGCCTGCCGCGATGCGGTGCGTGATTTGGATGCGATGCGACTGCGTTGGTGCTCAGCTGCGCTGTCCGTCGCGTTGAGCTCCGTCTTTTTGCCCGTCGAGCGACGGAAGCCTGAAATCCAACAACGCAGCAACAAAAAAATCACCAATTCGGCCGCCCTTTCTCGCCTTTTCTCCTGCCTCGACTCGGCCCCCGAGTCGAGCTAGGCTTAACACAGTCTAACATGGACCAATATACCCCCTCCCGATTTGACCAGATCGCGTTACAAATCCGAAAAGATCTCAGCACGACTCAGCCGGCGCCCTCCGCTCTCTTCGGCAGCTGCAAAAATCTGGAAGCTTCGTTGGCTCTGCTCCACAATCGGCTGCCCTTGGACGAAATTGAGCCGTGAGCTGCCGACGAAATTTCGCTCCTCTGGCTGACCGACGACATCCGACATCCGTCAACTGCTGCTTTCTTCCTCCACGCTCTTCTTTGCTTTGGCTCTATTTTCTTCCCTCTTTACCACTCGACCACTCACTCGCATCCCCCCTTGATCCCGTTGATCTGGCGCCACATCCACCATGCACACGACGCCAGCTCGAGGCGCCGTCGCCCGACTGGCGCCGCTCGCGCCCTCCTCCACCTCGGCCGCATCCACCCTCACCACCGTGCCTCGCCGCCCCTTGGCCTCGCACCGTCGCCACGACGCTACCGCCTCGAGCTCCTCCACGGCAGCAAAGCTTCCGTCTTCGTCGCGCTCGCTCATCACGCTCTCTCGTTCGGCCGTGCGCACCTCCTCGTCGGGCCGCATTGCTAGGCCCGTGTGCGCCACGTGTGGCGATGCTCCGCGCACCTTCTCCTCCTCTGCCGTCCAGAGCGCATCGGCAAAGGACCCCTACTCGGTGCTCGGCGTCAAGAAGGATGCTGACGTCAAGGACATCAAGCGCGCCTACTACGGTCTCGCCAAAAAGTACCACCCGGACACCAACAAGGAGAAGGGGTCCAAGGAACGCTTTGTAGAGATCCAGAACGCTTACGACCTGCTCAGCGACGACAAGAAGCGCGCCGCCTACGATCAGTACGGCACCACCGACGGTCAGCCTGGCTTCGACCCCTTTGGAGGCGGAGGCTCGTCGCCGTTTGGTGCCGGCGGCTTCGGTGGCTTCCAGGACTTTGGTGGCTTCTCCAACGCCGGCAATGCCGGATCCATCTTTGAGAGCCTTTTCGGTGCGTTTGGCGGCGGCGCGCGGCCGGGACAGCGCGGTCCGGGCTTTGGTGGGGCGGGATTCGCCGGCGAGGCGCGCGGCGAGGATCTCGAGACCACGGTCAACCTCACGTTCGAAGAGGCGTGCAAGGGCACCAAGCGCAAGGTGGTCATCAACCCCATCGAGCGCTGCGGCTCCTGCACGGGCTCGGGACTCAAGGCGGGCGCCAAGAAGAGCACCTGTGGCACGTGCAACGGCACGGGCACGCGCACCTTTGTCATTCAGAGCGGCTTCCAGATGGCCACTACCTGTCCGTCGTGCGGCGGCGCCGGCGCAACCGTGGCTCCGGGCGACAGCTGCAATACGTGCGACGGTGTCGGAAGGATTCGAGGACGCAAGGAGGTTGAGATCGAGCTGCCCGCCGGTGTTGACGATGGCTTCCGCATCCGCAAAGATGGCTTTGGCGATGTGCCGCTCTCGGGTGCCGGCACGCCCGGGTCGCTGTATGTGCGCATCAACGTTTCGCCCTCGCGCATCTGGAGACGACAGGGCTCGACGCTCTTCTTCCCGGCCACGATTCCATTCCATACGGCAGTGTTGGGTGGCAAGGTGCGTGTACCCACGCTGGATGGGCCTGTCGAGGTGCGCGTGCCCGCAGGAACGCAGGTGGGCGAAGAGATGATCCTGCCCGGGCGTGGTGTGCCCTCGCCCACGCGCAGGGGGCAGAAGGGCGACCTGATGGTGCAGTTCGAAGTGAGCATGCCACGATCGCTCACAAAGCGCCAGCGCGAGATCCTCCAGCAGTATGCCGACGAGGTCGAGGGTCGTGCATCCACCGCATCCACCGCATCGACCGCCTCGCAGGGGGCGGCTAGCAGCAAGACCAAGGCGGACAACTCGACGGCGTCAGCAGGCGGCAAGGAGTCGCCAAAGGCATCGTCGGATGCTACATCCAATGCCAACTCGACGGCGAGTGGCAAGGCTGCATCCACAGCTTCGACAGGTTCATCCAAGCAGGCGAAAAAGAGTGCTGCAGGTAGGTTCTCCATCCATCCATCGTCTCGGTCCGACGATACGACTACACACGGCTCCGCATCGCCTTCACCAGCGTCTGAGACGCCAAGTGGCTCGACGGTGGAATCTGCGGAGACGACCGAGTCGCATAGGGGGTTGCTGGGTCGCACTTGGGACTGGATGACCGGGCGCAAGTGATTCTCCCGTCCTGGTCCCTTCGATGCGAGGCGCCGAGCACCGTGTAGATATCCTTTCCATGCATTCATGCTACAAAATCTCACCACTTTTGCTTTTTTTTGGGGGGGGTGCGCGTGTAGCAGATGTCGATGCGGCAAAGCAGGCCGAAACGAACGAGTCGGATTCCAAAACAAAGTAACACTTGGCAGAAGCTTGAATGCCGTATGGAATAGATTGCATTGCTGTGCAAGAGTGTGCGTGATAGAAGGTGATCGTTTTGGCGCGTGGCGAGCGCGCATTCGTGTGCAAAGTGGGAGAGTCTAACGTGCGCAGACGCGGCGCGTGGCGGGTTGGGAATGATCGAAACAAAATCGCAACGCTGAGAGCAGTCTCTTTTTCATCATAGGGGCCGAACCTCCCTCCCATCACCCCTTTGTTGGCTCACCAATGGACTGTCATGTCGTCTGTGGCCTAGGCGGCTCTCATTCAACGCTGATATCGTATGGAAGTGCTTTGGCCCCGTATGATACGCCGAGGCATGAGATTTTGTATGCAGCAGAGGCCACCGCTTTCATGCCGGGTAGCCAAATGAAGGCGTGAAAAAAGAACGGCAGTTGCACACCGCAGTGATGAGCGCGAAGAAAGGGAGCTGCTCAGGTGTTGGCTTGGGACGTGACGAGCAGATTTTTAAGCTTGATTGGCTGGCAAGCCTCCTTTTTTTTCCTCTTTCCTTTTCCTACTTTTATTTTTTTTTCGGGAAGCCTTGGCTGGAGCTGGGCGTGAGTGACTGGCGGGGTGTGTGCGCGAAGCAGGAAAAAAGAAAAAAGAAAAGAAAGCAGTGGCTCAGCAGCGAGCCAATCGAGAGAGCGATTTTTGGGTGATCTTTGCGCCGCTGCTCTGCGAGCTTTCACTCTGTCTTCCATGCCCGGCTGACCTGCGCTTCCTCGAGTCGGTTCAACGCAACGCAGCGCAAAGCAGCCCAAGGCTACGCTCGCACCAACGCACCGGTCCCCATTGCCTTCTCCTCACCACCGACACACTTCCTTTGTCTCTACTTTTCCCCCATCACAGCTCTCGTAGCATCTCGCATTGCCACCTTGGCCCAGCCCAGCCCAGCCCCAACACACAATCCCATCCCATAGCAATCCACAGCAATATCGCCTCGAAGCAATCCTTCTCATCGCAGCATCTGCATCAGTCAACCTCACCGCCTCCGTCCCCTTCTCAACACACCAACAGCAATCAGCAAAGCTAGCCAAATCCAGCCCGTTCAACCGACTCTTCGACTTGCCACCTCTCCTGCTCGCATTCGAGCCTCAGTTTCAACTCTTTGATCTCATCCGCTTGACCACCGCATCCATACATCAGTCGCGCGCACACCCCATCTCTTCGGCCTTCACACCACCCTAGCATACTCATCAGCTCCAGTCCCACCCTTCCACACCGCCTCGCACTTCCAACACACGGTCGTGCTTTGTTCGTCTCGCATCGCCTCCAGCTCGGCAATCACCACCACAGCATCCCACACACACAACCTTCTCACCAACATGGCGACTTCGATGCAATTCGGTCCCGAATGGATGCGCAAGGGCCCCAACAGCAAATCTGGTGGCAAGGAATCCACCACGCCTTCCACCGCCACAAGCCCGGGCTCCGGCCCCATCGCTGGCAACGCTGCTGCTCCTGGCGCTGCTGGCGCGGGCGGCGGCAAGCGTAATGGCGGCTCTGGTGGCGGCTTGGCAAATCTCTCCGGCCCAGCGCCCGTGGTGAGCCCAGCCGTAAGCTCGCCTGGCGCCTTCTCCTTTGCGGCGGCGGCGGCAGCAGCAGCATCAGCGGCCACGTCACAAGCCGCGGATCGAAACGGCATCCACGCCTCGTACGCCGCTGGCGACGCCGACGCTTCGGCTGCGCTGCTCAACGGCACCTCCGCCGCACTCGCCAAGGACAAGCTGACGCGCGAAAAGCTGCTTAGCCTCTACAGCGCCGACCGCACCTCCAAGGCTCCCAGCGCAGAGCCCTCGCCCATCGACGCCGCTCCACCCGGCCCCATCGGCGCCAACGCAGGCCCCGAACGAGCTCCGAGCACCTCGCGTAGAAAGACCGCCTCCGATCGCCGCCCTTCTGCCTTTGCTGACTTTGGTGCCGTTGGTGGTGGTGGCGGCGGTCCGCTCTCGCCAGCTCTCGCGGGCAGCGAGCCTCGCGGCCTCAATGCGCGCTCCACCTCGGGCAGCTCCGCGAGCGGCGTGGCTGGCGGCTTCGGCTCCATGGGTGCCTCCAACTGGGATAAACCCGACAAGGAGCGCCCCGGCCTCTTCCAACGTGCCTCGAGCGGCGCGCTCGCCGGCGTAGGCGCCTCGGCCGGCTCGCGCCCTCTTTCGCCCAACGTCTCCCGAGACCGATTCAGCGGCATTCAGGGCGGTGTGCTCTCCGGCGTGGCGCCGCCTGCCCGCAAGAGGATGGACAGCAGCGACGGCGGCGTTGCAGCCAACTCGATCGAATCCTCGTCGCGAGCAGCGCGCATCGGCAAGGGCGGTGCCTCGGAAGAGAACGGCACCCCGCAGCCCGCCAACAGCCTCGGTGGCTCGTGGGGACGCGCTTCGCAAGCCGGTAGTGCACAGCCAGCCACGACTGGCGCCAACAATCCTGGCTTCTCCGAGGCCTTCAGCTCCAACCGAGCCAGGGGAAGAAACGCCTCGGCCGCTGCAGACAGCTCGGTCACGCCTGCCGCACTCACCGTCCAGTCGTCGTCGGAGCCGGCGCAGCCCATCGTGCCCAGCGCCCATCCCGAAGGTCTCAGCATCTCGGCCAAGTTCGCGCGCCACAAGGACCGCCTCCCCGGCGAGGGTCCCATTGGCCCACCTTCGGACGGCAGCATCGGCTTTGGCAAATCCGCCGCCGGCTTCGACAGGAGGAGAGAGCGTCAGACCAGCCAGGCCCGGCCCGTGCAGTCGCTGTCTGCGTCCAAGCAAGATGCGTCTCACTCTAATCCGCTCGTCAGCTCGAGCATCGCAGAAGTCGCTTCGGCCGAGAAGGCGGATGCGCAGTCGGCGGATCCAAATGGAAATTTCAACGCTGCCTCCCGCACGCTGGGCAGCGACGACCCGGACTTGGCGCAGCAGGCTTCCGCAGTGCTCGGCTCCCTCCACCTCGACGACGACGACAGCCCCGGTCTGCCCCCCATCAACTCGTCCATCAACACCGACCAAGCCGGCACGAACAACAACGACGCCAGACACAGCTTGCAATCGCAGCAGCAGCAACAGCAGCCGTTCCACTCGCTCCAACCGCCCATGGCCGCCGCGCCTTGGTCGCCCGAGACCGCCATGTGGCTCTACAGGGACATGGCCGGCAACGTCCAGGGCCCCTTTAGCAGCCTCATGATGCACGACTGGTACTCGCAACAGTACTTTGCCGACGACCTGCTCATCAGGCGTCAGGAGGATTCCGAATTCAAGCCGCTCGCTCAGGTCGTCGCCGCGATCGGCAACGCGCTGCAGCCCTTCATCATCCCTCCCTCCAACTGGCTTCATCGACCTGATCCGCCCAGGCCTGCCTTCGACAACAACATGGCCACCGACTCGCTTCTGGGCAACGAACAGAGCCGCTTCACCGATGCCTTTGACGCCAACCGTCCCTGGTCTTCTGGCCAGGCTGGCAGGCAGCAGGCCTGGCCCGCTTCGCTCGCCCTTGGCGGGCTCGCCAACGGTGGCCCGTCGCCGTTTGGTCATTCGGACATCTTTGCCGCTGGACAGGCCGGATTCGACAACCGTCCGCGCAACCAGGACGAGCTCATGTCCATCCTGCGCGAGCGCGAGATGCACGACCAGCAGCGTGCTGCGGCTGCGGCGGCGGCGGCCGCCTCGCGCGGGCCCGGCGGCATGAGCCTCGGCCAACTCGACGGCTTCGGCGGCGGCCTCGGCAGGTCCGGATGGGCTCCCGAGTCGGCCATGACTCCCTCGCACTGGGGCGGCCTCGGCCAGCCTGGTCTGGGTCAGTTCGGCGACGTCGGACTCGGCGGCCACCAGAGCCCGCTGGTCAACGAGCGCGCTGCGTTCGACAACTTTAATCAGCAGCAGAGGCAGGCGTTTGAGCAGGCCGGCAGCCCCTGGGCCAACAAGGCGTCGCTCGCGCAGCGCTCGCAGTTCGACTCAACTCTCGGCGGCGGCGGCGCAAGGCAGGTGCAGGGCCAGTGGGGCGAGCAGCAGGCGCCGTGGAGCTTTGGCGCAGGCACACCCGGTGTCGCGCACCGCGAGATGGAGTTTGGCGATGTCGCGCGCAACGAGGCCATCAAGGCTGCCGACCCCATCGGCACGCCGCGCAGGGCTCGATCGCCCGCGCCCCACCACGATACCACGCTCAACACCCAGCTCGCCGACCAACGCGACGAGCAGCACCAGTCGTTCGAGAACGCCTTCCCCGCGCCGGTGCACGCAGAGCAGCACGACGACGTCGAGACCGCTCCTGCCGCGGACATCGCCTCTGCAGCCGCTGTGGAAGACAAATCCGCGGCCGAGGAAGCCATGCAGGCTGCCAAGACCGCCACGCCCCAGAAGAAGCAGTCCAAGAAAGAGGCACAGAAGGCTGCTGCGGCCGCGGCTGCGGTTGCATCCGAGGCTCAGCAGCCCAGCCAGCCTGCCACTTCTGCCGAGACCGAGATCCCGCCGCCCGAGGCGTTTACTACGGGCGAGCCGCGACCGGAGGAGCTGTGGCCGCAGAGCCCCAAGGCGGTCGAGTTTGCGTCGGAGCCCGAGCTGTCGGGCATGCCTGCGCTCACGCTGCCCACTCGTGCAGCCAAGGAGGCCAAGCGCGAGCCGCGATCGGCGCTTGCGCGACCGAGCACCGATGCCCCGCGCCCCGTCCCGGGCAGCGCAGAGCCCGCCAACCGTGCCGCCTCTGCCGCTGCTGCGCGCTCCACGGGCGCGGGCAACGTGCGTGTCGTGTCGCAGGACCAGTTCCGCCGCACGAACAAGGACGATGTGTCGTCGACTGCCACGCAGGCGCCGCTGTCGGACTGGCTTACCGACGCCTCTGCCGCCGAGGCGCAGACGGCCGCCAGCCGCCCTGCGCCGTGGGCGGCCAAGGAGGACGCTGCGCAGCCCACGGGCCCGAGCCTGCGCGAGATCCAGGAGGCCGAGGCGAAGCGGGCGGAGGCCAAGCGCGCTGCGGACAAGGCGGCGGCGCGTGCGCGCATGGCGGCGTCGCCGAGCGCCGTGGAGGATCTGCCGACCACGCTGAGCTGGGGGCTGGCGTCGGCGCCCGCGGCCAAGGCGGGCAGCGGTGCGGGCAGCGATGCGGGTGCGGCGACGGCGCCGGCTGCTCCCGCGTGGAATGCAGGCAAGAGCGCGCCCAAGAAGACGCTCATGGAGATTCAGGAGGAGGAGCGGAAGCGCGCGGACAAGGTCAAGGCGCAGCAGTCGGCGCTGGCGGCGGCGGCGCGCAAGGGGTATGCGGACTCGGCGGGACGCACGCCGTCGGCGAGCCTGCACGGCGTCGTCGCACCCGCCTCGTCGGCATCGAGCGGTGGCGGTGCGTGGTCGGTCGTCGGTGCGAGTGGCAAGCCCACTACACCCAGCGCTGCCCCTGCCGTCGGCACGGGTTCCGCCTACGGTTCGGCAGCAGCATCGCCTTTGGCAGCGCGACCTGCTTTGGGTACTCCCTCGCGCAGCACCAGCGGTGCGGTTCCCACCTCGGGCTCCGGCAGTGCGTGGAACGTGGTTGGCAAGCCGTCGGCTCCTGCCTCTCCCTCGCCCTCGAGCCGTACCGCTGCACCTTCTTCCGCACTCGCCAGTGCAGCAAAGCGGGCGCCGTTGGATCCGAATGCGCCATCGCCCGAATTCATCCGGTACTGCAAGGACAACCTGCAGGGCCTGACGATCAAGACGGACGACTTTATCGACATGCTGTTGCAGTTCCCGCTCGACCCGAGTGCGGACGTGATCGAGATCATTGCGGATACGGTGTATGCCAACAGCAGCACGCTCGATGGACGCCGTTTCGCGCACGACTTTGTGTCGAAGCGCAAGCTCGATGTGCATGGTCGCACAGGTAGCACGGGTGCGAGCAGGTGGGGCGCAGCCAGTGCGGCTGGGATGGGAAACTTTGGGGCGGTCAAGCCGGTGACGACTCAACAGGCTTCGCCGTTTGGCGCCAAGGCGATGAATGCAGTGCCCAAGTCGCCCGATTCCGGGTTCAGAGTGGTCAAAAGCAAGGCGGCCAAGAAACGCACCTAGACACGTCCGACGTGCATTCGCATCTCACTTCAAGTGCCCAAAAATGTTACTGTCGAACCTTTTTTCCACAGCGGTGTGTGCGTGTGTTTGGGGATGGGCAGGCGCGGTGAGAAGGATGAAAGATCGCATTGGATACAGCCAAGACCAGGCGGGCAGAAGGATACAAAGAAAGAGGGGGTTGGGGGAGGTTAGGCGTCTACATCCATGGTTTCGGACTGAGGTGTGGCGTCTTGGTGCGACTGGGCGTGTTGGTCCGGTTGTGGCACGGCAGCACCATGCTTGGCCTCGAGTCTGGCGCGCTCCTTGGCGTCGATCTGCTCATCTATCGCCTGCTCCTCCGCGGCTGCTGTTGGATTGAGCCTTGCGATGCCCACTTTTTCCGCACTGCCATCCGCAACTCGGGTGGGGTTGGCACTAGCCTCCCTGTCCAACTCGTCGTCTCCACCACGAGCATGGTCCTGGAACGCTTGCACATCCACCACCCTCCGATCGGGATGCTCATCCTCCAACGCCTGCAGCCCATTCTTATCCGCCAAGTCCAATCGCTCCTCTCCATCCGCCACACTCTGCAGATGCAACTGCTCGGCGATACTGCGCGGTTCGACGTGGCCTTGGACGCTCGGGGCGTGCGCGGTTTGGCGCAGGTTTTCAAACACTTGGATCTTGATCTTCTCGAGGTACTCGCGCGTGTTGAGATCCTCCATGTTGTTCGGTCGCACGTCGAGCCGGTAATCGGGCCCAAAGTATTCGTAGTACTCGTTGACCGGAATTTGAGGGTTGAGCTCCTGTCCCGCCGCCAAGCCGGTTTCAAACGCCCATGCACGGCTGACGTTGCGCATCGTATATCCACCCCCTCCAAGCAACAGCAGTGGAAGACCGAAGGATTTGACGTACTCGACGCAGTTGGCGTGTCCGCGCATGGACAGGTTGAAGCAGCCCAGCTTGTCACCCGCAAGCGAGTCCGAGCCGCACTGCAGGACGACCGCAGAAGGTCGGTAGTGCTCCATGATCTGTGCGATCACCGGCTCGAATACGGTCTTGTACGACTCGTCCGTGATGCCGTCGCGCAGCGGGAAGTTGCACGAGTACATCTTGCCCTTGCCGATGCCCGTGTCGCGCAGCTCGCCGGTGCCGGGGAAGAATTCGCCGTACTTGTGGAAGCTGCACGTCATGACGCGGTCGGTGGTATAAAACGCCTCCTCGACACCGTCGCCGTGATGCACATCAATGTCGATGTACAGCACGCGCGGATGGTAGCGCAGCAACTCGAGAATACCCAGCACAATATCGTTGATGTAGCAAAACCCGCTCGCCTCGCCCTTCTTTGCGTGGTGCAGTCCACCCGCCCAGTTGATGGCGATATCGCACTTGTCGCGCGACAGCCGTGCGGCCCCCTCCATACTGCCGCCGGCACTGATGGAACAGTACTCGAAGAGCCCGTCGAAGACGGGGCAGTCGTCGCCCACGTTGAACTTGGCCTGCTCGCGCACGAACGAGTCGACATTGTCGGGCGTGACGCGGTTGAGAAAGTCGACGTACTCGTCCGTGTGGAACTGGCTCATCTCGCGCTTCGTCGCCGGCTTGGCGCGGAAGATCTCCATGCGCTTGTACAGGCCGTAGTTCATGACGAGCGAGTGGCACATGCGGATGCGCGTCGGCTTCATCGGATGCCCAGGGCCGTAGTGGTAGTTGCCAATGTCCGAGTCGAAGAAGTAGCATACGCGCGACGCGTTCGGGTTCGAGGCGTTCGAGATGGGCGCAAACAAAGGCTCGTCCGTCGCGTGCGGCGCGCCCGCCGCATCGCTGCCGTTGTACGTCTGCACCACCGAGTTCGGCGCGAGGTAGGTGGATGTCATGGTTGCCAGCACGGCGCAACAGCCAGCACGAGCGCTCACAGCAGCAAAGGCCCACTTCGGAGCGCCCGAGATGAGAATGTGACGTTGGGATGCGGATGCGGTTTGTTGGGGCAGCGTATGGATGCGGATACGGATGCGCCGACGTGCCGATGAGCCCTGCTCTGCGTCTTCGGAGGTTTGCTTTCTCGCTGAAGCCGATCTGGAGAAGACGAAGAGAGAGAGAGACAGAGAGCGAGATGCGAGTCAAGAAGCTGATGCTGATGGGGAGGGAAGCGCGGGGTGAAATAGAGCCAAAGCCGGCTGCGGCTGCAGCTCCTCTGGACCCTCGACGTTGGCCGGCAGCTCTGGTTGGAATTTGTGGGAAGAAATCTCCACCTCGGCCTTGAGCTGCGTCCATCCACCGCCGCTCCGCATCCGCACGAAAAGCCGCTGGCGGCTGCAGCTTTTCAAACTTGGCTCGAGCGGGAGGAAGAGCCTGCTTTCGCTCTCACATCGCCCGACAAATTTCGCACGTGATGCCGTAGCGTCGGGGCTGCGGCTCCACATTGAGCTCGCCCCTGTGCTGCACCCTCGCTCGCGGGCTCACCGCGCACACGCCCACGCCTTTGCTCCTCATCCCCTCACTCGACTCGCTGTCCTCATCCGCCCTCGCAAGTGCCGACGAGCTTCGAGTGCACAAACGCCACCATGTCGGCGGCCGACCGCACACTCATAGCGCTCATCGCTGACGAGGTAAGTGTCCACACCCATCTCGAGCCATGTCTCAACCTCTGACATTCTGATCTTGCTTATCTTGATTCGCGGCACTCGCGGCGGGTTTAGGACTCTACAACGGGCCTCCTGCTTGCTGGAATTGGCAACGTCGATGAGAAGGGCGAAAAGAACTTTATGATCGTCGATGGAAAGGTACGCACGATTGAACGATGTCCTGCCAAGCGACAATGCACTGACGTTCAGTCAATCTTATCGGGGGGATGGGCGTGTAGACATCGGTCTCGGATATCGAACAGACATTCAACCACTTCACCAGCGAGCGCAAGGACATTGCGATCCTGCTCATCAACCAGCACATCGCCGAGAAGATCCGTCCCATCGTCGACAGGTATACGCAGGCCTTCCCGGCGCTCCTCGAGATCCCGGCCAAGGATCACCCATACGACCCGGCAAAGGATAGCGTCCTCAAGCGCGTCCAGAAGGTACGTCCACATTGCCCATCGTATTCATCATGTAGCTCGATTACTGACCGTGATCTCCCTACGACCATCGACAGCTGTTTGGAGAGTAATTCGTACATCCACCTCGCATCCACGCATACCCTCTCGTCCCGCCACCCACTACACGACTTGTGTCAATCTCAACTTTTTGATCCCCACAGCCACGACGCCACGCCCGCACACGGTTCAACAGTGAAGGATTGCATCTACCGCCCGAGCTCAACAGGGCTAGACCTGCATCGAGAGCCAGTGTACAATGTTGGCAAAGTCGTCGCCGCCGTGCATGAGCATCTCGCCATGCGCCCTGCGCTCGCCATAGTGAATGTTGTCCCTCGGACAGCCCGATTCGACGAGGTAGTCGTAGGTATCCTTGGCGTTGAGAATCGCATCCTCCTCGGCGAGGTAGAACCTCGTATACTTGGCGTCGGCGAGGCGCTCGATCTCGTTGGGCCACAGAATGTTGCTGCTCCAGTCAAAGTATCGGCAGAGCGTGTTGGCGGTGCCGAGCTCGCGCGCCACAAAGTAGCGCATGAGCATCTCGATGGGCGTGCTCGCGCGCTTGTATACAAAGTTGGCGCACACGTACGGCACCCACAGCTGGAAGCACACCGGATCCACAAAGCAGCTGCGCCGCACCTGCGTCCCCAGCGACTTGATCAGCCACGAATGCACCAGCGAGCCGTACGAGTGCGACAGCACGTCGATCTCGCCCCATCCGCGCGCCGCCAGAATCTGCCGGAACGCAGAGGTCGTCTCGTGGTGTCCAAACGGCCGCAGAAACTCGCGCGACAGAATCGACTGCGAGATGTTCGGCTGCAGCAGGATCACGATCGGTCGGTGCGCAAATGTGTCCGAGCGCAGAAAGAACGACACGAGCGAAGCGTACTGCGCCAGACCAATGCCCAGTCCGTGCAGCACGATGAGCGGTGTAGAGTCGGCACCGGCGCGCGACGAGACAGCTGCGCGGTACAGGTACGGCAGCCGGCCCTGCTTGCACATCTCGAAGCCGCCACGAACCGCGCGCTGGATGGTGAGGTACGACAGCGTGTTGGTCACCAGATAGCATGCGAGTGGCCGCATGCGTGTGCGCACCGGATCGATCGTCAGCCGCATCATCCGCGTCTTGGGCTTGCCGCTCGGCTTGGCAGGCTGCAGCAGCGTCCTGCGCACCTCGCCCTCCGAATCGTTGCGCGCATGCTTGCCATCGTGGCTGCCTTCCCCGGGCGCGTGCTCCGGAAAACTTCGACCCTGCCTCGTCTCTAGGAGCTCCAAGCAGTACTCCAGGAACTGCAAACGGTCGCCCGTCGTCGGATCCCACTCGCCCTCTTTGGCCCTCACCCCACGCACGTCCTCCTGCTCCACCACGCTGCCTGCTGCCGACCCCGTCGCCCACGCAGGAGGCATGCCTCCAAAAGCAGCCCCGCTCGGCGGCATGGGCGAGCTGAACGTCGATGGCGTCGCCGACTCCACCACCTTCTCGTCGGCCGCCAGCGCCGCGCCGGGCGCAAGCCCGCGGTGTGCATCGCGCTCGGCTTCGAGCGACTCGAGATCCGAGGCAAACAGCGACCATGCGAGCCAGTGCATCACCTCGCGCCGCGTAATGTGCTCGAACGGCGCGCCAAAGAACCAGCGCGCCTGGTCCTGCTGGAACTTGATCGCACGCGGGTCGTCGGCTGCCACCGGCGCGCTCACAAACTGCGGCACAAAGCTCGCTGCGCGCAGCCGACCGAGTCTCTGCCTCACGCTGCTGGGCGCCGAAGGTTCGTGTAGTCCCGCCGCTATTTCTGAGTCGCCGTTCGAAGCGCGCTGTGTGAGCCCGTGGCCGTTGGTGGCGGGCGCGATCGAGGAGACCACCGCCGAGGCGTACGTCTGCTTCTCGTCCGTGGGATGCTTGAGGCCAGCCTGGAGAGCCTGGGCGAAGACGCCACGGAGGAAGCGGCGTCCATACAGCGGCCGCGGACCAGGTCGTTGGATGACGCGTGAAAGATGCCAGTGGTAGATCGAGAATGCGGCTTCGGCGGCGCAGTATGTGTAGAAAGGCGTGGAGGCCCAGCGCCACTTTGGCGACAGCAGCTTCTGCAGCACCGCCGTAATGCCAGCCGGCGCATGCGCAACGATGGCGCGCCAGAGAGCCGCATCGAGCGAGTACGTCGTGTAGCGGTTGAGATAGAGGCGGAGTGCGCGCGAGACGAGTGCGAGCCAGCAGAACGGCGTCACGCCCCACACGACGAGAATGAGCAGGCGCGTGACGAAGATCGAGGCATCGCCCGGTATGAGCTGCGCCATGGTGGATGTTTCAGCGACGCACGTGCGGCTGCATTCCCAGACACTGACGCTGAGAAGGAGGAAGAGATGGTGGTTGCTCGGCAAGCTCCGCAAAGCTGCAACGGAACCAGTCGGCGAAAAGACAAGTGGAGTGGACCCTTGGCAGCTATCTAAGAGCGGCGTGAAAAAGCAACTTGGCCGCTCCACACCCACCTCACGTCACGCGGCTGCAACTGCGAATTTGGGGCGGCGATTTGTTTGGGGGAGCGATTTTCGCTGGCCGGCGGGTGTGTGTGATCTTCTGGAAGCCCCACCCGCGCGCCACACACGGTCCAGGGGCCCGCCTTGATCTCGCATCCGGCGCTCTTTGACATCACATCCCGACATCGGCTCAACCGTGCTCGGCCAGACACACGACGCGCACACGTTCGATCCTGTTGCTGAAGTATGAATTGCATGGAAGAGCTGGGCGTGACAAATGTAACCGACAAGCCGGGGTATTCTAATCTAAAGCCAAGCTCAGCCGTCTAGCTTTGCTTGGGCTCGGCAGCTTCGGCCGGCGTGGAGGCGGTGTCGGGGTTCTCGAGGTCTTCGACCTTCTTCTTGTCCACCTGCGGGTTCTGCTTGACATCCCTGCGGAGCGAGTAGCCCTTGACGCCCAGAACGGCAAGGAAGCCCGCCGCCACCATGGGCGCAAGCACGATCCACACGACGCGAAGGCCGTTGGCATAGGCGTGGATGATCTGGCGGCTGAGTTCGGGCGGCTGGATGTTGCGCAGTCCCGTGAGGTCCTGTCCGCCCGAGCCCGTCGAGACCATGGCCATGGTGAAGCCGGGGATCTTTTCGAGCCTCGCGCGGCTCTGGGTGTTGAACACTGCGCCTGCTACAGCGATGCCCATGGTGCCTCCGAGCGAACGCACAAGCGACATGGCTGCCACCGTGGTCGAGAGGTCTCCGTGCGGCATGGCGGCCATCAACCCGACGAGGGGCGTCTGGAAGAGGAAGCCCGTGCCCAGACCAGCGATGCCGATAAACACCTCCTGCTTGGCCATGCTCGTGTCCGCATCGAGCGTGGCCATGAGGCTGTAGCCGATGAGCATGATGGCCCAACCGATCCAGAGGAACGGTCTGTAGGCGCGGAATTTGGAGATGCCGAATCCGACCACACTCGAGAGGATCGAGGCGATGAGCGCATACGGCAGCATGTAGACACCGCTCATGAGCGCCGACGCGCCGAAGATCGCCTGGAAGTAGACGGGCAGGTAGTAGGTGGCTGCGAAGAAGGCGAAAGCGTGCAGCACCACCGAGAGCAGGATGAGCGAGGTGGTGCGCGTCGTCACCAGACGCGGCGGCACAATGGGCTTCTTGGTCGTCTTGAACTCCCACGCCATGAACGCCACCAGCAGCACACCGCCCACGGTGAGCAGCGAGATCGTCTCGGGCCGGTTCCACGACTTGGTCTCGGCGTAGTTGAAGCCGAGCAGGATGAGCACCACCGAGACGACCACCATGACGAGGCCGATAAAGTCGAACTCGCCGCACGCCTCGCGGAAGGTGAGCTTGGGGCGCGGGTTGAGGTTGAGCGAAAAGAAGATGATGGCGAGCGCGATCGCTCCGAGCGGAAGGTTGACAAAGAAGCACCATCGCCAGCCCGAGTGACCCGCGTCGGTGAATGCGCCTCCGAGAAGAGGGCCGATGACCGAAGCCACACCCCAGACGCCGCCGATCCAGCCCGAGTACTTGCCTCGGTCCTCGAGCGAGACAATGTCGCCGATGATGATGTTGATGAGCGCGATGATGCCACCGCCTCCGATGCCCTGCACGCCTCGTGCGGCGTCGAGCCACGCCATGTTCTGCGCCGCACCGCACAACGCAGAGCCCAGCAGGAAGATGGCGGTGGCAATGTACAGAAGCGGCTTCCTCCCTGTCAGGTCCGACAGACGGCCGTAGAGCGGGATCAAACTGGTGGACGCAAGCAGGTACGCCGATCCTACCCAAGAGTACTGGCCCGCATCACCGTCGAGGCGCTGCGAGATGACTGGGAGTGCCGTCGACACGATGGTCTGGTCGAGGGCTGCAAGGAAGATGATCAAGCAGATGCCTGGCATGACGATCTTCATGTTGTTGTACGGAAGCACCTGCTTGTCCTGTTGGAGCCAGTGTCCGCTTCCCTTTGCGTCCTTTGCATCCTTGTTCGTGGTGGGGCTAGCGGGATGGGTGTCGCTCTTTTCATCTAGGTCGGACGTCGTTTGGCTGCCCTCGGAGGTCTGGGTGCGGGTGGGTAGTGCCGTCTCTGCCTCGTCGTGGTGGTGGATGTCGTGGTCGGCTGCTGCGGCTGCCGAGTCGAGCGCGCCGATTTGCGCACCCTCGTGGGCGGCAGCCTCGATCTCTGCGTCTCGTGTGGAAGCTGCGACCTCTTGCATCTGGAGCGAGTCGCGCGCCATGTTGCCAGGCGTCGAGCACGAATGTGTGTCTGTTTCCCAAACCAGAAAGCTGCGGCAAGTCTTCTATCCTGATCCAGATGGTCGTAGGTACGAAGGAACGGGTATGAGGACAGACACAAGGAAGGATGTACGATGGAAGCAGGGAAGGACAAAGTGACTAGGACCGAGTACGAAGAAGGAGCCCAAACCAACGGAAGACGCGCCCAACCTTGCCTTTGCGCACACCGGATATCCAAAAGGGACCGCGGAGAGAGCGTCCAACTGAGCGTCTCCTCACCCAGCGTGCGGAGGAGGCACTGCTCATCAGCAGGCGTCTTTCGGCATGTTCGGCAAAACGATGTGCCCTGTCGCTCGGCGTGCTGCCCTAATCCACTTCTCTGCAAAGCCTTTCTCTGCACCGGCAGCCGGAAAAAAACTCGGCACAGCAAACGAACAAAAGGGCAGAACAGCAGAACAGCTGACCCGAAATTTGTTCGCGTCGTACGCCGGATGCATAGCCAGCGCTGGGATCGTTGGAAATTCCGCGGCGTTCCCCCATTCCAAGCCTTCCAAGCCTTTTCGGCCAATACAGTAGGCGACACCACCAAGGCGACTCGGAGGCATGACTCACATCACCACGCCGGTACACCCGACTCGTTCGGGAATCTACGCTCGCAAGTCACATCTGCCTCGCCAGAGTCACACTTTGCGTTATACACTTTGCTCCGAGCTTGAGCTTGTGGTCCAATTCAAGTCGTTGAAAATTTCGCAGTGGAGACGGTCGGTTTGGCCGAACACGGCGGCTAGGCGGATATTCGGGATCCCCGCCAAAGCCATCCACTAAATTTGCAGCTCGGGGGAAGCAAGATCGAACGGGGTGGAACACCGCACAGCGTGGATGGCAGGCTATGGTGGGCCGGTCTAATCGCCTTGGTCCTGCGCATGCCGAACATCGTTTGTGCGCAGCTGGGCGAACGACAATTCGGAGCGACGCGCCCCGACCCAATCACGCTCCTCTGCATAACACACAAAGATACCTCGACCTTCCCTTCCACACCATCTTTCCGTAGCGCAACAGCTGCATATTCACAATGTTTTCACTGCCCGATGCGACATGATTGAGGCGTCATTGTTGCGGTGAGATGCATCTTGCCTTGTCGACGACGGCAGCCGATGGCCTTGAGGTGGCTTCGGGCGTGCTCTTGAGTCGGGGTCGGAAGTTCGAATCACGCTGCCTCGAGCCGAAAAGCGCGTGGGGGGTTACGGATATGCCGCGGATTCCCCGGCGAGTATAGCCGCTCAAGTGGCCGACTGCCAAAGGCAAAAAATGTGCACAGTTGAACGATGTAACAACTGAAAGTGTCCGCTTGCGTTGCATTCAGCCTTCTACTCGGAGCTGCACTGCTTGACATGGCGGTGTCTTGTCATCAATCGACACGATCGTTGGCAAGAAATGTCGCTCCCGGCGTGTCGCAGACGCCCATGCGCATCTATCCCTGCCACGTGCGACACAGCGGCTGCGGCGGCTGCGGGGAAGGCGTGCGCACCTAAAATGCAAGCTTTGACACATCGCGAGTATGTCAACCCCCACCAGGCACCCGAACCTCCACACTCACGAGAGGTGCGGGGTAAAAACGGTAGCCGCACGGACTTTGAACGGCCTCACTGTGATGCTTTCATGACCGATGGAGCATTGGTCGACATGGCCTCCATCACACCTCGTCGTGGTCAGCACCTAGCAGGCTGTGTCGCCGCAACGAGACTCACAGCCGGGCTCTGTGGGGGCCTGATGCGTCCTCAGAACTGAATCAGCATTCGCGTCGTCTATATAAACCGCCGTTCCGGAACCCCTGCTAGTCGACGATCCGTACAAGAAAGCGTCAAGATGACGGATATACGACTAGCGCTCAGTGCAGCTGTGGCGGTGGTGGCTTTGATCGTGCTGCGTGCGTTGGTTTCGCGATCGACGTCGGCGCGCAACCTCCCGCCTGGACCGCCGCCGGAGAGCTGGTTTACAGGCAACCGCATTCCATCCACGCATCCCTGGCGGACGCTCGAGAAGTGGACGCGGCAGTTCGGCGACATCTACACGCTGCGCATTGGCAGCACGTACCTGTTTGTGCTCGGGCAGGCGTCTTCGGCGCACCAGATCATGGACAAGCAGTCGGGCAGCTCGAGCGACCGACCGCGACAGATCATGGCAGGCGAACTGATCTCGGACAACCGTCGTATGCTCATCCTCCCCTACGGCGCTCGCTGGCGGCTATTTCGCAAGGTCATGCACGAGACACTCCAAGATAAAGCGGCGAAGCTGTACGAGCCAATTCAACAGCACGAGGCGACGATTGCAATGCTGCATCTGGGACGAACGCCCGACCGGTTCCAGCAGATCTTTAAACGATATGCCGCAGCGGTGATTATGCAGGTGACGTACGACTACCACATTACCTCGGTGGACGACCCGCTCATCAAGAATGTGGAGGAATGTCTGTCCGATCTGGCCTACTGGATCCGACCGGGCACAAGCCTGCTCGACCGCTACCCGCCACTGCTCTTTCTGCCTACGCTGATCAATCCGTGGAAGCGAAAGGGGCTCGAACTGCGCGCACGTGAACAGAAGCTCTTCATGTCGCAGTGGAACGCCGTACGCAGTCGCGTCAAGACCAACCAGTGCCAGCCGTGCTTTGTAAGCAAGGTGCAAGAACGTCAGCACGAACTGGGCATCACCGACGCCGAGGGCTCCTCCATGGCAGGAAGCCTGTTCGGTGCTGGATCGGACACAACCGCGAGTGGCCTGGCGATCTTTGTGATGGCCATGTGCAAATTCCCCACGGTGCTTCGCAAGCTGCAGGAGGAAATCGACGGCGTGTGTGGTGGCGACCGATGCATGCCTACGTTTGCCGACCTTTCGCCGGAGCAGACGCCGTACCTGCATGCGGTGGTGCAGGAGACGCTGCGTTGGAGACCCATCAGTGCAGGTGGATTCCAGCACAAGCTCACGCAGGATGTAGAGTACCGTGGCTTCCTCCTTCCCAAGGGCTCCTCGGTCGTCGCACCCCACTGGTCGATCAGTCTGGATGAAAACGAGTATCCAGACCCACACGTGTTTCGTCCCGAACGATTCCTCCAAGGGGATGAGGGGGAGGTCAAGGTCAAGGGTACCTGGTTTGCAGCCCAGCGAGGCTCGGTGGCGTTTGGGTTCGGAAGACGCATTTGTCCAGGACTTCATATCGCCATGCGCTCGCTCATCATCAATCTGGCTGCTATGGCTTGGTGCTTCGACATCGCCCATCCATCGGGAAACCCAGACAACGTCGATGACTTGGCCTTCAATTCGGCTGCAAACTCCCATCCTCTTCCCTTTGAAGCGAAGTTCACCTTCCGATCGCCCGCTCGCGAAAAGGTCGTACACGACGAAAACAGGGCCACCGGCGAATTTGCCCGCCTGGCCAATCAAGCTTAGCTCCTCGGCACCTCTGCACCCCGTCTACATCAGCGCGTGCCGCCGCTTCGTCCACACAATCAAAATCTCTGCACCGTCTCCTGTGAAAATGGTTCTTGGTATTCATCGGTATCCTTGAATCTAGTGTCCGTCGGTGCCGGTGGTGAGCTGAATGACCCCCGCATCTTCGACGGCAGCTGCCAGCGAGGCGATCGAGACGTAGCTCGCTTGTCGTGCCGGCACCGGTTGCGGCCTCGCGCGCGGCTGGCTCCCCGTGTCGATCGAGATGAACTCCGAGACGGCTTCGACCGGCCAAGCGAAGGGCGAGACGCACACACGCCCGTACACGTCGCGTTCCTTTTTGAGTGCGACGATGGCTCGAGCCAGAACAAGGTCGCTCTTGAACGAAGCTGCGCGTTCCCGGAGCGTCAGTACGATCGCGGCGATGTCTTGGTGAAACTCGTTGGGCTGGCTGGACTGTAGGAACAACAGCCATCTTGCGCCGATGAAGAGGGCAGTTGAGCAGAATGCAGGCATGCCAAATAGCACAGGGGCATGCTCGAGAGCCATATCCGCTAGGCGCGATAGCCAGATGGCGGCATTGCGAATCATGTCCCGCGCTTGACTCGTAGGTGTTGGTGGCGCAGCGAGGTTGATCGCACCCTCGAACGCGCTGAGTACGGCCATATGATGCGTCACCTCGGCTGCGAAACGCAGAGGATCTCGCAGCATCACCGATGCCACCGTGGCGTCCCTTTTGCCATCCGTTGGGTTGGGCTGGTCGTATGCATGCGTGCGGCGCGACATGCGCTCGTCGTACTGCGACAGCATCAGGCGCGAGTTGCGGATGGCTTCGTGCGCAGCTCCAAAGCGTTGGTCCAACACCTCGCTCCCCGCCACGTTGCCGCCTTGTGCCAGCAAGCTTTGACGCGCGACGTTCGAGTACTCGCAGCACTGGTCCAGAACCAGCCCCAGCTTTACAAGCAGTGTCATCGAAGTGTCCAAGACGTGCAACGCCGGAAGACCGCGCCGCCTCTGCATATAGGCTTCCACATTCTCCGACCTCTTGGGCGGGGAAACGGGACTCTGCGACTCGGTGCGACCTGGAAAGCTGGTCTGGATCTCCTGTCGTTCCAGCATGACGGGCAGCATGGCAAGGCGGTTTTGGAAGCAGTCCTGCAGGAACAAGCTCCAGAATGCAAAACCCTGCTCGCTGCTCATAGCCAAGCCCCTCAGGGCTCGTCCGAGATGCGAAGGTCGACTCGAAGCTTCGCCCAGACGCGGCAGATCTGTTGAAGCCGCGCTGTGAAGATGCAGCAGTCGTGCTTCCGACGCCGCTAGCGCGAGGTCGGCTTGCGCTGTTCGCATCGCAGAATGTCCCAAGGAGCATTCGACCAGCAGCACCCGGACGACCAACGAGGCAATCAGCGTCTGGCTCTCCGAGTTGCCCTGGGCCTGATTGAGCAGATCGCGTGCACCGTCCGCGAAGATCTTGCACACCGTTGATATCCATTCCATCGTGTCGTTCATCGATACACCATCCAGCTGCCCGCTCGTCCGCAGCCTTGCGTCGATGCTGGTGAAGATCGTCGACGAGCGGATACCGGCCGGGCACGCCGGGGCGAGCAGAGGCAGGCCTGTCGCGACAAGCGCCAGCATCACGGCGGTCGCTGTGAGCGTGTCGGTGTCGTTGGCCGGTGCGGTCTCGAGCAAAATCATGACATCGCTGAGCGCAAAAGTGTTGATGGCGCCAAAGATCCAGGCCTCGCGCTCGCACATCTCGATGAGCCGATGCAGGCTTTGTCGGTCCGGTAGTGGTGGCAGCATCAGCTGCACCGCAGATGCTTGCGTAGGAGAGGAGGCCGGGAAGCTGTCGAGATAGTGCGGAGGCGCCTGCCACCCAAGCGCAGGTCTGGAAGCAGAGCTTGAAGTCGAGCTGGCTCGATGCGGCCGGGTCTCGATGTTTCTTGACGGGAGCGTATCGCCGTAGCTCGGAGCATTCTGCCTTTCTCGGGGATGGCCGTTGTCGCTCAGCCGACTCGGATGTATTGGTGGAAGCACCGAGCTGCTGGTCGCCAATCTGGCACCGGAGGGGAAGGTGTCGTCGGGGTATCTGGCTCGCTTGTGGGCTGGCTCGGCGCTCTCTCCTCTGGATGTCAGCTCCTGGACGGATACTCTCGAGGCGGCGTTACCCGCACTCGACGCGTACCGGCCTTCGGATCTGGTCGCATCGGTGTCCGGAGTTGCTTCGACTTGCGTCAGCCTGCGCTCGAGACGAGCGATCTGGGAGCGAAGCTGCTCGTTCTCCTGCACAAGCTGCGCAGAATGCTCCGAATGTTCGGGATACGTCGAATCGCGAGCTCGTACATGCGAGCTCGATGACGAAGCTCCCTGCGTGCCGTCGGCCGGGGTGTTTCCTTGGAAGATCTTGGCCAGAAGAGACGTGTCGTACTCGCATGGCGGTGGAATGAGCTGCGACGGATCATTGACTCGATTGGTGTCGTAGTAAGCCAGCCACGCCTTTTCGCAACGGGTGCATGTCGGTTTTCGGGCGTCGCACCGCAACTTTCGCTTGCGACACGCCAGGCATGCCTGCGAGCGCCGAAGCGTGTCGGACGGTCGCATCCTATTGCCCCTAGGATGTGTGGACGTGGTGTCGCCGTGCTCTTCGCGAGCTACATCTCGTGCATCTGATGGAGCCGAAGGGTGGGCCACGATGGGCCCCCCACCCGTCGTATGAATGGATGGCTCCGAGGGCTCCTCCCTGCGAGGAGGAGTATAGCCGGCGGCGGCTGGCATACCCTCGGCGCCATCGCCATGTACGTCCTGGTCCGGCATGAAGAGCCGCACCGAGGACGCCGAAGGTGGTGAAACCTACTTCACCGGGTGTGCGGGCTTAGCAGCCCTGACAATCGGGAAAACAAGTGAAGGGATGAAGAGAACAAAGGGCTCGATCGAAAGGTCGCGTCTGCGGCGATTTGATCCTGAGACGATGCTGACTTTCGCGAGCAAAGATGCCAATGTCGCAACAGTAGCCTGCTGGCGTGTTTCTGCTTACGATGGTGACGATCTCTGGACATGAATCATCGAGGTGTTTATGTTGTCGGAGATCCAGCAACAAGGTACGTGCTCTATGGTACTCTTCGATCAAAATGACCGCGCCATGAACATGATGAGACGGTGTCGAATCTTGCCGGAAAAGGGGAAATGTAGGTAGAAAGAGAAGTGGTGGAGATCAGGAAGGAGGATGCATGTCCTCCTGACAGAAGGGGAGCACCTTCCAGAGGGGAGGTGAGGTATATTGTAGGTCGAGCGGACGGGAGTGGTGCGAGCGAATCACGTAGAGTCGCGCCGCGGGAAGGATGGATCGGCGGAACAGGCAGACGAGCAGGACAGACAAGACACCGCAGCCGTCTGCTGGATCGTACCACCCCGATGTCTGCAGGGACTCTCGGTGGGGCTGAACAATGGGCCTTAACCTTTGCCGAAAGCAGAGCCAAGCCCGAGTGCGACACGAAGCAGAACTTACTTCCCGATGAGCTCTAGACCCATGCGCAATCGACCGGACAACTGCACCTTGTCAACAAGCCGGAATTGAATCTGTGACTGCGGCTAGACGAGATGAAGTGGACGCAATGGCAGCCGCGGGTGAACGTGGGCACTATTCCACGCACCGAAGCAAGGTGAAACGACAGGAAGGTTGGTGGTGGGAAGCCGCGCTTTGGCCGCAGAGGTGATTGGAACGCCATGTGCGCCACACACTTGGACAGGCAAGGAAGGATTGAGCGCTGCAAGTCGTGCAGACGGGCCCGGCTTCGCTTGTAGTGCTCTCAACGGAGCGGCGTGTTCCTCTACCAGCGGAAATGACGAGGCAGTGGATTGGCAGTTGCGAAACTGAGCCGAGGCGAACCCGAACGAGACAGGCTGGCGAAATCCGAACGACACGAGGAACTTCCGCTTTGTTGGTCGGAGGCCGGTGCCTTTGGAAGCAGACAGGCGACGGTGCGGAAAGGGTACGGCGTACGGGATGCCCGCTGCGTGCATCTTGGTGCATATGGACTGCAGACGAGTCGAGGAGCCATGCAGGGCAATTCCGGACACGGGCGCAGCACCAAAGGCGCGACCTGGCTCAGACGGCCCACGGCGAGAAGGAGGCGCACCATTCATGCGGGCCCGTAGAGCATGAGTTCGGGCATTGCTCGCAGCTCCGCGTGGGGCATGGCTCCCGCTTGTCGAAAAAAATATGGGCATGACAGCAGATACGTCGTGTGAAAGGAGGTAAGGAATCGAGGCAGCCGACGCATGCCGTCGGTGTGTCTTCGAGGCTGCCAATCAGCGGCGTCGTCGGGGTGCGAGAAAGGCTCCGAGCATCATAGCGCAGTCATGCCGGAACACGTTCACACAATGACGACCTGTTCGGAATCCTAATCAGCGCGCTCTATCGGTCATCTGGCGTTCCGGGAGCCGCGGCCTAAATGTCAGGAATACCAGAGATGGAGGTGAGGCGGCAGACCAAGGTCCAGGGAACCCGTATCGCGTGGCTTTGTGTGTCTCTCGAGGCGATAGAGTAGTTTCGTGGAGAAGCGCGAAATTGGACCGAGATTCGAGCGACGCTCGAAGGAAGCGACAGCATGACAGCGATCTTCCCCCACCGTCTCGAGGCGGAGAATCTCGCGACTGCCACGGTACTACTCTCCCCATGAGTTCGGTCTCGTCTTGCCAAGGTTGAGGTCGACTCGTACCGAGGTTCGACGAACAAGCAGAGAAGATGGCCGCTACGCTGCCAGGACGGTCGCAGACTAATAAGATTAAATTGGCAGCCGTAGCGACCAGCATCCCGAAGGCACTGCGCAGACTGGCGATCAGATTCGCTGTAGATACAATGTCTCGGATGATGCGCTTGCAGCTCGGGTGCAATTAGGCATCGCAGTTCAGCCGGGAGCGGGAGAAGAAGCGGTTGACCGACTCAGGCGAGAGCGGTTGACGAGCACAGATCGTCAGAGGCCTAGATTGAAATACTGTCTGTCGTTGGCCTGTCCAGTGCCGTAGTGTAATACTTTAGCAACACAAATGCGACGTCAGTTGAGCAGTCGAGCGAGGGGCCAGGGGTTGCGGAGCATGAAATGCCTTCTCATCGACGGATTGCCGAAAGGGAATGGGAATGGAACGCCGCTTCAGTTAGCGCTGCGTGGCTGGTGAATTTACAGTATGGAAGCCTCGAGCCCTCGAGCGTGCCAGGCTATTTCTGTCGCCGCTCTGCGCTCACGATCGACGAAATCAGATTAAAAAATCAAATTCCCAGCCGAAATTCCGAGGCTGCAGATGGCGACAGAGCCAGGCTTCCGGTTCGCGTTCGCTTTTTGAGCGTTCGGTCACATGCAAGCGCAAGCGCAGACGCTGACATAAACCTGCGGCGCGGATTCGGTGCGGTCCCGGTGCGCTCGTCAAGGGTCTGCTTCGGCCGCCAGCGACAAAGATGTGATGTCGAGCCGAGGACGTGTTGGTCTCCGCGATATCGCCGCTCGGCTTCACTGTCGGCATCCTGACGAACCCGAAACCCAGCCCGGACCATCATTGTCGACACCACAACGAGGCTTGTCGTTACCCCGTCGAATGGCAGACGGGCTCGCTTCGAGTAGGCTCCACCGAGGATCTTCCAGTCACGGGGGAACAACGGAGCGACTCGGTCTCGATCCCCGCCTTTGCCTAGACAATTGGTGCGACTGAGGCGGAGTCCGGATTGCAGAGTGGATCGGAGGCCGAGATGAGACGCACCACCGATCGAGTCGAAAGATTGCCGAGGCTGGGATTCCCGAGCGATTTGGAACCGTTCCGAGAATTCGGTTTGGCGTCGCCACAGTCACGCATCCATCACACACGCTCCAGTCGCGTGGCCGGGCGAGATCATCATTTTTTCTTTTTGTGAGTGGCGTGCCATCTGCTCTGGGCGGTGTCAAAAGAGATGACCTCTGTCTGCCTCTCCGAGATTCAACCCAGCTGTGCGAGCTCGGACTAAACATTCCACACTCCGGGACAACTCCCGCCGCACTAGAAGCCTCGCCTCGCCTCGCCGATTTGTCCGGGGGCATTCGGCATGATGGGGTCTGGGCCAATCCACAATGCCATCCTCCTCTTGGTCTCCTCCATCACGGCGAAATTGCTGGCAAGCACTAGCCTGCATGGCTCTGGTCAGCTTTCCCACGTCTGCGGTTGGGCGTCTCTATGCGCGTGGCGGAGCGTAACGTACCGGAGAGTGCCATTGGCCTGCGTTCGCCGCTGAATGCAATCCGGCTACCTGCATGCTTCCCGCCGGACAAAGCGAATGCTTCGACAATGGTTCGCCTCGTGCTTCCCGACGCGGCCTCCTTTGTGCGCGCCACAGCACGGAACTCGGCGCCCCGGCTTTGGTCTAGGCATGAGCTCGTGCCAGCGCCAGAGGCCCACTTTGGAAACTGCCGAAGCATGCATTTCCAGCTGCAGACCCTACTTTTCACATTCCGGTTGAGCCGCGCCACGCTAGCTTCTGAGCCTGGGCCATAGCATCTTCTGTTCACGATTGCGTTCCGTCCAGAGCATGAATGCTCCTGCGGTTGAATCTGGCCGATTGGTGCTCTGGCTATGAGCCGCTGCAAGACGGATCGCTGGCAACCATGGCGGACTTTGAAGATGCACGCTAGCATGGCGGCAGCTTTGCCGTCCCGTCAGCCGGCATACCCGAGCGTCGCTTGCGGATTTTCATTGTCTGTTCCGATCCCGAACGTTCACCGACCCTGAACAACCCTGGCACCGATCCTGACCAAATCGGCAAAGCACCCCCGATCGATCCCCTCTTCCCTTCCCTTCTCATTCGACCGCACGGACAGACAGACCGAGCGTTGTTACGGAGCGGTGTGTGTTTCCTTTTGATTACACCGGGGTTGACGCCGGTGAAGTTGGCGGTCTGGTTGCTTTACAGCATGATCGGCTCGTCGAGCCACTGCAGTACACACAAGATGCGAGAATTGAAAGGTCAGCCATAACTTCCACCGACGTTTCTTCGAGCCCGTGATATCGGTCAGCAAAAGTAGCAGCAAGCGGGGTACTTACGTCGAGGAACTCGGGAGTAAAGTAAGAGAGGATGATGTTGGCGCCGGCACGCACCATACTCTGGACCGACTCTTCGGCCATCCTGCGCAGCTCGTACACGCCCGCTTTGGCGCCGGCGTGAATCATGGAGAACTCGCCGCTCACCTGGTAGCACGCAAGCGGGTGGTCGGGAGCCAGATCCCTCGCCTCGGCCACAATGTCGAGGTACGGCAGTGTCGGCTTGACCATGATCACATCCGCGCCTTCGGAAGCGTCGCGCACAATCGCACGTCGTGCCAGCCCTCGCGCAGTCGGCGGAAGCTGGTAGCACCTCCTGTCGCCAAACGACGGCGCAGACTCCACAGCATCTCTACAAGCTCGAAGGATCAAAGCAAGGTCAGCATACGAATCTGGATTTGCAGCTTCATCTGAATTGGCACTGAACTTACCGGAAGGGACCGTAGAGGCTGCTTGCGAACTTGGCGCTGTACGCCATGAGCGTGACCTTGTTTCCGAACCCGGCATCGATGAGGCCCTTCTTGATGGCGCGCACGCGGCCGTCCATCATGTCGCTGGGTGCGACGCAGTGCGCGCCCGCCTTGGCGTAGTTGACCGCCACCTCGGCGAGGCGTTCGACCGAGGGCTGGTTGTTGATCGTGCCGTCGGCGTGCAGGATGCCGCAGTGGCCGTGCGAGGTGTACTCGCACAGACACACGTCCGTAGCAATGTAGAGCGAAGGGAACGCCTTGCGCAGCACCTTGATCGCCTGGATCACAGGGCCATCCGCGTCATCTGCCAGCGTGCCTTGCTCGTCCTTGGGAGTCTTGAGCGGGACGCCAAACAGGATGACGGAGCTGAGGCCCTTCTTGACGAGCGGCGCAAGGAAGCCTTCGAGCTTGTTGACGCCCCATCGGCACTGGCCGGGCATCGAGGCGAGCGGAACGTGCGCATCTGCATCATCGGTGATGAAGATCGGGTACATGAACATCGACTTGGACAGGTTGCGGCCCTGGTTCTGCCATGCCCGCGTCACCGGGTGCTGGTAGCCCGAGTGCAGGATCGAGCTGTGCCCACGAAAGAAAGCCACGACATCAGCTCGAGTACGACAGCGAGGAACTTCTGACCGGATCGCTTTTGATGCTTACTTGAGATCAGAGTTCATGTTGCAAGATTTGACCGAAAGTGATTGCAGTCGAAGGAATGGTGAGGAGGAAGAAGCCGGATGTCGTCTGCGACCAGCTCGGCAACCCAGCACCAAGCCTTGCCTCCGAGAGCCGAAAAAATCCCCGCCTCCACCGTTTTGGCCGCGCTAAAAGCCGCGCCCTCCAAGTCTCAGGTCGGTGGACCTAACACGACGAAACGCTTCGCCCACCTCCTTTGCCGGACGCCGAAGCTGCCTGAACTGGTCTCAGCGTGCTTGTCAAGGCCGAGAAGAAGAGACACAGAGCGACAAAGATGCTGAATGATGTGACAAGGTACAAATACAAATGCAATTGGAAGGGATTGGAAAGGCGCCAAGGGGGTGCAGAGCGGCGAGCGTGGCGAAGCGTACGCAGAGCTCTGCAGCTCCCGCTGATCAATCATAGGCAGGCTCGCCGCCATCATCGTCGCCGACGTCATCATCCTCGCCATTGTCGAAGTAGTTCTCTGCGTAGTCATCGTCGACTTCGTCCTCGTAGTCGCCCTGGTTTTCGCCCTCGGACGAGACATCGCCGACATCGTCTTCGGCCTATCATACAGCGAAGAGAGAAAGCAGTCGAGAAAAGTGACAGGGTCAGTCGACAGATGCTCGGTGATGGATGTGTCGCAGCACAGCCTGCTGCAATTTGAGAGTACAAGACTTACGCCAACGCGGTCTTCGAGATCGATCGAGTCCCAGTTGATCTTGCGACGAGCCTTCTTTTTGGCTTTGAGCTCTTCCTTCTTCGTCTCTCCTTCCATGAAAGAGTCCCAGAGTCCCTTTGGAAACACCTCTTTCTGCAGGTTTATCGATTTGAGCGAAGGAAGGTCTTGCGACTCTGGTCGGTACCGATCCGAGAATCGCGTGAGGTCGCCCTGCTTGCGCTGTTCCAAAACGGGCCAGTAGGCGGATGTCTTTTGCTCCTGCAGGTACATGAGCTGATACGATGCGTAGCGGATCTCCTTGTCGTCTGGTCTCTCCATACGCGGCACCGTCGGCGGTTCTGGATACAGCTTAGACGGCGACTTGTCAAGCGTGTTGAGCTCTTGGAAGCTGAGACCCATGGGCGGCATATTGGAGCCACCTCCGCCACCTGCGCGACCACCTCCACGGCCGAAGCCGCCGCGACCACCTCTAGACATTGTGAAGCAAGCCGACCGTCCAGGAGCGAATGGAAGATTGGGGCTGAGGATGAGGCGGGGCTGAAGTTACGCCTGGAGTTTGCTGTGCCGTCGGTCCTAATGGCGTGGATGCCCGTGCAATAGGAGTGATGGCCGACTGGATCGACGCCAACTAGGCCGTAAGATGGACTCTGCGTTGAGCCGTTGCGGCAGATGGAAGCGAGCAGGCTAGTTGATGAGGGCAAGAGGATTGCGGTTGCACCTTTCTTCGGGCATCGGCCTCGCTGTGTTCAAAAATCTCAAAAACGGCCATGAGCAGGCACGAGCTGCCACGAGAGAGGGATGCTGCATCGGCAAAGGCAAATGCTTGAAAATCGGCGATTCCAAAAAAATCACTTGTGCCATGGCAGAGGGAGGGCAGTGGCGTCAAGGGGCGCGTGAACAGAAAGGGGCCCAGGCGGCGCGGCCAGCGCGGGCACGGCAGGCGCGTGAGGCGGAGCTAGCGATGCTTAGATTTCGAGCCAGGACCCTGCAGGAGTCACACCGCTGCTCTCACACTGGCCGATTGCGGCTCAGGTGGTTGGGATGGTGGAGGGCGAGTGCCACAAAAGCGTCCCACCGCGCGCTCGACAGTGCCCGCTGCTGCGAGTGAGTTAAGTCACCGTGCTCTCGCCTGCATCCCCACATGCAGATCGGCACTCCCGACCGCGCTCAGCCCCAACATTGATTGCGTCGCCCGCTCCTCGAATCACGACGCCAACTGCATCCGCGTCCGCAGTGACTGATCACTTGTCGCCTCCATCACCACCCACCACCGCCCTGATCCTCTGCACCACTTCGGCCTGCCTAGGCACCGCCTCTGCCTCGTCACACGCAGGCAACCATCTAATTTACAACCACCGGCATCTCAAGATGTCATCCTGGCTTCCACATCGCCCGTTCTAATCGCATCTGCTTCTGCTTCGATTGCCGTGAGCACCCGAGCGCCCACTCTGTGCCATCATCATGTCGTTCGAAACAACACAAGGGCCCGTATCCACACCCGGAGACGAGACGCGATCCGCTTCAATGGCAACGTCTCAGGGAGCTGCGGACGAAGTGCATACATCCATGCCTGACAACGCGAACGACGCTCCGCCGCAGTCTGTCGACCTTTCCGACAGCTACGGAACACCGCCGTTTCCCAAGTCTCCCAGGCTGGATCCGTCGTCTCCGCGCAATTTCTCCACCATCTCCTCGCTCGCCGGCTCAAGGGAGCTGGGACGTCCTGTTCTCGAGCCGACCACAAGGATCTTCGCTGTCGGCCCGACAGCCTCGACACCGCCTGCCAAAGTGTCTCTGCCATCCACGCGGCCCGCCGAAAAGTCTCGACCACCATCTCCGGGCATCTCGGAAGGGCATCCCGCCGATGTTGCTTTCCACGCCGAGCCCCAGGGCTTGATGCAGATGCTGAGCCTTGTGGGAAGCACTTTGCTGGAGGCCGAGCGCGTCGGATTCACCGAAGACGATACGGACGAGCTCGAAGCTCAGCCGTCTGCGCGCACAGCTGGTCCGAGCGATCCTCCCGAAATCCCGCACGACGTCACGGGCTCGGCGTCGAGGAGAAGCACACGACACTTTGCTCCAGGCCTTGCCAGGTCAGTTTTCGACCTCGCATCTGCCGGTACAGCCAAGGGTCGTCTGCGAGCGCTGGCTCGCGAGGATGCATCGGACGACGGCTCCACGCCGCAGGGAAGCCGCTCGCCTCTGGACGGCTCGGTTCACACCATCGGAGCCAGCCGAAAGAAAAGAATCTCCCTCACCCAGAGCGAGATCTTTGCGTCGCCTAGCGATCCTACGGCGGACTCGAGCGGAAGGCGTGCCTCCAGTCTGCGCTCGCAGCTTCAGCCTAGCCCGTTTGCGTCGGGATCCACCTCTACATTGAATTGCGAACTTGACTCGGACCCTCCGGACTCGCTCGATCAGCGTTCGACGCGTCAGACTGCGGCCGGCACCCTCCCGATCCAGAAAGGGAGCATACCCATGCAGCACCAGTTGAGCTCTTCTCCGATCAACTCGATCGCCCAGCTGCCCACAGAGGGTGACGTGGATCCACTCCTCATTCGACCCTATTCGCAGACGCTCGTCGCAGACGCTCCGGCGTCCGGTTCCGCCCTGGATCACGATCGGCTCGAACAGCAACTCCGAGACACCTTCCAGCTCGACGCATCCGAAACTTTGGTCATGGCCCAGCCCTGCTGGCTTTTCCGCTCGCTCCTGCTGCAAGGCCATCTCTACCTCACCAACGGACATCTTTGCTTCTACGCCTATCTCCCCTCGCGCGACGAAAAGGTCGTCAAGACTGGAGTGCTCGGCAAGCGAACCCGAAGGACGCATCGCTTCAGCAAGCATTGGGCTTCCCTCCAAGGCAGCAAGCTCAGCTGGTTCGACAGCGATCGAGATCCATACTTTCCCCAGGGCCACATCGACCTTCGCAAGGTCTCGGCGATCGAGCCGTCGCAGAATCACAAGGATCGCTTCAAGCTCAACACTCCGGCTCGTAAATTCACCTTCCTGGCCGAAGACGAGGCGAGCCGCAACGCTTGGGTCTCGGCACTGCAGAAGGAGACCTTCCGAGCGCAAAACCAGGGCGAAAGTGTGAGGATCAGCATTCCGCTCGAGACGATCATGAATCACGAAACCACTCTCTCCGTCGACGGCACCGAAATGGTCTGCATCAGCGTTGTCGACGAGGCTGGCGACTTTTCGGTCGACGAGTACTACTTCCTCCACCTCAGCAAGCCGGGCGCGTTCATCGCGGCCCTGAACGGACTCATCGACTCTGGTCTTGGCTCCGTCTCGTCGTTGCAGAGCGGAGAAGCGGCTCTCAATCTCTCCAAGCTGAGCATTCGCGATTCCACGGGCGCTGCGTACGCAACTGCCATGTCGCGCAGATCGCTCGAAGAGGTCCCAACGCTCCCCAAGGTTCCTGTGAAAGCTCAAGCGCCCGATTCCACGGTCGCGGCTGACCAAGCAGAGACATCGGCAACTCCCAATGCACCTACAATGGCGGCGGTGGCGATTCCGCAGTCTGGTCGGCGCAAATCACAGGATGGCTCGGCAGATGGCGTGTTCTCCACAACACCGCGCGCTGCTGCGCTGAACCGTCTCTCCATGGAGTCGACGCACACCTACCCTCCCTCTCCTTCCTTGTCGGATCCACCAACGTCTTTCGACCAGGTCCAAAGGGAGGCAGAGCGTAGCTGGTCCATACCAGGCTGGCTCAAGTCGGCACCGGCCAAAGTGCTAGGTCGCACTCACAGCTCGCACCCTCACGCATCCAACGCTCAGGATTCCGAGAGGACATCTGGTAGCAAGCGGCGTCGCAGGGTCCTGGAGACGTGGTCCGGCGACAACACCGAATCAATCAGCAGAGAGGGATCCAGCACCGACACCGAGGACGACATGCTTTCGCATTCCATCTACTCGACGCAATCGGGCTTCTCGATGCTGGACGCCGATGATGAGGGACAAGAAGACCTCGGACGTGTCGCTGCAGAATTCAGAGACACTTTCGGCGTCGTCCAGGACGAAGGCTTGGTCGGCCACACGCACGCCTACCTTTACCGCGTCCTGCCCGTGGCCGGTCGCTTCTTTGTCTCCGAGCGGCATCTCGCTTTCAGATCATCCGGAATCGCCGCCAAGACCGTCGGCAGGACGCTCATGCTGGTCCCGCTGCAGGATGTCATCTCAGCTGCCAAGCAACTGGCGTTCCGCCCAGGCCACCACGGCATGGTCATCAACATCAGCGGGCACGAGGAGCTTTTCATCGAGATCTCGTCCGCCAATCGGCGTGATGAGCTTCTCTCCCTCATCGAGTACCAGCTGGAGCTCATCAGCGCTGGTCACCGCAGCAAGGAGTCGCGGGACACAGTCAACCGCGAACGGTCGCACGCGCTAGTGCTCAGGGATCTTAGCGAAAAGATCACTGACGACCCATCGACCACTTCGGTCGCCTCCTCTGCCGATTCGTCCATGCTGTCTCAGCAGAGCTCTGATCTCGATGCTTCCGGGGATCTGTCCCACTTAGGCGGGCGAGCGAGTCTGCTTACGTTTGCACCGACCGCGCCTTTGACCTTTACGATGCTGACGATCGGTTCACGAGGCGACGTGCAGCCCTACATTGCGCTCGCCAAGGGCCTACAGGCTGACGGTCACAACGTGCGAATTGCGACGCATGCCGAGTTTGGAGACTGGATCATGGGGCATGGCATCGGCTTCAGCGAGATCGGCGGCGACCCGGCTGAGCTCATGCGCATCTGCGTAGAGAACGGCACCTTCACGGTCTCGTTTCTGCGCGAAGGCGTCACGAGATTCCGCGACTGGCTCGACGATCTTCTGGCCTCGGCGTGGCGAGCGTGCCAGGGCTCGGATGTGATCATCGAATGTCCCAGTGCCATCGCCGGTATCCACGTGGCCGAGGCATTGCAGGTGCCTTACTTCCGCGCGTTCACCATGCCGTGGACGAGGACGCGAGCGTATCCCCATGCCTTTGCTGTGCCGAACAACAAGGCAGGCGGCAACTACAACTACATGTCGTATGTCATCTTCGACCAGATGTTTTGGCGGGCGTCGTCGTTCCAGATCAACCGCTGGCGCAAGGCGCTGTTGGGTCTCAAACCGACCAATTTCGATAGGCTCGAGCAGCACAAGGTGCCGTTCATCTACAACTTTAGTCCCAGCCTGGTGCCTCGGCCGCTGGATTGGTACGAGTGGATCCACGTCACGGGATTCTGGTTCCTGGACAATCCGGACAACTCGTCGAGCAAGAAGTGGGAGCCGCCCGAGGAGCTGGTGACGTTCATTCGACGCTCGCGCGAGCGGAAGCGCAAGCTGGTGTACATCGGATGGGGCTCCATCGTTGTTCCCGACGCCGAGGCCATGACGAGGTGTGTGCTGCAGGCGGTGCGCAAGAGCGGCGTGTGCGCGATCCTGTCCAAGGGCTGGTCGGATCGGCTCTCTGGCGACGCCACCAAGCGGTCCGCGGCGCTGGATCCTGCGCTGGCCGAAGACGTCTTCCAGGTGAGCTCCGTGCCGCACGACTGGCTCTTCCCGCAAATCGACGCCGCATGCCACCATGGCGGCGCGGGCACGCTCGGCGCCAGTCTGCGCGCCGGTCTGCCGACGGTGGTCAAGCCGTACTTTGGCGACCAGTTCTTCTGGGGCCAGCAGATCGAGAGCCTCGGCGTAGGCAGCTGCGTGCGCCAGCTCACGGCGGACAGCCTGGCCGCGGCGCTGATCACCGCCACCACCAACGCCAAGCAGATCGAGCGCGCGCGCAAGCTTGGCGAGCAGATCCGCGCCGAAGACGGCATCGGCAATGCGGTCAAGGCGATCTACCGCGATCTGGACTACGCGCGCAGCCGCGTCAAGCGCCATACGCGTATCGAGTCCGACGCCCCCGCCGCGCCACAAGCAGAGAACACGGAGCCGACCGAGCTGCGAGCGGGTCAGCTAGGTGCACGACCGGAGCTGGCACGCACCGCATCGCAGGGCTTTGACGACGGCCACTCGTCGGACGGCTGGTCCGATATCGGCGGCGCGCCGCTGAGTCCTTCACCGCGCAACGCTGATGGCGATGCTTTACTCGACCTGGGCCGAGCCGGTCCAGCGTGTGTAGAAGCTCCTCTCAGCTGATCCCGACTTCACACCTCCGTCTTGATTCCTCTCTCCAAGACATGCAATCTGCACAGACCAAAGACATGCAATCTGCACAGACGTCACACGATACCTCCGGCGGAATGAGATGGAAAAGATACATTTCTGAGCCGAGCAAAGGAGGACAGGCGGCGAGTGTTCTTAGCGAGTTTTGATGATGCCGGCGGCGACGAGTTTGTTGACTTTTTCGCGGATGATGGGGCTCTTCATGTGTTCCTGCAGGGCGGCGGGGTTGGACTGAGCCTGTTGGAGGATGGACTGCATCACGGGGTCCTGCATGATCTGGGCAACTTCGGGATCGCGCATGGCCCTCTGGAGGGTCTCCTCGTCGGTTTCTCCGGACCTCTGCGAGTAGAGTTCGTTCATGCACTTGGAGAGAAGTTGCTGGATCTCGCGCTGGTTCTTTGCGCCTCCCTCCTGGTTGGCATCGGCATCCTCGGCCTTCTGACACGCCTCCATGGCCTTGGTGAACTCCTTCATGCTGTACAGCACGTTGGCCTTCCTAATGTAGCCCTTGACAAACTTGGGGTCCACCTTGATGGCCTCCTCTGCATCCTTGAGCGCCTCGGGGAGCGCAGCGAGCTTGGTGTAGGCGGAGGCACGGTTGGTGTAACCACGCGGGTCCGACGGATCACGCTTGATGGCCTCGCTGAACGCAGCCACGGCACCGGGGAAGTCGCCGCCCTTGTAGAGCTCGTTACCGCGTGTGCGCTCCTGCTCGGCCTTGGCAGGGTCAATGTACGCCTGACGCGTACGCTCCTTGAGCAGCTTCTCGGTGTCGCGCAGCTTGGCCAGGATGTCCGGAGTGCGGTGCTCGGTGAGCGACTTTTCAAAGTGGTTTACCGCCTGCTCCAGCTGATCCTGCTTGGCATACGCAGACCCAATTCGTCCGTATGCCTTGGCGACGAGCTTGAAGTCAGCGCGCATGGCACGGCCTTCCTCGATGGCCTTCTCGCATGCCTTGATGCACTCATCGAACTTGCCCTGCTCGAAGTAGCACGCGCCGAGGTTGTTGAGGTATGTGATGTCCTTGTGCAGCTCCCATGCCTTCTCGTAGTGCGGAATGGCGGCGTCAAAGTCGCGCTTCATGTAGCGCTCGTTGCCGAGCTTCTTCTCGGCGTCGGCGGCAGCCTTTGCCTTCTTCTCCTCGTTCTCCTCCTCGGGTTCGGGCTCGGCAGCCTTGGGCGGTGCCGACGAGCTCGAGGATGCAGGCTTGGCGTCCTTCATCTCGACGTCCGGTGCGGAAGAGGAGGAGGCGGGGGTCTGCTTCTCAATGTCGTCGCGGCGCGACTCGAGGTCGGCGGGAAGGTCGTTGGAGCCCTCGGGACGCTCGAAAGCCTGAAGGTCGATGCCCATGAGCACGCCCATGACCTGGATCATGCGCGGGTCCTGGAAGGCCATGCCGGCCTCCTGCGGGTTGGACTGGATGGACTTGAGCTTGGCCATGAAAGCCTGGTCAGACAGAAGCGAAGCGGTCTTGGGGTTGGCAGCGAGCTTCTCGAACATCTTGGGGTCGCTGAACATCTGGCCAATCGAGGCGGCCGGGTCGGGACCGTTTGCTGCCTCGTTCTGCACGGCACGCTGGACGTCGGCGAGACCCTTGGTGAGACCGGCATCGTTGGGGGCGATGTCGAGGCCGGCAGAGTATGCGTCTACGGCCTCTTCGAGCTTACGGGCGCCGTGGAGGGCGGCACCCTTGCGGCCGTAACCCTTGGCGAAGGAAGGGTTGGCCTTGATGCACGACTCGGCGTCGTCGAGCGCCTTGGTCCAATCGCGCAGGCCGGCGTAGCACGCGGAGCGGTTCGAGTAGAGGACGTGCACGGCATCCTCGGGCGAGGTGGCGGCAGCGATGGCGTCGTTGTAGGCCTGGATGGCACCCTGGTAGTCCTTGGCGGCAAAGGCGGCGTTGCCCTTGGCTTTGAGTTCGGCGACCGACATGATGATGGCAGCGCAGTCACTGGGGATCAAAGACAGTCGGGGGGTCGATGTGGTAAGGGGGAAAGCTGGGCTGCCGAGGTGATGGCGGCCGAGGTGTTCTTCTCGAATCACACACTGCGCTCAGTCCGCTCCGCACTTTGAGCCGAAAGCGCGCCTCTCTCGAGAAGAGCACAGACTTCTCACTCTCACTCTGCGTCCTCTCCGCTGCGCCCAAACTTCCATCACAGCTGCGCTGCTTCTACGGATTTCTCGCGTTTTCGCCGCTTTCTGCCTCCACACGCGCCACTCGAGAAGACAGTCGTAAATGTTAGCTTGCACGAATGAAACATTTGTATTTTGCGCGCGCGACTTCATCTACGCCTTGGCCTTGTCAGTGGTCGCCGCTTTCTGTTTGTCCAGACGAGCCTGCCTGATGCGTTGGAGACGCTGTTTCAACGCACTGACTCTGAGTAGGGTTTAGGAGAATATGAAGCAGACGGGCGGACAAGAGGAGTGCAAAGAGCAAGGTCAGCGTCCGTGAGAAAGAGCAGAGCTGGCCAACGCGTGCGGAGCAGCTCAGACGCGTGATGGCGGTTTGGAGACTCACCTCTGGTCTGCTTCGTCTTGCTGCCGCTGCTCTTCTTCGAGCCGGGACAGGATCTCTTCGCGCTCTTCCAGCTCCCTGCGTGCACGTTCTTGCGCTTCCTTCTCGGCGGCGCTCTGTTCCTCGATGGCGCCGTCGTCTGTGGAGGTCCCAGCTCCGTTTGTTCCTTCTTGCGATATCAGCTGAGCTTCAGCCTCGATTGTTGCGCCAGCGTCATATCGCTCTTCGGGTGCACCTGACTCTGGCCCGGAGGCGTCCATCTGCGACTTGAACAGCTCCCATTCCGGATCGATGGACTCCGCCTGCGCGGTCGATGCCTCGGCGAATGCTTTAGTGTCTGTACGTGGCTTCTTGGCGCCAGATCCTGTGTTGTCCGTGGCTCCCTCACGAGGACTACGCCCACCGCCGGCCGAGTCGCCGTCGTTGCTATCGTCTTCCTCGTCGTCTGCTTTGCGCTTGCCGTCCTTGGTACGCCGAGTCTCGGCCTCTCGAAGCTCTTCCTCGCGGATGCGTGCTGCATTGCTGCGATGACTCTTGCTCAGGACGTGCGCGCCCCAGAGGCTGTCGTGCTTGATCGTGGCGTAGTCGCACGCCGAGCATCGAAGCGCCCCACTGGCTGAGTAAGAGGCGAAGCGATCCGAGATGCCGCCTCCGCCTGTCTTTGCCCGCGCATTCGCAGCAGCTCGTAGCAAGCTTCTTGCATCGGCCATGGTCGTCACGTAGCAAACGTCGTGTGTGCGGATGTACTGCGATGGATGGAAGAGTGGATGGCGTGGCAAACTTCCGTCTTCACTCGTTCATTCGGCTGCAGCGAGGAGCTGCTCCACACGACCAACTCGGACCGACCGCGCCCAAAATCTGGATCGGACGATGCCAAACCCGATCGCAGTCTCAACACCTGCAAAATCAAACGTCGGATCGCGGATGGAAGAATTGACAGCGATTGGAGGCGCCACATGCCTTTGATCCTGCACACCAACACCTCCGCAACGGCACAACGGGCGCCTCTTCCTTCCCACCAATAGCACGCGGAGTCTCCAAACACACCGAAGATCCTCCTGATTAGCGTCTCGCTATTGAAGGTGCTGCTCAGCTGCTCATCTGTGTCACGTGTAAATCAGCTCAGTTGGTGTGGCATTGAAAGCTCCAGTGCATCATGTCTGCCGACGCTTCTGCTGTGCAGGAGGCGCAGATCAAGCAGGAGGAGACTGTTCAGTCAGGCTCCTCCGCATCGGTCGAGCCGCAGAGTGCTGCTCAGCCTGAAGCAGATGACCAGCAAGCAGTGAAAGCTGAACAAGATGCCGATGCTGAAGCTGACGATGATGCTGAAGCCGATGGTGATGCTGAAGCCGATGGTGATGCTGAAGCCGTCGCTGACGCACCAGTGACCCCCGCGAAGGAAGCAACTGCAACCGCTGATGACGTCAAGATGGAACCAAAAGAGGATGAAGCTGAACAGCCTGCGCAAGAAGATGTTGCTGCAGTCAAAGCCGAAAGCGAACCACAAAACACGACAGAGCCACCAGCGGCACAGCAGCAGCCTGCCGTCGCCGAGCAAGAACCCATCGCAGCCTTCACTTCTGGCTCGGGACAGCCTCTGCAGCCCCATAAGCTCATGTCGGTGGAGCAGCGCAGGCAGCTGTTCGAAGAGCGCATCCGTCTCGAACCACGCGATGGCGAAGCCTGGCTGGCCCTCATCGAAGAGGCGGTCTCCCGCCAGGACATGGAGGCCACGCGCACCCTCTACGACCGTTTCTTCAAAGTTTACCCGCATCAGGGCCGTCAGTGGCTCGCCTACCTCGAACTCGAGCTCGCCCACAGCAACTTTGCGCAAGTCGAGGCGATCTTTGCGCGCTGCCTGCGCACCACCCCGTCCGTGGACTTGTGGAAGTTCTACCTCTCTTACACGCGCCGTGTCAACCCACTGCCGCCATCTACGGGCATGGAAGACGATGGGCCGAGAGAGCAGGCACGACGCGTGCTCGAGGGCGCCTACGAGTTCGCGCTTCGCTTCATCGGCAACGACAAGGAAGCCGGCCCGATCTGGACCGACTACATCGCTCTTATCAAGGAGCGAGAGGCGCGCGGCGGCTGGAAGGAGGGCCAGAAGATGGACGACCTGCGCCGCGTCTACCAGCGTGCGGTCAGTGTGCCGCTCTCCAACATCGAGGCCATCTGGAAGGACTACGACGCATACGAAAACGGGCTGAACAAGCTCACTGCCAAAAAGTTCCTCGCGGAGCGCTCGCCGGCGTACATGACGGCACGTCGTGTGCTCAGGGACCTCAAGACGTACACAGACCACCTTGCCAAGCCGTTGCTGCCGCGCGTGCCCGTGTGGACCACCTCAGCTCTGCCGGGTGACTCGAGCGAAGACGCAGAGCAATGGCAGCGCGAAAGGCAGCAGGTCGAGGCCTGGACTGCGTATCTGCAGTGGGAGGAGTCCAACCCACTCGTGTTGGACGATCAAGCCACGATGCAGGCACGTGTGCTGACTGCATACCGCAAGGCGACCATGTATCTGCGCTTCTTCCCGGAGGTGTGGTACCAGGCGTCGCGCTTCCTCGCCTCCACGGGCCGGCTGGACGAAGCAGCGACGTGGCTCAAGAACGGCATGGAGGCATGCACGGGCAGCTTCCTGCTCCACTTTGCCTACGTCGAGCTTGCCGAGACGCGCAAGTCGACCGGCGACTGTGCGGGCGTGTTTGACGGGCTGATCGACAGCGTACACGCCAAGATCGACGCGCGCCATGCGCGGTTGCAGCACGACCTCAAGCAGCTCGATGCCGAGGCAGAGGCGGCCCGGGCGCAGGCACGCGCTAATGACGACGGCGAAGCTGATGTGGATGGCGAGGAGCGCGAGCGCGAGCGCAAGAGTGCCGAGCAGCTGCAGGCTCGCAAGCAGGCACTGCAGGAGCTGGCCAAGCCCGAGATCGAGGCGCTCAAGGAAGCTAGTGCGCTCGTGTGGATCAAGTACATGCACTTCCTGCGCCGCACCGAGGGCATCCGACCTGCGCGTCTTGTGTTCGGCCGCGCGCGCAAGAGCCCGCACGTCACATGGCAGATCTTTGAGGCGAGTGCGCTGATGGAGTACCACTGCTCCAAGGAGCCCGTCGTAGCCACCAAGGTGTTTGAACTTGCGCTCAAAACGTTTGGCCACGACGGCACATTTGTGGTTCGCTACCTCGACTTTTTGATCACCATCAACGACGACAGCAATGCGCGCGCGCTGTTCGAGCGCGTCATTGGCACCTTCACCCCCGAGCGCGCACGTCCGATCTGGGAGCGCTGGTCTCGATACGAGTACAACTTCGGCGACACGGTCGCCATTCAAAAGCTCGAGACAAGGCTGGCAGAGACGTATCCGGACGAGGCTGCGATCCGTCGCTTTGTCGCGCGCAACTCGTACATGGATCTTGACCTGGTTGGACCCCGCGATCTGGGTATGCGTGCTGCGGTCCTGGGAGCCAGTGCTGCAGATCGCGCGGTGGAGGCTGCCAAGGAGGGCATCGAGGACGACGGCCCGAGGAGAAGGACGATGCAGGAGATGAAGCGGCTGGCAGCCGAGAGCAACCCGGACGACACGACTGGCAGCTGGTCGCGACCTGGCGCCGGTCCTCCCGCCAAGAAGTTCAAGCGCGATTCGGCATCGCCTGCGCCTCATGGTGGATTTGCACTCGCAGGTGCTGCTCAGGGTGGACCGATCCGAGACGCGTACAACGAGTTCCCCGAGGGCGTGCTCGTGTTCATGGAGATGCTGCCCAGCGCGCGCTTCTTTGACGGACCCGTGTTCAAGCCCGACGATATCATCGAGTGCTTACACAGCGCCAACCTGCCCGCTCCGTCCGGTGTCCCCATGGGCCCATCGGGAAGGAGACCTGCCACGCGTGGCCGCTTCCTGCGCTGAACGCTTGCCGTCCTTCAACGTGTACGCCGGTGTGTGAAATTCAATCTTTTTCTGATGTATGAATTGCAAAAACTAGGTGTGAACTGGGATCGTGGCTTTGGTGAGCAGACTGCGTATCGCGGGCTCGGACAGATCCCAACCTGGTCTTGATGTTGAGCGTGAGGGCATTAGGAATGCGCGTAGATTCGCCGCTGTCGATGCATGCGACAACAAGCCATCGTCGATGGACAGTGCCACGACTTCCGTCCTGGCCTCGCCAGTATCTGGATCCATCCAAGAAATGCGGAAGTGCTGTGTAGGTCCAAGACTATCCAGTCCCTTCTGAAGCGCATCTTTCTCTTCTCGTATCGCGTCGAGCTTCTGCATCTGTCGCTGCAACCTCGCATACGCCTTTGCGCGCTCCACATCGACCGTCAGCAATCCGCGTCGCAGGCTTCCGAGCGAGGAAGCGGCCAACGCCGATGCGATCAGCACGAAAACTGCGCCGAGCGCAATCACGACAGAAGCACGTACTGCGTCTGGAGTCTGCTCCCTTCTCCGCCTTGATGCAAGAGAGAGCGCGACGATCCAGCGCAGCACCGGCCCACCAACCCAGCTGTACCATCTGCCCCACCACACCTCGGCGATATGTGCATCGCTGGCCGCCGAAGCAGCAAGACCGCAAAACGAGCGCCAGGTGGGACGGAAGAGCGGTGCGAAGCCGAGCGCGTACAGCGGCGGGATGGAGAGCAGGAAGCTGATAAACGGCCGCAGGGTGGACGGGGCGGTCACGTCGTTGTCGAACCAGGCGCAGTGATGGTCGAATCCAACCCGACAGGTTGCGCAGTCTCCGCAGTGACGCATGCGAAAAGTCTTTATGCGTCCATTGCAGCTGTCTCTCCAGCAGCGGACAGGCTGCCCATCTGCGCTGCAGAGTTCCACCGTCACGTCGTTGCCTTGCACGACGGATGCGATCGAGATGGTCGTGTCTGCTGGGTCGGGATCAGCGAATGTTGCACCGAGCCCTGAGCGCAGCCATGCGAGCACGCCATTCTGATTGTTGGTATGGCTGCGGGAGGGTGTCTGGCTGTGCGCAAAGAAGACGCGCAGGTACGCACGCAGCGACCAAAGGAAGAGTGCGTGCGTCGGCACGAGCCACAACCCCAACGGAAGGAGCCTGCCCTGCTGCAAGTAGACTTGGCGATAGGCGTGCCGCACAACAACGAGATCATAGGCGTTCGCAACGTAGACCAGAAGAATGATCGGCACGATCCGACCAAGCACGCGGTTCAGCCGGATGCCCCTGCGAGAGTTCGGAGGGGCGTGGGAATTTGGCTTTCCATCGTGACTTCGTATTGGATCCTCAGGCTCTTGTCTGGCAGTGTTGATCCCTGTCGATTGGCTGATGCGCTGCCGCAGACTTGACAGCGCTTCTTGCACCATCGTCGAGCGAAGTCAGTTGAATGTTGGGTCGGGAGCCAGCCGATGGATGGCGTTTTGCCTGCGCGAGGCAGTGTTCATCTCGGCATCAGGGTCCATCTAATGTCCGTGCAGCTGCGGCTGTCCCGAGGGAAAAAGTGGAGCCGATTCCCCGATCGGATCTGCCGACGCTGCGACGCGAGCGCGTCGCGAAAAGTGAAACCCGAGCCAAAAGAACAGCCAGAAAGATGCAGCACGCGCGCGGCGGGCTGAGCCCCAAGGCGATGCGCGAGCCCAGCGTCGAAAAGTGTAATTCTCGAGCTGTCGGCGAGACGCATAGAGCAGCAACGCAGCCACGCAGCTTCAGTCATCTGGGGGCAGCAGCTGAACGCGCGTGGGCCGGGACACGCTCCGATGCTCAGCTTCCTGCTCCATCAACCATCACGCCGTCTGATCTTCCCAGCTCTCATCACACCCTCCTTTGCTCACAACGCAAACGCCCACAATCGTTTCAACATCGTTGCCACCTCAGCCTCCGCACAGAAGCCGAGTTCATTTTCACCCAAGCGGCCTGCACATTCGGGCCTCACATATCCAACTACAGGACGTTCTTGCCTGACGCATCTGGGCAAAGCAGCGAGACGCGTCTTGGTCGACTACTCTTCTCCGGACCGGCTAGAGCATCTGCAACATGGCGCGGACGACCACCAGAAAAGCCGGCGGTGCCGCAAAGCCAGCCCCACAACGCGAGGCTTCCAATGACATGGTCGACTCGGATGGCTCCTTGACCGAGCTCTCCTCGGAGGGCGAGAACAGCGAACCAGAAGTGGAGAGCTCCGAGGAAGAGATCGAAGAAGATGACGACGAGAACGACGGTGACTTTGGATCGAGTCGAAAGAAGGCTGCTCCGCGCCGTTCGGCCGGAGGAGCAGCGCCGCGTTCGAGGCAATCCAACACCACTCCGCGCGCCCGCAAGTCGGCCGGCACGGCCAAGACGCCCCGATCAGGCTCCAAGCGCTCCGGACCGTCTCGCCCCCGCGCTGGTACGTCGGCGGCTACTCCATCCGCGGCTCGATCACGCGCAGCCGCCAGCAGGGACGAGCTCCCCATCAACGACGACAACGAAATCTTTGTCGCTGTCAAGGACCCCAACTCGGCCCTTCAGTCCATCGCAGAGGACTGGGTCGTCGCCTTCTCAGACAACGAAGCGAGCGCGCTAGCCGACCTTGTCAACTTCATCATCCGCGCCTGCGGCTGCAACGGCAGTGTTGACGAGAATCAGGTGGTCGACATCGACAACGTCGTCGACAACCTCGAGGAGCTGCAAGAGGCGTTCAAGAAGCAGCCCATCCCTTCGTACCCTATCGTCTCCCGCAGCAAGACCTTCAAGTCGTTCCGCAAGTCGCTCAACGACTTTCTCCATCGCCTCGTCATGAGCGCCTACGACGCCGAGATCCTCACCGCGGATGGCTTCATGGAGCCGTATCAGGCCTGGGTCTCCGCCATGTCCTCGTCCTCCCTCCGATCCTTCCGCCACACCGCCACCGTCATTGCGCTCTGGACCATCTCGGCGCTCAGCGAGGTCGGCGCTCAGGCCACCAAAGATCTCGCCACCGCCACAAAGCAGCGCGACGCAGAAAAGAAAAAGGCACGCACAGACAAGAGCCGATTGAAGGACCTCGAGTCCAAGCTCGTCGAGTCGCGCAAGCTCAAGGCACGTTTGGAGGAGTACATCAACGAGTTCATCAACTCGGTCTTTGTCCACCGCTTCCGCGACTTTGATGCGGGCATTCGCTCCGAGTGCGTCAGCGCCCTCGGATCGTGGATGAAGAACCACCCGTCCCAGTACCTGCAGAGCTCGTACTTCCGCTACATTGGCTGGGTGCTCTCGGACGTCGATGCGAGCGTGCGCATGGCCGCCGTGCAGGCCATGACCGGCCTCTACACCGGCGGCAACTTTGTCAGCTCGGTCCGTCACTTTACCGAGATGTTCAAGGCGCGCCTTGTCCAGATGGCCACGGGCGATGTCGAGCTCGGCGTGCGCATCGCCACGATCAACGTGCTCGCCGTCATCGACAAGCACGACCTCCTCGAAGACGAGCAGCGCGATCTGCTCGCCACCCACATCTTTGACGTCGAGCCTAGCATCCGCAATGCCGTCGCCGGCTTCCTCGCCAACATCCTCGACGAGATGGTCAGCGAGGGCGCAAGCGAGCTCGGCTCGCTCTCCGCCGCCTCCAAGAAGAAGGGCAAGCAGGCCGAGGAGATGCAGCACGAGAAGGCCAAGCTCCGCTTCAAGTGCCTCGCAGAGCTGTTGGTCAAGTACGGCCATCGACTCGACGCCGCCGCGGGCACTGCCGAGACCGATGCGGTCGAAGAGCTGGGAGTCGTCATCCACGGCGCCAAAGAGGGCCGCGTCGGCATGGCGGTCGAGGCGCTTTGGGGCGCAGTCGATGAGCTGCAACACTGGAAGGCGTTGCTGGATCTTTTGCTGCTCGACCACTCCGACAAGGCGGCTGCAGGTGGCAACAAGGCCATCGAGAATGCCGCCCCGGCCGTCTACCGCCTCGACGCGGACGAAGAGGCGGTGTTGGTCGAGGCCCTTGCGGCCATCCTGCGCAAAACCCTGGCCGGAGCCGAGGCGATCGACGATGCCGACGACACCACCAAAGAGGACGTCTCTCGTGCCTCGATTGCAGCGCTGCCCAAGCTGTTCTCCAAGTACCGCACCGATGCGCCTCGCATCGCCGACTTGCTGCTCATCCCGCAAGTCTTGGATCTCGAGATGTACACCGAGCTGCAAGAGGCCACCGCATTCGAGGCACTTTGGGACGACGTCTCTTCTCAAATTCAGCGCCACGTCGAGCCCCTGGTGCTCAAGCATGGCGTGCAGACGCTGCAGAAGCTGATGGCCACCACCTCGCAGTCGAACGTGAACAGCACCAAGCTTTCGGCGCTCGAGGAAGCGCTGGTCTCGTCGTTGCGCGAGACGGTCAGCGACCGCGACGTGGAGACGGCGGGCTTCAGCGAGGACGAGGTGCATCTCTTGGCCGCCAACATGCTCCGCCTGCATCTGGTCAGCCAGGTGGCCAACACGAGCGATGCGCTCGAGGACGATGAGGGCGGACAGGCTACCAGCGGCTGGGAGATTGTGCTGGGCATCGCAAGCCGTGGTTGCCTGGCGTACAAGGAGGAGGAGAGCCTGGTGCGGGACGCCATCGCCACTCTGGCGCTCTACATCATGTGGAAGACACGCCAGGTGATCCTGCCCGAAGCTGGCTCGCAGACGGCGCTGGCCGAGGCACTGCTCGCCAAGCGCACGCCCGTGCTCAGCCTTCTGGAGGAGTTTGTGGCCAGCACGCAGTCGCAGGCGTGCATCGGCGTGCAGCGCGTGGCGTTTGAAAAGATCGCCACGATTCACATGCTGTATGCCGCCATCCCTCAGCAGACGCCGGCTGCTGCGACGGCAGACGACGCATCGGTCGGGCAGGCGGAAGAGGATGCTGCTGCTCGTCTTCGCGCCAGCCCTCAACTCCCCGTTTTGCTCAATCTGCAGTGCCATTCGGACCTGCAACAGCACTGCGCTCACTTTGTCAAGGCCGAGATCGAGCGCTACATCGAGAAATCGAGCGTGCTTGAAAAGGAGGCCAACGGCCATGCGGATGCCGCCCACGATAGCAGCGACGAAGAGGCGGCCAACGGCAATCACGACCACAACGAGGACCAGGAAGACGAGGACGACGAGGACGCTGAGGCGACGCCGAAGGCCTCACGCGTCCGCGGTGGCAAGAGCAAAAAGGCCAAGAAGGGCGCGTCGGCCGGTAAAGCTTCGAACGGAGCAGGCGCGGTCACCGAGCGGCCGAACGAGGCGCAGCTGCAGGCCGAGCACACGTTCTGCTCAGTGATCAGCACGTTTGTCGCGGCGATCCGTGTGGGTGTGATCGACGCCAAGCACTCGACGGTGGTGCTCATCCACTTTGGCCGCCTGGGTGCGATCTACGATTCGTGCTGCAAAGCGCTGGTCGAGGTGCTCAAGGAGGAGGCGATCTTTGGCGGATACAACCGCGCGGTGATTGTCGAGAGCTGCATCTGGGACTCGCTGCGCGAGGCGTTTGAACTGTGCCTCGACGGCGGCGATGCGGGTGGCGAGACACGTTTTGTGTCGCTGTCGCGCCAGCTGGCGAATGCGCTGGTGGTGCGCGGTGCGGGCTTCACGGCTCTGCGCAAGATCGACGCCAGGTGTCTGATCTCGCTGCACAGCCGGGCGAGCGAGCACATTGCGCAGAAGGTGGCGGCGGCCGAGCGCAACGGCGACAAGCGCGTCAAGCAGAAGATGCCGGCGCTTTACAAGGGCATGGCGAATCTGCTCATGACCGCGACGCCAACGGATGCGGTCAAGATCAAGAGCGCCATGGACCGCGCGTTCCGTGCGGCCAATGTGCAGGTGCCGCCCGCAGCCAAGGCGTGGGATGCTCACCGCTCGTACGAGAAGCGACTGCTCAAGATCGCTGCCAAGAGCGCGCTGTTTGCTCCCGCCGTGGCGGCATCGGGCAAGAAGGACGACGGAGCGGCGCGGAAGGGCGCAGCGGCAGCGGCGGGAAGCGGAGAGCTGTCGGACAGCGGAGGCGAATTGACCGACGACGATGCGGCTGACGACGACGGATTGCCCGCTAACGGAAGCCGCGTGCTCCCGACACCCGTGCGCAGCTCGCACAAGCGCGACCGTGCCGAGGCCGAGGGCGGCGAGGAGGAGAGCGACAATGAGATGGACGACCACGAGGTGGTTGGCAGCGAAATGGCCGATCTGGACGTGGACATGCCCACGTCCGAGGCCGGGTCGCTGCGACTGGACCTGGACGACGACGGCAACGACGAGGCCGCGGTCGGCGATGCGTCGAGGCGCAAGCGAATCAAGACGTGAGGCCGAGCAACCGAAGCTTTGCAACTTCAATCAGTCATTTTTCCACTTTTCCGTACGAAGCGGGCGTGAAGCGGGTGCGAAGCGGGTGTGAATCGAGAGTGAAGACGGGTGCGACCATCTCGAGGGCGGGCTGCAGTGACGATGGGGAGTCCACGTGATGCACGGGTGGCGGCGGCGGAATGAAACGAAAGAGGCCGGCGCGGTCGGTGTTTATCATGCGCGCCCGGTGTGGTTCTCACGGTGCCAAGCTGAGTGTAGGAGACCGGATGAGCGTGGGAAGAAGCGTGAAGATGTGTCCGGAAAAGCTGGGCCTCCAAGCTCAAGGGTTTCGCGCCAGGACCGAGCAAGAACGTCACACTACAGCTTAAGCGCGATTTAGAACGTGAGTGCAAATACAATATTATATTATTTATAATTAGGCATTGCTGGATTCCTCTTAAATCGCTGTTGAAAGTGCGTGCGCGCAAAGTGGTTGGGCGGCTCGCTTGTGAGAAGACGGGGTGCGGTGGCAACACACGGCGCGCGACCCCAAGTTCTCCTCAGTGGGTTGGATGCGGTTGATCGGCAGGGTGTCGTTTCAGGGCGTTGGACCCTCGGGTCTTTCAGCCACCCACTTCTTCCGTTGGATGTCCCGTGGTCACGGCACTTTTTCGGCGCGGCACGTCAAATTTTGCGGTGCCGCCAAATAAAATCCATTTGCTCCTCCCGGCCCCGACCCGTACCAATCAGTGCGCAAACGAAGGACACGGCTGTTTGGGCCCAACGTCTGAGGCGCATCCACGCCAATTCCCGATGACAACCGTGCGGGCCATGCTGCTACTGTACTCACTGTAGCACACTGACTGCAGGCGGAACTTCGGATTTCGACGCGGCCGCATCGTGACGGAAGTGGCCGTCGGAACGTCACCGATAAGCGGTGCGGTGCAGAGGCTTGCATTCGAGAGCCTAGAGTGAAGAGGCCGTCCAGCCTCCCGACGTTTCTCAAGAGAAAAAGACAAAAGGGTGCTGTAGCGATTGATATTGAAAAGTAACTCCGCACCTTACAGTATTCCCGCGCTCGTACGGCAAAAGTCATAAAGCATGCAGCTGCCGGTGAATTGCATTGCCGCAAAGCCAGGCGTTTTCGTGCGGTCTTGTTTGCTCAAGGCGCGCTCGCCTCAAATTGAGGGTGGGCGGCTCTCCAACCGAGCAAGGTGGATACGAGCAACGCTAAAACTCGACTTGCCGTGCTCGGCTACCGAATCTCTTGTTCTTTTCATTTCTTCTTGCTCCAAGGCACCGACAGAGGGTGCTTTTGAATCCACCAACGTGGAGAAGCGGGACAACCCGCACTGGCGCGCGCAATGCCCCACAGCGGCGCTTTCATTATATTAATAATATGATCTCGGCTAGCGTTGGTGGAAGAATGCGACTATGCGAGCGGCCGAGCAGCGAGGAGTGCAGAGTGCAAAGTGCAAAGTGCGCGCAAGAAACTTTGCGCGTCGCTAATCTCGGCAGCGCAAGCTCAGTTTCCAACTGATGTGACCATGCAGCGTCGACAAACAAGCTTCACCGAGCTTAGAGAGGTGCGGTGCTGTGGGGTGAGTTGGGGTGGGGTGCAGTGCAGTGCGGCACTGACCTCGAGTTTTTGGATACGAAATTTTCACGCCTTTGGTTCTGGACTCACGTCGCAGCTTTCGGTGCTAAGCGGTCACACGCCCACTTCAAAATCACAAAATCACATTCCAGGGCGGGTCTGAAGCGGAGCGCCTCTCGTTTGGCCGGATTCCGGATCCGCCACCCCGCGCTCCTGCGCCCGTGCCCTGCGACGGTTGCAAGCTAGCCCAGCCAGGGTGCCGCAGTAAATTTACATCCACCGCGCGGTCAACGCAGCCAAGACAGCCAAAGTGCCTCTCGGCTGCGTCCCGCTCTGGCAACCAATTCGCCACCCACCCCTAGACCCTGGGGTGTTTCGCCTGTCAACCTTGAGCCTCGTTGCGCCCACGCCACCCGCTTCGGTTGCTCGCCAAGCACACTCACGACCCGCCCTCATCCACCGCCCGTGCGTCGCTTGTTCAACACACTGCTCTCCCGCCTCCCACTGCCGGTGTCTCTGCAGTGAGTGGCTGCTCCGCCGCTCCGCTGCTGCGCTGCTCCGTCTCTCCTCGGCTCCCACGCCCGCGCTCTCCCTCTCTGGCACTCGCTCTGGCACGCCCTCTGGCCCAAGCCAACACACTACAGCAGCGACGTGCCTACGTYGCTGCTGCTGCTGCTGCACCGCAAGCCTTGGTGGTGGCCGGTCGATATTATCGATAGACCGTCCTCTCTACACCACCTCCCTCTACACCACAACGTCCCTTTCGACACCCCATCCTTCTCGATTCGTAACAGCTTCTATTGTCGACCATTCTCGACCCCATACCGAAGCCAGACCATTCGAGTCGCCATTCTTCGCACAAGGACTCCATTCAGTCCATCTAGCCACCCAACGGCCTCCAGCACCTTTCACCAGCAGCATTCATCGTGCCGCTGAGACCAACATAGACTCGCTCCAGCATCTTTCTGTCATAGTGTCATAACACTCTGATTTCGCGGACGAGCTGCCTCCATTCAGGCCCACATCCCGCTATCGACTCCTCCCACTGTGGCTCCGTCCTTTGGCACCATTCTGCCGCCCTGACCACCACTGTTGCTATTCAACTCCAAACAGCTCCCTGCTCTCTATCTTCTTTGATCCAGTCTCAGGCTTTCATCAGCACAGCTTTTTTTCGCATCCCTCGCTCGACAACACCTTCTTCGCACAAATGTCCAGCACACCCGACATGCACTCCAACTGGGCCGACATGAGCCCGCTCGACGGCGATACCGAAAAGATGCTCAACTCTTTCTTGGCCGACCTTCCTAGTCAGACGCACGATTCCAGCGCCTCGCACACTCAAAACAGCGCCCCGGCTTGGCCAGGCTCCGTCAACCGCTCCCTCAGCGACAATGCTCCTTTCTTCGGCCTCTCGCCTTCGCTCCCGATGGGTATCTCACCAGGCCTCGCCAATTTCTATCACGACGCCAACGACCCGGCCAAAAGCGACAATACCTGGTCGCTTTCCTCCGAAATCACGGGCAACACCGCAGACTCGAGCGTCTCGAGCATGTATAACATGGCGTCGCTCTCCATGCCTCCCAACCTCTCCGCTGGCAGCGCTGATACGCCTTCGGACGCAACAAGCCTCCGTGCCGACATGGTCCACCCTCTCGGCACCGTACCGTCCAGCGTGTCCAGCGTGTCCAACGTTGAAGACATCGTGGACCTCGGCGGCGCAGCCAAGGACACCGTCTCGACGCCCCAACTCAGCCCTGCTAGCTTCGGGTCGCAACCTTCGCCCCTCTTGCCCAACAACACGCTCACCGGCTACCACAGCAACATCGCCACCGATCACGCGCAGCATCTCGCCGACCTGGTCAAGACCAGTACGCTCCTGAATGCCGGCCATCCTGGTCCTCGATCGCTCGCATCCAGCCTCAGCCGTTCCGTCCTCAATGTCGATGCCATCGGTAGGCCCGACGCTGTCCTGGCCGAGCCCTCGACCTCGATGCATGCTCGAACAAAGGGTCTCACCATCCAACAGAGACGTCGTCTTAGCCACGTCGAGCAATCGAACACAGCTGCCCCCGCCGAACCCAGTGCGCAGCAAACAAGCCCATCCGTCGCACGAGCAACTGCCTCCGGCCGCCGTCGCCAGGACTCGGCCCCGGATCCGATCCTGCCCCCTCTCGGTTCTTCGCCCGAGATGCCCAGGACGCCACTGCAGAAGCCCCGTCGCGCCCATCGCGCCTCGATCAGCGGCCTCGAGTCCACCGCCCCGTGGGCAGCAGCCGATCTGCCCCGTGCCGCCGACAGCGCAGAGACGTGGAGCGACGCCGTAGTCACCAACTCGCACGACCTCGTCTTTGTGCTTTCCTTGAAGGGCACCGTGCTCTACATGTCGCCTTCGGTGCATCGCATCCTCGGCTTCCATCCCGAGGAGATCATCGGCCGTCCTCTCGTCGACTTTAGCCACCCGGCCGACGTCGGTCCTTTCTCGCGCGAGCTCAAAGAGGCCATCACGCTGCCCAACGGCGACGACGAAAGCTCGGATTGCGAGAACACCACGGCGGTCAAAGCTCATCGACGTGTCGACCTCATCATGCGCATGGCGTGCAAGGACGGCACCTTCAGTCTCATCGAGACCACCGGTCGCGTCTCGGTCGACCCGCCCAAGCATCGCAAGGTGGTTGTGTGCTCGGGTCGACCGCACCCCATCCCGATGCTGCCATGGAACGACGTGCGCCAGGATCTGCTCACCTCGGAGCTCTCAGCCTGGCTCAAGATCTCGCACAATGGCATCTTCCTCGGCGCCACCGGTCCGATCCAGCAGATCCTGGGCATCGAAGATATCAACCTGCTCGGAAGGCACGTGCGTGATCTGCCCATGGTGACGAGCTCGTCGGATCTGCTCGATGCGCTCCGCTCCGGCCGCTCCATCTCGGTGCAGGACCACTACCAAGATCTCGGCTCCGCGCAAAAGGCCCCGGTCAAACTCACCGTCTACCCGTGGACATCCAACGGTCGATCGCACTCGGTCTCGTTTGTTCACGTTCAGCAGCAGCCGCAGTTGCCCGAGACGGCCGCAGGCACACCTTCGCAGTTCAAGTCGCCCTTGTCGACTGCTTCCACTGTGCCGGCCAAGCGCAAAGCATCCGAACGCGAGCTGCAGGAGCAGCAGAATGGCAGCGGCTCGCTGAGCGGCTCGGCGTTCCAGGCGAATGGCACGTCGATGCCCGTCATGACGGCCAACGATGCGGCGTCGACCGTGTTTTCGGAGCTGACGGGCTTCCACAGCGGCTCGTGGCTCATCGAGATGCAGAAGCTGCACAATGCCAACCGCAGGCTGCGCCACGAACTCACGGCGCTGCGCAAGAGGTCGTCGCATGCCTCGACCGAGATGCACGTCGCTGCGTGCTAAGTTTGCCGCGCACTCTCCAAACCTTCTGGGCGACGTTATGGACACTCGACGCAGTCGCTCCGGCCCCCCCAAAATCTTCCTGATCGCGGAAATTGTCTCTTTCTCCTTGGTCCCCACCGTTTGTCGCTCCTTTCGTCGTCACCGTTTTTCTTCGTCAGTCGTCATTGTTTATCGTCTCCTTTCTTCGTTGCTCGTACTTTGTTTATGGAACTTCTTGTATGATAGTCTCGTCCCGCCACTGTGCATATACAAATGCTCGTCTACGTCTTTTTGCGATTGGGTGAAAGAGCCACGGGTTGTTTGAGGAGGTGTGTGAGGGATGTGGCGCTGGATTCGTGGCTCGAATGAGTGGCTGACACGTGCAGCCACGAAGACTGGCGCTTCTGGTCGCGAGGGCAGCATACGACGCTTGTCTGGGGGCGCGAAAGATAGTATAAGGCGATGCATTCCGATTGTATAAAAATGACTAGCATAAAGAGAGTGTGTTTGCGGTGCTAGAGTGGCTAGAGGCCGTCATCCCAGACGCCTCTAGTGGATCTGTTTTCGGCGAGCTGGGTGCGGAGGACGGCCAATCTGGAACGGTAGTCGTCGTGGTTGACATAGGCGCCGCAGAGGCGTCTATTGCCCACAAAGGCGGCACGACCGTGGAGGACGCGGTGGTTGTCAAAGATGAGCGGGGTGCCGGGCTTGAGTTGCACGCGATACTCGCCCTCGGGATTGGTGAGGATGGCGTTCCACTTTGTGAGCGCGTCGTAGAACGGTTCGACATCGTCGGCGTCGATGCGCAGCACCGAGCGATCGTCGTTGTTGTACCGAACCAGCACGAGCTCGCCCGTTGCCTCGTCGTGCTGCAGGATGGGATAGCCGCCATCAAGGAGTGGGCGGATCATGGTATTTTCGTCGCCGGCCGAGTGCGTGCGGATCCGCACCCTACTGAGCGTATCGTACGCCTCCGGGTGAACGTCCTTAAGCACCGCTGCAGCCAGGAAGCCATCGACCAGCAGCGATTCTCCACCACTAGGACCCTTGGTCCCGCTTGCGGAGGTTTTCGACGCCGTGTGACTGAGCAGGTGGAACATCTGCAGCCCAGCGGGATCGGTGAAGTAGGTCGTATCCGTGTGTGCCTGCAGTGCCAGGTCGGTGTAGGCCGTATCGCCATGCGCAAGGTCCGAGGTAAAGTCCCAGAAACCGCCGTAGTGCGTCTCGCGGATGAAGGCGATGCGGCGAATGAGCGCCTCCGTATCCGTCGGTGTGGGCGGCACACCCGAAACGAATGCAAATCCATACTGTGCCTGAATAGCCACACGCAACCTTTTCGTCAGCAAATTAAGCTCAAGCCGAGGCATGAGAGTGGTGGGGAGCAAACTTACGATTTTGGTGACCCACTTGAGCACGCCCTCGTCGGAACCCATGACCTCGTCGTACCTGACTGTCGGAGGGGCCGAGCCGATGCCTTTGCCCCAAAGCACCTTTTCGATGCCCTTGAGGCCTGTGTCGTCGCTGGCTGCGGTGACGGGGTCGGAGAGCAGTGGCGAATACGAGTTGCGCATGAGCCATCGCCATGGATACAGCGACGGATGCTGTGGACCCGCAGCGCTTTCTCCTGCCGCCTCCTCTGTACCCTGTGCTGGTTCGGGTGCTGCGGGCTGAGCAGCTCGTTCCGAAGGCAGCAAAGGCCAGTGCACCAGCAACCCTTCTGTCGTTGCTTCGGCCGAGATGGGCTGTGCGTCGGGTGCGATCTCAAACGTATTCAGCAGACGCTGCTTGGTAGTTGGGTGGTAGCACTGTGGACAGCGGCAGTGATCGCGTAGCCAGATGTTGTGGAACTTGCTCGTGATGCCGCTTGCCCACGTGATGTACACTGCGCGCGACTTGGCGTCCGTTGTGACACCCGGCACTGCAGGCCCACCGTCGCTGTAACTCGCCGAGGCACTCGACGACGCTGTGGGCGCAGCCGGCTTTGCTGCGGCTTCGGCACGGCTTGCGCGCGAGGTGGACAGCAGACGCCCGATCGATACGCTGTGTGATGGCACAGACGATGCGATGGCCGGGCGGCATGGTGTGATGACGGAACGTGCCGAAGCGCGGGTGAGCCGTTTCGGAAGCGCCGAAACGACGCGTGGGAGCGGACGATACATGGAGCAGAGGTGGCGCCGGCTGTCGGATCGGTCCGGCTGATGGAGCAAGGGCGGTGCGGTAGGTGATGGTGGAAATGTCGAGGCGGTGGTCGGGATGCCCGTCGCCAAACGGGCCGTTCCCGAGTGGACGCACGCTGACGCGCTCCAAGACCGCCATCTCCACCCCTTCCAACCCCGCCCACAGCCCCTTTCACACGATCCGCCCCTTGCAATCTAACAATTTTCGCCTCGCCGCCAACCTCCCTCCTCTTCCTCACGCCGGAAATGCAAGGCATCGCTATCGAAGGCACGGCAGATGGCTTTGTGCAGTATCTGGTTGTAGATCACTCGTTCAGCTGCCCGAGATTCGCGAGTAAGACCCGTTTTTGACCTGCATTTCAATCCACCGAGCAACGACTGTCAGCTTAGTGCCGGAATCGACTGTGGCGGGGCAGGTGATACTCACGCTGAACGTCCTGCAGGGAGGTCTTGGCGTCCAGGTTGGGGAAGAATGCATGCTGGCCATGCGCGTGCGCGATGAGTGGCGCCTCGAGCGGTGTTGCGATGGCATTGTACACCTTCTGTCGACGCAGAAGCAACGATGTGAGCAAATGCTTGATATCGGCATGTCTCTCTCCTGTGAGCAGGTCACTTACAGCGTCCGAAGGTAGTGTCTTGAGCTCTGATTCGAGAACCTGCAGCGTTTGAAGCTGAGCACGATCCGACACCGTTGCGCAGCGATAAAGGTAGGAGGAACGCAAGTGTCAGTTAGCCCTTGCTTCAACCACACCATGCCGTGTCAGGCTTACCTGCTTCTGCAGCTCCTCCTGCCGCCTGCTCGCTGCAGCGGCCTCTGTTGGGTCTGCCATTGTCAGAACCAGCGTCGCGGAACAAAGGTAGCAAGGTGAGCGCTGATCGTGATGGTTTTGGCGCAGCAAACCTCCACTTCTGAACCGCGCTGTTTGGTCCTGCGCGGCGAGCATCGCGGGGATATAGGACGCGCAATTCGAGCCGGCGGGCACAAGTGAGGTTGTGTGATGTAGAGGTTTAGCATTCCAGATTTTGAGGCTTCCGCCCAGCGGGTTCATTCGAAATTTCTGGCCACCTGGGTTCGACTCCCAGCACGACCATGATTTTGGCTGCTTTTTACCGTCAGGCTCAGACTCATGCATGTGGTGGAGGTCATGCAAGCTTCGTCGACGCTCGAAGGATTGTGTGCGACCACGGCAACCCATTGGAACGTCGTTCGGCTCGTCAGGGAAGGTGGCAGAGAGGGCGGCAGCGGCCTTGCATGAGTGAGCACAAAGGGTCCCGGTCCGTAAGCATTATTTTCGGAGAATCGGCTTGGAAAATCCGGCGCAACCGCCGTCACAACGCAGCGACGCACGTCCTTTTGAAACGCGCATCCTGCAGCTACTCGTGCAGGGGGTGACGGACCGCACCCACTTCACCGCTTCACCACATCCTTCTCGTCACCGTCGCCCGCATTCATCGCGGCTACGCCTTCCACGTTCGCCTTGAGCACACCTCGACCACTCAGCCATGGCGACTCTCACCACCTAGACGGCTTCGTCGGCCAACTCTTGCTCTCTCTTGGCCTCACCATGGCGTCCTCTCTGCCGGCCATGGGTGCGACTTCGACGGACAGCACATCGAGTCCTTGGAGGTTCGTCTGGGCATTCCTCGTCGGCCTCTTGGCCACAGCCCTCTTCTTCCGCTCCGTCTTGCCACGCCTACCGCGCATCCTCTTCCGCGGCAAGCTTCGCATCAGGCGAGCGGGCATCCGTGGCATCCGAGGCATCGAGTACCGCTCCAAGGGATTCCACAATGACTCGGCCGCCTTCTCCAGACACGAGGATCAGCTCGAACTCAAAGTGCAGCGCATCTACGCCTCCTACCACCTGCCCTACTTCCTCTGCAGAGCCCAGGACCAACCCAGTGTCGTCCCGCGCAAGAGCAGCGCCATCATCACCATTCATGTCCAAGGAGTCGGCGTACGTATTCCTCGCTCTTCCCACCACAAGCACCACCACAAACATGCCCAGCAACCACCAAAGCATCGAGAGCATGCAACAAGCCCTGCTCACAGCCCTGCGGCCTTGTCTTGGGAGCAGCAGGAAGAGCTCAGGCTCCAAAGGCTCATGAGCAGCCCCTCCTTGTCACCAACAGCCGAAGCGCCTGCCTCGCTCCACCTTCTCCCATCCCCGACACATGCTTCCGCGCATCTCGATCACCAGCTACATCCACCCGCCCCACCACCTGGCTCGGGCCTCTACCTCACTTTCCATCGGGCTGGCCTCATGTCCCTCCATTCGGTCCTCAGCCTTGCCTCGTGGTTCCGCACCTCGGTCATCCCACGCATCACGAGCCTCGTGCTCCGTGCTTTCCGCGCCGCACTCTACCTGCTCACCTCGAGCATTCCCGTCCTCACCTCCCTCGTCTCCGTCGAAATCGACCGCATCGAGGTGTACGTTCAGGAGGCAGAAGCAGTCGCCCGCATCGGCAGAGCAGGTCTTACCTTCTCCATGTCTCCTGGCTCCGCCACCGACGCCGATAGAAGCAAGTCAGCATCCAACGAAAATGCCGCCGCCGATCGTGCCTCGCCAAGCACCTTCTTTGATGCTATGCGAATGATGCCCACCCGAATGGGCTCCGGCGCCCGCGGCGTCGCCAGCTACCTCGTCGCTGGCATGTCTCCCAGCTCCGTCAAGGCACACATCCGCGTCGACAGCATCGAACTGTTCGAAGCCAACTTCAAGCCTTCTGCCAAGTCCAATCCCAACTCCAGGGTCAGCTCGCGCCGCAACAGTGACGCCGCTTCTTCCAGATCACCAGCTCGCGCAACCTCTCCTTCCTACGCAGAATCTGGGCCCTTTTCGCCCAGTCAGTCTGACGCTGCCATGGACACCACCCAGGACGATCCATCGCTCCCGATCGACGACAGCATCGACTCCGGCTATCGGCAAAGAGGCCCTCCGCGAAGACGCAGCAACAGTGCCTCCCGCTTGTCCAGAATGTCCTCCACCTCTCTCCGCGGCTTTGCTGACCGATGGGCAGATTGGGCTCTCGAGCCTCTTGTCGACTCAGACTTCCATGCCGATTCAGGCTGGACTCGCAAACATCTGTCAGACGACTTCCCCTCGGACAAGTTGCAGACCATCCCAACCAGCGCCAGAATCCTCTCCATCAACGGCGTCACTGAGCTCACCGCCAGCATCCTCATGGGCTCCAACCTCGCTCTTGGTGGCGACAAGACGCTGTCGGCAAAGCTCGCCCTTGGAGCCGCTGTTCTTCGACTCGATGCGGCACATCGCGCCTTGCGCGTCGTAGACGGTCGCAAGTCGCATGAAACAAACTTTGCCAACGCACCCGGAGGCGGTCAAAAAGGCACGCATCCGCCACATCCGCGTCATCCCCGGCCACCAGGCATGCGTCACAGCTCGCCAGCAGCCACTGCTCTTCACATGATCTCGTCTCTATCGCTCTCCCTACCCTCCGTCCGTGTCATGGCGTCTTCCGAGACCATGTTGCTGGCAACAGCTCCGCACACGGAGGAAATGGGTCAAGATTCGAATGCTGCTAGCTCGCCACCCGCTAGGCAATTCGCTTTAAACCTCGCCGGCTTTTCCTTCGATCTCAAGCACAGCGATCCCAGAGACACCATCCATCGCCGCTGGCTCGGCACCTGTGGCCTAGCGAAGAAGAAGTCAGCAGGAAGACCGAATCGATCCAAGAAGACAAGCGCGAACGACAAGTCGGCGGATCAAAAGCACAATCTCGCGGCCTCCCCTTTTGGATCCGTCGCAATCGACCATCGACGTGTCTTCCTGGTCGACATCAGCCTCGCCAGCCTCGAGGTCCATTGTCGAGAGCATGCGCGCAGTCAAGGCTCGCGTTTGCTGTTTGTTGGCGACCTCTCGGTTGAGTCGCGATCGTCCTGGACGCCGTTCGGCCTGCTCGCCTCGTGCCCCGAGTCGGCACGCATGCTTCTGTCGGGCGACCCGAACGAGCATGTCGCTGCGGTCGAAACCTCGGTCGGTGGTGTCGAGAGCAACGTCACCTTGGAAGACATCACGGCTCTGATTCAGATCGCAAACGAAGTGAATCGTCAAAGACAGGCAATGCGCAGCGCGTCGGCGTCGGATAAGCCTCGGCGTCCAAGAGCAGGCGGCAGAGGCGTTCCCAGACTGCCGAGGATCGCAGCAGGACTCCACATCAAGCGCATCTCTCTTGTGCTCGATGCCAGTTGTCGTTCACAAGCAGAAAAGAGGACGCCGCGCTTCAGCAAGGACGATGGGCCTTGCTCGAGGCAGCTCATCTTGTCCGTTCCAAACATCGACTTCATGTTTTTCGGAGAGTACCGTGACGAGTATGTCAAGCGCCCGATTGCCGAGAAACGCGCTGCCTACAAGGCTCTCAAGGCCGACACTCTCGAGTGGCCCATCAGCGGCAAGGAAATGTGCAAGGCAGTAGGCAAGGCCAAGAAAGAGCCCATGCGGAGCCCGCAAGTGTCGGTGGCGACTTTGACAGCGGAGCCAGAGGCCGTCACGCCCGGCCTGTCCGAGCCAGAGCAGCAGCGATACAACGAGACCAATCTGACCATGGAGGAGACACTTAGACGGATGCAAGAGTTGCAGCAGCACAAACCATCTCGAGCGGACAAAGCGCCAGCCACAGCGCGGCGCCCATCGATACGCGACGCCATGTCCAAGACCGGCAAGGTTCGGCTGCCCGGATACACCCGCAAGTCTTCCATGGCCGCCGAGACCAGGTTCAACCTGCGCTATCAGTTCGAGACATGCCTGGCCGTCGATGCCGTCGAGCTCTTCCTCTCGCTGAATTCAGCGGCGAGCTCAGCCAAGGGCCGCTTTGTGCGACCGGCATCAGCAACAACTCAGTCCTCGCCATCCCGCGGCACTTCGCAGCATCATTTGCTAGCCATGCACAGCTTCGAGGTGCACGGCCTGGGACGCGTGCCCGGCAATGCTGAGCCACGTGGCTCGGCGCTGTGCGACGAACAAATTTCGCTGTCTGCCGCCGATGCCGTCGCCGAATTCCGCGCGAACATCGAAGACGTCGACATTGAAGCATGGCAGCCGCGTGCGCTTGATACATACGCAGACATCGCCGCCACCATTGTGCGCGCAAAGCAAGAGAGCACGATGGCCGGCAGAGAAGGCCAAACTGACGGCGTTGCGAGCGACGCGATGCGAAATCATCCAAAGTCGGTGCACGAGCCCAAGCCGCTAGTCGAGCGTCTTCCTGGTGGATTGGCGCTCTACATCTCGATCGGACGCACAATTGCACACCTTGGCGGTCCCGATCATCGCATCGAGGATGATGTCGCCCGTGGCGTTGGTTTCGAGGCCGAGCGGATCGTGCTCGAGTATGCAGCCGTCACCGAGACGAAAACGAACGCCTCGACCCTAAAAACCAACTGGGGTGCTCGTACTGCCCTCGAGCTCTCTGAGGATCTACAACTGCAAGCGGTGTCGCTCGCCACTCGGCACGGCCGTGTCGGTCTGGCGCGTGTCGTTCTGCACGAGGCAGGCTTCTTCCCGATCCTAGACGCCTCGCTGGCCACACGACAACACACGGAGGGCACCGCCTCGGAACCCTTTGCGCGCGCCAAAGCGCAAGCCGGCCGAGCTGCCAAGAAGGCATCAGAGGGCGAGACGCTTGAACGCCCAGCTACTTCGCTGCTGGCTGAAGGCATTTGGAACTTCGACAAGAGCGATGAGCGCGTTCATCAGTCGACGCAGCATCGGCCAAGATTCCGCCAGCAGGATCGCAGTAACTTTATCTTGTTCTTGCCGTACGCTGCCGTCAAGGCGGTCGTCCGCCCTCCTCACGCCGAAAATAAGGCAGGGCTAGCTGGTACGAGCGAGGACGAAGTGTTCGTCACGACGGAGAATACCAACCTGCTCGCGTTCAAGATCGATATACTGCACACCTACTGCATTCTGCTGGCACTCGCTACGTTCAAGGACCTAGCACAGAGCGCCCGCAGACCGGATGTCGGCCTGGGCACCACCAAGCAGGAAGGCACGTCAGCGCATACTCCGGTCCGCCATCACCGTCCGAGTTTCTCATGCCGATTCGACATCAAGGAGGTCCACACCTTTGTGACGCTGCCAAGGGCCGTGCAAATCTTCATCCGCGTACGAAGGCTAGAGGTGCGATCCAATCCGCAAGACGGTCTCGCAGTCTCTATCGAGACCGCCATGGGTGCCGTGGAAAGTCCGAAGCAGATCAAAGGTGACGCATGGGAGGAAGCAGTGCGACTGCGCGATTGGAAAGTGATGCTCCCTCCCAAGCGCTCCGAAGGCAAGGTTCAGATCAAGGTCAACGGAGATGCTGCACTCATCCGCATTCCGTATGGGTACGCCGTCAATCCGATCATCGATAACACGTCGGTGGCCATCAAGGCGACCAAGCAGATCGTCCATCAGTTCCTCAAGAGCCGGGATGACTCGATCATCACGCCGTACGCCGAGGAACCCAAACTGCTCCCGGATATCGACATCAACATCCGTGTGCTTACTCTCGAGGCGCAGGACGACCCCTTTGAAACCAAGCTTAACCTCATCTGGCGCGCTGGTCTCGCAGAGAATTCAGCGCGCGACGAGCGCGAGTCTGCGTTTGCAGCAAAAGCGGAGGAGTTGGGAGCTACCAAAATGCCACACAGTAGCACCTCTTTCCGCTCGGGCCGGAGCAATGTCAGCCTCGGATCGTCCATCGCATCGGCAGACAGCGATTCCGAGGATGCGTCTAGCTTCACGTCGCACGACACGCGCTTCACAGCCTCCAAGCAGCAGCACGTCAGCTACGAGGAGGCGAGGATGGCGCTCGACGCCTTCAACTCTTCGAGCTGGGTGCGTCGCTACACGAACGCGCGCTCTGAGCAAATCCGCCGTCAAGAGGCGGTACTGAAGAACATCTATGGCCGCTTTCCCCTCTCGCGGAGTCACGACGAGCTGCCGATCAACGTGCTGCCGATCGGCAAAGCCGCGCCCCTCGTGCGCTCGACCATGTATCGAGTCGGCCTCAAAGTCGGCCAGGCGCACTTCCCCATCGATCAGTTGCGCGACTTCATCCACGAAAAGGGCGCTGGAATACCGAAGGACACGCCGTTTTCGCTGCTGGTTCCCCTGCATATCAAGTGGGAAATGGAGGAGTGGCGCGTCACGCTGCGCGACTACCCGATGCCACTGTTGCACGTGCCACCCACGCATCGATCCGAGAGCGACGCACGCAAAGCGTGGTGCTTCGAAGGCGACATTGTGATCGCCGAGCAGCTGGGCGGGCCCGAGTCGATTCGACACGTGCCGGCTGTGATTGTTCCGGCAGCCACCGGTCGTCCTGACGCGGTCGAGTACGGCATTGTGATCCCCAAGGTGGCCATGCCGGTCAAGACGTACGGCACGCCGACGGTGCGGCTGCGTACGCCGTTTCCGACGAGGCTGGTGTGGGGACAATCGATCCAGCCGACCATCCAGGATGTCATGCGCGTCATCGATGGCATCACACCACCGCCGCACGACCCGTCGCCCAAGCTTGGATTCTGGGACAAGCTGCCATTAATCCTCCATGGTCACCTCAATATCAAGCTTGAGGACGAAGGCGGCTTCAACATCCATCTCAAGGGCGGCCGCGATCCGTACGGCATCCAGGGTCAAGACGCAGGTTGGGTCAAGTCCTGGAAAGGCGGGGTCGAGATCCGCATCGGCTACGACAATCCGCAAAAGGAAGTCTTCCAAATCCTAAGCCACGAGTACGTGCTCGCGGTGCCGGATCTGACTGACTACGTCGACCATGCTGCCACAGGTATCCTGGGCGGCGATCAGCATGGCAACAGTCAGCAATCGTCCCGCGACGGCGAGGAGAGCTATCACGACTCGTACGATCGCAAGTCGCTTGGCGCTTCGTTCACCTCGAGCATGCATCGATACATGAAGGATCCTACCTTCCGCAAGATCGTCATCAAGCTCACCAACGGCGTGCGCTGGGGCGCTGGCCTGCATGGCGAGCGCACGTGCGACGACGAGACTTGTCCGAGACGGCCCAAGTGCAAGGGCGAGCCGTTTTATCGCGAGTGCCGCATCTTTGAGCGCATCGATCACTGGAAAGTGGTGACCAAGACGCGCGAGCACTTCGATTCGCTGCCGGAAGACGAGCGGCGCGACTCGTATCGCGGATGGAGGTCGCATCACCTGCATTTCTCGCTGTCCGTTTTCTCGCCCAAGAACGGCATCTCGAGCTATGGCGGCCAGCAGAAGCATGCTTCGCGCCTCGACGCGGTCAACAACTTCTACTTCACTCCGCTGGCCTGGGCACATTTCTGGGCGTGGATGAGGCTGTTCAACAGTGCGATGAGCTTGCCTATCCGCACAGGACAGCTTTTCCCCGAATCACCCCCTCCGTCGCCGAAGTTCGGCCGCTTCCTTGGGACGATCAAGTATCGCATCGATCTCGAGCCGCTCTTCATCACCCATCAGTACCGACAGTTCAACAAGGAGGACTGGGCGAGGGGTCTTCGCACGCATGTCGGCATCAAGGCGCGCATCAATGCGTTCACCTTGGACATGCACCAGCGGCAGCAAGAGATGGTCAAGGAGCGGCCCGAGCTCGGAGAGCCGCGCATCGTCTTCCACAAGCCCTTCTACGAGGCCGAGGTGAGCTGCGAGTCGATCGACCTCAAGACCTTCGCCGCACAGATGCGCGACGACTGCGAGATCCCCTCTGTCATGGACGAGCAGGAGGTTGGCGAGAGCATCTTCGACGACCTGTTTGCTCAAGATGTGCCCATCTCCGATGACGAGCTGGAGTGGGTTGATATGAACGATCTGGTCGAGCTGGACTCGCAGGCGATCAAGGATCCGTCGCCCAAGATCCGCATGTACCCGGCCATGGTGTGTCCGCAGTTCAACTATTATCGCAAGGTGGACTCGAAGCGCGAGCGGCGCGCAAAGGAGACGCAGAAGCGGGCGGCGAACGGCAAGAGGAGTCGCGAGCAGGGTGCCGATCTCGAGGAGCTGCTCAGCAAGCTCGAGCGCAGCAAGTTCGGCAGCGAGAAGAGCCACGTCTGCATGGTCGGCCAAAACGACAAGCCGTACGGCATTCAGCGCAAGATCGCCCAGGACAGGCTCAAGACGATTCGCAGCGAGATCGATCGGGTACTCAACTCGAGCGACGACGGCAGCGCAGAGTCACAGAGTCATTCGGAGGGCGTCGATGATCAGCAGGAAAGGCTCAACGAGCTGCACGGCCGCGAAAGAATCCTCAGTGGCTTCATCGCGCATCTCGGACGATTGCAGGAAGACACAGACCGCATCGAGCGGGCCAAGGCAGAAGGGATTCCGGCGCCAAAGCGATCGGGCACCATCGATCGCAACTTTACGCTCAACGCGACCGATCTTGCGTCTCTCTATCGCGATCTCGGGATGTTTGACAATCGCTACATCGCGCATAATCCGACGCTTTTCTTCAGCAACACGACGCGCACGCTGCTGCTCAAGTACTACTACAGCTCGCGGATGAGGCGAGGATATGCGCACCATATGACGGCGACGGCGGTGCGGTACATCCGCGAGCTGCTCAAGAAGAAGGACAAGGCAGGTCGCCCATCAGCTACGAAGATGAATGACTACCTCGACGCGGGTCGAAGCACGCAGCACTTGACACCAAGCACCGAGGGTGCCAATGGCCTTGACATCCTGCACGAGATGCTCGATGACATGATCAACCACATGCGTGGCAAGGACGGCTACAGCAAATCGGGCTGGGGCACCCGAAACGAGGGAGAAGAGGACGAAGGCTTGGAGGCAGGCATGCGCCCCACGGACGGCATCTCGGACGATTTCAACGTGGCCAAGAGCAACGTCTGTGTGCTACTCAAGCCGCAGATCGTGCTGCGCAGCGATGTGGACGACAACTCGACCGTGATCGTCTCGGCGCTCCGCACGAGGCTGCAGAACTATACGGTCCAAGACGAAAGCTGTGCGGAAGACTCGGTCAACGCGACCGTGCTCCGAAGGAACTTCTTCGCGCTCGACAGTCTGCAATGCTGGCATCCGAACGCGCGCTCCAAGTCGACCTACTTGGTGGAAGCGCGCGCCGACAGGCACGGCTTTGTTGCTCTGCCTCTCGAGGCGCTCGTCGACATGCATGGCCAGTGCCGCGACTTTGAACGCATTGTCCCGCACACCAACGCCAGCATGTACTACGACAAGTTCAACAAGCTGCGTCTGTCTGATTCGTCGCGCTCCGTCTCGACATTCCGTAAAGACGGCAAGCCGGTGCAGGACCACCTCCACCATCACATGGACATGATCCTCCTCAATTGTCCACGCTTTTCGGTGTCTGCCAACAGCGAGCACTTTGCGGCGTTGTACAATGTGGTGACGGACTTGATCTTGTACCGCGACCCGGCGCATCGCGATCATGCCAAGCGGTTGGAGGAGATGATGTTCAGCTACGACTTCACGGATGTCTCTGGGCTCGCAGACATTGTCACAGCACTGCAGGTGCGCATTCGCGAAGCGCAGGCGCTCATCGAGCAGTACCGCGCCGTTGCAGATCGTCTGAACGAGCGTGGGCGCACCGAATACGTCGCGGTCCTCCGCGATGTGCTTGAGCTGGTCACCGAGCTCAATCTCATCATGGAGGCCATCACCACGTCGCAGGACAGCAAGGGCGGCGCGGACCGCGAGAAGAAATCAGCACTCCGGTTCATGACGCAGGCGCAGGAGGTCGCCTGGAATATGATCGGCGACGAGGCGGGCGAGCTCGTGACCAAGCTTGCTCTGCGCGGCATCAGCTTTTCGTGGCTCAACAAGGCAGACAATTCGGCTGCGAACACGCTCGCCATCCAGGACCTGCAGGCGCTCAGCGTCGATCCCGACGCCATGTTTGCCGAGATCATCGCCAAGTATCTGCGCGCCCCGGACCATCCGATGGCCAAGGAAGGGCGCTTCCTCGATGCCATGTGGAGCGTGCTTCCGCCGGTGGGAGGAATCTCGATCGTCGACATGTTCGAGTTCAACTTGCACCCGGTCAAGATCCAGATCGAGCTGGTGGTGGGCCGCAAGATCATGGACTACATCTTCGGCACAAAGCGACAGCGAGAGAAGCAGGAGGAGGAGCAGAAACGGCTCGAAGATCAGACGAGACGGCAGGAGAAGGCGATTGCAAAGAAGAAGTCGCCTCTGGCACGGTTGTTAGGGGGCAGGAAAAACCTGACGGGTTCAGCGTCGTCGCAGACGTCGAGAAGGCCGAGCACGAATGCGAGCTCACGAAACGCCTCGACGGTCGACCTGGCATCGCGCAATGCGTCGAGCACGGATCTGCTGTCGGTCGGCCGACCCTCGTCCGACGGGTCGCGCGAGGACGATGCAGACAGCGTTTCGGGCCGCACTCGTGTTGCGACGGGTGGGATCAGCACGGGAACGGCCAAGGCGTCGCTCAAGTCGCGCCCAGGCACGCCAGCGAGCGGCAGGGATGCAGGATCGGACGACGAGCGGCGCGGCGACCAGTTTGCCATTGCGCAGCGCAATGCGGCCGAGATGCGCTCGCGGGCCTCGGCATACCGCACCTTTGTGTACGTCAAGATCTCGCAGACCATCTTCTGCTTGTCCTACAAGGGCGAGAAGGAAAAGTCGATCACAGATCTGTACGACCTCGTCTTCCGCACGCCCAACTTCGAGTACCACAACAGCACGTTTGGATATGTTGACCTGGCGGACACCTTCAAGAAGGACGTGTTCAAGGCAGCCTGGAACCAAAAGTCGACGTTGCTGCGCGATATCATCACGCACCGGCCGAACCGCAAGCGCAATGCGATCGAGAGCATCCGTGCCATCAGACAGGCGTCCAAGGCAAGGGAGTCGCTTGCGCCGTTGGACATTGCGGTCGAGCCGCCAACGCCAGCGGGGCGGTCGTCGTTTGACGGAAGCAGCCATCTAGTGGAGTCTCCCACGGACACATTCAGCTATCGCGGCGGAGAGGCGTACGGGGATGATGGACAGAGTATCGACAGCCAGGCGCTCGAAGCGGACGACGATGGCGATGGCAGCCGATCGGAGGAAGGATTGCAGCGGCCGGAGCACGTGCGACAAGGAACCGGTCAGACGCTCGCGGGCCAGATCCGCGACGAGTGGGGCCGAAACAACGAGCTGGAAGCAGCGGCTCAAGCCAGCACGCCCTCGTTGGCGTCGAGCGACGAGCGGCGCGACTCGGTTGGCGAAGTCGACGCCATGCTCCACCTCCACACCCCACGACGCGAAAGCGCCGATCCCGAGCCGAGCCGGCGATTCCCCGGACTGCGAAGGCTCAGCTTTGGCGGAGACTCGCCTGCGACCGAGCGCGGAGAGGCGCTATCGATGGCGTCTGCCGGCTCGTCGCCCTACCTCCAGCTCCCGCCAGGTGCCGCATCGAGACGAGCGAGCCTCGCGAGCAACAGGTCGCACTCACCGTCGTTCAAGCTGAACAAGCTCCTGCCAAGGTCGTTGAGGAGGGGAGCGTCGACGTCGGCGCCAGGAAGGAACGGAACGAGCCCGGCGGATGAGGAGCAACACATGCAGAGGGCGACGTCGTCCGACTATTCGGCGAGCATTCGCAGCACGCACTAGTGGCACACTTGCAATGGATGAATGGTTTTTGTAGACTCGATGAGAGTGCCCTGCAGCGTCGTGAGGCAGGAGAAGAGAGAAGAGTGTCGGTGGGAACAACCTCATTGGTGGGGCTCGTTAAAGGTTAGGCGGTCCCACTTTTGGAATGCGTGCGGTGTTGCGCTCAACCGTATCCTCTTCTTCACTTGTGTGCGTCGTTTAGCTATCCTCTTTGGCAATTGTATGCGTCGTTTCGCAAGATCATATGCGTCGCTTGTATCTGTGGGACCGCAACTGCCCAGAACAATCTCGTCGCTGCACACGATCAACCTCGTCGTTACGGGGCAACTGCATCGAGGCTGACAAGATGTTCTGGAAGCTGCTCAGCTTGTTCGCTAGAGCTTCTTTATCAGCAACACGATATCCCCTGTGGCATCAGTATGCGTCGCTTTGCTAGACCATATGCGTCGCTTTCATTTGCGAGAAGTGCAACCATAAGATCAACCTCGCCGCTGCTCTGGACCAATCTCGTCATTGTGTCACTCGTCCACATCTAGATCGCCCGCTTCACGGCTTACCTTCCAACCTCCATCACCTCCGCGCTCAATGCACAAAGCACCTGGTCACGGTCCTCTGCTTCATGAGGGGCAACGTTGTCTTGGTTCTGATGCAACACACGCTGCGTCGAGTGACCAGAAGCTGTCTGTTTTAAGTACAGCGTGTTTCCGATGATGAAGCTATATGGCGGCGAGCCAAGCCGAGCAGCTCCACGAACAATTTGCCCGTCACACTGTCTTTGCTCAGCTCGTTAGGCGACGTGGTTTAGCCAGTGCAGCGGCGAGGTTGTTTTGTGCAACTTAGGCCCCTAAGGTGAAAGTGGTGCATCTGGTCTAGCGAAACAACACTCGGATTCAATCGAGACACCTTTGGCGCGAAGCCGACAAGGCGCAACGGGCTGCGATGAGGGCAGAGGCGGCGGTGGTCTTTAGAGACGCCGGGAAGCGGTGACGTTTAACCCAATGTGGACGAGTGAAAGGACGACGAGGAAGCCGCACATATGAAAGCGACGCATGTGGTGCCGCCTCGAGCCACTGTGCACTGCCCGTCTCGTTCGGCCCCTCACTGCCTTTCTTGTCGAATCGCTCCTTGATTCCTGGCTTCGACTCAGACCATCTTGTCCACACGCTTCAGCCTCGAGTGTGACCAGAGTAAAGCATGTTCCAGTGCTTGTGCGGTGTAGAAATACAGTCTTGTGCGTCTATGGAAGCGGGCCTGCTGCGTCTAGGCAGACTGTGCACGCAGGGCGTGCTGGTTGAGGAGCGTATAGATCTCGGCCTCGACCCTATTTCTGTGTAGCTCGATGTCGTCTGCATCGACCACGTCCCCGATAACCGGCTGGTCATCGGCACTGCTGGCGAGCGGGTAATCGGGCCCGTCCGGGCCGAGATGAAACTCAAACTTGGCCGAGTCCTTGCCCTTGGCAAGCACGTCGAGCAGCGACGCGAGCTGCGCATCGTTGTGGTACACGATCGTGGTGGGTTCCGCCTTCTTCTCCACCTCCTCCTGCGCATCCTGCGGCGCAGGGTTGGCGATCTCGAACACATCTTGCTGCACACTCGTCGGCAGTGGCGGCATAGCGTCAAAGCTGAACGACTTCTTGTGTCCGCCCTGCGGCCGCGTGAAGAACGAGCGCGAGTCGTCCGCCGTCAGTCCGGCGGGGGTGCGCCACTCGCTCGCATCCGCCGTCGCATCCAGCGTCGCAAGGTTGGCCGCACTCGCGTCCGAGTTGTGTCGGCTGTGTCGCGGGTCGAGGTCCGAATAGACACTGCCGCGTTCGGCCAGGCCGGCAATCACCTGCCACACCACACTGCCGTCGGCGCGCTCCGTCACCTCGATGTGCCGCCTCGTGGCGCCGGGCGCCATGGACCGCCGCGCGAGCTCACGCGTCTCGGAGCTGGGACTGCCAAACTCGATGTCGTCGCCAGTGTACATGTCGTACAGGCTGCCTGCGTACGAGCTTTCCACCCTGCTTGCACGCTTGGATCCCTCGGCCGTGCCCGAATCTGGATGCAGCGTTTGCCGCGAGCTCAGCGTCGACATGGCCTCTTCCACCCCACCCGCCGGCATCGCGGTGGTGTCGGCAGCAGTGCTCGTATCGCCCGCGCCCGCAGAGGGGAGCGGCTCGTCCTCCGCAGCGAAACGGCGCGACTTGCGGCTCGAGCCAAACATCGATCGCCGGTAGTCGCCCAGCTCGAGCCCGGCGGGGACGATGATCGTACGTCGCACAATCGTGTCGCGCAGCGATTTGCGGGCGTTGGCAACGGACCGTTCGCCATCCTCGACAGGCGCAGAGGCGGCAGCAGTAGCAGCAGCAGGTAGGGTGGTGTCACCGTCCTCGGCCTCGACCGCTTCGCCATTCCACGACGACGGCGGCCGAGGCGTGCGCATCTCGTTCTCTGCTGCTTCCGCCACGAGCCCGGCGGGTGCATCCTCGGCGGCAGCTGCGACGTGCTCCTCACTCGTAGCTGCGGCCTCTTGCGCCTCCACCTCGTGACCGCCTGCTGATGCCTCCTGCTGTACGGCCTCCGCAGCATTCGCCTCGCCGACCTCCATCGGCAGCGAGATGGGCGGAGCCGGCTGGGGGTTTGCAGCCAGGTCCCTAGCACGCTGCTCCGGCGATCGGCCGATGATCGCCGTCGGCATGTAGGCGGCATCGCCGGGAAGAACGACCTCGGACTCGCGCTTGAGCACGATGGGCGTGCGCTTCTTGGATTTGCTGCGCGGCATCGAGGTCGAGTCGATGGGCAGCGTGTAGACGGGCGACGTGGGCGAGCGCAAGCTGCTGCCGCGGTCACTCGACACCGACTTGGGCGACGATACCGACGACAGCGTCCAGGGTGTGGTCCTCTCCAGCGGCAGCGGTGGCAGCACCGGTGTAGGAGCCTGCGGTGGCTGCGGAGGCTGTTGCGCAGTCTCGGCCGCGCGCGCTGCGCTCAGCTGCGGCGGAAACGGCTCGATCGTCGCACCGCCGAACGCCTGGTCGCCATTCTTGCGGCTCTTGATTTTGGAAAACAGCCGCGAGAGGCTGCCTCCATTGGCGCCTCCGTTCATGTACGGATGATTGGGGTGCACACTGCCACGCTCGCCGTTGATCTGCTCGGCTGCAGCGCCATCTGCTCCTCCCTTGATGCCGAAGCTGTCCGACGGACTCGCTTCGTGACCGAACGAGCTCGATCTCCTGCGGTGGAAGTAGCTGCTGCCCTTGCTCACGCTGCCGCCCTGCGATGCCGACGAAGGGCTCGCCTTGGGATGGCCGCGCGAGCCGTCGAGAGCGCCCTGACCCAGGCTGCCCCAGCCAGGCGATCGATTGCTGCGCTTGCTCGTCTTCGACAAACCAGCGGGAATCTCGGGCGTAAGCGCGATTTGGTTGGCATGATCGAGCTTCTGCGTGGTCGAGATGAGCTGCGGCGACGAGATCTGCTTGCTCACCTTCTTGAACGACTTCTTGCGTGAGATGCTCTTGGTGCGGAATGGCGGCGTTGGCATCGAGCCGTCGTCCGTGCCCTTGAGCGCGCGTGTCGCCGCGCTGGTCTGTGCAGCCACGTCATCCAAGAGCCGCGTGGGATCCGAGCCCATCAGCTGCGGCATGGCATGGTCGGTGCCGAACGAAGTATCGGGGCTCGAGTCCTGCTGCGGACCGTAGCGGTTCCATACGTCTTCGGGTGGGAACTGCTTTGCCTGGCTGCGGGGCGAGGCACCGATGTCCTCCTTGACGGTCTTGCGCGGGAACGTAAAGTTTTGCACTCCACGCGAGTCAGCCGCAGGAAGCGTGGGGCTGGTGTATCCGGCATTGAATGGATGCTGTTGTACGGGCGGGCTCGAAATCACCGCTTGTGAGTCCCGATCCGAACCCGCAGGCTCTTCAGCAACAGGCGGCGACGTGAACATGGACTGCTGGTGCAGCCGAGACGCCTGGTCGACGGCATGCGAGAGCGAAAACGACTCGCGGTTGCGATGCCCAACGGAGCCATTGAGCTCGAGCAGGCTCGGCAAGCCATTGAGCGAGCCGTTGCGACTGTGCAGAGGCGGCGATGTGGGTCGGTGGCTGGTGGTGACGTCGTACATGACCGCGCGCGGAGAGACGGGGGGATCGTGCGAAAACGAGATCGAAGGCTGGCGCGCAAGCGGAGCGCCCGGGCTGACAATGGTCGGCCTTCCCTCGGTAGACCCAAATGCGAGACCATTGCCTGCTTGCTGCTCTCTGCTAGATGGATTGCTCCACTCAGATCCCGTACCGATGACCAGATTCGGCGACGCGAGTCCTTTCGACTTTGCCTCTGCAAATCTGCGCTCCTTGAGATTGTCGTCCGCCTGAAGACGAGGAAGAGGAGGCACGGTCTCGGTCCCATCCGCCGTCTGGATGAGATGGTCCTGGAAGCGAGCGATTTGATCGACCGTGATGCCGGTGCCCGCCAACCGCTCGTCAGCTGTGCCGGCCGGAAGACTGGAAACAGGACGATCAGCGCCGGCCGGATCGGAGCCAGAGGCCATCTTGGCCCACAGGTCCTCCTCCTCGTTGGGGTCTGCCGATACGTCCTCGCTGGACGCACGAAGGCTGGCAGCATCGGTCGCCTTGATACCATACATTGCTCGCCAACGCTCTGCCTGCTCTGGCTCTGACGGCGGGTTGGGCATGAGGCCCTGCTCGTTGAAGAAGGTTTGTGTTGCGCTTGGCTGGATCGGCTGGGAGGCAATAGCGCCCGGCACAGGTGCTGGCCTTGGGGCAGCAAAGCCTTCATCGGTTGAGGAGATTCGCGACGATTGCGTATGGCGGTTCTGCTTGGAGCTGCTCAGCGATGTGTTGCGCTGGTGGAGACTCAAGCTCGTGCTTCCCGTCTCCGGGGAGCTAGGAACTGCAGCGCGATCGCTGCCGGACCCAAATGCCCCCATACCCGGGACCTGAGGCGACGCGACGCTCTGACTTGTAGATGCTGAGTTGCGCATGCTCTGAACGCTCCTGA